CAGAAAACAATTATAAGTAAAATAAAAATAAATGTAAGTATCATAAATATAAAAATAAATTTAAATATACGGGTTTTTCTCTACCGCGTATGCAACGTTATTTTAATGTGTCATACATGTGTAAGATTTTAACATTATATTAAACGATTTAGCTTGCTACTCGCCACGCCCCCTATACCCATCTTTGTACAATTCAACACCATTTAAATATTTTATCATATAATTACCTATTCACTTGCAAGATCAAGGTCACAACGTTACATTGCCAACGATAATTTCGAAAAATTCATTTAATAGTTTTGAAAACATTTTTGTAATAAATCTGTATTAAAATTAAAGATGCTGATGAGAAAATTTGTAAAAACGTTTGAGTTTTTATGTGGTTGATTCATGGAACAACCTTCTTCGTGGAGGAAAAAACGTATAATTTTAATAAATTTTTCCATAGGTTTAGTTTAAAAAAATCGATGTAGGAAATTTTATACTTTATAAATTAGTTTTGGATAAAGTGAAATAAATTATTTATTAATTATTAGACATGTACGAAATTAATTATTTAATAGTTGAAAAGATTAGTTTGGATTGGATTAGAATATTTATTAAGCCATGGTTTCCCGCATGGCACATAGGCTTACACCTAAAAGTATAAGCGTTACATATAAATACACAAGAGTAAAGTATTTACAAAAAATATATAGATAAAACAGGTAAGTGGCATGTAGAGCAGAGATAGTGAACAAGACGTTAATTGGTAGCTATATGGTATTTAGCAAGAAAGGCATAATTCATGCCAAGGCGCAAAGTCCTAGTGATCTGCTACTCTCCTCTCATCCTTCAGCCATTTGCTGAAGATAACATTTTTGATGTGAGAGATGCGTGATGGGCAAAATAGTAATCGGGTTGTGAAAAACTTATTTAGTAGGCCCGTAGCGGTATAGACGAAGAACGACTGGTGAGTGCCAGTGCGTATTGCATGACCAACGATAGACCTCTGCGGTAGTCTTGCAGATGAGCGATCGATGAAAGCCTGTGATGGAAGAGCGAAGCGAGATTATAAGTAGGGTGGATTCTGGTGGTCAATGATGGTCAATGAATGAGATATGAACAGAAATCAGAGGTCGTGTGAGTTTAAATTTTATAAATATTGAATTTGATAATCGAGTGAGTATACTAGTCAGTACAAATAATAATAAGAGAAAGTTGATTATATGATTGAAATTGAATTGAAAGATTGAATTTAATTTAAAATAGATGCCGAAACGATAAGAAATTTTTAAAACATGCTTATCATTTATACGTATATAATACATTTCATTTGATATTTCTTCATCATTTTATTTGTATAAAAGAAATTTAACTATTAACTTCGAAATACATTCTGTAGAAACTTCGAAAACTGATTGAAAATTTGTATCCATATATTGGCTTTGGTATCTCCTTAAATTGATATTTTTGAAATTATTTTGCTATTTCTGCACAAAATCGGCGTGAAAAGTCACTCGAACAAGAAAAGTAAATGAAAACAGATGTTTTCAAAAATTTTCAGTAGACATTTTTTTTTTTTTTTATAGTTGATTACGGCCCTTTCTGCTACTAGGCTAATTGGCCAACCTCACCGTTCTACCTAACGGTGGGTCTTGCGTGTATATGTAAGTGTGTGTTAGTGTATTAGCGTGTACCTATAGTCGATATGGTTGCGCCTCCCATACCACTGAGGTTACGCTTTGATAATGGTGTGACCCCCAACACCAGAGACCGCAGTTGAAGTGCACCGGCTTTTTTCCAAGGAAAATTTCCACGGATTACACCCAACGGTGCAAACCCCGCAGAAAAAATCCCCGGGAAAAAACCAGCCCACCGCCGGGATTTGAACAGTAGACATTTTAAAAAAGTTTACTGAAAGAGACATCTTACAATATAATTTGGTACTCCATGGTAGTTTCATATACAGCAGCTGCCTACTGTTGGTAATGTAGGTGTGTATAAGTATGGGTCAGCATTTATCATACATTTGGCCTCAGTTAAAGTAGATTTCAATTTTTAACAAGTCTAAGATATCGTCTCATAATAATGATTATTCCTTTTCTTTTCATTAAAAAATTGTCTTTCAATGATTTTGATGTAAAAATTATTAAAACTTTATCAAATTCATTTTTCATTATGGACCACTGATTAATTGATTTCAAGAAATTTTAATAACTAAAGTATTCAGGTCAGATAATTATAAAATAGTGATTGCAAAATAGATTTTATCACTTATACAGTTTGTTGAGGTTGCTAAAATAATGTTATATAGAAGTATTTTCCAGTAAGTATAAATAAAAAATAATCAAAATTCATCACGATGCACCAATAAAATTTTAAAATTGGATATATATTGTACATATAATATAATGTGCCATATTTGCATAAATTTATGTATTTTGTTCTCATCAGTATTCCTATTCTAAATTTCTTCAATTAAATAGAACGCGAATTACCGAAATAAAAAAGAAATAACAGCTGTGATTTAATGAAAGAATAATATTCTTTCACCGTATGGAAAGTATTCGAGGCATGGTTTCTGTTTTATGATACTGTCTGTACTTGTTACGTCATCACCTTGAAGAATCGCTTTAAATTAAATAGCTCGCGAATTTTAAGAAACTTGAGTTTATGTGTTTGAATTTTACAATTAGAAAATATCATGATAATTGTAAAGAATGGCTTTTATTTCAAGATTTTGATAATTTATATTTGATTGATAAAGGTTATCGCCAAGGATGAATTTTATTCGAATTAAGGACGTAACTGAATAATTTTGGTTTAATATTTAGAAACAAATAATCTAATCGTTGACTCACTCAACATTTTATAAACAAATTTATTGATTGTTAAATATTCAATAAAAAATTCTGCAATGGGAATTTAAACACAGTTACTTAATTTAAAATTAATTTTGCTCGGTTTAAAGAATTAATATTTTTACTGCAACTAAACATGTATTATAGCATATATTCAAAATAGTCACATTATTAACTATGTAGAAAAAGTATTTTATATTTGCTATATTAGTCTTTTTTGTTTGCTTTAGACGTGGAACATTTTTCACAGGCATTCAGTCGATGATTGCTACGACCAGACAGCTACGAGACAGACTGTTTATCATCGCATAGGAAAGCGATGAAGAGAAAAAACATAGAGAAAAAAAGTGTAAATTGATATATGATTCACTTACAGTCAAAATTCTCATCAATATATGCTTCGACACGTTCTGAAATTGCTTTTGTATATTCTTTTAACCCTTTGACTTTTTATGACATAAAAATCGGCAACAAAATGTGCGAATTAACAGTCGTGGCGACTTTTTTTCGTCATGAGCGGTTAAAGAGTTAATAGTAATTTCAGTTTCTTTTAGTTTAAAAATATACCATAATATTCAGAAATTACTCAACTATATTATTACGTTGTAAATCGAATGTAAAATTTATTTTTCAATAAATTTTCATTTTTTTGTGTATAATAATTGGATTTTCAATCTAAGTGCCCAGAAATCATAGTTACGAGAAATATATCAATACATCAATCATTAATGCTATTAGTTTTTTAAAATAATTAGAAATTATTAATCGCTCTTTATTAAAAATCTACATTGTGCCTTATGCCTTACATTTTTTAATTCATGAAAGAAAAACATAACAAGCAAAGAAGTAGCAGACTGCAATCGCATTTCGAAGATATTCCAGGACCACCTATATTCTGAAACCCTTTGGGGGTCCATAAAAGAAGTTAAGTCAAACAAACAGTTAAAGGCATTCATCTTCGAATTTCAAAACTCTTGTGCACCGTGTGTTTTACATGTGGCGGAGATTCGGAACGAACGAATTTTTCGAGTTTGATATTTATTCTCATACATCAGCTTTCGACATTAAAACTATTACTTTTAAATAAATTTTTATTTGGGGATAATTTCTTTAACAATACATTTTTTTAAAAATAATTTATCTGTATAATTTGTTTGGTTCAAAAATTTGTTTTTTAAAAAAAAGTAAGTAAAATAAGATTATGTTCTTACCGAAACAGTTAATTTTTGATACAATGTGAATAATATTATTTGATAATTTTATTTTATTGTTACTTGGAAAAATGTTTCGAATGTAAAATGAACTAAACAAGTTCTACTATGCTTCATAAGGCAATGAAATATTTATCTAAAAATATGACATTTCCTTCAATAATAAAATCTAATCAATAGATACACCGAACTGGTCAGTAGAATCTCAACACAAACATTAAGTAACTCGACTAACACTTTCTTTTAAATCTTTTGATTTCTGGGTCAAAATTTCTTCTATTTATGATTTCAATCATAAAACTATTTAAGCAAGTTGAATTCTTATCCATAGACTATGAATATGTAAACTAATTAAAAATGAATAAATAATTTCCCATTGTATCATTTATTTTTTTCTAAGACTGCAAATTTATAAGATATTCGACATGAAATGATTGATCAACATTTTTTCCATGTTATATACAAATGAATAGAAAATATTACAATGATGATGACAATGAAAAATATTTAATTTTAGTTTAGTTCTAATTATAACTACAATTACTTTAATAAAATATTTATAAAATTGTTATTGGCTTTTTATTAAATTATTAAATTTTTTTTATGACACTATAATTTTTTGTAGTCGTTAGCGCAGAAAGTGTAAATCTCTATTGTTATAAAAATCCTAAAAATATTTTTGTTCTTATTCTGAAAATTAAAGATTAAAGAAATTTATTAACTTAAAGATTTTTTGAAAATACTAATTTCGTACTTATGATCTAAATATAATGATTTACATGATAAACGCCACGAGAATTCGTTTCTTTTAAAATACCTGTACAGCAGAAAGATTTAATTTTACACTTACACTCTGTTACTGTATGCTTAATAATAATATATTGTAAATCGATAACAAATACCAGATAAAACGTGTTATTTTCATTTAACTCATTCAAATCTGTTTTTATATACTATATTTGATTTGATCGTAATAAATGGATTGATTTGCTGATGTTGATACAGCAATTTCAGTGCTGTTGCTGGAATTCACTATATTACTATCGAGAGATCCCTCATTTCCCAGACTCAGCGTATTCAAAATTGTAGAACTTGAAGTTACAGTAGCAGACGTTGTTGTACTCAAAAATGTTTTTCGATCCATTGATGCCGACGGATCTTGATCAATTGAGCGACCGCCGCTAGTGTTCTGTTGCCGTAAGTCTGAAAAGTTAAAATGCAAATGCAGTTTAATAGGCTGAAATGTACTATATATTAATCACATGAATAATAAATTTAGTATCAAAATAAAAAATAAATGTTTGCTGCAATCATTACCGATGATAAATTGAATGCGAATTATATTACAATTTTTTCGTTCAATGTAAATTCGAATAGAATATAAAATGTGCTAAGAATGTGTTATTTTTAAATCATAAAAAAATTGAATTTGTCAGATGGTTTAATGGTATAATTATAATTGAAACATCAGTTTTTTACATCACAACTAATGCTTAATTATCTAGACTTAAATATCAATGAATGATAATGTGAAAATCATTGAAACATAAATAATGACGACTGAATTTCTAATAAATATACGTGGATTCTTTATAAGTAAAGGACGTTTTTATTTAATTTCTTTTACGCCCTCATTAAAATATTAAAACGATAGACACGAATGAGAAAATTATTCTAAACAATTTTGCAATATTTTTGTTCATTATTTATCATTATAAAATGTGGGAAAAATTAAACATTAAAAACCGATTATTAAATTTCGATAATCATATTTTCTGTGGGTGGTCGATTTTGAGATGATTCATTCTTCATCGAATTTGTGATGTTTATATAACTTGAGAATATAAGCGCGTTAGTAATTTTTTTAATGCTAGTGCTGATTTTTAGATACAACATATTTTGACATTTTTCGCACGCGTGTTATTTTGTCCAGAAAATATTTCTCGAAAGTTAGTGCTAAAAAATCAAAAATAAATATTGAATAGGTACGTATAAATTATTAATAATTTTATATGAATAAAAATTATTTATTCAAAGTTCAAATATATGTGTACAAATCACCATTTAAGTGTAATATATTTATTTTTTGAATTAATCAATTAGTATTACATACAATAATTAGTCGACAACCCAGTGTAAATATATAATGTGATTTTAGCTTATTATACATGTGTGTATTTTTAAATTATCTATTTCACATGTCACCCGAGACAGTCAAAATAAGGAAGTAAAACTCAACTACATTACATTGGATGATACACAGATGTTTCACCGCATTTCAACTCTTTCGAAAATTTTCGGAGACAAGTGTTAAAATGGCATATGATTTTAAAATGATCGAAGCGTACAATTTTATTTTCAAGTAAATTTTGAATGTACTATTTTTTCAAGCGTTAACAGTTTCTAAATTAGGATATTCGAGTTTGTTAGCGTGCTAAAAATTTGAAATGAAAAAAATTCAGTGTGAGATTTTTAGAAAATGTATACGTAACCGTACGTGGTTACATTATCATTTATGTATAAATATTAATGAAAATATATACTCAGACTAACTCGTGTAAGATAGGTATGTAAAAGTTTTATATCTAGGTATAAATTTAGTTTTAAAACCATTGATATGTTTTAAGAATAAGTTCAATTAGTATTAGTAGATAAAAAAAATTTGAGTAAACGTGTATTCATAATTGATTGTAACAAAAAACAACCTACTAGTTTTAATACTTGATGTGTGACAGTTGTCAGGTGAAGAACGAACGTTTATTAATGGATTCGTTGATGTTTCTGATCCAATCGTTTGAATAGCTTGTATGGTTGCATTAACGTTAATTGATTGAGCGTGTCCAGTTAAAGCACCATAAGCTGCATAGTAATCTTGAGCTTGATTATTATTCATACATGTATTATTTGTTGGTACAACGCCATGGCATTTACTATAAACTGTATTAGCTTCTGATTGAAGATCAATCTTAAACCCTATATCTTGTTGCTGCAAGTGTTGCAGGTGGTGATCTTTTTGAAAACAGTCATTTCTAATAAGTGATAAAGTTTCCTGCGGCATACTTCTTGAATAGCTTGGTTCACTTTTGAAAGTTGCAATTTCGTTGCCTCGATAAATAGATGGATTTCCAGCTTTATATGTAACTTCGGTTGTCTTGTATGTGAGCTCGCCTACAGGAGCTGCTTTATAAGCGTGTTCTGAATGCATCCAATCTCCGGCTGAATTTATACCTGCCGAGTTACCATATACTGCACTGTAGTCGGGATAATTTTGATACTGATTTTGATAACCATTAGAATATTCAAGATTTGTTGTTAGATTTTCATATGCTGGTGTTTGCACCCCAGCAGCATTGATAGATGTCGAATAATACGGCGCATATTGAGGTTTTAAATTTTGGCATTTGCGTCTAAATCCTCGTGGCCTTCTTCGAAAACTACCTTCTTCGAACATGAATTCACTGGATGGATCAATAGTCCAATAATGACCCTTACCCGGTCGACCAAGACCCTTCGGTAGTTTGATAAAACATTCGTTAAGACTTAAATTATGACGTACTGAATTTTTCCATCCTTGATAACTACCTCGAAAAAAGGGAAAATGTTGTTGCAAGTAAGCGTAAATTTCTGAGAGTGTCAATCTTTTGCCCGGACTCGATTGGATAGCCATAACAATAAGGGCGATGTACGAGTATGGTGGTTTTTCTTGTCGACGAGTACTTGATTTTCGGGTAAGTTCGTGGCTCGACAATGATAGTAAAGGTTCAAGGCCTTGTCCTGAAGATAGATTTGATACAATGCCGGAGACATTGCTCGATGCTGGCCGCACGATACCGCCGCCATGTGAAGATGTGGCTTGCGTCGTTGAGTAAGTATTTTGCTGTGTTTGATGATTATACAGTTGTTCGGATGGTATAATGTGTTGCGTCGATGTAATCGCCGTTTCATTTGTCATCTTTGATGAAAACTAAGCAAGGTATTGAATTCACTGTCTGGAAATAATATCACCAACACCAAATTCACTATTCCAAAAATGCACTGTAGGATGCACTAGTAAAAAAAAAAAAGTTTAGTGATACTTTTACATTAAATTAATGAGTTATGAAAGGAGCTGATAATAACAAACACTCATCAAATTGTATAAGCTAACCATTTAATTTTTTACGATAACTGAAAGCAAACTATCTTCCTATCATCCGCTCTTCAGACTATATGGCACAATCATCAATTTTGCTACGCTTTGCGAGCGATAGCTAAACCGCTCGGGAAGATCGACAAAACCGTATTGGCATTTCAAAGTTGAGTGGGCGGGACGAGGGAGGAGCTTTATTCTTCATTGGCCCTCGAGTTCTTGATGTATAGAACTTATTTAGCTTTGTACCAAAATAAGATAGTTCACGCGTTATCTGTGAAATCCTATGAAGAAGTCTCAAGTATTTAATCAAAATTCATCATTTCTTTTCATTGCTGTGTTTCATTATATCAATTATCAATTATCATTAGTTCAGGTGAACTTGACTTTTATCTTTATACATTTTCTTTCCAATTCGTTGAATATGAAAAGAGCTCCAAGAAATAAATTTATGTTGAATTATAAAAAAAAAGTTAATTTTGATTGAATACAAAATTATGGTCTTTTTTAATTGTGATACTTTCTAAGTTGTGACATTCTAACGTTCAATCAGTTTATTACTTTAAGGACATCTGTCAGCTTTGTGGAAAAAATATTTAATTAAATGCTCACACAGTTTTTATTAAGATTTTTACGATGTGAACAAAATTTTTCTATTGTTATTAATCTTATTGGAATGAAAAAAGTACAAAAACTTAACTTACGCTTTGTAGTCTAAAATCGAAAGGATCGAAACGTTCAAAATCAACCCTGGTAGAAATCGAACATTTTTTTGGCGTTTTTCGACTATTTATTGGCCAACTTACCGTATTGGTCAATAAATGGTCAAGAAAACGTTTCATTGATGCTCTGAAAAGTTAAATTTGTACTAGGGAAATATTTGAACAATTTTTATCATTGCTTTCTATGCAAAAACGCATTTTTTTGCAAGAGTTTGATGTTTTTTTAAAAATATTTTTTTATAATATGCACGAGATAGGCCTTAATGCGTTGACTTAAAATGTGAATTTATATTCTTGCAAAATTATAAATGTTTATCATATGCTTTTATCGATAATATTAATTTTTAATCAATTTGACCATATATTTTTATATTTGAAATAATTTTTTAAAGTATTCAATTATAATTTTTATAAATTTGTTAAAAAATGAATCATAATTACTGTCATTATGATGATGCTTTGAGATATTACAAACTTGTGTACGTAGTAAACGTAGTAGTAAGATCTAAAGCGGTGCCTGTGATGAACCTAACAGCATGGGTGGGCTGAAAATGTCCATACCAAGTACTTGTCCGACAGAATCCTATTATTACGTATAATCGGATTTTTTTTATTGTGCTCTTCTCATTAGTATTTAAATAATTTTATTTTGTTGTAATTATTAAATTAATATGGAAGTGGAATTTATAATTATTTTTCATATTAAACAAATAGTAAATCGAATTGATCTATAAATCGTACTTATAATTAATAGTTATTTGAGGAATATTCAGTTACATTTTCATCCCAAAATAACGAGAAATAAGCTAGCTAGCTAAAGCAAATTTTCACACGCAATGAAAAAAAATTCAGTGAAGATTGCTGCTCAAAATCGACTCGACCGAACACCACTTCATTTTATTACAAGCTATTTAAGTAGATAATAAATGAGTAAATGACGTCGAGATAATTTATTGCATTTTAAAATTTTTTTTACCATGATATAAGATGACTTTATACTTTCATTTTTTCAAAAAAGACGTTTTTTAGGCTTCAAAATAAAGCCAAAAAATCAAAAATCATTGATAACTCTGGATCTCGATGTCATTACCTCATAGTTTATGTACTTAAATAGTTGGAAAAATTTGAAATGAGTAGATTGTCAGTTACAGTGTCCACCGCAATCGATTTTTTTTTCAGTTGTGTGAGAAAATCTACTGGGGTCAGCTTATTTTTCGTTATTTTGAGCTGATATAAGGAAGGAAAATTTAACTGATTATTCTTTAAATAACTATTTATTATTGACATAATTTATAGATAAATTCATTTCAATATGTGCTCAAAAAAAGTTATTAAATTAATGCTTGAAAAACATCGAACAGACCCTTATACCACCTCCTTAAGCACAATTGGTATTCGACACTGACACTTGGTAATATCCGATTAATTTCCGTTTTATTAAGCAATTTATTGAAATATACAGTAAAATTATAATTACTGATAAATATTTTATGGAAATATTAGAAAAAAATGGAAAGGAAAATGACCAGCTCGAAAGAAATTAAAATTCAAAAAATTACCATCATAAATTATCTAAAAGATAAAATTCAATCGTAATGTAAATTCGTAATGTAAAAAGTACATCTGTATGAAAATAGGTAATTAAGAAGATACAGCTAAAACTCTTTATAACAGCTAACTCGTAGCAAATGACTTGAGCTTCGCCGTACAGGGGCAAGAAATAATATTTTGTTACATAGAGGTTTTCAAACGGTATTTTTCTATCAAATTTTCAATTTGGTTGTTGTCTTTTTTAATTTTCTGTACCTTCAAAATTATTGTGATAAAATTTTATGTTCATCCAACATTTTTCGAATTAAACATTTTTTTGTCGCTTCAAATTAACACCAAATGTTGAAAAATTAGAATGATTAAAAAATCTTAAGAATAATTTAAACTTGAAAATAAACTTCGATTCATTTGTTTCAAATAATAATTCCTAACGCTCGCTCGGTTATTTGTGGTTTTTGGGAGATGAAATTCACGTATAAAATTTTTGCATGAAATTTTTAAGGAGCTTTAATTGGTGAATCAATTTTGCATTTGCTATGGAATATATAGGATAGGGGATTTCAATAGAGTATGTAGGAAAAGCAAGAAATGTTTGAAAAACTATTAAGTATTTTGTGTAAAACAGCAAAAACTATGAATTTTAAAGACAGCAAATCTCCGCATGTCGCATTTTCATCTTGATACGTGCATTAGAAAATTTACCAGCTTACCCTATTTTTAAGCTTTAAATATAGGGATGAAGTGACATGATCTTCAGAATTTTGCGGATAACGCTTATGTTTAATTAAATCCATGTTTATTGCCATGTAAATAGGACAAAGGGCCATGTTCAACTTTTGGAGCGTCTCGAAGAATGTTTTTAACAATGTGTCTTTATTTGTATTTACTGCTCGAGGAATAGATTACGACACTCCACTAGAATTATGAGGAACAGCAGGAATATGTGGAAAAATAGTTGTACTACAAATATTCAGCACTTCATGTTGAATATGCAGATTAGGTAAATTTTGAAATTAGTTAAAAACCAGATTAGGCAACTTTGTAACCCTTGAAGTATTCGATCTATGCGTTTGTTCGGGTCACGTGTGTCCCTTGGCTTTACAGTTTCCGTAGATGCGACTGTAGCCCTGACGGCGCCTCTTCCTCCTTGTTTGATAGCATTTTTTAAAACTTTGAAAAGTTGATTTTGTACTATGATATAGCACTTTCTGAGATTATTTTGCTAATACTTTTTAGCGTTTTCTGTCGATTCATGTTTTTGTTTACAGGGCGTAACTTTCCGAGTGTACCAATAGGGTATTTGCATAAAAAAAATTATGATATTTTTGAAATCAACATATATGGGTAAGGCTCAGAAATTTTTAAATAAACCGGCGCTCGTATGTCACCGATCTTGACGCGCTTTTGGTATGTTATAGTACATGGTAAAAAGGTCCCAAAACCAAAATTTTAGACCTCCTCCCCCTCCTACCCCCCTCCACCCCTATGAACGTCTATTTTCTATCTATATTTTTTCTGAAGGCCTGAAGCAATTAAAAAATCTGAAAAAATTCACAAAAATATTTTCCACAATCCAAACAACCTTGAATTTTTTCAGATTTTTCGAGTGCTTCAGGCCTTCAGAAAAAATCATTGAAAATTTTGAAAATTCATATACGGCGCTACGATGCAATACAAAGCCCGATCTTTTTTTCCACTTATTTTTGACATCAAAATACATAACCTCAAATTTGTTCAGATTTTTTCAGACAGAACTCTGGCGGTTATAGCCGAAAAACGCCTTTTTTTACGAAAATAATTTTTTTAAGGCGATACGAAGCCTTAAAAAATCTGGAAAAATTTTTTTCTTGTTTTTCAAGTCAAAATACATAAACTTGAATTTTTTCAGATTTTTTAATTGAAGGCGATAGAATCTATGGTTGAAAAACGCTTTTTTTATGAAAAACGGTTCCTGGAACCCAGAGGTTCTGGTAAAAAATTTGAAAAAAATTTTTTCGAATTCCTTGTCAAATTTTATTAAATTTTGACCGTCGCAAAATTTTGATTGGAGCTTCGGATCCTAGCTCATTCTAGAACATAACAAAGATTCGAGCGAAATTCTGAAGACATTCATCACAGTTACATTATTTTTCAAATTTCTTCAGAATTTCGCTCGAATCTTTGTTATGCTCTAGAATGAGCTAGGAAGCTCCAATCGAAATTTTGCGACGGTCAACATTTATTAAAATTTGACAAGGAATTCGAAAAAATTTTTTCAAATTTTTTTACCGGAACCTCTGGGTTCCAGGAACCGTTTTTCATAAAAAAAGCGTTTTTTAGCCATAGATGCTATCGCCTTCAATTAAAAAATTTGAAAAAATTCAAGGTTATGTATTTTGACCTGAAAAACAAGAAAAAAATTTTTCCAGATTTTTTAAAGCTTCATATCGCCCTAAAAAAATTATTTTCGTAAAAAAAGGCGTTTTTCGGCTATAACCACCAGAGTTCTGTCTGAAAAAATCTGAACAAATTTGAGGTTATGTATTTTGATGTCAAAAATAAGTGGAAAAAAAGATCAGGCTTTATATTGCATCGTAGCGCCGTATACGAATTTTCAAAATTTTCAATAATTTTTTCTGAAGGCCTGAAGCACTCAAAAAATCTGAAAAAATTCAAGGTTGCTTGGATTGTTGAAAAGTATTTTTGTGAATTTTTTCAGATTTTTTAATTGCTTCAGGCCTTCAGAAAAAATGTAGATAGAAAATGGACGTTTATACCGGAAGTGGGGGGTAGGAGGGGGGAGGGGGGTCTAAAATTTTGGTTTTGGGTCTTTTTTACCATGTACTATAACATACCAAAAGCGCGTCAAGATCGGTGACATACGAGCGCAGGTTTATTTAAAAAATTCTGAGCCTTACCCATAGGTATACAAATTACATGCAGCAGCCGACTTACGTTATAAGTATGACGTCACAGTTATGCGGACCAATCAAAATCGTTTGTAGAGTTCAAAATAATTTTCAAATTTTTTGATTTTTATTCTCGTATTAAAAATTACCTGACTGTTCAAAATTGTTTATTTTTTTACTCCCACATTCCTTGATACGTATATTTTACTATAACGTAATTATTTCAATAATTTTTTTTTCATGCAGATACCCTATTGCACTACAGCGTCCAGATGATAGACACTTATTCGGAACATCATTGGTCACAATCACAACCAGCGGCGAGACGATCAGACCCGTAACTCACCTTGCACAAACCCTCGAGCATAATTTATTTTTCATTTTACGTTATTTTTCCTAATGTCCATCTTAATATACTCATCGAAAGCAACCTATAAGTCGGATTGTCTCGTCTGCGGATGTGATTGAGACCATTGATGTTCCAAAGAAGGGTATATTATTGTTGTGCCTTAAAATTTACAATAGGTAAACAATAACATGACACATCAAAAAATGTAAAAGAAAAAATTTAACACCCAAAGTTTACGGAAAAGAATCACGGAAAGTTCTGCATCTCGGTGAAAATTAACTTTGTAGAGTTTTAAAAAGTAAAATGGAAAAAGGGAAGAAAATCCTTTTCAAACAATTGATTCTTCAGTTACTATCTTAGCATTCTTAACTACTTGATTCATTAAGAAAATTTATATTTAATTTACTTGTTGATAATTACTTCAAATTATCATTCTTAATCTATACAAATATTTGGAATATGTAAAAAGTTGTAAATTCAAGAATAAATTTTTATTTACAGTTCAAGTTGATACATTTCAATAAAATATTTTTTTTAACTATTGCGAATGCCTCTAAATGTTGGTTTTTCTTACAACAGAAGCACCTATATTTACGTCTCATTAAACCAACACTCACAGGCATTCTCGCATACTAACAATAAAATATTCCTACATGAATGTAGTACATATACATCGAATTTTGATATCTTATAATTATCGGTGAAACGTTCATTAGTTTGCAGGAATATTTTTTTCCAACACAGGAAAAAAGGGTACATAAAATAACATTTCTCCATTTTATAATATAATCTTGTATAATCTGTAGAAGACATACACGTCGTAATAGTTTGTAGACGCACTATCACATTTCATACAATTCTAAGAAATTTTTAAAAATATTTCTCGTTTATAAATTTTTCTATAGTTAAATTTATTTAAACATTAAATATACTTTAAAGAAAATAAATATGTTGCATATTTCATACATATAAACAAATGTTTTCAAGTGAGACTGACTTGTTCTATAAAGTGACTAGTTACTAATTAGTGACTTTCAAATCAATGTTGTATCATAGTAAAATGATGACTTAAGTAGTCTTACAAACTTCTCATGAGACCTTATATAAACATCAAAGATTTCCATAGATTATAAAATATTTAGGTTACAAGCTCATGAAGTAATCTACAAAATATGTTTAGAAATTGAATGATAATTTACAACATTTTATTCGATATCAAGGATATTTTTATTTGTAATATATCATAAAAAAGCGAGTTTGTTATTGATTAATAAAATGCTTATTGGTTACTGACAAAGATGTTACAAAGTGTGCCAAATTTGGAAAAAATATTCATCTTTTCGTAAGAGTCGGGATCTAGCATAAAAATGAATATCAGCGTCTTTATGGTGATTCCGAAGCCAAGAACTTTTATCGGTCCAACCTTTTGGTTCCCTTGAAACTTGGTCCGTAGATGTGAATTCTGTACAACAAAAAGAAAAAGTTGAACGAAAACTATAAGTTTGATATATTATTGTATTGTGACATTACAAAATATTATAGTACGAGTCTTGGGACTTGTAAAATCATGGAACAAGTTTTATGATTTTTCTAAAAGTGATTGATTGTTTATCATATTAATAATTTAATAAGTACAAACCTTTAATTGTCAGAGTTGCTTTAGTTTCTGCTTTCCCTAATTTATTCGTAGCCACTACAGAATATTCTCCTGTATCTGATAATTGCGATTGGATAAGAGTTAATGAATTGACACATCCATCTCTTTTCGTCAAAGTACTCGATAAAAGCTGTCCATTTTTAAACCAAGATATTTCTGGTAATGGATTACCTACTATATGAGTAGATAGTATCACAGTTTCACCCTCTCTTATAACATAAGATTTTAAATGTTCTAATATTTCTGGCGGTTCTTTATCTTCGGTTTGTACCTGCACAAAATATAATTATTAAAAATGTGAAATAAACAAAGAAATGATAGAAAACAATTTTTGTTATAAATTGTGAAAACGAAGTAAAAAATGCTATAGATTTAAAAAGGTACTGCCAGTGAAAGAAACAAACCGCGCAAGAACTATCCTATCTAATATACATGGGCTATATCGCGTCAACTGTCCCCCCCTCTTTTTGAATTAATTTTTCATATTTTATTTCACTTCCCAAGGGTGAATATGAAAAAATTATTGAAACATGATTTTTATGTAAAATTTGACGAGGAATTCAAACTTGATGTCAAAAATCATATTCATAAACTCCAAATACCTCAATTTCCAAAAATCAGCCTCAGAGCCAAAAATAAACATGTTCGATATGGCGCGATATGGCCGATATTGTAATATTTTCTTCTTTAAATCCAAATACAACTTCTGATAAATTTTGGTCATCGGCAGACAAACAAACTTCATTATTGAACATGATATGAGTCAAGAATAAAGGAAAATTAGAGAAAAACCATGTTTTTTTGACACATATGATGCTTAATAATGAAGTCTGTTGTCTGCTGATGACCAAAATTTATCAGAAGTTGTATTTGGATTTGAAGAAGAAAATATTACAATATTGGCCATATCGCTGGATACGAACATGTTTATTTTTGGCTCTGAGGCTGATTTTTGGAAATTAAGAGCTTATATACACCTTAAATTCAAAAATTTTTTTATTTAATTTTTGAAAAGGATTTTTTCTCCTCTTTCCATTGCATTTTTCAAAATTCTAAAATTTTGATTTTGCACTGAGACACAGCTGTTTCCGTGAGCTTTTTTCGTATACGAAAATTTTGGTTTTGGCACTTTTTTATCACGTACTATAACATACGAAAACCGCGTCAAGATCGGTGACACACATGCGGACGAAAATTTAAAAAAGTATTATTTTGACCCATATATATTATTGTCATGATACCCGCCTGCTCACTTATCGTCTCAAATACTTCTCTGAAATGAAGTGTTTAAATTGCTATTTCATAATTAAGGGTTGGAGGTACAACTACATAAAAATTCGTCTAAATGTGCATAAACATGCCTTTGATTGGGTATTAAAATATTATAATGAAACAAATGATCGAAACACAACTTTTACCGATTGCTCTATATAGAGTCACCTCCCTAGTGATTGAAAACGCACCAGTGATTGAAACTTTATTTATAAATTAATATAATTTAATTATACTGAACTAATTCATCAGTAGTGAAATTTTATAATATAATTGAGCATTAATACTAAATATTTCAATAGTTTTTAAAAACTTTTTGAATATATTATCATTAATTATAATGGTTTCATTTACTGGTAAAAATTTTTTATTCACTGGTGCATCGTTTCCCTTATATGTTATTTTATTAATGAAAGTTGAAAGTAAAAATTCTGCAAAAATGATATTCAGTATAGAGAAAGACATTTACTTTTATAATCCATCTGAATAATTTCCTTTAATTTATTAAAAACGTTGATTTGAGCTAAATTTAAGCAAACTTTTTTGAAACTTTCCATTCACTGGATAGGTGACTCTACAAGATTTGCCACGTAATATATACAAAAAAAAAATTAAACTTTTAAGCTCCTTATAAACATATTATCAGAAAATTTGGATCGCAAAATGGTACATGAATATCGTGACCAAAATTTGTGTTGGTTGATTGACTCGATTTATCAAGGGTTCAAAGCGGGCTTACATAATTATATATTTCTATTAATAGTATTAAGCTGAAAAAGTGAAAAAAAAATTTTTTTCAGAAAACAGACATAAGAGCCTTTTTCAATACTCCATTTAAAAGTACTTTGTCCAGTTAAATACTTACAAACACTTAAATTAACTTGTATCAGCCTATGACCCTTCAGCGAAGAGCATTGAGGATTTATTCATTAATGATTATTTTTGATAAATTTTAATAAAATATTTTATTAAATTGTTTGTGGAAGCAGTCATAGTTGATCTTATGCTTAGCTTGAGGTTGCGTTGATGGATAATGATCCATCGAAGAAAATGAAATGACATAGAACTTAGTCGTGTCAAGCCATCACTTAGAATCTTACGACAAACAGCTTAGATATCCTCAATGCTCTTCGCTGAAGAGTCATAGGCTGATACAAGTTAATTTAAGTGTTTGTAAGTATTTAACTGGACAAAGTACTTTTAAATGGAGTATTGAAAAAGGCTCTTATGTCTGTTTTCTGAAAAAATTTTTTTTCACTTTTTCAGATTAATACTATAAATAGAAATATATAATTATTTAAGCCCCCTTTGAGCCCTTAAGAATCGTGTTAATTGTCTGAAAATGCCAGCGCATCACCTGGCGAAACATCCCAAAAAATATGTAGTTAATAAAATTGATTCTTCATAATTCTAATAAATTATTTCCAAATTATATCAGGGGAAAATGATAATTTTTAAAGGGAATTTTGATTCAAAATTTGGTAGCTTACTTAACTTACCAAAAAAGACTAGTATGTGTAAGTTGGGTAGAAGTTATTTCTGACACTTGGGTGGAGTTACTTTTTTAAGACAACTTAAGTTATTTGAAAACTTAATAATACATTGCTCATACCTTAACTGGGATATGAATCATTGATTCTCCTTCTCTATTTTTGGCTAAAAGTGTGTATTGTCCTTCTTGACTCTTCAATATTTTTTTAATTTTTAGAGAACTGTAGTACATGTGGATATCACTTTCAATTGAAATTTTTATATTTTCTGAAGTTGTCAGGATATTTTTGTTCAAAAACCAAGTCATGTCAGGCTCTGGAACTGCAACTAAATGAAACTCTAACACGAGATCATCTCCTTCTTTAACGCATACGGCTTTGGCTTGACGAGAGAATGTTGGAGGTATTCCTTCTAGTATGTCAGTTAATGAAGACTCTCTGTAAAAAATTTTTTTAAATAAATCAAATGATCTTATTGGCAAATGCACGCACTTGTAAAATGTAAACATGGTACGTAGATTCACCTTGAAGAGCTTTTCTTTGAAAGCGTAGCTATGTCATGTACATTGTCCGATTCCATAACTGTCACGGTTAAATCAGTAGTGCTAGATGCAAACCCTACTGAATTTTTTGCAACACAAGTGAAAGTTCCAGCATCTTCTGGAAATACTTCTTTAATTATAAGCGTTGCAACGTTATCATCATCATAAAACATTTGAAAGTCGGAAGATGATTTTATAATAGATGCTTGTCTAAACCATGTTATATTAGGTCTAGGGAATCCTTCTACTTGACACTCAAATTGCACTGTGTATCCATCAGAAGTGCATATTGGTTCTAATTCTTTTATGAATTTTGGAACAGTCGATTTTATATTCGAAGATTCTAAAGATTCTGTGAATATTATACCATAATTAAATATACAATAAATATGATTGTGTAAATGTTAACAATTAAATGAATAATAATACTTACGTTCAAAGATTGGTAATTTATTTATTTTATCGTTTAACTTTTTTTCTAAGTAACGAGAATAATGCGTTAATGGAAGTAAGTATTGAGCAGGCACCCAACCTTTTTCTTCTGTATTTATTCTTTTAATAAACCACCAATCAGAGTTTGAATGATCTGCAAATGAATTTACTTAGCTTAATGCAATCAAATTTGATATAAAAAAATTATACATTTGTAAGAAATTACCTAAAACATAAATTTTTTCGCCTTCGACTAAATTAATGGCTTCAGAAGTTTCAGCAGTATATGAACAGATTGAGATCATCACATCGCCGTCTTCAATGGTGTAGTAATTTTCAGTGTCTGAAAATAAAAAATTACATTTAATTTAGTTTAAAAACGTAATGAAAACTACATTTAATAAATGAGTGCTTATAAAAATACCTTCATCAATCGATACCTCCGGCTTTTCAAGATTTAGACGAGCTGCTTCTAAAAAAGATTAAAAGATTGTTTTTTTTTTTTAGATGTATATATTTATAGATTTAAGTAGTAGGTAAATTTTTCAGGTGGCAATAGAGATTAAAGCAAATGCTAAAACTAGAATTTAAAAAAGAAGGCTCGTTATATCGCTTCCGCCCAGAGAACGCTTCATTATAGGCTCCAAAACGAGTTTTTGAATCAAATTTTGTAGAGCACTTTGGTTCAATTATTTTCGTAAACTGCATTGAATTCCTAACATGTATCTGTATGTATAAGTGCGCTTACGTTCGTTGGTATGAAATCAGCATAGTTTAAAAATAAAGGCTCGTATCGAGATGTGGTTATGCTCTTTTTCCAGGATTTCTGTGTTGCGAGATAAGTCAAAAATTTATTTGAAAATTCATCGATTGTTTAAAAAATTACTAATTTTTTTTTCTTTTAGAAAACTTTCTCTTTGTTTAGAAAATTTACTTTTTGTGTACTGACAGGGTCTGTTTTTTACTAGATGTCGTCTATTTTTCGTAGTGTATATATTTAAATACGTTTCTAGTTAAGGATTATGAATTAATAGGTTTTTAAATTTTTTGTTGAATTGTGCGTAAAAGTATGATTTATTCAAAAAAATAAACATAAAACTTTTTACAACTCTAAAAGACAATTTTACTTTTGAAAATTTAAGAATTTCTTATTTAAAACGTATTGAAATTTATACCCCACAAAAAAGGAACACATTCAGTCAAAAAAGAGCTGAGTAACGAAAAAGTACAATCCTATAAAATTATCCCAACCACGTCTTGAAACGTGCCTCCGTTTTTAAAATAATGCGGTTCCAATATCAAGGAACGTAAGCTCACGAACACACCCGAAAACCAGATTGTGAACCAAATTGTCCCGTGAGATTTGATTCAAAGTCAACTTTTGTAGTCCATCATAAAGCTCTTATAGGGCGTTTACCAATTGTCACAAAATGGTCTCTTTACTGTTTTGCTTGGTGGTATAACAAACAAGGTCTCTCATTTATTTAACCCGCATTTGTTATGACACGAGACAAATCAGTAAAGTGACCATTTCTTGACAATTGGAAAACGCCTTACTGGAGGACGAAAAAAAAAATAAATAAAGCAAACGATGTTGTTTTTAGAGAATTTAATTATAAAGTATTCATTCAAACCTTCTTCAAATGTAGAGGTTCTTTGAGATTTGAGGTGCAAGGCCACACTTTCATCTGTTTCCCCAACAGAGTATTTTTTGGGAGCTTTCATAGATACAAGCACATCGTTATTTGTGTTTTCCGCATCGTCAGGAATATGTTGAACGCCTACTTTTCTTTTTAAAGGCAAACTCATAAAATCTGTTTCTAATTCATTAATAATGTATTCATCAACTTCAGCATCGGATTCCGAATCTCTGTTCACATCTAGAATATTAATTGTTTCTTCGCTAGATTCTTCCGAAAAAGTGAGTTTTTTCTTTTGAGGTTTAAGTTTCACTTTTCCAGTTAGAGATAAATTTTCTTCTTCATAAGAATTCAGTGAAATTTTAAATTCTTGTTCAACACATTCTTGACTTTTTGTTATCCGAGGCCGAAAAGTAACTGACTGGACATCAGTTATTTCATTTAAATTAGGGCTGATTTTAGGACGTGGCCTAAGCTTCTTAATTGTAACGTCCTCATAAATATCTTCAATAGGCTTCGGAGACACTGCGGGAGGTCTCCTTTTCAAAAGATATTCAACTTCACCTGACAACTCCTGTCCAAGTAGTTCTGGAGCTATTCTTTCAGAAGCAGTTTCGTCCGATGTTGATTCCTTTGTAGGTTTTTGAATGATTAAATCGTCTTCGAATTCATCAACCTTAACCTTGACTTCAGTAGGTAAAAACTTTTTAATTGATAACTCATCAGCCTGTTCGTCAGTTGACGGTTTCTTCTTCGACTTTTTCTTGAGTGTAACGTCAGCTGATGAAGATTCCTCCGAAGTAATGATGGGTTTTTCTTCTTTAGGCTGTGTTAGAGTTACATCAGAATGCGATTCTTCTACACTAGGTTTCTTTTTCGGCTTTTTAACGATGGAAACTTCTTCAATGACTTCTTCTACTTTGACCTCATCTTCGACTGGTAATGGTTTTTTGATTGACAACTCGTCGGCCTGTTCGTCAGTTGTCGGTTTCTTCTTCGACTTTTTCTTGAGTGGAACGTCAGCTGATGAAGATTCCTCCGAAGTAATGATGGGTTTTTCTTCTTTAGGCTGTGTTAGAGTTACGTCGGAATGAGTTGCGTCAACACTAGGTTTCTTTTTCGGCTTTTTAACGATGGAAACTTCTTCAATGACTTGTTCTAGTTTGATCTCATCTTCCACTGGTAATGGTTTTTTGATTGACAACTCATCAGCCTGTTCGTCAGTTGACGGTTTCTTCTTCGGCTGTTTCTTGAGTGTTACGTCAGCTGATGAAGATTCCTCCGAAGTAATGATGGGTTTTTCTTCTTTAGGCTGTGTTAGAGTTACGTCGGAATGCGATTCTTCTACACTAGGTTTCTTTTTCGGCTTTTTAACGATGGAAACTTCTGCAATGACTTCTTCTACTTTGACCTCATCTTCCACTGGTAATGGTTTTTTGATTGACAACTCGTCGGCCTGTTCGTCAGTTGTCAGTTTCTTCTTCGACTTTTTCTTGAGTGTAACGTCAGCTGATGAAGATTCCTCCGAAGTAATGATGGGTTTTTCTTCTTTAGGCTGTGTTAGAGTTACGTCGGAATGCGATTCTTCTACACTAGGTTTCTTTTTCGGCTTTTTAACGATGGAAACTTCTTCAATGACTTCTTCTACTTTGACCTCATCTTCCACTGGTAATGGTTTTTTGATTGACAACTCATCAGCCTGTTCGTCAGTTGACGGTTTCTTCTTCGGCTGTTTCTTGAGTGTTACGTCAGCTGATGAAGATTCCTCAGAAGTAATGACGGGTGTTTCTTCTTTAGGTTTTAATAGAATGACATCGGAATGAATTTCATCAACACTAGTTTTCTTTTTCGGCTTTGCAACAATGGAAACTTCTTCGATGACTTCTTCTACTTTGACCTCATCTTCCATTGGTAATGGTTTTTTGATTGACAACTCGTCGGCCTGTTCGTTAGTTGTAGGTTTCTTTTTCAGTTTCTTTTTGATCGAAATCTCTGTGGTCGATATTTCCTCCGGTATTTCTGTGGGTGTTTCTTTTTGAGGCTGTGGAAGTACGATTTCAGCAGACGCCTCCTCTGTGCTTGGCTTCTTTTTGGGCTTTTTGATCACTTTGATTTCTTCAACGATTTCTTCTGTTTTTATTTCTTCTTCGGTCGTGATTGGTTTCAAAGTAATAGCCTCTTCTGCTTGTTCCTCGGTTGTAGGTTTCTTTTTCGGTTTCTTTTTGATTGAAATCTCCGTGGACGATATTTCCTCCGGTTTTTCTGTCAATGTTTCTTCTTGAGGCTGGGGAAGTACGATTTCAGCAGACGTCTCCTCTGTGCTTGGTTTCTTCTTGGGCTTTTTGATCACTTTGATTTCTTCAATGATTTCTTCTGTTTTTATTTCTTCTTCGGTCGTGATTGGTTTCAAAGTAATAGCCTCTTCTGCTTGTTCCTCGGTTGTAGGTTTCTTTTTTGGTTTCTTTTTGATCGAAATCTCTGTGGTCGATATTTCCTCCGGTATTTCTGCGGGTGTTTCTTCTTGATGCTGTGGAAGGACGATTTCAGCAGACGTCTCCTCTGTGCTTGGCTTCTTTTTGGGCTTTTTGATCACTTTGATTTCTTCAACGATTTCTTCTGTTTTTATTTCTTCTTCGGTCGTGATTGGTTTCAAAGTAATAGCCTCTTCTGCTTGTTCCTCGGTTGTAGGTTTCTTTTTTGGTTTCTTTTTGATCGAAATCTCTGTAGACGATGTTTCCTCTGATTTTTCTGTGGGTGTTTCTTCATGAGGCTGTGGAAGTACGATTTCCGCAGACGTCTCCTCTGTGCTTGGTTTCTTCTTGGGCTTTTTGATCACTTTGATTTCTTCAACGATTTCTTCTGTTTTTATTTTTTCTTCGGTCGTGATTGGTTTCAAAGTAATAGCCTCTTCTGCTTGTTCCTCGGTTGTAGGTTTCTTTTTTGGTTTCTTTTTGATCGAAATCTCTGTAGACGATGTTTCCTCCGGTTTTTCTGTAGATGTTTCTTCTTGAGGCTGTGGAAGAACGATTTCCGCAGACGTCTCCTCTGTGCTTGGTTTCTTCTTGGGCTTTTTGATCACTTTGATTTCTTCAACGATTTCTTCTGTTTTTATTTCTTCTTCGGTCGTGATTGGTTTCAAAGTAATAGCCTCTTCTGCTTGTTCCTCGGTTGTAGGTTTCTTTTTTGGTTTCTTGTTGATCGAAATCTCTGTAGACGATGTTTCCTCTGGTTTTTCTGTGGGTGTTTCTTCTTGAGGCTGTGGAAGTACGATTTCAGCAGACGTCTCCTCTGTGCTTGGTTTCTTTTTGGGCTTTTTCATCACTTTGATTTCTTCAACGATTTCTTCTGTTTTTATTTCTTCTTCGGTAGTGATTGGTTTCAAAGTAATAGCCTCTTCCGCTTGTCCGTCGATTGTAGGTTTCTTTTTTGGTTTCTTTTTGATCGAAATCTCTGTAGACGATGTTTCCTCCGGTTTTTCTGTGGGTGTTTCTTCTTGAGGCTGCGGAAGTACGATTCCAGCAGACGTTTCCTCTGTGCTTGGTTTCTTTTTGGGCTTTTTGATCACTTTGATTTCTTCAACGATTTCTTCTGTTTTTATTTCTTCTTCGGTCGTGATTGGTTTCAAAGTAATAGCCTCTTCTCCTTGTTCCTCGGTTGTAGGTTTCTTTTTTGGTTTCTTTTTGATCGAAATCTCTGTGGACGATATTTCCTCCGGTTTCTCTGTAGATGTTTCTTCGTGAGGCTGTGGAAGTACGATTTCCGCAGACGTCTCCTCTGTGCTTGGTTTCTTCTTGGGCTTTTTGATCACTTTGATTTCTTCAACGATTTCTTCTGTTTTTATTTCTTCTTCGGTCGTGATTGGTTTCAAAGTAATAGCCTCTTCTGCTTGTTCCTCGGTTGTAGGTTTCTTTTTTGGTTTCTTTTTGATCGAAATCTCTGTAGACGATGTTTCCTCCGGTACTTCTGTGGGTGTTTCTTCTTGAGGCTGTGGAAGTACGATTCCAGCAGACGTTTCCTCTGTGCTTGGTTTCTTTTTGGGCTTTTTGATCACTTTGATTTCTTCAACGATTTCTTCTGTTTTTATTTCTTCTTCGGTCGTGATTGGTTTCAAAGTAATAGCCTCTTCTGCTTGTTCCTCGGTTGTAGGTTTCTTTTTTGGTTTCTTGTTGATCGAAATCTCTGTGGACGATATTTCCTCCGGTTTCTCTGTAGGTGTTTCTTCGTGAGGCTGTGGAAGTACGATTTCCGCAGACGTCTCCTCTGTGCTTGGTTTCTTCTTGGGCTTTTTGATCACTTTGATTTCTTCAACGATTTCTTCTGTTTTTATTTCTTCTTCGTTCGTGATTGGTTTCAAAGTAATAGCCTCTTCTGCTTGTTCCTCGGTTGTAGGTTTCTTTTTTGGTTTCTTTTTGATCGAAATCTCTGTAGACGATGTTTCCTCTGATTTTTCTGTGGGTGTTTCTTCTTGAGGCTGTGGAAGTACGATTCCAGCAGACGTTTCCTCTGTGCTTGGTTTCTTTTTGGGCTTTTTGATCACTTTGATTTCTTCAACGATTTCTTCTGTTTTTATTTCTTCTTCGGTCGTGATTGGTTTCAAAGTAATAGCCTCTTCTGCTTGTTCCTCGGTTGTAGGTTTCTTTTTTGGTTTCTTTTTGATCGAAATCTCTGTGGACGATATTTCCTCCGGTTTCTCTGTAGGTGTTTCTTCCTGAGGCTGTGGAAGAACGATTTCAGCCGACGTCTCTTCTGTGCTTGGCTGCTTTTTCATCACTTCAATTTTTTCATCAATCAATTTTGTTTTTACCGTGTCATCTATAACTGGCTCTTTTATATCGTCCTGTTGGTACTGAATTATCAATTTTTCTGCTTCATGCCTATTTCTCGATAATATACCTTTTTGTATTTTTAATTTTTTTAACGTTTTAATTTCAGGTATTTTTAAAGCAGAAGGCCAGTCAGATATAAACTTGATGCAACTTTTAAGTTGGACTTTTGGTATTTTCTGTTTCGACTCCCTTTTTCGCTCTGGTGCTTCCGTCTTCTTTAGTTTTATTTTGGCAAATTGTATTTCATCTTCTGGTTCTAAATATTCTAATTTTTTCGGTTGAATTTTCTTACGTTGAATTGGCATTGGTTTAAGTTCCGTTTTTTCTCTGTTTTCTTTATCGACTTTCATTTGCTTTAATTTAATTTTATTGAGGGAAGTACTAGACTTTTCAGACTCTTGTGTTTGTTTCTCACTTTTCATTTCATGAAACTGTTCGAGAGGAACTTTCTTCATTTCTGAAAATTCTAGGTCAAGTTTTTCTAAATTGGTTAATCCAAGCTCTGGTATTTCCTTCATTGTATAATTTTTTAAGTACCTTTCTGCTTCTTTGGTATTTCTCGATAAAATTCCTTTTTGAATTTCATTTCTTTCTATCTTCTTTATTTCAGGAACTTTCAAAGTTGGAGGCCAATCATTTATAAAGGATATATGGCTTTTAAGTCTTATTTTTGGGATTGTTGGCTTAATAGATTGTTTCCGTTGCGGCACAACAGTCTTTTTTAATTTAATTTGAGCAAACTGAACTTCAGCTTCTGGTTTAGAATATACTAATTTCGATGATTGTATTTTATTATGTTTTATTTTTATTGGCAGAAGTGATGGCTTATCTTCTTTCAAATTTATTTTAGTTTCCTCTGATTTCTTTTGCGGCTGTTCTTCGATGGGTTTTACAACTTCAGATATTTTAGATTCTTCATTTTCTCGAATCATTTTTGAGCGATTGATATCATCTTCTTCCGGAATGTTAAAAACAACTTTCTTTTTCTTGGGCTTCTTATCTTGATTCTTATTTTCAGCTCTCTGTGGTTGATATTTGAGTTTTTCTGATCCTTCTTCGAGAATTTCATCCTAAAAATAAAAATTTTTTTACAACATTATTCATAAGTTAACCAAAGTAAACCCATAGTTTAATAACACCTTTAAAAAAATTGATAATCAATTGAAAAAAAATGAGATGAGAGCAGATGAAATGAAAATAATTTCTAAGTTATGGATCAGATAAAAAGAAATTATAATACAAAAATGATGCTTTGATAGAATAAAAAAAATTTTAATTTATAATTATGTTAATACTTTCACAACCAAATCAGCACAGAATTTTGGAATTTTCGTTTAACTAAAACTGCAAGTATTTTTTCAATTTTTCAATAGCTGGTCTTAGCAACACTTCATTACTTTATTTTGGACTCATTTTTATAATTATTTTATATGGGTTATTTTCTATTTATAAAGTTAATACGCCAACAAAACTGGTTATTTATACTCTTTATTCAACACTTCAAATTCGTATTACGTGACTCATTCTAAACTTTTATTCAGGTGAACTTTATTGTACAAGCCAATTTTTAGAAAATAGTATAATAGGTAACAAAAATTTATATGTAAGTCATCTGCCTAGTACAAGCGTCATACGATATTTTTGAACATTTCGCGCAGAGAAGGAATGTTTTTATAACACTGTGGCTTTGCATTGCATTTCCTACGATCGATAAACTCGGTATAATAAAGTTTAGTTTGTGACTAAGGAAATGGGGTATAAATTTGAAAAATGCATAAGTCACGATTACTGGTAGCGCAAAGTAAGCTAAGTGCACAAGCGTAGCCAGTGTTCTTGCTCCAATGAACAAACTTTCTACTCGTTTCAAGAATCATCTGAACTTTTACGTAGAAAATTGAAAAAGTCAAATTTTTTTAATAAAATCAACGTAAAGGCTGAACTAAACGATTCCCATAATTCGTCAGTGATTCCAAGGACGGCTACTTTACGGACGGAATTAATTGATAGCTCAAATACACTTTCCGATTTGGAAAATTTCGGCAAAGGGAACCACTCTAATAATTATGAAGTCTTCTTGTAAAAATTTACAGTGAAAAACCATAATATTTGATTCAATAAAATATAATTAAAAATGAATAAAGATGAATAATTGATCAGAATAAAATGCTATTATTTCAAAGGAGAAAAGACAGAATATAATTTATTCACATGAAAAAATTGGAAGAATGATTTGTTATCAATAATGAATAAACTAGAAAAATAGATGAAAATAATACCATAACAATAACAATATTTAAAAGACCATAACTTTTTAAGTAAAGAAAATTCAAAACCCTAAATAATCATTTATCATGATAAGAAAGCAACAAAATTAGCAAAGCTATAAACGATACTAGCAATTAAAGCCGCAATATATACAAAAAAGCGGACCCTATTTCGACAAGATATGATAAGTACATAGTACTATGCGACTAAACCAAATAAACCTGACAAAAAAATTGTTAGGATGATAAGAAAATAATAAACATGCAAATATTACCTTTTCTTGTAAATCTTTTCGTGAATCTGAAAAAAAAGAAAAAGATTAAGTAAATGCCAAAATTAAACTTCAATCATTTGATTAGAAGAGTGGATCAAACAAAATCATTCTAGACTCACCGCTAGACACTGTTTCGCTTGATGGTGTCATATATGTGATTGGTGTTTTAGAATGTTGCATGATATCAATTGGTAAGGTTTTCATGTTAGTGTCTTCAATAAATGCAACGTGTAGTGCATTGTCTGAGTCATTGGCTTGTTGAATGTTTTCATTGGTATTACCATCTTCTGCTATCACAGTCTCAACGACTTCCTGTTTTTTGCCCTTTTGTTTAGTAACCTTTTTCTTCGTTACTTTCTTTTCTTTGATCTCGGGTGTTTGTTCAATAGTAACGACTGTGTCAAATTTGACCTCTTCTGTTTCGGTCGGTTTTGCGTACTCGAAGCTAGGAATAATACCGGTGGCTTCATCAACGTCAATACCAGACTCTGGAGCTTCATGCACGGCAGTGATTGGTGCTTTACCTTCTTCTTCGACTGTTACAGTCTCAACGACCTGTTGTTTTTTGCCCTTTTGTTTCGTAACCTTTTTCTTTGTAACTTTCTTTTCTTTACCTTCAGGTGTTTGCTCGATAGTCACAATGGTATCAACTTTGAACTCTTCTGTTTCAGTCGGTCTTGCGTACTCGATGCTAGGTAAGATTCCAATGACTTCATTAACGTCGATAACAGACTCTGGAGCTTCGTGCACGGTAGTGATTGGCGCCTTTCCTTCTTCTTCGACTGTTACAGTCTCAACGACCTGTTGTTTTTTGCCCTTTTGTTTCGTAACCTTTTTCTTTGTAACTTTCTTTTCTTTACCTTCAGGTGTTTGCTCAATAGTCACAATGGTATCAACTTTGACCTCTTCTGTTTCAGTCGGTCTTGCGTACTCGATGCTAGAAATAATACCGGTGGCTTCATCAACGTCGATAATAGACTCTGGAGCTTCGTGCACGGTAGTGATTGGCGCCTTTCCTTCTTTTTCGATTGTTACAGTCTCAACGACCTGTTGCTTTTTGCCCTTTTGTTTCGTAACCTTTTTCTTTGTAACTTTCTTTTCTTTACCTTCAGGTGTTTGCTCAATAGTCACAATGGTATCAACTTTGACCTCTTCTGTTTCAGTCGGTTTTGCGTACTCGATGCTGGGTAAGATTCCAGTGACTTCATGAACGTCGATAACAGACTCTGGAGCTTCGTGAATAGTAGTGATTGGCGCCTTTCCTTCTTCTTCGACTGTTACAGTCTCAACGACCTGTTGTTTTTTGCCCTTTTGTTTTGTAACCTTTTTCTTTGTAACTTTCTTTTCTTTACCTTCAGGTGTTTGTTCAATAGTAACGATGGTATCAACTTTGACTTCTTCTGTTTCAGTCGGTCTTGCGTACTCGATGCTAGGAATAATACCGGTGGCTTCATCAACGTCGATAACAGACTCTGGAGCTTCGTGCACGGTAGTGATTGGCGCCTTTCCTTCTTCTTCGACTGTTACAGTCTCAACGACCTGTTGTTTTTGGCCCTTTTGTTTCGTAACCTTTTTCTTTGTAACTTTCTTTTCTTTACCTTCAGGTGTTTGCTCAATAGTCACAATGGTATCAACTTTGACCTCTTCTGTTTCAGTCGGTCTTTCGTACTCGATGCTAGGAATAATACCGGTGGCTTCATCAACGTCGATAACAGACTCTGGAGCTTCGTGCACGGTAGTGATTGGCGCCTTTCCTTCTTCTTCGACTGTTACAGTCTCAACGACCTGTTGTTTTTTGCCCGTTTGTTTTGTAACCTTTTTCTTTGTAACTTTCTTTTCTTTACCTTCAGGTGTTTGTTCAATAGTAACGATGGTATCAACTTTGACCTCTTCTGTTTCAGTCGGTCTAGCGTACTCGATTCTAGGTATTATACTGGTTGCTTTATCAACGTCGATAACAGACTCTGGAGCTTCATGCACGGTAGTGATTGGCGCTTTACCTTCTTCTTCGACTGTTACAGTCTCAACGACCTGTTGTTTTTTGCCCTTTTGTTTCGTAACCTTTTTCTTTGGAACTTTCTTTTCTTTACCTTCAGGTGTTTGTTCAATAGTAACGATTGTATCAACTTTGACCTCTTCTGTTTCAGTCGGTTTTGCGTACTCGATGCTAGGTAAGATTCCAGTGACTTCATCAACGTCGATAACAGACTCTGGAGCTTCGTGCACGGTAGTGAGTGGCGCCTTTCCTTCTTCTTCGACTGTTACAGTCTCAACGACCTGTTGTTTTTTGCCCTTTTGTTTCGTAACCTTTTTCTTTGTTACTTTCTTTTCTTTACCGTCAGGTGTTTGCTCAATAGTCACAATGGTATCAACTTTGGCCCCTTCTGTTTCAGTCGGTCTTGCGTACTCGATGCTAGGAATAATACCGGTGGCTTCATCAACGTCGTTAACAGACTCTGGAGCTTCGTGCACGGTAGTGATTGGCGCCTTTCCTTCTTCTTCGACTGTTACAGTCTCAACGACCTGTTGCTTTTTGCCCTTTTGTTTTGTAACCTTTTTTTTTACAATAGCATCTGGTGTTTGTTGAATATTCATCACTGTGTCAACTTTGACCTCTTTCGTTTCGGTCGGTTTTGAGCACTCAATGCTAGGTATGATATCAGTTTTTTCAGGAATATCATTTTTTTGTTTCTCTTCGATGTTCGATATATTGTCTACCCTATTATTAACTTTTTTCTCTTCATTTTGGCTTTCTAACACTATGTAAATCTTCTCCGTGATCGTTACTTTCTCATTTCCATGTTCATCTTGCTGATTATATATTATTGGATTATCATTCGTTCTGTTTTCGAATATTCCAACATCTTCGAGTACATTTTCTTGTATTATGTTTATCACCTGTGGTACTAGGCTGACTGTTGGTTCAATTTTATTTTTGGTTTGTGATCTTACAGGCAATTGTAGCTGTTCTTCTGTTATGAGTTGTTCATTTTCGTCAAGGTTTGTTTCATGTTCAGAAAGATCCATTTCTTCTTCAATGATAATTGTATTTTCGATATTATTTGCATCATTAACAATGGTCTTTTTTATTTTTATACTTTTCGTGTTATTATCATCTAGTTTAATAAATCTTGTTGTGTATTCCTCTGATATCGTATTCGTGGTATTGTTTTGCTTTTGTTTATCGTTGTGTGTTTCATTTCTCAAAGGTTTGTTCGGTTTTGTGTATTCTTGTGCTTGTTTTGATGCGTATGATGTGTCTGAAATTGTACATAATAGGTTTGAATTATCATGTTATGCTCAGTATCAAGCTTCAATAAATATATTTTTCAATGAGTGTTCGTATCAGTTTTCAAGCTCTTTATGAGTCTCTTTTTATTCTCATGTTTTATTCGTATTGCAATTTCTACTTCATTCACGCGTTTTGATTGATCTATTATTTATTATCAGAATTATATTTGTTTTATTTTTATAAACTTTTTGTTTAGTAATAGCTATGAACGATGAATTCCTGTTATCTTAGCAATTGTAAATGCGCTCATAAAATTACATACGGTGTATTTTTTGACAAGATATGAATGACCTTGTATTAGATCTTGAACAAATACCGAAAGTGTTTTTTTGATTCTTGACTAATGAATTTCTATTTTCTGTATCTTAAAATCATTATGAAAGTATTCTGTTCCACTTAGCGGAGCAGAATTTTGAAAGTTCGTTTACAAGTTAAAGTACAAGTCAAAATACGATTAACTCATAGATAGTCAATATTTGATTAACATTATTAAATTCTTTATTTTATCTTCTGAAAGAGGATCAAATAATTTTTATTTTCAAATTATGCCTCGTTTCATTGGATATTAAGTGGGGGTGTTTTTTTCCGTAGATTTCAGACTCTATAGATCAGTATTGATAAAGAATCGCGTCAGAATTTCGTCATAATTGCGTGCCCAGTGAATCTTATCACACTTTTTAGTATTATGAATAAATTAAACTAATAAGGATTTTAGAGCTTGGGCAGGAGTTTCACTAGTCAATCAGGTGTAGTTTGAGCATTAAGAAAAAAATATTCCACCTATTTTGATTTATATGTTCATTTTAATTTCAATTCGAAACGCTATCTCATTTTCTCAAGCAAAAATTACTTTTAGACAAAAATGCTTATGGTTGTTATGTTCAAGATCTAATTCAAGTTTACCATAGGATATTTTAGTCAGAAAAATTTCCGGATATTGCATTCTCATTATTTTTTGTCCGGTAGTTCTGTGAGTTTTTCAGAGAATTTCATAATCTTTGCCTACTTAGAACCTTCTGAACCCGACCTTCTTGAATTTGTCATATATTGACCTTCTATTTCATAAAGGAATGGTATGTATTATAATATAGTTGAAAATTCAAAAATCGATAGTGAAATTCTATTTTCTATCTTTGTCCTCTTATGGGCTTAAGGAGGCTTAATTTTTTTTAAATGTTTTCATTAATAGTGTCATCCTATAAAACGAAAAATGTTTTATTAAAGATCAGGTACAACAGTCTTTTTCTGTACCTTATTGGAGAGTAATTTAATAAGTTAGATACACAATAATATTTGAATACATTGTTACAGTACTATAAATGTTCTACACAAAGCATTTGATACACTTAAGCTGCATGTCGGAGGGTTCCTAATCATCGTGTGACTTATTTCAGTTCTGTGTGGTCTTATTTTGTTTGATGGACCTTTGATTATAGACGAAGGTTCAAGTTCTGAATGAAATCTACTTTTACTACACATTTAGGCCCCCTTCAAGCTTTAATAAGATTTGAAAGAAGGAAAAATTGAATCACTATGTCCATGAGGTTCACTTCTCATAGATCTACAGAGACTCATAGTTTCATGGCTTATTCAAATGAAACGACAGAGTATAATTATAGATTTTATATTATTTTTTCAAATTTTAAGATTTTGTTGGTTTTTAACGTAAAATTTCATCAAATTAAAATTTTAGAAATGAATATTCACTCTCGAGCCTATGTGGATCCATGAGTTATGTAGAATAAATATATTATTTGAAAGTAGATTATCCGTTTTTAATGTGTTTAGGGATGGGATGGAATGTACACGATGTAGCCTATGCATATGGAGTATTCCACGTTTAGCGCTCAAAAAATGACATTACAACTAAGTATCTTCTCTTATAGAGTACAACGAATTCGGAAAATCCCGACAACGTAAGCCTTCTAGATCTATTCCTCTTATACAACTGAACATTAGGGTAGCACTTACTTACCAAGCTGCTTTCAAGCTTTTTATATGTTTCTTTGAACCTAAAAATGAAAAACTCTAAAGCTTTGACCATTTCAAAAGTCCATATGACCGAGTGGTAGCCAGAAACATCACATTCAAAAATTTAAAATTGTACACAAAAAATTCTGAAAATATATTTTATTGTATTCTTTGAGTAATTTCGAGATATTTTGTTCTTTGCATTTTTGCGATCAAGTGCTTCAATCTCGAGATGAAAATCGCAAAGTTTGTGTATTTTTCATGTTTAGATTTCTTGAAAACAAAATAGAAGACTGTCGAATGGTGCCGATTAATTTCCTTATTACATCACTTGCTCAAAAGTTATATTGTCGTTATCGATTTAGCATTTTTCAATAATGGCCAATTTGAAGTATATAAACAATCTTACTTTTTCAACTCTACCGACAATTCTGAGCTTTTGCAGGAAAAAATAGAATTATCAACTGTTACAAATATGGTTTTTTAACAAAACTTGTTACAGCACTCGTCTTAGACTTGTACTATAATCCCTGATTTTGCTAAAAAAATCATAATTGCACCCATTAAAAATTCCCGAAAAGATTAAAAGACCTTGAGCCCCTATGATCCATGAGGGACTGATCTAGAAGGCTGACATTTTCAGGACTCTCATTTTTAATTGTACTCTTTCAATTTACTCTTTAAGAGTATATACTCAGTTTTAAAGTTTTTTTTGTCATATCACGCTTGACACGAAATAACTCACACACATATATATGGCCGATTCTCTGTCAACTCAACCGGTCAACATTTTGGGTGACATTAAATCTGATTCGCGGGAAAACTTAAAAATAGAGAAGTAGTCTCTTTGCCTATGTTACCCTATCATTGTCATTATTGCCGTATACTTTATACACACGAGCGGGTCCTTCGTCGCTTTGTTTACATTTTTTCCGCGTGGAAGACCTTATGTCATATTAGAGTACTTGTGAAATGCATAAAAATTATAGAATTTTTTAATGAAAATTTCGAATACTCACCGGCAGTCTGTAAGTGTTCAGCTTCAACTGAAATATTTGCTGTTGTAGATTTTGGTTTTGTACGTTCTAATGGTTGTGTTACATGGTCGTCAAGGTTTAGTTCTTGTATTGTTAGGCTGTGTTTTGTATTATAATTCAATTGTGCTACTTTAGAATCGAGTTTATCTTGCGTTAACACTTCATATGAATAATCAGAAACGATTTCTTCTTGAGTTGGTACTTGCTGTTGATTGATGGTCTCAATAGCTTTTGCTTTTTTGGGAACGATTGTTAAAGTATTTTCTGAGTTTTGTTCACAAGGAGTTGTGTGACATGTTATAAGATTTCTTAGCATTTCTATACCTATATCAGCTGTTACTTCTTGAATATTAAATTCATATTCTTGGTTTTTTTCTTTTTCCAAAATAATTGCTTCGTGATTCTCAAAACCTTCATATTCTACTTTTGAACTTTCTACTGTTAGTGGCCTGGTTATGTCAGGTGTTTCAAATTCCATTGGCATCGAGTTAATTTCGATCTCTTCTTTTTGAGAAATTGATTGTCCCTCTAATATAAGGCATGCGTTTTGATGTATAACTTTATTATCTTTATCATTTATTTTTATATTTTCATCGCAAATAATTTCTGATATTGAGATCGGATATTGATTTTCATAAATTTGTTTACTTTCATTCATTTCAGGTTGCTTTATGGTCGGTAAATTACTTGTTTGTTCTTCAGGTTGTACGGAAGATGTCAAAATGGCTTTCAATTCATCATCACGTGTTATATGAGATTTGATGTTTAGCTCTTCACTTAAATTCATTTGATGGTTCAGAGTAATATTTTCAATTGATTCTGCTTCTTGTGTTTCTGGAACCGTTATTACAGCCTTTTCATGTTCAGGTAATTCAATGTGTATTTTTGTCGTGTTTAATAATGGTTCTGATACAATTAATGAAGAATTCTCAATGACCTCAAAAAGAATTTTTTGCTCAATTTGAGTTGGAACTTCTGGTGAATCTTGTAAGTTATCTGCCAGTACAATTTCTTCAGTTTTTAATGCCTTTGATTTCACCAAAGAAATATGTGCAGTAAAAGGTTCATCGGTATCATATGTCTGGCTACTAATTTCTGATTCGCTCGATTTTATTTCTGTGGTAGTTATCGATGTAGACTCTTGTATTGTTAATTCTCCTTTTTCCATTTGAGGCAAGGTAAATTTATTTATATCACTAACATTCATCATGTGAACTATTTCTGAACTTTGAGCAGCATCATTTTTCAAATATTGAGAAGTAGCTTCACACTTAGATGGTATTTGTGAAACTTCTAAAATACTTTCATTTTCATGGATCATTACTTCTGTCGTGAGCATCGATGTCATGTTTGCATCAAATTCAGTTTTTACTTTTATCTTTTCTGTTTCTTTAGTTTTCTCCAATTGACTCGTATTATTTTCAGGAACTATTTCCGATTTTTCAGCAACCTCAAGACTAACAACATTGGAAATTGCATCATAGTGCGTTGGAATTTTATAATCGTTTGTTAGTCCTTCGTTTTCATCGGCTACCGTTTCTGAAACGTTTAAAAAGTTTAATTTTTCAATCATTAACTCTCCTGACTGATGAAGAGGTTTTTGTTGAATTTCGAGTGCACTAATTGTCATTCCTGGTGTCGCATCTAAAACTTGTGTTGCTTCTTGTTCATCAACTATTTCCCTGACAACCCCAGGGATATGACTTTTATTTCCTTCATCCATTATGTTTTCGGTTTTTTCCGAGACTAATGTTTCAGTCACTTCTGCAGAAGACATAAGACATATATTTAAAGATGGTACTTGCATATTATCGAAAATATTTTCTTCTATAATATCAGATTCTTGTTCTCTTGAAAACATCTCACTCACGTTAAGTGATTCAAATGCTTGAACATTTTCTTTACCTACAGATTTTTGTGGTGCCAAAGGTATTGATAACTCAATTGTTTCATCTGTAGGTGTAGCCTCAGTAATTTCAATTTCTTCTTTTGTAACGAACATTTCTCGAGCATTTTTTTCTGAAGGTATTTCAGTATTAAGTAATTCTTTTTCTTTTTCAGTGTCATTACATTGTTCTATTATTACTGAATTTAGTTCGTCAAAATGTATCGATACGTTTTCAAAAGAAAATTGATTTTCGCGTTTGAAAGTTTCTGCAGTGGTTATTGGTATTATCTCGGTTTTTTCGGCAACTTTAGTTTCTTTGAAAGTTGAAAGAGCATTTTTTTCCGATGGTGCTAAAATATCTTCTATAGGTATACCTTCTTCATTAACGATGATCTCTGACTGTATTAAAGGTTGAAGACTATCTATATGTTTAATTGTTGATTTTTCCTTGGAAATCATATCTTCATCGATTATTCCGATGCCATACTCGTGATCAACGTAAGAAATTTGAGTTGCTTCTTGACATTCAACATTTTTTTCAGCAAATTTACTTTCTATTTCTTCATAGTTTGAAAGAGGGACTTCTTTCTCGCTTGACATTATTTCTGAGATTGTTATAGATGATTTTAATGGTATAGTAGTTTTAGTATTTTGATTTTCAGGTAAAATACGTGTTTCCAATTCAGAAACATTTGAACTGGTTGTAACTTCAATAATCGCAGTTGCTTCATTACAAATTAAATTTAAATCAGCAGATTTTTCTTCGGGCATATCAACATTAAATATATAATTTTCTTTCTCATTTACATTTACTACCGAAACCATGAGTTGTTCTTGCGCTTTGAAATGTTTTTCACTGATTTGTTCAATTGGATTGTATGAAACGTTAAGATTAGAAATACTCGACAGCGCAGTTGTTTCAGATGTTTGATTGGTTTCTTGGCAAATAATTTTACCCTCTGATAACTGAACTAAGTTTTCAATTTTTGGTGTAAATTGATTTTCTGATTCTGCTGGTGTTACGAGAATTATGTCCAATGAGTGACTCTCTTCGAAAGGAATTTTTCCATATTTTTCAGATAATTCAAACGTAGGGGTAAATTCTTCAGTAGAAGATAATAAGATTGTTTCGGCAGATGTAGCAACATTGTTAGTTACTATTTCTACTTGATCACATACATAATCGGAGAATTCATTTTCATCAGCCTTATGCAAAATATCTTCTTCAGCTTGAATTTCGGAAACAATTAATGGAGTTTGCGCATCTATATTTTCAAAACTTTGTTTCAAAGTAGGAATTTGATAATCAGTCAAAGAGTCTGTAAAATTAAAAGGTGTAGTTTCTGAAGTTTGTATTGTAATACATTTTTCCATTGATTCGATTGCAGTTACATTCGTTGGCATTTCATTTACTAAAAGTTCCTTCTCATTTTCAATACTTGCAGCATGAGTAACTTCGAGTGATTCCGATTCTTGTAATTGAGTTGTGGCTTCTTGGTATGTTGGTGCGCTATCACTATCAAAAATTGAAGGATTATCTAAAGGTTGAATTTCTACAACTTTGGTAGCATTTTCTTTTAGAATTTGACAAAGCGCTTTCGATTTTAACGGAACTTCATGTTCTGCTAGTAGACTTTCAGACTCATTACATGTAATTTGAGATGATGTGCTTATATTAAGAGAATCTAAATGTACCGTACCACGACTTTCATTAATTTTTGGGACATTAAATGATTTTGTATCAATAATGGGTATATTTTCCAATATTTCTACTTCTTTTAATGAATCAATATTTTCTTTTGCATTTTGTTCGAGGTAAATTGGTTCTAGTTTCGTAGTTGATTCAGACTCTTGTAAAAATGGTTTCGAAGTCACAGCAGTTACTAAACCTTCAATATTCGTTCGACTTCTTTCTTCACATTGCACTTGTGATTCTTTAATCTCACTTATTCCTTCAAATGAGTATACTTCTGATGTTGAAGCTGTATCTTTTTCACAAAAAGAGGGACTAGAGATAGATGAAAATGGTATGATTAAATCTGGCAAAATATTTTCGGACTCATTAATTAATGATTCAGAAACTGTTACAGATATATCTAATTGATATTCTTCTTTTACTTGTGTTTTTGTAGGGACATAATTCTCTTGCAACTCTTCTGCATCATTCATGGTAGAATTTTCAGAAATTATAATTGCTTGAGTTTGTTCGATATTTCGAGTGCCTGTTACAACGTTTGGTACTATCGAAATTGATAATGTGCCCGGTACTTCAGATGGAATCACGTGCGTTGTTGATGCAGAAGGTAAAGCATTTATCAAAGTATTTCCAGTTTTCAGTTTTGGACTTTCATACTCAAATGTAGAGTCAATATTAGAATTTGTTAATGTTTCTGTTCTAATAGGAACGTTTTGACTACATATGTTAACTTCGGCAGACTCTTCTTTGAGTTTAATATCACTCGATAAACTTTGTTCAATTTCATTAAAGGTAACTTCTGATACAATCAAAGGTGTAATCAAATCTTGACTTTCTTCAATGGTATAATTTTCTGATATCTGTTTTACGGAAATATCAGGTGCACTATACATTGATAAAATTTCAGATGATTCTGCTATCTTTTTACCGTCAAAGCTTATTTGAACTTCTTGTTTACAAGGCAGCTCAGATATTTTCAAATCTGATTCTTTTTCTGATGGTGTGTCTTGACAAACATTAAGCGATAACATTTCTTGTACTATTGTTTTACTTTTTTGCATCAAAGGTTTTTCATTTATTATATCACTTAATGTATTAATGGTTTCGACTTCGGATATTTCAGGAACCCTTTGAGGTATAATATCAAATTTGGCCTTTTTCTTATTTGTTTGTTGGTCTTGTTTAATATCGGCTTCTTTTTCATCTACTAATATTTCTGATGTTATGACAGCTGATTGTTGTTCTGAAAACGGATAGGCACTCATTGTAGGAATCAATTCTTTGACAAATTCGGAAGCTTGAAGTGAAGATAAAACTTCAACAGTTTCTATGGCACTTTTATGAGGTAATATTAAACTTTCACTGATCGTTTGTTCAAATGGTTTTTCTTCTGTCTTTAGAATACATTCATTTTCTTGACATGACAATTCAGAAACAGTTACAGCATGTAACTCACTTATTTCAGCATTAATAATATTTTTAGGTATTTCTTTTGTATAAAAAGTATCTTCTTTATCTTGAATCATGACTTCTGACACTTCTATGCCTTGTGATTTTTTTATTTGTATATTTGAATGCTGTTCTAGAGGTAAGGTTGAATCTTTTAATTCAATTTCTTGATCACTTACAATACTTTGTGATACAATTAATGGAACCAAAGTTTCTTGTTTTAATTGTGCTATTTGAATTTCAGTTGAGTTTTCTTTGACATTTTCTGGAACATCGATCTGTGAGTCTATTAAAGTTGTTTGTAAAGTATTATTTTCTGATAAAAATTGTGAAATTGCAACTTGTTTCAAATTCGTTTGATCTTCTTCTAAATCAGCTACTACGTGATTTATAAATTGCTCTGTTACTTCAGGTATTAGATGTTCACTTATCAACTTTTCTTTAACGTAATTTGTTTCAAAAGTTTCATTCTGATTGAGAGGAACTTCTTTATTATCTGCTACGACTGAAGTAACGACAATACTCATCGACGGTACAATGGAATTATCAGCAGTAAGTAAAATTGGAAATTGAGGAACTTGGAGAAGACCCTCAGTTTCGGAAGTTTGAAATTCTTCAGTAATTAAGCTATCAAATGTAGTTGATTTTGTCTTTGCAAAAATTGGAACTTGTTTACTTTCTTGTAAAAGAGATACTCGGTTGCTTAAATTTATCTCAAAATTTTCGGCGACTTTATGACTATCATAATTTACTTGTGCCATTTCTTCGTTTGATTGTATAGATTCATTCATAATATTTTCTTTATCGACGACTAATGTTTCTGTAACTTGAGAAACGCCCATACAAGAATTAACATTCACGTTTACCTTATCACATGGCTTTTTAAATGTACTCTCATACATTTTCGTACTATCTATAATTACATTCTCTTCTTGAATGATGCTATCAAATAATTTACGTTGTTCTTTAGCAGATACAAAATCCGGAAGTTTTTGTGGAATGATGCCAGGAAAAATGTCTACATTAACTTCTGTTGACTCAGCTACTTTATGACCTTCGTAGTTGGTTTTTGCTGTTTTTAGTGATCTTTCGCTAGTTTTTACTTCATTTAATTCTACGTCGGAGGGAATCATTTCAGTAACCTTCAGACTATTTTGCTCTTCAAAGCAAATATTTGAAATGATCGGAATTGAAGTACTAACATCAATTAAAGAACATTCAGAATCAGATAACGGAATTTCTGAAGTTATTAAAGCTATTAATGGTACATGCTCTATTCTAGCTTTGCTTTTTTGAACTGAGCTTTCAGTAAATGATTCGGAACTGGTTTCTGGTGTTATTTCACTTTGTTCCGCTATAACGTGCCCATCTATATTAGGTAAAGCATACGCCATATTTATATTTTCTGATACTTCTAATTCAGTTTCCTGCTCTTGTGTATTTATTACTTCAATTGAAACAGTATTTTTTGAATCAAAACATATATTTGCATTTTTATTTAGTACTTCGAAAATATCCAATGAAGATTCAGATTCTTGTACATGAGTTTCAGATATTTCTGTGCTTTTATGAGGTAGTAATAAAATATCGGAAGTTTTCAAGAGTGATTTTGTATCTTCTTCCACTAAATTCGTGGTATTATCAGTACTTGTTACTTCAAAAGTGGAAGCGATTTGTGATAGATCATATGCAATTGCAGCTTGACTAACTAAACAATTATTTGGTACTTCTAAGATTATTTCTTTATCTTCAGCCGTTGTTAACAAAATTTCGATACATTTATTTTCTTCAAAAGCAACCTTACTGGTTTTTTCAGTCGGTTTTACATCGATCGTGAGTGGTGTTTCTGATTCAGAAGCCAGTATAATACTTGTTTGAACAGCATCGAGACTTTTTTGGGTCGCATCAACTATTTCTGTCACTACTGGTTTTTCTTTTAAAATATCGGCAGCTGACATCGTTATTACTTCTTCTGAGAAAGGCACTTTATGCGCTTCTTCAATATGAGATACTGCAATATTTTCTTCTGCTAAGTGATCTGATTCGTAGTTAGTTTCCTGTAAAAAAGAATTTTTAATTTATTATACAAATTCTAAATTCAATATTTAAAAAACCTTGAAAAAAAATTAAATTTTGTTGGTAGTCATTTGAATTATTGAAAAGTAGAATAATTATGTTAACCAAAAATCTTTGAATCTAGAAGATTATTAAAAAATGATATCTATTTATTGCAAAAAAAAATTTTTTTAAATATATTGATGAACAGTATATTTCACTCAAAAAAACGAATTTTGATTATTTTGCTCGGCAAAATTTCTTTCCGTCTTTTTTTCTTACAAAAATATGAAGGAAACAATTGGCTAGGCATAATGAACAAAACCGGTCTCGTGCGGTATATGGGAGACATCTGCAAAATGGAAACCTGCTATATTTTGTAAACAAACTATAACAGGCCAACCCCCATGTAATATCATTATCACGATGCATCACAATCTTCATTTTTTGAGAGAATTTTGCAGCATGCACTTGTAAATAAATATTTCATTTTTTTACTCCAAAATTTTTCGCATCGTTTACAAAATATAGAGGGTGTTCACTTTACCCTACCGAGGCGAAAATCTATAGTCAAATACTTATTTACATAATAATGAAGAAGGGTGCCCGATGCGAACAGGTGATTTTTATATTGTTTGTAACTTTCATTATCATGCAAGCACGCTAAAAGTAAAGTACCATCGGATTGCGTGGCACAAACTCTACTTCAACTGATAAAATCAGCACTATTCTCGATGGGACCTCGTGGGTATTTAGAATTTTGTAAAAACTTCTAAAAAAATGAGCATTTTTCAAATTTAGAGATTTTCTATGAACACCTATGTACCCGAAAGGGTCCATAGCCAATCGGCCTGAATTTTTCGACCAAGTTACGGTTTGGTTCATAGAATCAAATGATAATTTAATTGTTAGCCTACTTGATAAAAATAGGTACAAGCAATATTAACATGACCTGTTTGCATCGTGTTCGAGAATCGAATGTTAAAATTTCACGAAATTTACTTTTTTTCAATTTTCCGATTTGTAACATACTCATGATTATAGCAATAATACATCGATAGAAAATAAAAAATATTAAATGAATAATCGTATATGAAGTTACAAAAAAACTTTTTGCTTTTAATTGATAACGTAGCTATGTGATTTTGGCTGTGGTAGTGAGAAAAAAACATGTTAATTATTAAATATACTATTTACCTTATTCAAAATTGTGTTCAGTTGATTTACAGGTACTTTTTCAGTCAATGCTAGCTTCAATTCAGCCTTCTGGATTTTCGGTATATGATCTAATTCCTTCATTTTTTCCGATTCAGCTGCATTTGTTTCGGTAACAATAAGAGTTTTAAAAGTATTATGATGCGATGAAGCTACATCAATACTTGGTTTTACAACTACCATATCTGATGTATTTTGTTGAGGAACAGTTACAGTGTTCACAGATGTTCTATAAGCTATTACATTAATGTCTGCAATTTCTTCTTTTGTTTTACCGACCGAATCTATGCACGGTTTTTCTCTATCTCCAGTTACGATTTCAAAAGCAGTAGTATTAGTTGTTATCTCTGAAAAATTAATACTGGCTAATTTTTCATCTGGACGTATGAAATCAACATCATTATCTTCTTTTTCAGCATATTGTTGTTCAAAAATGGATACTCTTTCAAAGGGGATGGGGGAAGGAATGATCATTTTTTCTTGAACCATACTCTCTTGTAGTAAAAATTGCGTTGGTGATTCTGATCTAGTTATATTCTGAGAAGCGACAGGATGTGTTGAATAATTTATCATTGCATTTGCATTTTCTAATGTATCTATTCTTGCGTTTTCAGATTCTGTTTCAGTCAATATAATTTCGGTCATAGTTACGCTGTCATTTTCATTAATACAAATATTAGCGATTTCTGATTTTACAGTGTATTCTGAAACATCTGAATAAACATTATCCATAGGTATAGTTTCTGCTATAACTGTTTCATTCATGCGATTTTTTGAAATGTTTGTTTTTGCGTTTCTTTGACTGCTTTCAAATTCATTTTCCTTTATTTCTTCAATATTTTCTACTAGTTGGGTTTCATTCGTCTCAAAATATTTATGCGGCTGAGAATAAAAAAGTTCTTTACATTTTTTCTTTTTGGGTATTTCTGATGCTTTGAATGAATCTTCTTTTTCTCCTACTATTGTTTGTGATACATCTAGGCTTTTGGAACAATCCACTAAAATTCTGCCAAACTCTTTTTCTGGTTTTGAAACGAGAGGTAAGGATTCCTCTTTTTCATTAATTACTATCTGTTCGGTTATATTAGCTTCGGTTGTTTCTATAGATACAGTACCTTGATCTGTAATATATTTTAACGATTTTTCATACTTAGAAGGTTGATCTGCAGTTAAAATCTCTGAAATACTTAAATGATCATTTAGTCGAACACAAGATTCTGCGATCGCTGCAGTAGGGGTCAATTTTTCTTCATAATTGCCTAACGAATCTTGAATGTCAATTTTTGACATGACTCCAACTTTGAATGGTAGAATAGTTTCATTCGCAGTTTTCACAGAAGCTGGAATTTCATCATATTGATTTTCACTTTCACCTAAATTTGTCTCAATTGTAGAAATTGATTCATTTTCAATTAAATTAATTTCTGCAACAGCAGAGTCTAATGATTTTGGCAAGAAATAATTTTCTTGTTGTTCTTCTAATACGCTCGTTATGTTAAGACTTTCATTTAAGTTGAAGTTTGGTTCCACCTTGAAGATTTCCACGTTTTGAATCAAAAATTGATCTTCTTTTTCCTGGATACTTTGTTCTTCTATTGTAACAATTTGACCAGCATTTGAAATTCCAATTTTAGGATTTTGAGTTTTGTAAAATTCTTGAGGTTGGTAATAATTTTCTTTTTCAGCGGTTAATGTTATTTGAGTGAATCTCATCTGTTGTTCTACAATTTCAGATGTTGCAGTTTCTAATGGTTTCACTAAGGATGAATTATAATCACTAACTTGATTTGTATCGAAATATTCCCGAACAAAAAGTGCTTGAGCAGTGACATATTCAATTTTGGGTTGTTCTGATAGTGATTTTGTTTCCTCTAGCGTTGATTCTTTATTCATGTCTTGAATTTCCGTTACAGAAACAGAATTTTGAGGGATGATACTTTTATTAGCGTACAGTGGGATTATTTTTTCATCGGATGATGTTTCTTTTTCAACAACATGAATTTCACTCATAACTTTTGCTTCTTGTACATTCATGGTAATTTTTGCTCTCTCAATATTTCGTTGCATGTATGAATTAAGTTCATCGGGATTAGCTTCAGTGACACTGTATTCATTTATTATCAATCCTTCGCTAGTTTCAAAGCCGACTAATGCTTTGTCATTTTGGATTTTTTGTTCTTCTAGTGTTTTAGTTTCATTTTGAGAAAACATCTCACTAGTTGCATAAACTTGATTTGGAGTGAAAGAAATAGAAGCTTGTTTTGAACTTGGAATATTTTTAAATTCTATTTTCTTTTCGTGTTCTTGAACAGTTGGAACTTCTTTAACTAATGCTGAGGATGTATCAACTGATATTCCAGCTTTGACACTGATTGGTAATTCTACGGCTTGATTAGCAGTCATACTTAATGGAACAATTTCATTCTGCAAATTGGGAATATTGGTCAATATAGAAGCTTTTGTTAAATCTTCTGTCACTAATTCATCTGCTTGTTCAGAAAGATTATTTTGAGTTTTAGAGTATTTAGGTTTAAAGAACTTGATTGTTTCAATATTTTCATCTTGCTCAATAAGTTCGATTTCCTCGAACTTGACGTGTTTTTTGTTTAATTGTTTTTCTGCGGGTTTAGTGATTTTCGGTTGGTCCACTGCTTGAACATGTGATTCGCTCAATGATACAGCATCTTCTATTTCAGTTATAGTTACCCCCTCATCCCTGTTTGGATGTGTTTTATCAAACTGAATTTGTTCTTCTACATTTATAATTTTTGGTTTACGCTTTGTAGTGTGTACTTGCGGAGTGTCCTCGTATTCTGTGAAAAGTTTGTAAAAAATAATTTCATGTGTTGAGAATAATTTTGTAGTATAAGTTTGCTGAATTTTTTATTTGTTTTTTGGCGTAACAACAAAGACATCTATTATTTTTTAAAATAAACTATTTATAAAAATCATAGGATAATTATCTTTGATTCTAATTTCGTTTAATTTTATTTAAATCAACTTATTAAAAGAATAGAAATGAGTGGATACTCAGGTTATATAAGTAAAAAAGATAATGATTCAAATGATTAGATAATTATAATTTATAATAAATTTAAACCATTAAAAATTTCAAAGAGAAATCAAAGAAAAGGAAATATTCGTTAAAGGTTGAAAAAAATAGTTTTATTTACACTTATATAGTGTGTCTTAAAAATAATCCCAAATCATAAAATTTATATTAAAAATAGAAATGAAGCATAGAAAGCATAGCGGTGTAAGCAAAAATGCACTGCACAAAGTGACAAAGCTTCAAGCATCTGAAACCATAGGAATGAAATTTTTAGTTATTATATCATTTTTTTACATTATTTTATACAGTTTTTAAATCTATTTTTAAATTAAAAAATTAGTAATAATAGTGATTTTTTAAAAACATATATAAATATATCTCAATTTTTACATATTATGTACTATGCATGTGATCTAGGTGAGCTGATGAATATTAAAAAGTAAATATACGACGCGGAATATAATTAACAATTATTATTAAAAACCAAAAAATGAATCGTGCAGGATGAAATGTTAATTAATTAAATCTATCAAAGTAATGCCTGAGCCACACTATTTACCGAACAAGCACTACACTTTTCTTTAGATCTTTTTTCAATTGAGAAAAAAACATTCAATTTAGTGGTTTTTCAGCAAATTGATTGTGATATTTTTCATCAATACAGAATAAATCTTTCCTTTTTTCATTAGCGCAACGCTTCCTGAAAAATGGAAGCCTCTTAAATAAGGAGGCTCTACTGTATATTACAAGAATAATAACATTTAAATTTCTTAATGATTTTAATCAAATAAAACTTTTTTATTGCATTTTTCACCTTGCATAGCGATAATATATAAAAATGATGGTGTTTCGAAAAGTATCTCCAATACTGCTAGTAACAGTAGTAAGATAACAGTGATAGAGATAATCTTCTACGTTTATTTCATCGAGATAAAAGATTTTTGCTGCAGAGGGTGAGAAGCACTGGCATAAGCACTAGTTATTTATCAGTAATAATAGTTATTTATGCAATAAGTGCCTAAAAAAATATTTTATCATTATTAGTTTAATTAGAACTTTAGAAATGATCTAAAAATTTTGATTAATTATAAATATTATTTTTCAATGTTTTATAATTTTATAATTTTTAAAAAAATTTTCTGTTCAAAGCACTCGATGTTACCATTTAATTTTTAAAAGATTAATAAATATAAATTATCGCAATAAAATCGAACCTTTCATTTCTCGAACATCTTGCGATTGTCTTGATGTGGCTTCACTCTCACGTTCTGCAAAGATAAATTTTTCATTTTTTTTTATGAAATGCTTTTGAGATAGTAGGTGCCTAAAGTCGTTTTCTCACAAAAATTTTGAAATTGCAAGAGGTTTTTACCGGATCATTCCGTTAACGAGATTTAGATGAACAACAATTAAAAATTAACATGGAGTTTTATGAACCAGTGCGTAGATAATTCATAAATTGCTCTAGATATCAATAATCATTTTTACAAAGTGTAAAAAAAAATAGTATTTGATGAGAAAAATATTAATACACAACATATTCAAAATTAAGTGTCCTTAGCCTTTTATTTTTCGCTCATTTATTTTTTATATAATTCATTTGAATTTGACCTCATTACAGGTCATATGAAATTCCATGCAAGTGAGGGTAGAGTGGAATCTATCTGTACAAATATCAACGATGGTTGTCAATAACCGCATGAGGATGTTATTATATGTGAATGTATATGGCTCATATCACAAAAGAGTTGATAGTTAAAAAAATGAAATTGAAACAAAGATGTACTCTTGAAGAGTTCATTGAAAAATGAAAATCCTGAAAATTTCAGTCCTCTAGGTCCATCCCTCTTGGATTTTCAGGGTCTCAAAGTTGGAATTTGATTTTTCAAATTTTATTTTGATTTCCTGGCGTGAATATGAAAAAATTTATGAAACATGATTTTCAATGTAAAATTTAATGAGGAATTCAAAATTTTTATGAAAAATCATATTTATAACCTCAAAATCCCTAAATTACCAAAAAGCAGTCTCAAGGACAAAAGTAAACATGTTCGTCTCCAGTGATCACGCCAATATTGCAGTATATTCATCGATACATCAAAATACAACTTCTGATAAATTTTGGTCATCGGTTGAAAATCAGAGTTAATTCTTCAGCTGTCGAAAGATCTGAAAATATAGTTGTTTATGAATTTTACATGTTTTTAGGTCTTTTGACAGCTGAAGAATTAACTCTGATTTTCAACCGATGACCAAAATTTATCAGAAGTTGTATTTTGATGTATCGATGAACATACTGCAATATTGGCGTGATCACTGGAGACGAACATGTTTACTTTTGTCCTTGAGACTGCTTTTTGGTAATTTAGGGATTTTGAGGTTATAAATATGATTTTTCATAAAAATTTTGAATTCCTCATTAAATTTTACATTGAAAATCATGTTTCATAAATTTTTTCATATTCACGCCAGGAAATCAAAATAAAATTTGAAAAATCAAATTCCAACTTTGAGACCCTGAAAATCCAAGAGGGATGGACCTAGAGGACTGAAATTTTCAGGATTTTCATTTTTCAATGAACTCTTCAAGAGTACATCTTTGTTTCAATTTCATTTTTTTAACTATCAACTCTTTTGTGATATGACCCATGTGTAAACACATTTTCTATATGGCTGTATTGCGATTTTGTATAGTCACGTAGAGTTGTGGCGATTTTAGCGCACCTACTACCTTAACGTTATATTAACTTAAGTTTTCTTAAATTTGATCAAAAATGTTATGATAAGTATGTTATTTTTAAAAAAGAATTCATGATGATCTCAATCATTATCATAATACTTGATAAATAAAACAATTTTATTCAATAGTATGACGAAAAATGTCTTTTTTCGCACATTTTTTAGTGCGCAAAAAGCGTTTTTGGACACTTATGTGCGGTAAAATGCCCCATTTTGGACACGGGTGTGCGGTAAAACGCCTCATTTAAATGAACGTATTTTTCGCCTACTATTGCATAAAATTTTGTATGCAACACGTGCCCAGCTTTTTGCGCACAGTGTGCGGAAAAAACACCCACTCGTGCCGGCATAGCCGGCACTCGTGTCTTTTTCCGCACACTCGTGCCCAAAAACGCCTTTTGGGCACTTGTTACATAAATAACTATTATTGTAAAATTAAATAGTAGTAAAATTAGTAGTAGTTTGAAAAATTAAAAATTATTGATACGTACCCAGTGTGTGAACTTCTATTTGTTCGGTGATTTCGAATGTTTCGGTCAGAGTTGTTATTTCAGTATGCTGACGAATTAAAAATAATTTTATTAATAATAATTTTTTTTTAGTTTATTTTTAAGAATAATAATTTTTTCTTTTCATGTTACACACAAAATGAAGATATGAATAATGTACAGTCAGTGTTGGTTAATATTCGTTACTGAATTAAACGACACTTACTATAGATTAGCACTTAGAGACTTAAAGATTAGTAACATGGAATATTTGAGGCTTAATTTCCGTAGCTCAACCGGCTCATATAACCCTTAAACATTCAACCGTCCATATGTTTGTACTTTTCCAGATACTTTATTGTACCCCTTTAAAATTTCTCAAATAATAATCTAGAGATTTTTTTTTACGTAAAATTAAATTTTTCCTCAATATCTCTAGCATCAACATCGTTGGAAAAGAGGACGATTTGAAGTTGTGAATAATCTTTTGTGAAAAATAGCGGGATTGCAAGTAATTTTTTTTATAATAAAAGGGCCATAACTAATACGTTTTGACTCGGTACAGTTTATACCCCTCGTTTTGTAGAAAAAGCATATCCACACCCGTTGTATAAAGTGCTATAATAGCACTGCGTGGCATAAATTTAAATTTATTGTACGCTTTACACTAACCACGAGCATGCTAATTTCGCTCCACGAACGTACCAGAAAGTGCGACTTATTGCGAGTTATGGCTCCAAAAAGGGGGCATAAATGTGACTCTAGCACACTGTTATAAAATTACACCATGCTATAAGTAACACTTTGTGGCACGAGTATGTACCCGATTATTTGGCGCTATGTTAAGTTCACTCGACTCGAACTCGACAAGTCGAGTAGAATCGAGCAAAACTCTAAAAATCGAGTACTCGCACACCCCTACCACCCAGTGCTAAAAACTTACAAGTTTAAGGAAAGAAAAAAAACGTTCAGAACAGATCCTGCTGAATTAAATTGAATTTTTCATAATAGTAGAAAAACTTACTTCAGTAGCTTCTGATAATTCCCAAGATCTTGGTTTGAAATCTTGCGGTAAGAATTGAGTGATTACTTCTTCTACCGTAGCATGTTGTAGTTCGACAAGCTTTATAAAAGCTCTAAATCCTACTGTTGCAGCGACAATATGCTCGTCAGTTGTAGTTTCTTCTGAAAAAATCTGCGTAATCAAGGGACCATACCCCTTTCTTTCAACGAGTTGTACCAGAGCATTTTGAGCATCAGGTGTTTGAAGAGCGGGGAACTTATTAGTTTTGTAAAGACTCTCGTTTATTTCAATAGTAGTAACCCCTTTCTTCAATAAGTAACCTATAGTTGCTAGTTCTCGTAAAGGTTCAATACCGGAAACAAATTCAGGAACATTAAATAGCTCCATTACATCTTCTACTTCACGAGCTATATTTTCTTTTTCTGCACTCATTATATGATTTATTTTATTGTCCAAATCCTTATCAATACTAGTACTCTTTTGTTTTTCCGTTTTCTTTTTCTTTTTAATTAATTTTTCTTTTTTTCGTTTAACTTCTTCTTGAATTTCTAGCGAGGATTGAGACTGTTGTTGCGGCTTTATTGCAGCATCTTAAATTCATTTTTCGATGAAGTATTTGTAATTTATAGTTTAAAAATTTGTTGTTAAAAGTTTACCTGATACTCGAAGCTTTGCTTTCGTAATGGCCAAACCAATATCACTAATAGCTTTGCAAATATATTCTCCTGCGTCATCTTGCTCAACTGATATAATTTTCAATGACGTTTTTTTATCTTCTTCGTTAATCAAAATTTTCAGTCTGTCAGAACTCAATATAATCTTATCGTTTTTCAACCAAGTAATATCTAAAATATTTATAAAAAATATTAGTGTTTGTTTGAAATACATAAAATTATCCCAAAACTTATTTTATTTTGAAAAAAGAAGAACATGTCACCTGGAACAGGGTTACCGGAATATGAACACTGAAATTCAACCGTTTCACCTTCTTGGGTATACGTGTCTGTAAATTCTTGTATAAACCGAGGGATTGATTGAGTAGCTACAATATAATTTTCTCAATTAAAAAACCGAAACAATAAAAAAGTTTTCAAGAAAAAATTTCAAGATTAATTTAAGAAATTAGGAATGCAATAAAAAAAAATTTAAAAATTACCTCGTAATGCTTCTTGCATTTCTTCCATTTGAGACACCCATTCAGGTTTTCTATATTCTTTTGTACCTATTATACCTAAGAATCATATAATATTTATTTATTGCACAATTTTTTCTCAAGTTTTCTTGCAATATTAAGTGTGAATCGTACTATATATTATGTTAAAGTTATTTGTGATGTGTAAATATTTCAAATGTATGTAGAAAGGATTAGGAATATTGGAATGATAGAATTATCGAGCTGCAAAAAGCATAAGATCATTTAAACATTAATGAATTGATAATTTTTCTTTGAATATAAGTTATATTATCTTTTAATAAAGTTTTTAGATCGGTAGATAATTGCAGATCATATGTGCTGTTTTTCTCATATATCATGCTTGGGGCTTTAAAATAATATTGACAATAATTATGAACATGAATATGAGGTTGTTCCGTATTTTATTATTTAATATTTTCTGAATAGTTTACTTGTATATTAAGAAAAGTCATACCCGTAACGTTATAGAGTCAAAATAAAAGGGATTAATTTTTCGGTCCAAAAATTATTTCTGAGCCTTTTAATATAATGAATAAAGTTTTAAAAGATAGAATATATGGTTACTCAAATATTTCATGGATTATAACAGGTCTGCAAAGCCTGAAGGTATTGTTTTAAATGTAAAATGGAAAAAAAACAAGAAATTTTTTTTTCAGTTTTTAACATTTTTTACATGACGGATAAAATTTTATCAGTTTCATCTCCACAAATTTCTCAAAATGAACATAAACCGAGAACTAGATGCCGAGCTTACTGTTCCTGAATTTTATAACTCTTGAAAATGAGACTCTTTTTTTACTTTTGAAACTTTCTCTTATTTCCCTATCCTACTTCCTTTTTTTCATTACTCGAATTTATTTTTACTTTCAAGTTAAAATATTACATAGAACACTACTAATATAGTATTATATGCCGAACTGTTTGCTTTAAAATTACAGACCAAATAACAGCATTGAAATCACATGTGACATGAATTTCCCGTGAATAGAGAATTGAGACTTGAAAAATTTTTTCGAATTAAAAGAGTTCGAACTAGCAGGGTAAATTTATAAAATAAGTTAAATATATTTCGTCCCTTACACTTCCCCTTTCATCTTTCCACCTTCACATTTAGACTAAATTCGCTAGTTACTTTAAATTTTCAACAATGGCTCAAGTTGAGAATTAGAACAACTAATTTTTACGTGATTTAAATTAAATGTTAATATCTCTTTCACGTTAATGCAGCACATTGTGATCTGTTACTATCTTGCGTTCTATAAGATATGTAAAAATTATGTAGAGTTTTTGAGATCGAATATACCTTCTACTGATAAATAAGTTCTCGTTGTAGAAACTCCCAAAGAATTATGCGCTTCAAAAACAATTTCCCCAGTATCATCAGGATAAGTTTCAGAAATCGTCAAAACAGAAGTTCCCTCATCAAGCTCTTCTATTTGAAATTCTGTAGATGAGTGTATTTCCAAACCTTGTTTATACCATTTTCCTTTTGGTTTTGGGTGGCCTCGAACTTGTACTTCCAACCTAAAATTTTCAATTGATTATAAAGTAAAAGAAATCAAATAAAACTGAAATATTGTTTTTAATGCCGGGTTTTCCAGCTCCTCTAGTCTTTTCAATTCATTATGTACATAACACGGGTTTTTATAAGTTTCTTACGTTTGTATTAACCATTAGAGGGCTGGAAAGCTAATAACATTGGCACCCCCTCTGATCGACACTTAGCCTGTGATTTATCAATGATATCTTATATGTCAGTTTTCTATGAATGATATACTCTCTGAAATACCGGCCCTCTAGAGGTTAATTACTTCATATTTTGTAATAGTACTTTATTGCACTGCGGGGCATAAATGTGAACTTAGCACATTGCTATACTGCTAGCACGGCAGAAGCCACTGTTTCACAATGTACTATTAAGGTACTAATGTTATAAGTAACATTTTCTGGCACGGCGTAGTTTAGAGCTCGAGCGCAGTGAGGGTCCTAATAGCCGAGTCAGAAAGTGTCCCCTATGGCACGAGTATCATACTCAATTTTATAACAGTGTGCTAAGTCCACATTTATGCCCCCTTTTTCGCGTCCTAAGTCGCAATTTCTGGTACCGCGAGGTTAGTGTACAAGAGTATCGATTCTCAATGATGAAAAAGATAAGAAATGTTTTTCAACAATTTGGTAATTTAATTTTTCCCAAAACACGCAAGTTAAAATCCGCAACTTTACAGCTAATTTCAAGCTTTCATGTGAAAAAATAGCAATATCAATTGGTGTAGATAGTGTTTTTGAATAAAACTGCATTCATTGGAAAAAATACTATATTCAAATAAATCAATTTTACCTTGTAAGAGAGCCATCAATGGATGGTATGTATTCTGGAAGTTTTTTAACTATTTCTGGTGCAAATTCTTGTACTTCAGTTTCTGATACATCCTGAAAAGTATAATCAATTATTTATCAAATTATGCAAACAATATTTAATTTAAATTTTTTTTTTGAAGACTAATATACAATCCGATACAAGTAAATGAATGATAATATGTTTAAAACTTTATAAGTACTTTTTTTATGAAATAAAATACGCAATTTTCCCGCTAATATTAGTCTTTCACAGATGCACATCAAGCCTATATAGTTTCTTAACACTTATTTTTACACAAATTTATCTGTTAAAGAAGATGTAAAAAATTTCAGATAAAAATATTGAAAATTGTCGATTTTCCAGTAGATTTCCTCGGTCACCCTGTGTTTAAATGTTTTTTATTGTGTATTTTTTGCTCTATATGTGAGTAAGGATTGTAATGCCGAATTATGAAATTTTATTTTTTTTACTTTTCTTTCTTTTAATTGCTAGTCAAGAGTGTAAACTTTGAGAAATATGTCGAATTTTTAGTTTCTGATGATTTTGTCAGGAAACTGATGGAAAATCGACAACTTTTAATAATTTTATCTGAAAATTTTTATGGCTTCTTTAATCGATAAACTTCATGGTGTAAAAATTTTAAATTCATTGAATTTTTGGTGTTTGAAGTATAATTTTTCAAAAAAAAAAGTAATTATAATAATAATTTCCGTCAGCACAAGGCTAGTAACCCCTTAATAAAGATCTAATTGGTATTTTTACTTTAAAATCAAAATGAATTTTGTTATTTACATAAAAAATTTATAAACATTACCTTTATTGATACTTTATCTTCGTCAGATTCACTTTGTTCTGTTAGTGAAGTAGCAATTTCAGAAATTTCTATTTCTGAATCTGGAACGTATTCATATGCTAGACAAAACATACATTTAAAGATTAGTGAAATATATTATGTGAAGTATAATAAAATTATCTTGTAAAGTGAAATTGGGATTTAAAAATACTTAAAAAGTAAAATGCTTCGTACTTAAGTATAATATTTTACCCTTATTTTTAATTTAGATTCCCTGATCCCAAAGAATTTATTAAAAAAAATAATAATTAATATTCTTAAGTATTATATTAAGAGTGCGGTAAATCGGCACCCATTCTAGAATATGAAAATAACTTGAATAACGCATACATCATTGGTTTTCGTAATAATTGGACATCACGTACCGAATGAAATGTCATATTAAATTATGCATTATACAATTAGATGAAGTATTTATTATGATTTAAAGCAACAAATTCTGTACATTAGAAATTCTTATTTCAGGGGACAAACCTGAGTTGAATCGTGTATAATCAAATGTATTGAAAAACATGAAAATAAAATGTTGAAATTAAATTTTTAGTTTTTATATAAAATTATGTTTTTTTCAAGTCATTTAGCGTCAGAAAACATGTCTCTAGTACCTTTTATTATTTAAATTAGTCCGGGATGCATCCATAATGACTTATGATTCCAAAGCCTTCTGCCGCATTAATCTGAATGGAATCTTTGACTGATATTGATCCTAGAGGTCTTGAAATTTTTGTCATAACATTCTTCTCCACATAAGTGAAACAGATTTTCGATTAAATTATTTATTCAAATTACCAGTCGTAAAAACGCATAAAAAAAGCTATTTTTGAATTTTTGCATCCTCCATAGAGGAAGCTATGTGACGGGTTTGAATATGAGTTTTTGAACCAGACCTCGTAGGACCATTTGGTTTACATATTTGTAAATTAGATTGAATTCCTAACGGATGTCTGTGCGCGTGTGTGTGTGTGTGTGTGTGTGTGTGTGTGTGTGTGTGTGTGTGTGTGTGTGTGTGTGACGTGTGTAGAGCATTATGTAGAATTAGTTTTAGAGTTGGTTTCCAATTTATCTTTGCAGGAAGCTCCTTGCCAATAAATTCGCAGCAGTTTTTTTTTATTTTAGTATGGAAAATAATTTCTTAGATTTTTCTTGAAATTCTGTTACACTTAAGTGGAGGAGAATGTTTTGACAAAAATTTCAAGACCTCTAGGATCAAGATTAGTCAAAGATTTTATTCAAATTCATGCGGCACAGGGCTTTAGGATCATAAGTCATTATGGATGCATCCTGAACTAATTAAAATAATAAAAGGTACTAGAGAAATGTTCTCTGACGTAAAAAGACTTGAAAAACATAATTTTATATAAAAACTAAAAGATTCAATTTTAACATTTTATTTTTATATTATTTAATTTAAAAAGATTCAACATAAGCGTGTCCCCTGAAGTTTTGAAATGAATGTTTCGATTATAATACAATTCGATTATAATATTCGATGCATTATTCTTCTTCAGATCGAGATTTAATGTTTCTCGTTTTGTTTTAGAAATTATACGAATAAAATATCAACTGGACAAAAAAATAAGGTTTCTCTTATTATTTACTGAGTACCAAAACATTTTTTCGAGCAAATATAAGCTTTGTGCATGAAATAGATTTCCGTAAGAGTAGTGTAATTGAATTTTTTTATCGATTAATGGTTATTTTCGTCATACTATTGCATAATAGTTATTTATGTAACAAGAGACCAAAAGGCGTTTTTGGGCACGAGTGTGCGGAAAAAGACACGAGTGTCGGCTATGCCGGCACGAGTGGGTGCTTTTTCCGCACACTGTGCGCAAAAAGCTGGGCACGTGTTGCATACAAAATTTTATGCAATGGTAGTCGAAAAATACGTTCATTTAAATCAGGCGTTTTACCGCACACATGTGTCCAAAAACGCATTTTGCGCACTAAAAAATGTGCGAAAAAAGACATTTTTCGTCATACTATTGCATAAAAAATTTTTCTGAATTATACGAGATAAAAATAAATCTGAATCTTTTCTTCGAAAAAATAACTAAGTTTTTTTTAGAAAGTATCCATTTTTAGCAAGATTTCGATCATTCTATAATTATGTAGGGTCCTACTAGTATTCTAAGTGTTCACTTTTGCTCGGAAAATTAAAAAATTTATGAATGATGTATTTGCGTTTGTTTATATGATTTATACAAATACATGTGGTACCTTCTACAATCAATGATGCGCTACAAATTGCTTCACCGAAATAATTGACTGCTTTGCAACTATATTCTCCAGCGTCTTCGGGAAATACTTCATTTATTGATAAATTACATAAGCCTTGCAAATTTTGCATGATAATCATTTGCTTTGGCCGTTTTATTGGTTTTCCGTCATGGAACCAATCTACTCTGGGGATTGGATATGCTTCAACAATACAACTTAAATTTACTGTTTCGCCATCCATGACACGAACTGGTAAAAGTTTTTTTGTAAAAATTGGATGTGATCCTTCAACTTGTTCTTCTGTAGAGACCTCTTCAATGGTGACAGTTGCAGAATTAGTTACAGATCCTGCTACATTTTCAGCCCGACAAGTATAAATGCCTGAATATTCCAGTCTGGCTTCCTTTACAATAAGTACTGACTTATTATCTACAGCAGCCAAATGAATATCGTCGGAAGCCTAAATACCAGTACAAATTTATAATTTTAATTTTTGTATTCTAATTGTGTGAATGTATTTGAAAGTTGTATCAAATCGACAATAATACAACTTGAAAATGAAAAACTAAGCTACATATACTCTTATAGCCGGTTTTACATGAGAAAATTCTTTAAATATGAGAAACCTTCGCAACGTTACATCTGTAGTGGCTCAAAAAGAATACTGTAAGCTTGGCGCAAATGAACATTTTTAAATATGTTTACTTAAATAGTTTTGAAAAGCTGCCCTGATACTTTTGTTTTTTTATTCTTTAAATATTCGAGTAGCTATTCAAAAAATATTTTGTAAAAATGTTTCTCAATGTTTTTGAAAATTATTTTTTTTGCCATGACTAATTTTATATTTACGTTTTTATTTTATGAATATTTATTAATTTTTTTATGGTCAGTCTTGAAAAATTTGTTATAATTTGTTTCTAAGGTAAAGTTTCCAGTTACGATTTCGAATTTGATATCAATAGCACTTTATAGCACAAGAGCTCAAAACTAGCGGCAAACTGCGATTTTTAGGTTAGAGTGCTGTAAAGTCCCATTACATAGTCACAGTCCACTAATTATGAATAGAGCTTAAAAGTGAAATCAACTTTATATTTATTTAGTAGTCTTAGATTCTGAAAATATAATTGCAATTGTATTTTCTTTTTACTAAATTAAAAAAAAAAAATTCACGTCATTGACTATGATTAATAAACTTGTACTTGAATAATATGTATAAAGATCAATCGTCTGTATCTATAAAGATGTAACTTAAGGTTCTTAAAATCGAGAATTTTTTCATACTCTCTAAGAATGTTTTTAGTAATTTGCAATACTAGAGTCAAAGGTAGCACTCTAAAGCATGCCGTAGTTTTGAGTTAGAGCACAGTAAAGTTTTTAAGGACCTTGCTAAAAAGTGCTTCCCATGACTCGTACAATGTACGGTATTTTATAATAATGTGATAATGCCTCTTTTTCCAAGATATAAGTCTCACTTTCTGGTACTACAAAGTGAGATTAGCGAGCGACTGCAGTGAATGTAAGACATACTGCAGCGCCAGAAAGTGGCACTTGTACTGCAGAAAAACGTGCAATGCGCGTGAATTTCGGTTGTATGGTGTAAAAGTACTTTTCTATTCATATAGAAGTAGATGGAAAAAGCAATTTTACAATTTTTTCGTATTCAACTGTCACGTAGTGCAAAAATTTTGAATAAAAATCATCCCAACCTCAATTAAATGATTTTCGAAAAACCATTGAAATGATGCTGGTGGGTGAGATGTAACTATTGCTTCCAATATAACGACTTCCCCAATGGGTATTATCTGAGATCGAATAGGTGTGATGAATCGTGGTGGCCTACTGTCATCAGATTGAGTGTCTTGTACGGATACTGTTCCTGAACAGCGAGCTTCTCCAGTAGAATTTTGCAATCGTACTTCATATTTTCCAGCATCTTTTTTAGATACACTCTGTATTATGAGCTCAGTAATATTGTTGAATGTACTAATTTTGCGCATTTCAGTAGATAAAATCTCTATATTATTTCGAAACCATTTTACATCCGTATTTGATACACTTTCAAACTTTACTGTCAACTTTAGAGGTTGTTTAGGTACTGCAGTAATCGCTGCGAATGGTTCGGTAATTGTTGGTGCACAATACTTAAGTTGAGATGTAGCTGTCACACGATCAAGTGAGATATCGAAATGATCTTCATCTGCTATAAAATCATAAGTTTCTGATAAATTTCTAATTAAGACGATATTTTCGTATTCTAGTAAGTAAAGATATTTAAATTGTCTTTACATCGTATAATTCAGAATAATTTTGAATAAAAGTATAATATTATTTTAACAATTTTTTGTGTTAAATAGTGAACTAAATGATAACATATATTATAGTTCTATTGGCTAACTAGAAGGCAGTATATGACAATAAGAGATTTTTGTGAAATCATAAAAAATTTAAAAAAAAATCGAAAATGTACTTTAACAATTTCACAATAAATCATGGGTAAACTGAAAATCTTGTGAGAGGTAAAGTAAGTATATGAAGGTAAAACAAATTCAACTAAATTGATTGCTGCACACACTTCTACTGGAACTCTATTCAGTCATTGTTAATCAAGAGTAGCTATTTCTATTTTCTTTGTAACATGAAAGTGCTACTCTTTATGTAAAACATTGATATGTTTGGTTCATGCAACATGATCAGTATAGCAAAGCAAAAATGTTCAAAATCGCATAATGGTCCGACGAATTACAAAATTAAAATCTATACAATAATTTTGTTAATTTGTCCATAAAACTTCGCTTTTATTGGAAAAATTATTATTTCAACTTATGGTAAACACACAAAAAAATCTGAATAATATTTTTGACGTGTAGAAAGATGGGGATTTTTCCCTCAAATAGTGAGGTAAAATTGGTTATGAAATGACAAGTTATTTTTATTCATAAAAATGCAAATTTTTGGTCCACCATCGGTTTACAGTTTGATACCTGAAATTTTTCTAAAAATTTATCTGGGTAACAACCTAATTTTTACCTAAATTAAATGTCCGAGACTTATTTTTAACAGGCTAGGTTGTCTTGAAAAAAAAAATTTGTTGAGAAAAGGGGATTTTTACTCTACAATCTTCGTTACTATACTTATCAGAATTAAAAAAATTAGAAAAATATTTGCGGTTATGCACTTTCAAACAGAAAAACAAGAAAAAGTTTCCAGGTTAGTTATCGAATTTAATTAACGTCAAAACTTTTTTGGAATTTGCAATAATTTTTTCTGAAGTTATAGAGCATATGATAAATTTGAAAAATTCGAAACTTTTTAAACTATTGAAAATAGCGCTTGAGAATTTTTTGTGTACTATAATATAGTAAAAGCACCTCATGGTATATATATTGTATTACCGTCTGAAAACTGTGACACAATAATTTTTTTTGACAGGAGAAACTGCTGAATATTATAAGGTCCATGCAATCAATACACATCTCTGATTTTAAGAACACAAACAACTATGAGACATAAAATTATGATTCAAAAATAACTGTAGAGTTTAAGAGATCATAAAACAAAAGCTAGCTTCGTGAGGTACACTAATAAATTTATTCTCTGCAAGGTTATTAAGGGATGGTAAGTATTAATTGTAAATTAGGGCGTACCTAATTTCTCAAAGTCAAAAATACCCTTAAAAAATTTCGCAGATCCTTTCCGTGTAATTTTTTTAAGGGTACTTATTTGATAACCCAGATATCGAAAGATACTCATAAATAAATAAGTTTTTATTGGTTTAGAGCCCAATGGGACACCGAAAACCCATGTCTGTAATGCGATGTTTGTTTTACAATTTTGAGGACGCTAGAGTTAGAAATAAAACCCCTCATTTAACTTAAAATTATGCCCAAATAAGAGTTTAATTTCTTATTTAGTATAGCGCCCTCAAAATTACCAAGAAAAAAAGCAAAAAGGTTTATACAAATTTAAAATTTTCCGATTTTTTCAAATCTGCCATAAAAAAATGGGGATTACTTCGTAAAAATCGATATTTGGTTCACTGTAGCTTTGAGATTATGTTCAAGGCTAAATTCAAGGACACCATTCGATTCCTCATCGAAACATACGTCGGATCTAAAGTTTTTGATTTTATTTTTAAGCATGCTCCGTGAGATTTTTTGGGGTTTTCATAATTTTGTCGCAATTTGCATATTTTTATTTTTTTTTTTAAATTTGAACCTCTGTATTAGGACTTTTAGTAAGCTGAAAATTTTTTTCTTTACATCGCACAAAAGGTCTAAATTTCAGCTTTCAAATAAGTATATGAAAATTTTAAAATGGAAAGAAATTCGACTCGAAAAAAAATTTCCGGTGTACCCTGGGTCCTGAAAGAGTGGTGAGATTTTTAGCGTGAGCAGTTTATAAGTGTTGTGATTGCTCGTTCAGTAGCTTGATATTGTTTAGTGTGTAAATTAAATATTGACATATTAATCTATTGACGGCTTAAGACTAATTTTGATTGGTTTCCTTCAACGACGCTGAGGCGAAAAGTCGACCCATTGCGAATTTTTACAGTTTATAATATATATTCGTTTTTTTTCTACTTTGAATATTAAAAGTCGGGCTAGTGAAATATTATATTTTATAAGCGCCTTTCGATATCTGGATTACTAAATTGATATTTTAAACTTTGGGAAATAAGGGACATCCTAATTTATATACCGTGGTGAATTGCTCAGGTGACTGACTTCTCCTTGCCACAATCGACTCCTTTTGTATATGTTCAACTAAAAAATTGTTGAATAAGAACGCTTATTCATTCGCCAGCAATTACTAGAGTAAGTTCTTCTAAACCTAAATTTGGCCAAAGATTTTAGCAGCTATAGCTGACAGAGTAAGATGAAAAGGTAACATATACTCCTAAGAATATTTTATCCATTAAATACATTTATGAACTAATAGCAACAGATGTAATCCCGTATAAATAACTGAAAAAAGTTAGTCATCTTTAGAATTCGCCATAGTTAGATGTAAAGCTTGAATTTCAGCATTAAGAAATTATACGCAGACCAAATATACGTTAAAATAAATCATCTACTAACATGACGATGAGAGGAAAAAAAGGATTGGACGGCAATAAATCAATAACATATATAAATTCATACCACTTGTTTCCATCGGAATTTCCATTAAGGCATTAGTGACTGACACGACAGGTAATGAAACTTCTTCTTTCGTAACCAAAGAGACTGTAACCTTTTCAGTTGATTCTGTGAATTTTTCTTCAACTGGTAACTCAACTTGCAACACTTCTTCTTCAACCATCAAAGTTGCTGTAGTTTTTTCGATTTTTTCCGTAGGTTTTTCAACGAGCTTAGGTTTTTTTTCAACTGGCTTTTTCTTACCACGAACCCATGGAGCTTTAGTAGTTTCAACCGGTATCTCGTCAAGCTTTTCTTCGGTTGGTAACTCAGTTTGAGATACTTCTTCTGTAATCGTCAAAGATGCTGTAGATTTTTCGATCTTTTCCGTAGGTTTTTCTTCCAACTGTGGTTTTATTGCGACTGGTTTCTTCTTACCACGAACCCATGGAGCTTGAGTAGTTTCAACCGGTTTCTCGTCCGGCTTTTCTTCGGTTGGTAATTCTATTTGAGATACTTCTTCTGTAATCGTCAAAGATGCTGTAGTTTTTTCGATCTTTTCCGTAGGTTTTTCTTCCAGCTGTGTTTTAATTGCTACTGGTTTCTTCTTACCACGAACCCATGGAGCTTGAGTAGTTTCAACCGGTTTTTCGTCCATATTTTCTTCAGTTGCTAACTGAGCTTGAGATACTTCTTCTGTAACCGTCAAAGATGCTGTAGTTTTTTCGATCTTTTCCGTAGGTTTTTCTTCCAACTGTGGTTTAATTGCAACTGGTTTCTTCTTACCACGAACCCATGGAGCTTGAGTAGTTTCAACCGGTTTCTCGTCCGGCTTTTCTTCAGCTGGTAATTCTACTTGAGATACTTCTTCTGTAACCGTCAAAGATGCTGTAGTTTTTTCGATCTTTTCTGTAGGTTTTTCATCCAACTGTGGTTTAATTGCGACTGGTTTCTTTTTACCACGAACCCATGGAACTTGAGTATTTTCAACCGGTTTTTCGTCCGGCTTTTCTTCAGTTGCTAATTCAGCTTGAGATACTTCTTCTGTAACAGTCAAAGATGCTGTAGTTTTTTCGATCTTTTCCGTAGGTTTTTCTTCCAACTGTGGTTTAATTGCGACTGGTTTCTTTTTACCACGAACCCATGGAACTTGAGTAGTTTCAACCGGTTTTTCGTCCGGCTTTTCTTCAGCTGGTAATTCTACTTGAGATACTTCTTCTGTAACCGTCAAAGATGCTGTAGTTTTTTCGATCTTTTCCGTAGGTTTTTCATCCAACTGTGGTTTCATTGCGACTGGTTTCTTTTTACCACGAACCCATGGAACTTGAGTAGTTTCAACCGGTTTTTCGTCCGGCTTTTCTTCAGCTGGTAATTCTACTTGAGATACTTCTTCTGTAACCGTCAAAGATGCTGTAGTTTTTTCGATCTTTTCCGAAGGTCTTTCTTCCAACTGTAGTTTTATTGCGACTGGTTTCTTTTTACCACGAACCCATGGAGCTTGAGTAGTTTCAACCGGTTTCTCGTCCGGCTTTTCTTCGGTTGGTAATTCTATTTGAGATACTTCTTCTGTAATCGTCAAAGATGTTGTAGTTTTTTCGATCTTTTCCGTAGGTATTTCTTCCAACTGTGGTTTAATTGCGACTGGTTTCTTCTTACCACGAACCCATGGAGCTTGAGTAGTTTCAACCGGTTTCTGGTCTGGCTTTTCTTCGGTTAGTAGTTTTACTTGAGACACATCTTCTTCAACTTTCAAAGTTGCTGTTCTTTTATCAGTTGTTTCCATAACCTTTTCTTCAAATTTTTGTTCAGTTCGAATGGGTTTTTTCTTACCACGAACCCATGGAACTTGAGTAGTTTCAACCGGTTTTTCGTCCGGCTTTTCTTCAGCTGGTAATTCTACTTGAGATACTTCTTCTGTAACCGTCAAAGATGCTGTAGTTTTTTCGATCTTTTCTGTAGGTTTTTCATCCAACTGTGGTTTAATTGCGACTGGTTTCTTTTTACCACGAACCCATGGAACTTGAGTAGTTTCAACCGGTTTTTCGTCCGGCTTTTCTTCAGTTGCTAATTCAGCTTGAGATACTTCTTCTGTAACAGTCAAAGATGCTGTAGTTTTTTCGATCTTTTCCGTAGGTTTTTCTTCCAACTGTGGTTGAATTGCGACTGGTTTCTTTTTACCACGAACCCATGGAACTTGAGTAGTTTCAACCGGTTTTTCGTTCGGCTTTTCTTCGGTTAGTAGTTTTACTTGAGACACATCTTCTTCAACTTTCAAAGTTGCTTTTCTTTTATCAGTTGTTTCCGTAAACTTTTCTTCAATTTTTTGTTCAGTTCGAATGGGTTTTTTCTTACCACGAACCCACGGAGCTTGAGTAGTTTCAACCGGTTTCTCATCCAGCCTTTGTTCAGTCGATAACTCTATTTGAGACACTTCTTCGGTAACCGTCAAAGATGCTGTAGTTTTTTCGATCTTTTCCGTAGGTTTTTCTTCCAACTGTGGTTTAATTGCGACTGGTTTCTTCTTACCACGAGCCCATGGAGCTTGAGTAGTTTCAGCCGTTTTCTCGTCCGGCTTTTCTTCGGCTGGTAATTCTACTTGAGACACTTCTTCTTGAACTTTTAAAGTAGCTGTCGTTTTATCAGTTGTTTCCGTAAACTTTTCTTTAAACTTTGGTTCAATTGTGGCCGGTTTTTTCTTACCACGAATCCATGGAGCCTGAATAGTTTCAACCGGTTTCTCATCTGGCTTTTCTTCAGTTGGTAATTCTACTTGAGACACTTTTTCTTGAACTTTCAAAGTTGCTGTCGTTTTATCAATTGTTTCCGTAAACTTTTCTTCAAACTTTGATTTAATTGGAACTGATTTTTTCTTACCACTTATCCATGGGGCTTGATTTTTTTCAACTGGTTTCTCGTCCGATTTTTTTTCCATTGGTAACGTAACTTCAGTTTTTTCCTGCAGCTGTGGTTTCATTGGGACTTGCTTTTTTTTACTGCGTACCCATGGGGCGTGAGTAGTTTCGGTGGGGGTCTCAATTGGTATCTTTTCGATCGTCGTCCTGATCTCAACGTTTTCTGTAACAAATGGGTATTCTTCTTGTTGTTGTACAAAATCTACGACGTCTTCTTCCTTTCTTTTTTGAATTTTTTCTGTTTTTTTAAGAGTTTTTTCGCTTGGGTACTCTTTGCGTTGTTCTGTAGTCTTCACTTTCTGCTTCGAGCTCAATCTTGCGTTATCTTCTGTATCAACGTATTCCGCAAGATTTTGTTCATTCTCTGAAATGTGTTTTAATTCAACCTTTTCTATTTTCGGCTTTTGTACTAAATTATTCTCTTTCACTACATGTTTTAGAGTGATTGCCTCATATTTTTCTTTACGTAATTTTTTTTTCATCGGTTTAGTTGGTTTTAAATTAATTTGTTCATCTTTCCATGACTGTTTATCTATTTTAATATCGGAATAAATATTTAAAGTTTCGTCCAAAATTTTATCGACATCTGCATTATCTGTTTCAGCCATAAGTTTTTCAATAAATATCTGCTCTTTAGATATGTGTTTTTCGACAGGCTTCAAAGCCACGTATTCTATTTTTTCCTTGGTCATTTCTTTTTTTTCGGTTTTAGTTGGTTTTAATTCTATTTCTTGTAGTTTTTCTTTCGGAATATCCTTGACTACTCTCTGAATTTTTTTCAATAATACTTCTTCATTTGTCCATGATTTTAATTTTTCATTTTCAAGGGAAGGTTTTTCCTTTTTATCCTCTTTATCATTTTTTAATTTTCTCCACGGAGTTTTTTCCAAGGGTCGTGGTCTATGACTAGCACGTCCTTTTCGCCATGCTAATGTTTCATCGCCAGGCTGCAAAGGAGTGCCAATAGGAAAACCTTCTTCATCCAGCTCCACTACATTTTTCTTTAACTTTTTTATGGTTTCGTCATCGACAATAGATCCAAATCGAAGGTTTGTATCTTTTGCAAAAGAATTATGTTCTTCTTTTTCCGAAACTACATTCTCATAGTATACTCCTTTTCTTTCTGAAATCATAATATTTTTATGTTGTTTGTAACAAAATGACTTAAAATTTATATTATAATTACGAAAAAAATGTGTAGTAACCTTATCATATTTTATAGCACTGCGTGGCTTAAGTTTATATTTATATCATGCTTTTCTACGGCATAAGTCGTACTTTTTGTCTCCGCGTGTTTCGCATCGCACTCTCTACGCTAGTGCGCTAAAGTCACTTCGTGGTAACAGAAAGTGTAACTGTTACTCGAGAAAAAGGGTATAAATGTGAACTTTAATGTGAAACCTTCGCTACAGTCCGGCCTTAAACCACGCCGTACCATAAATGGTTACTTATGTCACTTGTATCATAAAGTACTAATTGTTTAGTCAAAATATTTCACACGGTTATTTATTTACAAGAAAAATCCAAAACTGTTCAATAATGTAAAAAGTAAATTTTGGATAAAAATATAAGATTTTGAGCATATGGAGCGAGAAACTGTAAAGCCTCAAAGGACATGTAATTATCTGTCGAGGCAAAACTACGATAAACATGAGCTCTGTGATTTTGTTTTTTCTCTTTGTAGGCGTATACATTACTATTTATGAATTTCAAAGCCGAAATTAATTAATTCTGTTTCAGCCACAGAGTCAAAAATATGAGTTTGGAAATACTAGATTACGTTCGAAGGCTTTGCCTCGGCTGATAATGCTCGTATGAGCTATGGTTTTAGTTTTTCGATTCTCAAGCACTGAATCCACTATCTCTCGACGAATTAATCATGAATGAAACGAAAATATTCACTCATATAATAAAGATATCAAATAAATCTTGAAATAATTTATTGACGTCTTCTGCAGTCATCAAGTAAATTGGCAAGTATCTCATAATCTAAGAAATGAAGGACTTTTTTCCAATTTATATTAAAAACTTATTACAAAAATTAGTTTTTTCAAAAAATCACACTAAGAACAGTCTTAGATACATGAAAGTTCTTTGTTCTTATTTGCTTTGTTTCAAGCATTGTATTCCTATAAATTTATGATATATAGTTTTGTGTCTTGAATATAAAAAATTACTTTTTAATGGTTTTATTAATTTCGTTATAGTTTATATCTTTTCATAACACATAAATGAACATTAACAAATGAATTTTCCATCCCCGTGATTTCTTTTTTTTTTACTTGAGGAATCATTTTACAGATTTTAATAAAAAATTCAATTTCCGATTAAATAATTCTGAAAATCTTTGTATGTGCCCACTTGCCTATCACCCCGACGCCTTGGGATCGAGACAGGGTTGCTGTATTGTTTTTTTCATTTCATTATCAATTAAAAAATGGAGCTAGATTTCAGGTCAAAAATCCTTCATTTTTTTAAAAATAACGTTTATTTTATTATAGTTCAATGCTTTTCCCGATAAAAAATTAATAATTGTTCGTACTTATTATTTAAACTATTAGCGAAAAATCAAATACGAGAGAACGTCAGCGATTAAGGAATGACGCCAGTCGAATATTACTTTTAATTCTTATTATGCTTAATTATTTGTACAAAGTAAGAGATGAAAATTTGTCTACAAATACTTTACAAAATTTGATTAGAATTATCTCGTCCAAATTTATTGAAAAAATTGTACAAATTTAACTAAAAAGAAAAATTCTAAAATTGTATTGATCATATGCTCGTGCAATAAGTGATTAAAAATTGGATTATCATGTGAATTCATGCTGGTAAGAAATGATCTGTTAAATAAGGTAGCCGCTTAGTCTTACTTTCATTGAAATAAGAGATTATGAGGGATTGTTAAAATGTTATTTGTTGGTAAAGTGCACACTTAGTTATAAATTTTAGTTTTGTATCGATCAAAAAAATATAAGCATTATAAATTTTTTTACACGAACACTTGTGAAGATTTCATACGACAAATTTTATCGAAACTTGAAAACGTTTATTATTAATATTAGCCCAATATTTAAAAATTAAAATCAATACATAAAAAAGTAAACAAAATTTGAAATGGTATAATGTGACTTAAGCAAAATTCGAGTTTATTAGTAGAAATTTATAAAATAATACATCTAAAAGCCAAAGTGACGAAGGTGGCGCATGTTATAACAAGACAAAAACAATCAAAATTCAGTTAATTTTTAATTACAGTGGCGTAAATGTATTATATTATGTGCATCGAATTTTTATTTCACACAGTGGATAATGCTTATACTTAGAATCAAAAATAGATAGGTATTTGTTTGGATTACATACTTTATTAAAACAATATACATTAGAGAGCTTTCCAATGTAACGAAATACATTAATCAACAATAAAATTTTTTTGTAAAGTACAAGTGTCACGTTGTTGTTCTGATAATGGTAATATTATGTTTATACTAATATCGCTCGGTAAATTAGTAGTATATTGTATCGTGTTTGACTTTCTAAGATAAGTATTTTGAAAATCCGAAATTACCTTCGCTAAAATATATTTTACAGAATTCTGGTTGGTTTTCTTGTTTTCAAGTAGTTTGCATGAACCGTATTGATGTTTATAAATGTTTAATTTGAAAAAATTTAATAAAATTGAAAATTGTAATACAAATTTCGTGATATTTTTCGACCGCAATATTACTTAAACATTAATTTTACAACTTTTATCTCTATCTTTTCAAACAAAATTGTACCAAGTATCCATATTTAATTATATAATAAAAATCATTTTTCTCTAACATCTAATTTTTTAAATTAAGAAATAATATACTATAAGTAAAGTATCGGTGTGAAACTGAAGATTATGAAAAAAATTTGGAAATCATTATATTAGTGTACTATAAAATGTTCATAATATTATCATTTCTGATAGGAAGTCTTCTCAAAGTGTATACCAAGTCGTATGAATAATACCTTGAAAAGTACAATTTTTAACAAGAGAAAATATCTCGGTTAAGAAAATTATGGCGAAATTGTCATGAAAAGCAGGTTTTATTCAAATAGTATAATTGATAAATGTTAGTCAAATGAACAAAGTTTTCATTGACAAAGGAAAATCCAATAGTTTCCACAATTTTTATTCAAATTTTGTCGTACAATTTGTCTTTATTATTAGTAAATATTAGATTGACGAATACGATTAAATATTTAAAAATTTTCATAGTCCTCAAGTTATTTTAAATTATACACTGATATATAATGATGAACAAAAATGTTTCACATACGTTTTTCACAATAAATAACAATAATATCACTTAAATACTAAATCTTAGCACTTCCTAAGAGATATTCAAAATTTAGATTTTTAATCAACATCCGTTTAAACGTAAGTATTGGAAATATTGCTATTTTTTAGTGTTTTACACTTTTAATTAAATTACTTTCGACATTTAGTTGATAGCACCACCTTCGTCATAATATCATTATAATATCGAAATTCAAACACATTTATAAATGTTAGTAGAAAACTACTCGATTGCAGACGTTGAATATACATTAACATCTACAAATTATATTGTTAAACAAAGCGGATCAAAAATTAAGATCATAAAGAGAGGCAGTGCGGCATCAAAGAATTCTTAAGTACCAATACAAATGTATTCGTCTCAATTTTTTTATCAAATGAAAGTCACTATTTTTGATAGGAGGGATTAACATTTTACCAGATAGCAATTTTTAATTTAGTCCTTACTTTTAACGATGAGTTTAGCTGATGATTCAACAGTGCCAGCTGCAGTTGTAGCTCGACAAGTAAATGTTCCAGTATCTTCTTCGTATGTAGTCGCAATTAATAGCACTGCATTATTGCCTTCATGAATCATCTATAAATTGAATTTCAAAGCAATGAATGGTTGACTCAAAAATAGATATCAATTGAGAAGAAAATTAAATATTAATTTATATTTAGAAAAAATTTTGTTTATATTTTATAACACTCATTATTCGATGTAGATTGGAAAAATTTAAATGATACATTGATGAAATAATTTTACTTTTAACTGGTTTTCGTTTTACTTACTTGAAAATCAGGCGATTCTGGAATAAGTACACCTTCACGATACCATTGTATTGTAGGTTTAAGTTTTGCTGGTAAAACTTGTGTTTTGAATTGGGCAGGCTGACCTTCTAAAACAATTTGATCTCTCAAAGGTGTCAGTTTTGGAAATACGTCTGATGAATCAGGAGCTATACGATAAAAAAAATTTTTGTTAAAATTAATTTGTATTTAGATCAATGTTTCAATGGAAAAACTTACCAAGAACTTTTAGATTAGCGGAAGTAGTTACTTCTCCAGCATTATTTTTTGCAATACATTTGTAAATACCTTCATCCTCCGGAAATGCCTCTGATATTCTTAATGTACACAGATCAACTTCTTTCTGCATTTGGAAATACTTAGACGGTTTGATTACCTGGAAATGGTTAATTTTATAAGTCCCTAATTCACTGTAGTTTTTAGTATACAGCTTTTTTATTTTAATTTAAGCTTGAGCATAATATATATTTATTTACTTACTTTATCACCTTTTTTCCATTGAATATTTGGAATAGGTTTTCCAACTACACGACAAGAAAATGCAACCGAAGTTCCTTCTTTGATTGTTTGGTCTTGCAAAGGTTGCAGAATGGTTGGAATTTGTTCTATGTCAGTTGATAATGTTTTTGATGTTTTTTGCTGCGTTTGGAGTTTTTGAACAGTACATTCAGCTTCGCAACGAGCTTCTCCTGCGCTGTTTATTGCGACACATTCATATTTACCGTTATCATCTGGAACACTTTCTAAAATTAAGAGAGTATAGATATCGTCTTCTTCCAAAGTCTTGTATCGAATATCAGGTCTAATTTTTTTCCCATTCTAAAAAGAAAAATTATTTAAATATCTTGTTTTACAGTTTATATGTATGGACTATGATGAAAAGTTATATTTTTTACCTTTAACCAATAAACATCAATTGGTTTAGTACCGGTTACTTTAGCATCAAATCTAGCTAATTGACCATTCTTAACAACCACATTTTGAATTGTAGTAATAAAACTAGGAGGAACTACACCAGTACGTCCAGGTCTGCGTTTTTCTTCTACAACAAGATTTGCGCTACATTTAGCTCTCCCGCCTCTATTTTCAGCAATTACAGAAAAAACGCCAGAATCTTCCATGAACACTTGCTGAACTATTAATATAGATTTCGTTCCAAATGTTGAGATTCGTAAGTCAGATGAATTTGTTATAGGAAAATCTTCACGATACCATTTTATGGTAGGCATAGGATCGCCATCGAATTCAACTTCAAATTTAGCTTGCTCCTGTTCAAACGCCCGACAAGGTTGAATTTTTTTAGTAAAAACTGGTGGTTTGGAGGGCTTGACGGGACCATGTACGACTCTTTCTTGAGTTTTAGCCTTATGTTCTACTTCGGTAGTTTCTGTTGCTGTAATTTTTCGTGTAATTTCCATATCATCTCTTACTTCCTTTTGAGTTTGCTTTTGTTTTGCTACATGAACTTCTCGACCATGAACAGCTGACTCTGACGGCCCAGGATAATGTTTTGGTCCTTCGTGCTTTTGAGAATCAATATCTACTTGAGTGGTAAACTTATTCAAAACCTTTGATGATTGCGATGCATCATGAGATTGAGATTCTCTGTAAATTTTAATTATTTATGAAAAATTAATTTATATAAAAAAGCGCTGAAAAATCAAAGAACTGAATTAAACTTACAAAGTTTCTTGATACTTTTGAGCCATTCCTTTAGCAACAGAATTATTTATAATTTTTTCTCCTGGTATTGCAAATTGATGAGACGTTTCTCTTAGCCTTGATTCTTTGAGTATTTGTTCTTCTTCGAGGTTCATTAATTTATTGTAATAATCTTCATTCTTTTTAGATTTTACCGTTTTTTGCCATTCGGGCACGGGTTTGTCCACCATTTTCTGGCGCAAGTGCTCTGTGGTAACCGCAGTAGTTTGAGTAGTATTCTGAGATCTTTCATCGAAAACTTTTTCCAATTCAGTTTCTTTTTTATCACTTTGATGCTGAATAAGATCATAATCATACCAAGCTGGAGATAAAAAAAAATTAATTATTAATATGATTGATAGAAATATATAGTTAAATAATGTAAAAGGGTAACGCATAAACAAATTTTGAACAATTCATGCGAGGTTCATCGTAGGCGTAAATTTTTTACATTAATTTGGAAATTAATTTTTTATAATTTTTGAATTCATAAATTATTACGTCGTACATCAAAATAAAAAATTACAACGCAGATTTATTATAATAATGACACTCAATTTTTCGAAAATACTAAAATTATTCAATTAAATTGATATAAAAATTCTACAAATTTGTTCATTAAATTATAAAAATTGGAATGTATCGGAGGAATTAATATTATTTAATTACAAGTATATTTTCATTGGGGGATGCTTTGTATTATTTCATAGTCATATTTTATCATCGTAAAATATGTACATTGGTAACAAACAAAAATTTTATGGGATTAGAAAATCATTAAACTCGTTTTTTTTTTAATTTCAACATGTTTCTGGTACTGTACCAGTTTTTTTGTTTTCATCCAAATAAATTTTCAAAAATATCAAACAAGATGAAAACACGAAAACATTTCTTAAGGTTGTAATAAAATTAATTAAGAGGAAAAAATCGTTCACATTGGATATTTTCATATCAATGATGCAAAAAAATGATGGTTTTTGCAAAAATCATACCTGGAAAATTTCCACCAAGATCTGTTTATCCACTTGTCATAAAATATTATTTAGGACAAGATATAGCTCATCCTTATTTACAATTTTATGATTATAAACCAAATTCTTTTTCTTGAGCAAATTATCAATGCTGCTATTTTTAAAGGAAAACGGATGGTATTATGGAATTCTAGGACTTTGTAGTGTTTTCAGTGAAATTTGTGTAATTTAAGGTATAAAATGTTCATTCACAGTTTTTTTGTGTTTAGAATAACCACATGAATTTGATTTTTTTGTCTATCCGCGCTTGTTACGATGTATATATTGTTTTTCGATCGATGTAAACTTCAATCTTACACAAGTTTTGAGTACTTGTATAATTTGAGTATAAGCTCAATTTAGATTATTTTTTACGTTAATATTAAATTTACTTACGTCTAGGTGATGATTTGAGAACTCCTCGATAGTCATCACTACGAGGTTTTACTGTAAGTGTAGTTTCAGTTCGAGTTTCTCCCAAAGAATTTCTAGCTATAACTTCAATTTTGCCATTGTCATATTGCCTTGTTTTTGGTATGTCCATGTGGTACATGCCATCATATGTTAACTTATAGCGGGAGCCCTAATATAAAAAATTCAATTTATAAAAATTGATCAATCAATTTATTAATGCCTAGAAACATCTATACTATAACATAAAATAAGCATTTGAAAAATAATCAATCATCCTTACATTTACTACTGTATGGCCGTTAATGTTCCAAATAACTCGTGGTTTTGGATAACCAGTTACTCTACAACAGAATCTTGACAAATCTCCTTCTTCCACTGTCACTGCTTCAGGCTTGCTAACGAATGTAGGAGCTGCTCGTACTTTTTCTGTTTCGGTTACTTCTTCGGCAGTACTAAGACAAAAATTTTATGTTCATATATTTAGCTATTGTAATAAGCAATTATATGATTTTCATACTATATAATTCAAATTATGCTTACACTTGCCACGATGCCTCCATTTCACGTATTTTTTCGATACTCTTCATACCTTTTGGAAGTTGGGAATCATAAATTATTCCCGGTTTTCCGATCGTTTTGATAATTGCTTTTGTTTCATCCGACCCATAAAGATTTGTAGCCCTACATAAATATTCGCCGCTATCTTCGGGATATACCCATCCAAAATTCATTGCAACATAACCAAAGTCATAAATTGGAGTGAATCTATTCTTATGTGGCAAAGGCTTTCCATTCAAAAACCATTCAACTTTCATATTTGGATCTCCAACAGGGGCTAGTTGACATTCAAATTTGCTACTATTCATTTCCACGAGATCTACCTCGTCTTTTATTTGTGTGACAAAACGAGGTGGTTGCTTTTTCTCAGCATCGTATAAGTCTTCTTCTGTAAGATGTACTTCTGACGTATATTTTTTTATTGTCGCTTCCATTTGCATTAATGCTTCCGACTTTTTCATTCCTTTTGGAACTTGATTCTGAAGAATGATACTTGGAAGAGCTAAAATAATAATCAAAAATAAAAAATAATTACATCCTATCATTTATGAATGTTAAGATAATAAAAATTTTACTCACTTTTGCAAGAAACTGAAGCTTGAGTTGAATCTTCACCTAAATCATTTATAGCTTTACACACATAAGTTCCAGAATCTTCAGGATAAACATATAAAATATCCATTGATACAAAGCCCATATCATAAGTTGTACGATATCTATGGCCTGCGGGAATGAGTTTTCCATTTCTATACCACTCTATACGTAAATTAGAATCATCTCTGGGTTCTACTTGACATTCAAAACGAACGTTTTCATTTTCTTCGACAGTTGCAGATTTTATTTGCGTAATAAATCTTGGAGGTTGACGAGGTTTTTCCGGTTGTGGAGCCACCGTTGTAGGACCTTTCTCTAATTCTTTTAATTTTTCTCCACTCAATCCTGATGGTAATTGTGAATCAAAATCAATAGACTTTTTAGCTGTAAAAAATATTATGGATTTTTTTTAGAAAACAAAATAAATTACTGCAGTATAGAATATTTTATAATACTTACATGTACAAATAATTGTGGCTTTTGATGTAGCAGTGCCCCATCTATTTGTAGCTCTGCAAACATATTCTCCACTATCTCTCGCGTATGTATAAGATAAGTCTAAGGAAATGAATCCAAAATCATTGATTTGATGAACTCTTGATCCGGTTGCGAAAGGTCTACCATTATGGTACCAATCAATTCGCATTGTAGAGTCTCCAACAGGTTCAACACGACAATCAAAATGACTAGATTCACCTTCCATAACTTCTATATCTTTTAACTCTACAATGAATTTGGGAGGATTTGGCTTTTCTTCTTCTGATAAGATTTCATCTTTTTTATACAGAAGTTCTTCAAGTTTTTGAATACTCTCTGTACCAGTTTTAAAATTATTTGGTAATTGAGGTTCTAATATAATTCCTTGTCTTCCGCGAACCTGAAGTTTACATGATACAGTCGCTTCTCCGTGACTATTAATGGCTTTGCAAGTGTAAAGACCCGAATCTCTTTGATAACAATTAGCAACTTCCAAAATGACAAATCCAAAATCATAAATAGTTTTAACTCGAGAACCTGCTAGAAGTGGTTTTCCATTGTGGAACCATTCAACTCTCATGCTAGAATCATTAACTGGTTGTAATCTACATTCAAAGTGAGCCAAAGAATTTTCTGAAAGACTTAAATCAGATGGTGTTGTGATAAATTCTGGTGGTTTTCCAGTATCGTCATCAAATATCATTTGTACAGATTCTATTCCAAGTCCTTCCAATTCAGCAATTTTATCGATCGTACCTTCCATTCCTTTGGGAAGTTGGGACTCTAATATTATGCTACGTTTTCCTGTACATTTCATTGAGCAAGTTGTTACAGCTTCTCCATAATCATTTATTGCTCGACAACTGTATTCTCCAGAATCTTCTGGGTATATAGGGGATATTTCAAGAACCACAAAACCAAAGTCACAGAAAGTACGGAAACGAGTACCAGTTTTCAATGGTTTTCCATTCCAGAACCATTCGACCTTCAATTTCGTATCATTAGTTGGAGTCAAACGCGCTTCAAAATGTGCACTCTCTCCTTCTCGCAGTCCATCTAAATTACTCAATGGACTTGTGAAAACTGGAGCTGTTCCTTTAGTTTCCATAACATTCTCATCGTTTGTTTTGATTAACGAATCTTCTAGATTTTGAATTTTCTGAAGACCTCCTTCCATACTCTTAGGTAATTGCGATTCAAGAATCAAATTGGCTTTAGACAAGCATCTAAGCGTTGCTTTTGTAGAGTCACGACCTTGTTTATTCGTTGCAACGCATTCATATTCTCCTGAATTTTCTTCGTAACAATATAATATGTCCAAAATAACTATACCAAAATCATGGAAAGTACGATACCGATGTCCGTGCGGTAACTTCTTACCATTGCAAAACCATTCAACTTTTAGATCTGGATCAGTAATCGGAGTTAATTTTGCCTCAAAATGAGCTGATTGTCCTTCAACTAATTTTGAAATATCATTTATCTGGGAAATGAACTTTGGAGGTTGGCTAATTGTAATTGGGGATATAGCTTGTTGATCTCCTGTGTAAGTTTCAAGTTCTCTTATTTTAGCAAGAGCATCTGGTTGCAAGCTATCTGAATAAACTCCACTCTTTCCAAAACATTGTAAAGTTGCCTTGGTATAATCTTCTCCATATTTGTTACTTGCTTTGCAAACATACTCACCAGAATCGTGTGACATTACACCAGCTATGTCCATTACAACAAATCCAAAATCTGATAACATTTTGTAACGAGAAGAATGACGTAATGGTTGCCCATTGTGGAACCACTCAACTACCATACTTGGATCTCCAGTTGGTACTAAAGTACATTCAAAGTGAGCTGATTGATTATCTTTTAAACCATGTAGAGACTGAATTTGAGTGGTAAACCGTGGCTTTTGACCTTGTGATTTATCTACGCATTCTAGATTCAAATGTATTTCGGAGGTACCCCACTTGTTTGTTGCTTTACAAGAATAAATACCAGAATCTTCAATTTTAGTACCCAAAACTTCAAGAACTACAGTTCCGAAAGCGTATACAGTACGTATACGATGGCTTGCTTCAACGGGTTTGCCGTTGAAAAACCATTCAACTTTCATAGTTTGATCTCCAATAGGAATAAGAGTTCCTTCAAAATGAGCAAGCTCTCCCTCTGACAGATTTGAAATATCTTCGGATTTGGATACGAAAACCGGAGCTTTGCCGTCATCGCTCTCAACTGTAGCTTTGGTTTGTTTTCTCAATGATTCTTCTAAATCTTGTATAGCTTCAAGTCCTTCTTTACCTTTTGGATGTTGAGATAACTCAATAATGTTATCTCTCGATGTGCAATAAAGTGCTGATGAAGTGAAAGCTTCTCCTGCCTTATTATATGCTTTGCAAGTGTAGATTCCTGAATCTCTATCATAAGCTTCGCTTAAATCAAACGTTACGAAACCAAAATCACAGGTTGTTTTAAAACGTGAACCATGTTGTAAAAGTTTTCCATTAAAGTACCATTCTATTTTTAAATTAGGATCATCTTTTGGTTCAACGATTCCCTCTAAATGAAGTGTTTCAGTTTCATCTAATTTTGTTTCTTCCCGAAGTTGAGTTGTCCAAACAGGTTTAGGATATTCTTTCTCAATTTGACTAATTTGCTTTGTACCTTTAGATGCAAAAGCTTCGTCTACTTCCTTCACTTTTTCAAATCCAGCCTCACCTTGAGGATGTTGAGTTTGCAAATAAATGCTCTGTTTACTAGTGCATTTAAGACTGCCTGAAGTTTGAGATGAACCTTTTGAATTTGTTGCTTTAACTGTGATTATTCCAGAATCTTCTTCGTACGCATTCATTAAATCTAAAGAAAGGTAACCAAAATCGTATGTTGATTTGAACCTAGCACCGTGTGGCAAAGGTTTTCCATTGAGGAACCATTCAATTTTCATTGTTGGATCTTTGGATGGTTCAACTGTACATTCAAAGTGAACATTATCACCTTCAGTACATTCCACATTATTTAAATGACTAATAAATATAGGTTCTTCGTAGATTGGCTCTGGTTTTTCAGAGGAGATTTCAGCTGGTTGCTCAAGAGCACTTATTTTTGGAAGAGCGTCAGGATGTAAAGTATCGCCGTAGAGCCAGTGTCTGTCAGCAATTTTAAGAGAACATGTTGATACAGCTTCCCCTAGTAAATTTGTCGCTTTACACGTATATATAGCTGAATCATCCGATCGAAGACCATTAATGGATAAAGAGACTAATCCGAAATCGAATGTGCTGCGAAGACGTGTCCCCGTTTGTAAAGCAACACCATTTTTATACCATTCGACACGAAGATTTGGATCAGCTCGCGGTTCGACTTGGGCTTCTAAATAAACATGTTGACCTTCAACTAAATTATCATAGTTTTTGAGATGTGTTGTGAAAACTGGAGCCTGTTGAGGTGTAGTATCGATAAACATGTTTGGCACTTTATTCATTTCGGCTTCTTTCAGTTGTATTTTTTGCCATGCTTCTGGTTGAAGAGCTTCATCTGCTATTGCTGATCGAGCTTTTACTTTCAGTGAAATAGACGATACTGCTTCACCTGCTTTGTTGATTGCTTTGCATGTGTATACACCAGAATCTTCTGGAATGACTTTCATGATATCAAGTGTAACATATCCAAAATCATGATTGACATGATACCGAGATCCTAAAATGTTTTTAGATATTAACAAAATTTATTTTAATAAATTTAGCTCATAATGAAAAAAGGCATGTACTTACCAATTTGAAGTTCAAGACCGTTGATGTACCATTCGAAACGTAGGTTAGCATCACCAACTGGAACCACTCTGCATTCATAGCGAGCTAGTTGCCCTTCTACTAATTCACTCGGACCCGTAAGAAGTTGCGTAAATATAGGTTTGTCAAATAATTTTTCAGGTTCCTCAACTCGTTTCGGAGTTTTATCAGCTTCTAACATGGCAATTTTTAATTGAGCTTCTGGATGTTGAGTACCTAGCTGAATGGTCGCTTTAGCTAAAAAGATTCAATAAAAATTTAGTTCCCTTCTATCAATCAGTTCCGAATTAATATTAATTTTAGTATTTACATAGAATTTTCATTGAAGCAGTTGTGACAGCCTCTCCCAAAGCATTAACAGCTTTGCACATATAAACTCCTTCATCTTCTTCACGAACATGAGAAATATCTAGAGCTACATATCCAAAATCATGAACTTTTGATATTCTTGAGCCTATATAAAATTAAAAACATAGATTTGATGAACAAAAAGTTTTATATTAATGGATGTAAAATAAATTAAAATACATACTCATTTCAATTGGCTTTTCGTTTCTGTACCATTCTACTTTCATAGTCGAATCTCCAACGGGAATTAATCTACACTCAAAGTGAGCAGTCTGATTTTCCGGAATGTTATCAATATTTTGCAAAGGTTGAGTAAAAACTGGTCTTTGAGTAGTTTTCTGTTCTGGAATATCAGATTTTTTCCATGGTTGTTGAGATTCAAGTTCACGAATCTTATCTAATCCTTCGGGTCTTTGAGATTCAGTAATTATACTGTCTTTTGCTTCAACTTTCAGGTCAATAGAAGATATACATTGCCCAAGACTGTTAATAGCGCGGACAGAATATTTTCCTGCATCTTCAGGTACTGTGTGATTGATGTCAAGAGCAACGTATCCGAAGTCAAATGTAACATGGAACCTAGATGCTGATGGCAATGGCTTATCGTTGTGGAAAAATTCAATTCGCAAGTTAGCATCATGAAGTGGTTCAACCTGGCATTCGAAGTGAGCGGTTTGTCCTTCAAATACATTAGTCGTACCCTACAAAATTTAAATAAATTATGTATTCTTGGTCGTTTCAGATTTCATTTATATTAATTTATTTATTCGTCAATTCAATCTTACTCTTAGCTCTGTAAGGAATCTTGGAGGAAATACGGGAAGTTCTTCAATTTCTAATTTTGCTGGTCTACCTTGAGCTTCTAGTTCTCTAATTTTTTCAAGTCCATCGGGATGTTGTGTATCAAGAACGAGACTTCGATGAGCTGAAATATTATATAAGATAAGAAATTAACTTTTAAAATATTATTGGAGTAGCAATATAATATGAAATAGTAATAGTAAACAAAAATGAACTATGACTATTAAAGACAATTAATTAATTTAACTTACATCCAACTTTGATAGTGCAAGTATTAACAGCTTCTCCAGCTAAGTTTGTAGCCTTACACATGTAAGTACCAGAATCTTCGGCATAGCTATAAAGAATATCGAGAGCCACATATCCGAAATCATGCGTTGTTCGGAAACGATGACCAGTTTTCACTGGTTTTCCGTTTACAAACCTAAAATATAATTTTTTAAACATATATCTTTTAAAAAAATGGAGTTTGTGAGGCAATGCCAGAATTCACGTAATTATGTCAAAAAGGTAATAGATGTTAATAATTTATCTTATTTACATATTTTTCAAATTTACTTCTAAGCCTATTGATTCTTTTCAGGCATCCTTGTAGTCTTTTAAAAAATCAATGAAATACCCTCGGCATCACCTCAAATTAAATAAAATTTTTAAATACCATTCAATTTTCAAATTAGCGTCATTGATTGGTTCAAGTCGAGTTTCCAAATGAGCATGCTCGGCTTCTTTTAAATCGAGATTACTTAAAGGAATCAAGAAAACTGGTTTTTGATAAACTATTTCTTTCTCTGCCTCTTGCTTGATTTCTACCGTTTCCAATTCACGAATCTTTTCAAGGCGCTGAGCATCAAGTGTATCAAGATACAATCCTTGTTTAGCTAAAAGAAAATATCTCGATAAATTAATCGGAAAGGGTCACTTTATAAATATTTTGTTATTCGATTTTTGAAATACACACAATCAACAGTTATAACACAAGTTGTAACGGCTTCTCCCAGAGCATTTCTAGCCTTACACATGTAAGTTCCAGAGTCTTCTGGATAAGCATACAAAACATCTAGAGCCACATATCCAAAATCATATATAGTTTTTATTTTGTGTCCTTGAGGTATTGGCCTTCCATCTCTAAACCATTCCACAGTCATAGTCGGATCATTCACTGGTGTTAAAGTTGCTTCTAAATGGGCACTTTTTCCTTCTGTTAGATGTTCTATGTTTTTCAATGGTCTTCCAAATTTGGGTTTTTCAGCTATTATTACATCTTCTTTGTCGTTTCGCCTATAACGTGAATCATCTTCTAAATATTGTATTTTTTTTAAAGCTCCTTCATGTTGAGTTTCGTGAATTATAGATGCTCGCGCTGAAAAAAATTCAAATAATTGTTCAGTAATAAAATATTATTAAAATACTTTTAAAATGTTAAAATAACCTTTCAAACTCACATTTAACATTAAGTTCAATAATACTTTGTGTCTGACCAAGTTTATTGGTAGCCTTACAAGTATAGATGCCTGAATCTTCTGCGTAAACGGACAATATATCAAGCGACGCAAAACCAAAATCATATGCAGTTCTATATCTATGGCCAGTTGATAATGGTTTACCATTATGGAACCATTCAACTTTCAAATTAGAATCTGGGTAAGGCTCTATTCGACACTCGTAATGGGCGCTTTGACCTTCGATCAAATTCTTCGGACCATTTAATTGGACAGTGAACTTGGGTTTTTCAATAACTGTTACTTCTTCTTCTTCTCGTCTTTGATATTTGTTTGAACTTTCAAGAGCTTGAAGTTTAGTCATAACTCCTTCATGCTGAGATTCGAATTGCAGTGCAGCTTTAGCTGAAAAAATACAAAAGCTTTTGGATCAAAGTTTCCATTCATTGATGCACCCTCATCTTTAACTAACTTATTTACTATGTCAAGTACTATTTCATATTGAACTTACATTGTACAAATAATGTGGCTGAAGTAACTGCTTCTCCTAAATCATTTACCGCTCGACAAGTGTACGTGCCAGCATCTTCAGGATTGACATACTTCATGTTTAGAGCCACGTATCCAAAATCATGCATTGTTGTAACACGATTCGCTAAAAATGAATAAAAAAAATAATAGAATAACATTCATTAAAGTAATGTAATTATACAGAAAATCAAAGAGACTTCGTTTTATTGCACGATTTTAATGCAAATATAATTTCCATAAAGAGTCTAGTTGTGTATTTGTAGTTTTATACTTACATGCTGAAATTGGCACTCCATTTCTTAACCATTGAACTTGAAGTTTAGAATCACCGACAGGAATTACTCGAGCTTCAAAATGAGCAGCCTGATTTTCAGCTACTTGCAAATCTTTTATTGGCATTGTAAAAAGTGGTGCTTGAGTTATAATTTCTTCTTGTACAGTTTTACGTTGATATCTTGAATGATCTTCTAATTGGCGAACTTTTTGTAAAGCTTCTTCGTTTTGAGTTTCTAAGTAAATTGATTTTTTTGCTGAAAATAAAGTTTATTTTTATATAATATCATTCTTATAAATTTTCAAGTTTAGAGTTATTTAAAGAATCTCTTACAATGCACAAGCGCACTTGCTGACGTAATTGCTTCACCGATTGCATTTTTAGCCCGGCAAGTGTATGTTCCAGCGTCTTCTGGATACGCATACATTATGTCCAAGGCAACGAATCCAAAACTGTTGGTTTCAATAAAACGTGAACCTGATTTAACCGGAGCGTTGTTATGGAACCATTCTACTGACATCGTTGAATCAGATACTGGAATTAATCTACACTCAAAATGTGCTCGTTGACCTTCTTTAATCTCAACATCGTTTAAAGAAGTCGTAAATATTGGAGCTTGAGTTGTTGTTTCTTCAATATCTTCTCGACGATTGAATTTCGATTTGTCTTCAAGATAATGTATTTGTTCTAGACCTGTTTCATTTTGAGTATCAGTGAGGATTTGTGCTGTAGATCTACAACTGAGATTACAACACACTTCGTCACTTCCAACAAGATTAACAGCTCTACAAGTATATATGCCGGAATCTTCAGCAATGAGATCAATCACGTCTAGTGCTACGTATCCAAAATCATGAATCGGTCGGAATCTATGCCCTAGAATAATATTTGATGCATTTTTTAAAGTTATTTAAATAATAATAATAACAATAATAATAACAATAATATTTAATTGATAAATCGATAAACAAATTATATTTACCAACAGTAACTGGACGTCCATTTTTGTACCATTCTACTTTCAAATTGGAATCAGTGACTGGCTCTAATTTACACTCAAAATGAGCATGTTGACCTTCTCTTAGATTCTCTTGATTTTTTGGATGAGTAACGAATTTTGGTTTGATATTAACAACTTCATCAACAAATTCATGTCTCTTATATTTAGATGCATCTTCCAAATATTGAATTCTCTCAAGACCTTCTGGGTGTTGAGTGTCAAGAATCAAATCTTTTTTAGCATGTACTCGTACTGAGCACGAAGTAACGGCTTCTCCAAGTTGATTGCGAGCTTGACAAGTATAGACCCCGGAATCGTCAGGATAAACTCCTAGAATATCAAGTGCTACATAATCAAATTCATAAGAAGGTCTGAAACGATGACCAGTCTTCACTGGTCTTCCGTTGACAAACCAATCAACCCTCATCGAAACATCTCCGACGGGTTGTACTCGACATTCTAAATGTACGTTCGTTAACTCAACAGTTTCGATATTGTGAAGTGGTCGAGTAAATTGTGGTGCTTGCTGAACTGTGATTTCTTCTTGCTGCGTTTTTCTGTATCGCGATGAATCTTCTAACATTTGTATTTGCTCAAGTGCTTGTTCATGTTGCGTTTCAGTTTCTATGTCTGACCGACCGATGACTCTAACACAGGCAGATGTATGAGCTGATCCTAAATGATTTGTAGCTCGGACAGTGTATTCTCCCGAATCAATAGCATTCGCATGGATTATATCAAGGGCTATATATCCAAAATCATAATAAGTTCTAAACCTTGAACCAACTGCTATTGGTCTACCATTTTGGAACCATTCAACGCGCATGGTCGGATCACCCATTGGTTCCAAACGACATTCTAAATGAATATTTTTACCTTCGCTTACTGGTGGCTGATCACTCAAAAGTTGAGTAAATATGGGCTTTGACTTTGAAATTTCTTCAATAAAGTATCTTGGTTCTTCGAATTTGGATTCTTCTAAACGCTGAGTTTTTTCATAAGTTCCATGATGCATTGTACTAGTATCAATACTAGATCGAGCTAAATTAAAATTGAAAATTATTAATAAATTTTGAATAGTTCGTTTAAAATTTGATTTTTTTTCAATTTGTTACTTACTTTCAACCACCATCATGGAAGATAATTTCGCGTCACCTAAATTATTTTTTGCTACCACAGTATATGTACCAGCATCTTCTGTTCGAACTTGGAGAATATCAATAGCAACATAACCAAAATCGTGATAAGTTTGAATTCTATTAGCAGCCGTAATAGCTTTACCATTGTGGTACCATTCAATTTGAAGATTTAAATCATTCTGAGGCTCAACACGAGCTTCAAAATGAGCCCTTTGACCTTCGACAATCTTATTGGTACCTTTTAATGGCCCTAAAAATTTCGGTGCTTGATTTATCTGCTGTTCTTCTTCAATTTTTCGAACGTATCGAGAAGAATCTTCTAAATTTTGTATTTGCTGTAATCCACTCGGATGTTGGCTATCGTAGATAATATCATTTTTAGTAATTACACTCATTTGAGCTGAAGTATGTGCTTCTCCTGCACGACTATATGCACGACACGTATAAATACCAGCATCGCGTATAGTAACATATTTAATTGTGAGAGCAACATATCCAAAATTGAAGAATGTCGTTATGCGTGAACTAGCTTCGACCGGACGACCATCTTTTAGCCACTCTACTTGAAGTGAAGAATCTCCAACTGGTTCGAGTTGAGCTTCATAATGTGCAAAACCACCCTCTCTAATATTCAATTGGTCTTTGATAGGGCCTTTAAATACCGGTGGAATGAATTTTTCTAATGGCTCTTGGACATATTTCTTGTGAACGTTTTGCTGATAAGCTTCTAACTCTTCGGCAGCCTCAATGTATCTTTGTTGCTCGGGAATTCCGAGATCCGCAGTAACATCAGTACGGGCTAACATTTTTAATAAAATAAAAATTATAATGATAATTAATTTGTATCACTTGTTAAATGATTTTTATTGAATTATAATATTACCAAATACTCTTAAAGATGCAGAACTGATTGCCTCTCCTAAGCGGTTAAAAGCTCTTACAGTGTAAGATCCAGCATCTTCACTCCGTAGGTGCATTATATTGAGTGAGACGTATCCGAAGTTGAAGATGCTTGTAATCCTAGAACCTGAATAAAATTTTTTTTTGATCAGCAAATATATTTTGTTGTAAGAGCAAAATTATTGAGCTGGGTCAAAATAATACTTTTTTACAAAACCGTGCGCACGTATATCACCGATCTTGACGCGCTTTTGGTATGTTATAGTACATGGTAAAAAGGTCTCAAAAAAAAATTTTTAGACCCCCTCCCCCCTCCTACCCCCCACTTCCGGTATAAACGTCCATTTTCGATCTATATTTTTTCTGAGGACATGAAGCAAGTAAAAAATCTGAAAAAATTCATAAAAATACTTTTCCACAATCCAAACAACCTTGAATTTTTTCAGATTTTTTGAGTGCTTCAGGCCTTCAGATAAAATCATTGAAAATTTCAAAAATCGAGATACGGCGGTATGAGCCGATGTAGTACTCGGAAATTTTTTCAGTTATTTTTCGCATTAAAAAACATAACCTCAATTTTTTTCAGATTTTTTCAGATTACCTAACGCACCTTTTGAAGCCAAAAACCGATTTTTTTGACGAAAATAATTTTTTTAGGACAGTACGGAGCCTCGAAAAATCTGAAAAAAATTTTTTCTTGTTTTTTTCATCAAAATACGTAATCTCAAATTTTTTCAGATTTTTTAATTGAAGGCGATAGCTTCTAGGGCCGAAAAATGCTATTTTTAACAAAAAATGGTTCCTAGAACCCGATGGTTCCGGTGAAAAAATTTGAAAATATTTTTTTTGAATTCCTTGTCAAATTTTAATAAATTTTGACCGTTTCAAAAGTTCGATTGAAGCTTCCTAGCTCATTTTAGAGCATCAAACGAGTTTTATCATTCCTTAATGTCTTCAGAAACGTCTTCAGATATTTTGCACTAATCTTTGTCCTGCTCTAAAATGAGCTAGGAAGCTTCAATCGAACTTTTGAAACGGTCAAAATTTATTAAAATTTGACAAGGAATTCAAAAAAAATATTTTCAAATTTTTTCACCGGAACCATCGGGTTCTAGGAACCATTTTTTGTTAAAAATAGCATTTTTCGGCCCTAGAAGCTATCGCCTTCAATTAAAAAATCTGAAAAAATTTGAGATTACGTATTTTGATGAAAAAAACAAGAAAAAATTTTTTTCAGATTTTTCGAGGCTCCGTACTGTCCTAAAAAAATTATTTTCGTCAAAAAAATCGGTTTTTGGCTTCAAAAGGTGCGTTAGGTAATCTGAAAAAATCTGAAAAAAATTGAGGTTATGTTTTTTAATGCGAAAAATAACTGAAAAAATTTCCGAGTACTACATCGGCTCATACCGCCGTATCTCGATTTTTGAAATTTTCAATGATTTTATCTGAAGGCCTGAAGCACTCAAAAAATCTGAAAAAATTCAAGGTTGTTTGGATTGTGGAAAAGTATTTTTATGAATTTTTTCAGATTTTTTACTTGCTTCATGTCCTCAGAAAAAATATAGATCGAAAATGGACGTTTATACCGGAAGTGGGGGGTAGGAGGGGGGAGGGGGTCTAAAAATTTTTTTTTGGGACCTTTTTACCATGTACTATAACATACCAAAAGCGCGTCAAGATCGGTGATATACGTGCGCACGGTTTTGTAAAAAAGTATTATTTTGACCCAGCTATATTTTGCTGTTATATTTTTAAAAATTATTTTGCTTATTCAACAAATTTTTTTTTGCTGCATCTACCCCTAAATTTATTTCAGTGTATGTAAAATAGTATTCTTAAAATAATCATTGCCATTTTTAGTCAGAAAATTTCCAAATTACTCACTAGCTGTAATTGATCTTCCATCTTTGTACCACTCCACTTTCATCGTTGGATCGCTTACTGGAGTTAGTTGCGCTTCAAAATGTGCATTTCTTCCTTCTGGTAATTCACCAAGATCTTGGAGTGGTCGGATGAAAACTGGCCGCTGTAGAGAGGTTTCATCAATGATTTCTTGTTTTTGGTACTTGCTGTAATCTTCTAATTGTTCTATGTAACGAAGACTTTCAGGATGTTGGCTCGTTTGCTCAATGGTAGCTCGTGCTAAGAAAAAGATATCAGATTGAAAGAATTTTTCGAACAGATTAATAACTAGAATTATTAAATCAGTTATAAACTAAATGTTGGTTAAAAAATGATTTTAAAAAGTGTTATTACTTAAAAATGAGTTTAAAACTAGATGTCTAAATTATAGTTATTTTGTTTGAACGAACTTATATTTTTACTTACGAATAACGTTCAGACTAGCTCGAGATTCTGCTGCTCCGGTTGAGCTTATTACACGACATGTGTACTCCCCGCTGTCTTCTTTGATTATACTGATTAAGTCTAGAGCTATAAATCCGAATCTGAAAACTGTAGTTACTCGAGAACCTAAAATGATGAGTGGGTTTATAAGATTTGTATTTATAATTATATTTATTTATATAGTTTTTTAACATGAAATTTTAAAAGACTACTTACTAGCATATAAAATTTTTCCATTTAAAAACCATTCTACTCTCATTGTAGGGTCACCAACAGGTTCTATTCTAGCTTCAAAGTGAACCCGGCCACCTTCTGTAATTTGAAAATCTCTTAATGGTACAATAAATCTTGGAGGAGAATACACCCGATCTTCTTCATGAGGAGGTAAATGTGGTTTTGGCCGCTCTACATGTTTCAAATTAATAATTTCAGGACTTGGTATAGGTCTGTAACAAAAATGGCATCAATTAATTCGATACTAATTAAAATAGAACAATAATATCATTCAACACAAAACTTACTCTGGTTCAATGACTCTTGTTGGTCTCGGTAAATTCAGACGCTTAGGAGGTTCAGGAGCTGGAGGTTTTTTAGTTTCAATGAATAAACGAGCACGAGTAGCTGTTGTTCCAGCCATATTTTGAGCGGAACACTGATACCATGCAGCATCATTGAATTTAGCTTGAAAAATATCTAAAGTTGATGAGCCATTAGCATCCGTAGAAATACGAATGTTTGGACCAGATGTTATCGATACTCCATCCTATCAAAGTATGAATATTTTTGTTAAGAAAATATGATTTCGCAAAATGAATATTACTATCGAAAAATATTCTACAAACTTTCTGCCAAGTGATTCTCGGTGCAGGTGATGCCACTGCTCGAGCAGTAAAAGTTACAGGTTCACCCTCTTTTACTGTAGCTGTAGTAAATCGCTCAACAAATTTCGGTGCCACTAGTTGTTCTTTTTCAATCACATTCAAATTGCATTGAAAAGATGTCTCACCGGCTTTATTCTTAGCAATACACACAACGACGCCATTATCTGATTTGTTAACACTCGTTATCATAAGTGAATGACTGCCTGTTTCATTCACTAGAATTTTATGCGTAGTATCATTGGTTACAGGATAACCATTTATGTACCACGTAACTTCTGGATACGGCCGACCGGTAACGCGGCAGTCGAATCTAAAAATAATTTTTTTATTTTTATCGAAAAATTAATACGTCTAAATGATATTTTTTATAATTATGTTTATTTATATTTATTATATTTATTATTATTTTTATGATTTTTATATATTTTCTTTTTTTTATATTTAACTTGTATTCTTTGTTACAAAATTAAAATTTTAATTTTATTGTATTGTATATTTACCTTGTCATTTTTCCCTCAGTCACATCTCGATCACCAGCAGTGCGAATAAAATTTGGAGCCAATATTTTACCGCTTTCAGTGTTAGAATAATCTGATCCTTGAGTTTCAGAGTGAAAACATTTCATAGTTTCAGTCGTTGTTTGTGTAGACTGGGTTGGCACAGAGTCAATCTGATCATTTGCCTCAACTGCTAGATATGCTGAGCTAATTGAACATCCTTGAGGATTTTCAGTAAGTAAAGAATAATGTCCAGTATCTTTAGGAGATATACCATGGATCTTTAGATGAGCTTGCTGATTTGAATAAAAGGTTTCAATATGTTGTGAGTCTCGTAAACGTTGCCCGTCTTTAAACCATGTTATCTGCAAATAGAATAATTTAATTAATACTACTAGTGCAATTAAAAAAATTATTTAAACACAAGAATTCATGAAATTTATGATTTTTCAGATAAAAAAACTGTGATATGGCCCAAATTGTATTGCAGTTAATATCTTAAGCTTTACAGTAAAAACAAATCTTACTGATACTTAGCTAACTCAAATACTAGGAAAATTAAGAGTTTAGTTTTAAAAGTTTTTATTAAAACTGTTACATTTGAAAAAAATCATATTTAAATAAGTAATAAAAATAATTTTTTTTTTTTTTGAGATACTTTTAAGTATTTAGGAAAAGAAAACTCTATAAAAGCTGCCATTTATAAAATACTAATTTAGTTTTTTAGATAAAAAAGATAGCACTCTGAGTGCACCTGAACCATGGAATAGAAAACATATTTTTATACAGTTTCAAGGCACAAAGATCATAAAAAAAATATACATACGCATATCACAAAAAATTTTACATTCTATTAAGTAGATATAAATAATTGAAAATTATCTTTTAATGAAATACAGAAGCTAAAATACAGAGACTCAAAACATTTTTTTAGATTCCCACTAAATATTTTTCTATAAATCTAAGATAATGTCTTCGTTTTGTTTTTCTTTCAGACTTTCGCGTGGCTACTTTGAAAATTATATGAATAATCAATATCAAGTAATTTGAGTTTGATCTCTTTTAGTAGTCTCTGGGAGTTAAGGTTGTAATTATTTTTTTTATAATTTTTTCTTAAATTTATTTTGAAGACTTAATTTATTTTTCAACTCAGAATACTAGAATTAAGTATTTATAATTCGTTAGCAATTTTTAAAATTGAAATGTTTCTTTAAGCTTTTTAAAAATTATATTTTAAATCTTATAGATGACTTAAAATATTCCAAAAGTCGATATGACGTAGCTTTAAAAAAAATTTCAATCGAAATTTTAAGCAACCCTTTTGTAATCTTTTGCAATTTTTATTTCCGTTATCACTCCTTGACAAATACAAAACTTACTCTGGGTTTTGGATTTCCTGAAATTTTTGCCATAAAAACAGCGTCAGAACCTTCAGTAAGCTTTGAACTTCGAGGTTTTTGAATAATTTGTGATGGAGAAGCGGGTCCAAGACTACGATCGACTACAGTAGTAATTTTTGTGTCTGTTTCTCCAACAAATCTACGGGTAATAGACTCACGATACTCTGCTTCACGTAGAATTCTATATTCAAATGTATCAACCTAGAAAATAGCGCAGGTTTAAAAAATATTTAAAAGTATATTATATGTGTGTTTAATTTCAATTAAAATTATTAATTCTAATTTTTTAAGAAAATATTTTTTATACCTTAAAATCTTCAATAGCATGGGAGCCGCTACCATTACCAATAGAATATTGTTGGTATGAGTGAACCTCCTTTTTATAACTTGGTTGAGGTACTTGATTAAAACCTTCCGGTTGAATATAAACGGAACAAATTCCTTCTCCTAAAAAAGTATTCAATTGTTTAGCATTTTATATAATCTTAAATATAAAAAGACGTTAATTTATATTCACACCAATTTGAAAAAATGTAAAATAATTAATTATTAAATTGGAATAATTATTTCAATAATCTTCATTAAGATATTGTAGTTCTACAAAGATATACGTAATAATACTTTTGGAAAATTAAAAAGCCTGATGAAATTTGTACAACATCTGGTTTTAAAATAATTCAGAAAAAATAAATTTATTATTTTGAATGTCTATCTCAATATAAATATTATCGTGTACAAAAAAATGTATAGCATATGATCGAGAAAAAATACTTTGAATCGAATTTTACTAATAGTTTGAACTTAATTATTTTTCATCTTGTGAGCGAAAACCTTTTTATTTTGAAAAAATATCTTATTGATATAATTACTCATCATGTACATTTGGTTTTTTGGATAATAATTTAATACTCTTTCTAGGTAGCAACTAGCATTTAGGTAGCTTGAAATAAATTGAAATCAAAGTATTCATTTTTCATGTAACAATGTTATCATAAAAAATAGTTGTACAAAATAGAATTATCACAGTTGATTTCTAGATAAATAAAATTATTATAAAAATATAGTATTGCATGTTTGACCAACCATATTGATTTTTTGCATGACATGTATATTCCCCTTCATCTCCGGGTCCAATCTGATTAATTTGCAGTTTTACATTGCCTGTTCTCTCATCATATGACATATGTACTTTTTGTGTTTCGTACAATGGTGCACCCTTATGAGTCCATGATACTTCAGGCTTTGGATTTCCTTTCACACGACCTTCAAAAATGGCATTGCCTCCTTGAGCAAATCGAGCATTCCTGAAAATTTGCTCAAAAACTGGTGGTGATGGATCCCCTGGTCTACCTGAGAAACTAAAATTTCTTTGGATGATATAAAATATAATTATACAAAGACATCAATCTATTTTTGGAATATAGATTTAAATGGTAAAAACGGTAACACTTCGTATATTCATTATAATACTTACGCTGGTATTGTAGGTGTGGTTTGCACGATCATTTCCCCTTGAACTGAAAAGATAAAGAAAAATTAAATAAATATCGCAATATTATAATATAGTAAAGGCTGAATGTAAATCATATTGATGAGTCTTTTCAAATTTGATTCAGTTACGTAAATAAGTATTCAACATTTTCTAAATAAACTTTATTGAAAATTATTTGTATCTTAAATTACCCTTTTTACTATACTTTTTGCAAAATCAATAAAAGTTCAAGACGCCATATTTAAAATAGAATATGAAGTATGTCCCAATAAAATTCATCTATTTAACTAATGTCTACTAAAATATTGTACATAACTTTTATAAAAATATTATCAAATTTTAATTTCAGAATGCTTTATCTTATAATTAAATGCTTTATTTTATAATTAAAATATTAAAACGCTAAAGATCTACTTGATGGTGTATACTTATAAGTGTAAAAAGCTTGTATAACTAGGTAAACCATAAATTAATGGTTTTTCTTAATTATATTTTTAATGATTATATACTTCATAATTTTATTTCAAAATTTTGATGGACGTTTGAGTAATTCGAATTTCATATAATTAAATATCAGGGTGGCCCTTATATACCAAGCTACATGGCACCTCACTTTTTTTAGTTTATTTAAACCTAAAAATTAAAAACCCCGTAGCTACCGCCTTTTCAAATGTTCATTTTACTATTCGCTAGGCGAGAACGTCATTTTCGAATTAAAAAATGTCCTAAAAAATTATAAAAATATTTACTCGTATTCTTGTGCAGTGCCATCCTACGAAATTTTCGCACAATTATTTATCAAGTTTGTCTTCAGATGTATTTTCAATTGTGAGTAGAATAAGCTGCAATTTTAACGAACACCTTTCGAATAATTTTTTTTTTATTCATTTATGTACTGATAATTTTGAAGCTTATAAAGTATCCAAATATTACGGCATTTTCCCATGTTAGTTTAAAACATTATCCAAAAAAGTTTGACTGCTATTTTTAATTTAGTCTGAACAATAACTAATAATGCAAACATCATAAAATATTAATATTTACGTGATTTTTATAGCATTATGGGTTAGTATATTAGAAATCCATTTATACATTTTAGATGATTAAAAGACTAACTGTAATTTATTATTCTGTTGCAAGAAGAATAATTATACGTAAAAATAACTCTTGATCAATATTCTAAATTAAAATAAGGATAGATTGATTTACATTAGTGCAAAGTAAAATAAATTATTTTGGAAAAATAATTATGTACCAAAACTTCTTATTTGTGTAATAATATTAAAAGTAATGATAATTATAATGTTTTTTCTATCTGATTTTAAACTTCATAATTTTTCTTCATTAGAACTAGTTGAATTTTCTACCTACTAGTGACTCTATTTCATGATTACCAAATTACAATTTATTCCCAATTATAGAATTGGACAAGTTTCTTGAAAATTTGTTTTTATAAAATTTACAGCAATGTAGTAAAACTTAGAGATGGAAAAATTTACTTGCAAATTTAAATGAAAGTATAAAAATTATAGGGGTGCTTCGAAAATATAAAATAAGGCATTGACGCAGCCTTTTAGAAAATGGAAGTTAGGATCTATGTTAATGTGTTTAAAATGTAAATTTTGAACAACGATTTTTATAAATACTTATAAATTTAAGTTTCTTAACATATTAAGGGGAATTAAAGTATAAAAAGTTGTTTCAAAGGATTTAATTTGTTTCAAAAATTGATTAATAATTCATTCAATAACATTAAAAATAGAACATGTGGAAAACACATTATTTATATCAATGCATTATTATGATTGGCAAAAATTCTTATGGTTGAAAAATATTAGTAAAAATAAACATATATACGCTGTGTATACCATTCAGACAAGTCAGAAGCAAAGAATTTTAGTACGCGCGCTAGACTCTAAATTTAGCACGACACCGCTGAGAGCTCTCTCAAAAATAGAATAGTAATTTAGAATCATTCGTTGTAGAAATGTATTTGTTCATTTATTCATATATGTATATAAGGTGATTAATCGTATAGAAAAAGTAATGATTTTCTGCGAGTATCGTTAGCTTGATACTATATATCACAGTATACATAACTCTTGGCAAGTCATTACATTCCATTTTTACATACTGTGGTATCCTAAAGTTAAATTATTTAATTGATAAATGAAAGATGAAAGTTCATTTAAGAATTGCCTAGATTTGAATAAAAAAAATGTACCTAATAGGTTAATTAATAAAATTTTTTTTTCTAGATATAAAATTTCGTAAAAGCAATTCTGTTTTATCATGATTCACAAATAATTTTTGACGATTAAAAAATTTTGTTTTGTGGTATGGCTCATTGGTGTTTACCTGAAGGAGTATATGCATTTAGGTATGTACGCGTTTTACTCTTTTTATTCACACGTAACATGCTCGTTTTATCTGTTTCTTACTGAAGCGTGAACTAAAGTATAATATATCCATATATGCGGTATATTTGATGGATGTTGATTCATTATAGAATATAAACAGACAGTATGGTCAAAAACGGCTCTGAGCCAGCATGCTATGTACGATTAACAGTTCTTTGCTCACTACATGCACTTCGCACGCACGGTTGATCATAGTAATATTCATAACGTAAATTACGTTAGAGCATAGTATAGCAGTACGAAGTAGTATTAGTGCTTACTGTATTTTTTATTACTCCTAGAGTTTTATTCATTCATTTATTTTTAAGTGTGAAATTTAATAAAATTAACGAATCTTTTGATTTTATGCACGTACTAGCTGGGAAATGAAGATTTGTTAATAATTTACTAACTTTTTTCGAAAGACTTTTTACAAACGTAAGGGAGCCCTGTATTTTTAGATTTATAAATAAAATACTCATCACATTATAAAAATAACTCGGCGTTCCACGTAACCAAATAATTATTTATAATATACATATAAACTCATACACGATATCAAATTACATTGAAAATTTGAAAGCTACGATTAACGTCGCAGCTTGCTCGCCGATTTTAGCCGAGAATTTCCTTAAAGCACAAGTCGAAAAAAATATTTTAACCCAGTTCAAGATTTATTAATAGCAGACGCGATGACAACATGGCTACGGTTGTTCACGTTACTACTATATTTTACGCTGCCTTAAATTCCTCAAGACATGTATAGATAATTGTTTTATTTCTTTTGATTAGTTTTTTTTTAACCCATTTATTGGTACTACACAAAAAAATTTCATTTAGGACTGACCTCTCTGTTGAGTGATTTGCTGTCGGGTGACCTGAGTCTCCGTGCACTCTTGCGAGTACTCTTGCTTTTGCATGTCCCATGACTGCTGACGTCTCATTTTGTTAGCTATTTTTCAACAACTCCAGCTTGTAAACTGTTCTTCTTTTCAGCTTCGATAGTTGATTTAAACTTATTAAACTTGTTTTGCTATTTCGTCGCGCGCACGCGCGATTTTGTAGGATATCTTCAGGATATGGGCAAGATATCCAAACACGCACAAGCACTTTTTTAGAAGTTAAATAAATTATAAAACACTATTTAAAAACTTTTGCTCTCCAGTACAGCAAATTTTTGAATGAAGTCGTTTCAGCTTTTAATAGCTTTCGTCGTAAAATTCGTATTGATTTCAGCTTTCGATTGAAAACTGTCTCGTTGCGGCGATATCGAAGTAATTCGTATTTGTAATAGTTCCAGCGTCCGCCACTTGACACTAGTTTCGAAGAGCTTCTGATTGAACAGCAGAGCTTTTTGGACAGATAAATTCGCTAAATAACTATCACTTTGGTGCTCGTGCGCTCTGAGACTGGTAACAAGCTTATACAAATCTCTGTTGATAATCCAGCCTCAACAAGAGAGAAACAGCACAGAGCAGTAGCCGAATCCTTGATATTTTTTGGCTGCTGCACTAGCGGTGCTCTCTTTTACTTCTTAATTCTCGCTCGCTCGCTCGTTTTCTTCGCACGCGCACCAAGACGTCGGTCGAATGGCGCAGCGATTCCGGTACCTAGACGTCGGCAACGAGACTCGGGGCAGTTCGTTCTTTACCTCCGCCGTTTTACCCAGTAGTGGGAGAATGTTATCTTAGATTCAATTTAGTACGCTATAAGGAGGCGCGAATACCAACACTCCCCTCTTTAGATTAGAGCACAAGACAAAAATATAATTCAAATACTCGACACTCGTCAATTCGATATTATTCGTGAAAACGAAAGTTTTTACACGAAAAAAAATTTGTTTTAATGATAGAAAATTATTTATAGATAACATCATACGGATCTGAAAATGTTAAAATAAAAATATGAATATTTAACTTATAAACAGAATTTGATGTTACAAATTAAGTCAGTGCGCTTAAACTTTATTCAAGACAACATACAGAAAGAGTTTGCCAATCTAAATTACATAACCATTTCTCATTCCAGTATGTTTATCAAATGAAATTGTTTGCAAGCTTTTAGTTTAACGGATTTTTTATTTTTCGACAGTCTATATCGTACCAAAAAAGTGTTCAATGAAATTTATTGTTTCCATTTGAGCACTAGAAACCTGTTTATATTATTCCTTCAATTTCTTGATAATTCTTAAAATGTTTCGTTATTGAGATGCAGTTATTAATTAAGTTTTATTCGCTTAATTTTTGTGTAAAATATCAACTTTTCTCGCCTTTTTCTGACAATTTAGATTTATTGTAATAAGTGTACTTTTCACAATTTTTATAGTAGACAACTCGAGTTATAGTGCTCCAAAACCCTTAGTTTCTTTTGTAAAATTACTTGAGCAAAATTAATTGCTTTTCTTCTTGAATGTTCGTCTTGAACATTTTTTCCATTGATTGGCTCTTAAAATCCATGTCGATTTTTGTAATTATTAGGTTAAAATTTCTGTTATTCAAAAAAGCCTTCGTGATATTGAGTTGAACATCAAATTTATATAAATAATCAGTTAAACTTGTATCATAACTTGTTATGCACTTGCAATGAATGTTGAAAGTAAGCGAAATAAAAGTCATCCCAAACGGAGCGAGACGTGAACAGTAGAAGTGCTAGTTATGCCATGTACACGAAGGCCCACTGACCCCTTACGCAAAACACTCGGAAATTGTCTCGGCCGGAATGAGAGTCATGGAGAGCAACTACTAGCGTAATACAGATCGTATACACTTGGTTTCACCTTACACTCGTCTAGGCGCGTTCTGTCGTCTAAACACTCGAAGAAAGATGTATAGGAAGCAAGCTCGAAGTTTCATGCACATGCATACGTATGTAAATTTAAAAAACCACACCTTAAAAGTTGTGGTGCTGCTACGTTTAAATTCAGCTACAATGTAGTTGCAATTAGTGCAGTTTAGCTGTTATACATAATTAGGGGCTGTTTTAGAAAATAAATTGATACACACTAAAACTGTTCGAGGATCGACTAGCGTATTCAAGCTTAATTTATTTATTATTACTGCTTAAAACTTTATTTTAATACTTACTTAATATTAGCGTATTCATAATTTTTGTCACTTAACAAAATTTAAAAAATTTTAATTAAAATTTTTTCTCTCTATCTTCCTTCCTGAGATTTGGCAGACAATACTAGTTGTTATCATTTCAAAAATAAACTTGTGAAGACTCTTAATATATTTGCAATCACTCTATTTTTTTCTATATGGTCGATCTCCAAGTACGCCGAGCTTAGCGGATATGCATATCTGTTCTAGATACTTTTTCTTCTATTTTGCGGAGCATCAACGCATTTTGTACTAATTATTTATCGAGCAAGAGAATAACATATAATTTTTTGTTATAAAAAATTTAACAGCCATCAGAAAATTCCCATAACACGAAAAATTTATCTGAGGCGTACTAGCAGTATAAACAGAATAATTTTAGAATAGAATAAAAAATATATTTATTTTTAATGTAAAAAAATCCTTGATAAAGAGGAAAAATTCATCAACATATTCTTTATATAATATAAAAAGCAAGTTCAAATTCTTTTTTTTTTATAAACATTAATTTACTTGCACCATTAAATGTAAAATTCTCAATCAGTTTAACTAAATAAAAACTATAGGCAACGGAGTAATATTATGTTTAAAAATATTTGATTAAGTTAGCAAGGATAACAATTTTCTCCATCAGAAAAATATCATCATGAATTCACGTACAGAATCGATTTTACTTTGTGATTTTTTTCTTGTAAATAAGAAGTTTTTTTCAAATTATTAAAATAAACATATGTTACAGCTCACTGAATCATAAATTCTGAAGATTTGCTTGAGATAGTACAGCTCAGCCAAAATCTATACACTTGAGTCATCTTTCCCGAGTTGCTGTTTCTGGCTGCTCTAAAGATGTAATGCTATTTCGGGTACATGAGCACCTCAGTGTTAATACACAAGCGTGGGTTGTTGTGCTTTGGTGGGAGCACCTTGCTATGTTATAATACTAATCATATTTCTTGCAACTTTGTTTGCAAAGAAAGCGCGTAAAGGTTATATTTGTTATTTTTTAGGCATTCTCATTTTTCCGAATACTTTATAGTACTAACCTGTAAATTTTAATTTTAATTTTTTGCATCATATTATTGACTCGATTAAACAATTATAATCACTTTTTGTTATTATTGGAATTGTTCATTTCATTAGTAAAATAGAAGAGTTTTTCGAGTAATGATTGAAGTTTTTATAAAGCTTTCAATATATATGAACGCAAAGTTTGCCAATTTGTTTTTTTTATTTTAGAAAAATTGAAAAGTACTTTTAGTAAGGAATAAAGATTTTTGTGATATACTTTCGGTACAATTGGACTAAAGGGGGCACAAGTTAAATAAAATGTGGATATTGAAATTATTTGTTTTTGATATAAAATTATATTCCAGCTTGTACATTTTATTATTTAAGTTAGTCCAGGATTCATCTATAATGACATAAGATTCCAAAGCCCCGTACTGCATGAATTTGAATGGAATTTTGACCATTTGGAATCATTAAGGTTTTAAAAATGTTGGTTACTAGTTAAGAAAAAAAATTTAATTCTACCTACGTACAAATATAAACAAATATTGGTATATTAAAAAAAATATACTAAAAATGGACGTATGAATACCAAAATTTATACAGCACATCTTTGAGTTACTAAAAGTGCACCATATAAATTTGGACGCAATCGGTTGAACGATTTGAGATATCTTGTTTACAAGTTCGCATTTTTTTAACAATAGAAAGACTTCACTATGCTCAGCTAAAAACTTTTCTCTTTCACTTGAGTGTAACAGAATTTCAAGCAAAATCTAGGAAATTTTTTCGTATATTAAAATACAAAAAAAATTACAAAAATAGTTTTTTTTCTACGCGTAATGCCAGTTTTTGAAAATGATAGATTAAATAAATAATTGGATCAAAAATCCGATCTACTTGAGAGGAAAAGAATTTTATTTCAAAGCTTTTTAGATCTCAATTATTACAATCGATCAAAAATGTCATTCAAATTTACGCAGTACAGGACTTTGGAATTATGAGTCATTATGGTTGAATCCTGGACTGATTTAAATAATTAAATGTACTATAGAGACATATTTTATGTCTTATGATGTAAAAACTTGTAAAAGCATCATTTTCATCGAAAACCAAAATTTTCAATATTATTTCATTTTCATGTTTTTTAATTCATAGAATTTAACATAGTCGTGTCCCCCAAAGTCACTTGTGAATATGGAGTTTTAATGAACAATATTGGACTTTCTATAATTTGCAATTTCTTTATCTAATGATATATTTTAATAACCATACGTTTTGATAGCGATTTTCAAAATGAAAAGGTTAGTCTCAGAAAAATCATTTAAAAACCAAAAAATTTAACAATATTAATTTTCGTCAAATAGCTTTTTAAGAGCGGAATTGCGGTTATTTTTTAACAATTTTCTCTTTTTAATGAGATCGTTATTGCTTATATAATAAAAAAATTAAATATTCTAATCAAGCGTTACATTTCTCACCAATTTGAACGATTTTATTTTGAAAAATCATGGTTTAAAGATACTAAGTCTCAATGGCAAATTAATAGATACCGATAAAAAAGGTCAATATTTTCGTCAAATTTGCCCAGATTGGGCTGAAATTTATATGGATAAAGTTGAGCTCTGTTCATCAAGATAATTCGTTATAATTTTATTCTTTATTAAATTTAGCCAATCCTCTCGATAATTAACATTTTTTTCATTTTTTTTGTTACTTCCGCTGACCAGAAGATTACTTCAGTTCCGAAACCCGAATTGAATTAAAAAATTGACAGCGAAACAAAAAGAAAAAGTTCTTTTACCTAGGATCAAAGAATAGAATTATTTTAAATAATGTTTACATATGCCGTGCAAAATTATTTTTATAATTTTATATCTCTTATATCAAATGTCCATATTTGTTATGTATTTTGAAATTAATAAGTAAATTTTTCCAACATGCTTTTAAAAAATAAATGAAAATTTACATTAGGTTCCATAACTGATTTTACGCTGCTCAGTATCAAATGCCTTGAATTTAAAATAAGTTTGAATGTTGATTGAATATCTTTCTTATAAAACTAATTTTGGCTTGACACATTATTATGATATCGTAAAAAACGGAAACTGGAGAAAGCCCGTGACGACGTGATTCAGGAAGGGTGATTTGGCACACTTTAAAAATAACCACAGTAGACTTACTGTGACCTGTTTGTTACGGACGTAGTTGTTGTTTTGCGTTATATTACGAAATTTATGTAAATTAGTACTATGTACGATTGTGTCTCATTTAGTGATTGTTAAATTATATTTACCTTCTTACAAATGATGACTATAATAATAATTTTTTTAGTTATTAAAGCAATGATTAAAGGTGTAATTAAGATTATTTTAAAGCAGAAATCTGAATTTATTTTCAATAAAATTTTATTGATAAAATATTTTTGATTTTAACAGAGATTTATTTTTTTAGGTATTTACTACATTTTTTTCAAATTCATATTATTTTTTTGTGAAACTATATAAAAACTTTCTCAAAATTTTCAATTATTTCGATAACTATTCATCAAAATACGATTTTAAATCTTTATTACAATAATTCTGTAAGAATTTCTGGTTGAAAATCGAATAATGTATTTTTAAAATTTTAAATAATCTTGTCATGTAATGAAATTTGTAAAATATGAATCATCAGTTTTATCCGTACATGAGTTGTATGGTCAATATTTTGTTCCTTTATTTTTATGTATTTATGAAGAAATCTAATAAGTCATTTCATTATTGAAATTGGAACTTATTTTTAAATTCCAATCTGAGTCATTAAAAACATAAATATTGTATTGTTTAATGCTATTCTCTTTTCTAATATTAGAATTGAATTCTTTCAAAAATATTTATGAAAATTGTAGCTGTTGGTTGTGTAAGGTAAGTGAAAATAAATTTTTAACAGATATTATCATGTGAACAACTTAAAAAAATAGTGCGATTACAATAGTCCTGAAATTTATCGTCAACCTGAAGTCAATTAGTGACTATCTCTACTAGAAATCTTGTAATAAACTTATGTCAATACAAAGTGAATTCTATTTTATTTAAAAAGGTGCTGGAGCAAGAAAAACAATAATCTAGCTTGTTTAGATGAATTATGAAAATTTATCCAACACGATATATAAATGCCAATCTAGTTGTTTAAATATTTACTCTGATATAATTTAAATATTTTCTAATCTAACTAAAATATTCATTTGAAAAAAAAATATTCATCTTAAGGGTAGGATGACTGCAACTTACCAACTGCATACTACACTTCATACTACCGAATTATTTTGTCCTCATTTTCACAATGCAAAATAAATTTTTTTCTATAATTTATTATTTTTATTGATATTTGATTTTAATTAAAAAAGTAAATAACAATTTTTTGATAGGATATATGTAAACATGTAAAACCTCTTTTAGTTTATATTTGAATTATAATGAAAAGTATATAGTGTTCAGAGGTTTATGATTCATTTTCTTCAAGCAGCCAAAACACAATTTAATAATTATAGAAGGTAGTTTTACTACTCTGGTACAATATGATTTCTTTTACTACTTTTTAGTGATTGTAATAACTACTCATTTCATATTTCAATATATTTATTCTAAAATGATCAACAATTTTTTTGTGTCATAAATTATTGGATTTCTTTTTATTGCTTTATTTTATAACTAAATTCGATTTGCAAAAATTGATACGAAAATTAACGATTTAGTGAACAAATCGAACTTTTGAAAGAGAATTAAATATCCATGATCAAATGAAACTTATGGTCATGAATCATGAATAAATGATTATAAATTGTGAGTATCTGAATTTTATTAAGACATATATACGGTTATGAAACGGATAGTGGTTATTATTCAAAATAAAAATAATCAATTATATGAAATAATGCTCATTTATAATATATATTTTCTAAAAGGAAAAAAGGTAAGGCAAAAAATACCATCTATTTCAAAGAAAAGAACATTTTTATTTACATTATTTTTTATATTGTTAAACAAAACTTAAAAATTACATTTTTTAAATATTATTTCGATTTTTGTAATAGTCATAGCGCATAATTTTTCAAAAATACAGCTAAAAATAAGCTGTGAATTTAATTGAAAAATTTAAGATATTTTATGCATAAAAGGATATATTCTTTGTTACATTTTTTACACTGTAAAAACTGGGCTGAATACATAGTTATTTAAATTAAATAAAATATTTGTTTTAATTTATTAAATTTGAAAAAAGTCTATTTGGTTCAAATAAACCAGTATTTAACACTACATTTTTTACAGTGTAGAATAATCTGGTTGATAAGTTTTCTAAGTAGGATGCTAGAATTCTAAAAGGGTGCAGGCTTTTTCTATTAAAATCCATCTTAGATAGAATTCGGAACATGAAACCTTTAAATTTATTTGAAGTGAAAAAATCATTTTTCAGTTATTAACATCAATTTTACTCTAACAAATCAATTATTATTGACACTAATTTTCTTTACATTTAACCTTCAGAGGTACGGAAAACCTGTGTACTGGATTTTAATAAAGATAAATCAACATTGGTTTTAAACGTCAGTCCTCTGAAGGTTAGAAAGATTTTGATTAATTCAATACAAAATTAAAAGTATCTTAATATTTCATATTTCCGATTATAAGGCAATGTGAATCATAAATATATCTGAGAATTATAAGAAGGGCTTAAATGAATGCTTAAGTGAAATTTAAAGAATTAATTTTTGTTATGGTTGAAGAAATTTTTTAAAAATCATATCATTCTTATTTTTTAAGTAAAAGAGACATTTTGATTTATGTGTCGAATTGAATCCTTTTGAAAATAGTTTTAAGTAAACGTATTAAATCATCAATAATATAACTTTCCATTGCTGTATAAAAATTCAAAAGTTTTCTTATAGGTATAATATTTTTCTCGATAATCCATAATCCTAATCGCTTATGATAAAAATTGATTCGTTCGTTTTAGTGAAAAGGCAATGGTAACCCATAAAATAATATTCATTTAACTTTTTTTCCTCTATTTCAGAGGGATATCGTACATTTATGTAATATCAAATTGCTATTTATGAAATTTTCAATTTCAATTTTATGTTTGAAACAGAAGCATTATCTGCTCAAGAAACATAACTTACATTTTCATTACTTTTATATATTGTATATGTACTTTTTATAATCAAAAATAGACTAGAGATTCGAAGATTTATGTTTTGAAGTAACTTGCAACGTTTTATAGTTACTATCAATCTTAATGATAACATGATCAATCGTTTTAAAAAGGAAAAATATAACTATTGAAAAATTAATATGGAGAATGTAAATTAGTCCAATAAATTTATTATGAAAGTATTTGTTCTTCTACACCACCACCACCATACCATTGTTAAATAAAACTAAATATGATTGCATCATCCGATCCTCCATCGGACGTAAATTAGTTAACCCCATATATCGACCGTCTATTACCTGGTACTTGCAAAATTGCTGATGTTGCCGTCGATCCTAAACCATTTGTAGCTGTACAAATATATGTTCCGGCATCAACTGTAAAAATGAAAAGAAAAAATAATTTAAAACGATCTTTATCAGTTCTTGGATTTTTTTAGTGAAAAAACTGAATAATAAAAATTAAATTTAAGCAATACTAACCAATTGATGTTTTGTTCAAAGTGAGTCGACATACGCCGTTACGGTAATAAATATCAGTGTTTGTTGAATTCCCGAGTATTTCACTATCTTTGGACCATTGAATTTTCGGTTGTGGCTCTCCTTGAACAATGCATTCAAATCGAGCACTTTGTCCACTCACTACTGCTATGTCTTTTAGAGGCTGAAAGAAATAATTTCAAAATTTAATTAAATAACCAAATTTATCATTTAAACATGATGTACTTACAGTTGTAAACAAAGGAGCCTTTTTTGGTAATATTTCAATATAAGGTTTTACAACTTCTGTTGTAACAGGTATAATCCTCTCATTATTGGATCCAGACCATGGAGAATCTAAAATGCGTAATTAATGAGAAACGATTGAATATATTCTTATTTGTATACCAAAAAATTGATTAGTGTAACTGCTCAAACTAATTTTATCATTTTGACGTATATTTTGGAAAGTGAAAGCTCTATGATTATGAACAATGAATACAATTCTTAATTATATAATCATGAAAAAACCTAACAAATATAAGTAATATGAAAAAGTGCGATTCTTGATAAATAATGTAAGAATTTTAATCAATACTAACTCAAAAATAAATTTATAATTCGAAATATTTTAATTGCTATTAAATAAATTATGCCATCATATACTTTGATGCGGTCATTTTTATTATTATAAAAGTTGAGTCTCTGGGGAATACTTCTAAACTATGATGTATGTCATTCAAAATACCTGGCCTCGATTCATCGATATTAACTATCATACCAACATGTCTTGGGCTAGACATTCTTGGACTAATAGAAGTCGGCCTTGGAGAAGTGTGATTCCAGCGAGGCGAGATTGAATAGTTAGATTCAAGAGCATTTGAAAGGTCAGGTGTTTTACCACAGGATCCTTTAAAATCTTCAAATTCAGAAAATTCGCTTTCTGAATTTGGTTCCCATTTAACACTTTTACTGAGTTTTCCACATGATTTTCGAGGAAAGGTATGGTAATTTTGATGGTCAGATATGTTGGAACCACTTCTTTGTCGAGAATCGTACTCGTGAATAACTGGTACTTCGATGTCACTCTCTGATACTTTTCGTGTTACTGATTTTTGTAATTTATTCACTTCCGATTTTTTTGTTTCCTCGGATAGCACGATACCAAACTCATATCCGAAATCATATTTGAAGTAAACCAAACCCGTCGTTGGATCGATTTGTTTTGTGCCTTGAATTTTCAAAAATTGTTTGGTTTGTTGATCACGATGAAATCATAGCACGCAATCATAAAAATATAGAAATCAAGGCTTCACAACATTAAAGAAGCCTCACATAAGGTTAGTCATTTATTTAAATTTTAAAAATTAGTTAATTTCAATAATATCATTGGTTTAATTATTCAAATATTTTCTGTGCCATCAACGTTATTAGTAATTTTGCATTAGAGTTTAAACATTTTAAATTATTTATTACATCAAGTCACTAATTATAACCTTATTACTGGTCAATTAAACTAATTAAATTAATAGAGTTACCATATTGTGAAACCCTTGACTCTTCTCTACTGACACTTGATTCATGAGCCTTTTGTGTGCTTTTGTCAGTACACGCAGGACGTTTAAGAATAGGTTTGTTTCTCTTTTCTAAATCTGATTGTATTTGATTCGAAAAATGTTCGGTTTTTGATTTAAAATTACTCTTCATATTTTTAATATTTTCAGAAGCCATATCTGCGAATCGTATTAAAAATAAAAAATTATCTATAGAATAAAACTGTGAAAATAGTATGCTATTCTCGGGTGTTCATGTCATTATTTTTGAGTATAGAAACCGAATTAAAAATATGAGATTATCTTACAATTTACAGTTTTTCTGTAGCTTTGTGCTGGTGCAATAGCAAATTCCGGAGGAGAACCAGGTATCAAAACATGATCTTCATTCACCTGGCAACGCTTAGATGTTTCATTAATAATAGATTTTTTGTATTTTTCCAGTTTTTCATTTTCTGTATCGCTAGGCATGGTAATAACAGGCACTTTGGTTTTTTGAATTTTAGGTGCATTGACTTTTCGATATTTCGGTTCTTCGTTTTCGCTCTCACTCGGTGCCCATTTCGCTCGAATTCTCTTACTATCGCTATCGTTTTCATAGTCGGATTCGTAAACATTCCCTCGAACAAACTTTTTTGGAGTCGGGACGTAATACGTATCTTTTTGCTTTTTGCTTTCTATTATTTTAGAGGGTAGCTTGCAAGTTTCTTGATGCGCATGACTGTCCCCATATTTTATGACTCTACTAGTCTGCTCTACTTTTATTATTCTTCTCGTATTGGTCGTCGATTCATCCAAATGCATCGTTTGCTTAGTCTCAGCACCTACCGCATCATGATAAGGTGTATTACTGCAGCCTTCATAGTAAGATTGTCTAACAGGTAGCGCGTAAGCTATTTCGGGTGGAGAACCGGGGACTAATACGGATTTAGGTCGATATGTAGCGTCTTTAACTGTTTCTCTGTTTTTTTCAAATTTTTCATTTTTTGCTTTGACAAAGGTTGAAGGAGCCATTGTTGATTTTCCTATTCGAAATAAAATGTAACTATGTGATGGATAGCGAAATAATGCATTTTGAAAACAAAGTAGAAAAACAAAGCAACTCATCAAAATTCTTAAAACTTAGATGTATGCAGCAAAAATGTAGACTTAAGCTATTTCAGAAAAAGGTTGACTACCTAAGGCAGAGAAAAGATAAGCAGATAGATAAATAAAAGTGGCGTTCAAGCATGTGGAGCAACAAAGCTGTGAATTAAATAAGCATAAACAAAAAATTGAGGGTAGGAAAAACTGCAAAAATATCAATGTTAACGTTTTTATTGCTTTACTAACTATATACTGGAAATGAAACTTATGAATACAAAGAATAAAGCAATATGGTGAGAAGCGTGATGCATGGAAAATGTCCCAAATTCTTGCGCATTGTATTTTATTAATGGTTCTTGTGTTTGATAACAAGACATAATTTATGTATGGATACTTTTCGCACGTGATTACAAAAATATATGATTTTAAAGATCATTAAATTTTATAATACAAAGTCTTTCAAGTGTGCGGGCATTTATTCCTAATTCATACCACTTGATGATCAAGTAGCTGGGACATTCACCTTAGAAGAAGTAGAAACGTTTTGGGCGAGATGCTAACGAACCTGAACCATTAAATGAAGTTTTGAAAGTTGATGAAGACGATCTGATGTCTGGTACGGTTTGATATGAACTTAATTGTTTTCTCAATGATGATGAATATTTGTTTGAATCGCAGTCACTCTCATAATCGCTTTCTCGTAACTCACCCTTCGAAAATCGTGAAAAGCCTTGTGATTCAGAAATTTTTTCCTACAAAAAACAAATAAAATTAGTGTGATTTTGGTTTACAGTGCATATTAAATCTTTCAAAGTAGAAATTAATTCAAATTGATCATCAACACATCATTTAGTATACTAAAAGACTATACTAATACTATCATATTATTAAAAATTTGAATTATTTTGCGTAATTGACTGTAGTTCTGATGAATTATTCATGTATTTATCTTACGGGGATTATTAATTTTTTTAAGATTAGATCGGATGAATGCATTCAGGTAACACTAAATACCTACAGATGATTATAGAACACACTTACAAAAACTATTTTCAATAATGTCTCATATTAGCGTTATTAAACAAACAAAACACGAAGCATAATAAATCCAGATAAACTATGTCAAAGTAAAAATAAAACTTTTACACATCCAAAAACTTTTTCAAACCTTTTCATAAGTCGATCTACATTTTGTCTGCGGTGCCTTTTCCATGGTTTTTTCCATGCAGGAAGTTCTTTGTGACTCAGTTTTGGGTGAAAAACTGCAAGAATCCACATGAGAACAAAAACATGCATCGCAACATTTTTGTGATTGAGAACTTTTACAATCAGAAAAATTCGATTTCGTTTTGAAGGAAGAAGAGTGTGTTTCTGAAATTGCTTCATGCCCTCTTAGTGTTTCCTCTGTGTCAGCCATATAACCACTTTCTTGATGAAAACATTTGCTTTTTAACTTAGGAGATTCTGGTCTATAATATTTAGTAGAATATGACGTTGACGTCTGCAAATACTGTGGAGGAGAACCTGGTTTCAAAGGTACGACGTACTGATGATCGCTAGACTGAGATGCAGATATTTGTGAAAAAGGTTCAGACTCTGTAGATTTTAAATTGCATGTTTTTGTGGGAGCTGAATATTGTCTACATCCACTAGTATGCTGCTCAGTAGTAGAATTTATATATGCTGGTTTCTGAACGATTGATTTTTGCAAAGTTTTTTCTACAATATTTTTCTGTAATGTTTGCTCGTATTTTTTGTCAAGACCAGGAGGTCCAGCAGTATACGCCATTTCAGGAGGAGAACCAGGTTTTAAATATGACGATGGAGTTCCATGATAAAGTTTCACTCGAGGTTTGGAATATCTTGATAAATTTTTTACCAAACCTGGTGATTTTAAATCGCAACCAGAATCATCCGGCCACGGTCTAGCAGTTTGTTTTTTAGTAGATTCATATTTATTTTGTACAATTTCACTTTTATGGACATCGCATTCAGCAACGTATTTTTCTGTAATTGATTTTTCTTCAATTGTATTGATGGTGTGATCGACTTTAATTGTTTCAGCATTATATATTATAGGTTGTTGGTTTGGTTTTGTAAGCTGTGGTGGCGGTTCCAATTTTTTTTCCGTTACATGAGTTTCTTTAGATCCTTGAGATTTTTTTTCTAATGTAGTAGATGATTCTACAGTTGTTTGTGTCATTCGATAATCGGGTTTTAATTCTATTTCTTGTTTAGTTTCGGATGATGAAACTTTGTAATCATCACTCGGGACATTCCATTCTTGTTTATCAGTATAAGTAGTGACTGAGTCTTTTATACGACAATCCTGATGCTTAACGAGATCAAACGGAGGTGGTATAGAGAGAGGTGGCATTTTTTGTGATTGTTTCAATTGGTGCTGTGATGGCACAGATGATGGGAAAGTTTTCACGCCTCCGACGGGAACATCCATAGGACATCGATTTTTTTCAAATGATTCTTGCAATTGTTTTGCTTTTAACGTAACATCCAAACGTTTTTTAGCTACTTCTTCGGGCTTTGGTGCATATCCGATTTCTGGTGGGGGCTCTGGTACAAGATTAAATCCTTTCAACATTGCTTCTGCACTTTCAGATTGAGCTGCTAATTTAGAAATAGTCAGTGTTCCATGGATAGGTGACCCAGAAGCTGTGACATCTTCAAGTATAGTTCGCGTACATTGCAATTGGGGCAATTTATGTTCTTCAAAAGGAAAATCTATCTCTGAACTATCAATACCACGAGTTGAAGCACCTTTTTCAAATTTATTGAAAATATCTTGAACGGCTTTTTTACTACTAATGGTTTCCGCGCGAGATTGGTCTTTAACAGCATCTTCAAATCTTGTTGATTTTTCATAATTTTTCGATAGTTGATTCACTTTAACATCGCAACCTGGTCCTGTGCCGTCGTCTTCGTCCACCAGCTTAATCATTTCTTTAGGACCTCTAGCGAAATTTTCACTGCCTTGAGTTATAGATTCAAAAAATTTAAGTGCGTCTTTGCGAGCAATGGTGGATGTTTCTATGTTTTCATTAGCTGTTACTTCAGAATTTTCTTGAATATTTGATTCATTTTCACCAGTGTTTTCTATTCTTTCAATTTTTTCTTCCCTTTTAAATGCATCCAAAGGTGCTGGTTTATGTTCTAGTTTCATGTGAAATTTCTGTTCGGACTTAGTTTCAGTGTGATGAGATTCAACAGAAGACGATATCATTTCTGTTCGCGATGCTTTTTGAGATCCGTCAGTAGTTTCAGTTTTTATAGTTCGGATTGCAGATGACGAGGAAGTAGCTGGAATCGGTGTCTTAATAGCTGCACTTGGCTGTATCATAGTCGTCGTAATTTGTTCCGTGGTTAAATTTGCACTAGGTATTTCGGTGGGTACTCCACAACAAGGCTATGATCGAATAATTATATATTAAATAATTAATTTTTTACATTTCAAGATTTAAATTTTATCAAGAGAATTTTTAGAATAAATTTTTAGCTATAATGCTGGAATTAATTACTAGTATAGCATTGCGGAGTATAAGTTCACATTTATGGTACGCTGTTTCGATCCCCAGCAAAATGTACGAATTAAATCTCGGTAAAGCGGGCATATATGTGAACTTAGCCCACTGCTATAAAATTGCGTACGATACTCGTATTATTGAGGACACTTTTAGCTATCAGGACGCTGTGACATAAAGTGTTACTTATGGGACGAGTATCGTAAATTATTATAAATAATTGTATGCAACTTGTAGAAATATTCTTTTTTATCAAAAAGCTTCATCTAATCAAGCTATTGACTTGTTTTGTAACCCCAAACTTTGCAGAAAAAGAATATCAACACCTGTTGCATAAAGTTCTGTGAAGAAAATGAACAAACCTTTTTAGCATTTTTATCCGCAAGATTTTCATAAACGAAGGTTTTATGCATTTCTACCATGGTATCTGGAGTTGGTTCGAAGACTGCAAAATCCGCAATACTTTGTGCTTCTCCCCCAGCATTGGCTGCTCGAACCATATACTTTCCAGCGTGTTCTTTTTCAGCTGAATCATAATTTAAAATGTCATATTTTGACAATAAATCTTATTAATAAATTACAGTATTAGTAAATAATAACTACCTTTATTTATGAACAAATAATACGAGTTTCCTTGTCGTTTCATTCTAAATTCTGTTTGAATTAATGGTTCGTCGTCTTTCCACCAAGTGACTTCTGGATCTGGTGTGCCAGTAATTTCAACTTCCATTACTACTCTATCTCCTTTTTTTACTACTTGAGCTTGAAGTCTTCTGCCAAAGACAGGTGGGAATATTGTTTCTATTGATAAATTACATAATTTATAAGCGCGTGTACTTTAATTTTCCAAATAATAATTTTATTTCATACATACTTTTTACAACTAAGTCTGCCGTGCTGCTTGCATTGCCCACATCATTTTTAGCTGTACACGTATATCTTCCAGCATCTTTTACCTTGACATCTTTAATTTCTAGTTTTACATGATTGTGATCATAGCTCATATTAATTCCATGTTTAGGCACGATTTCTTGCCCATTTTTCGTCCAGATGATTTGGGGAAGTGGAAAACCTTATTATATCATTAATGATTAGACTTATTTTGAGTAACGTAAAAAAAAATAATGTAAAACTTGAAATGCGCATACCATCAACGATTCCTTCCAACACAATATCCGTTCCTTGATCAACTATCATCCCAGTGACTGGAGAAACAAATCGTGGCGCAGTTTGCTTCCGACATGGTTTTTGAATTTGTATTTGGTGTTTGCACTCCTTCTGTTTAGAGCCTCCTAGATCTTTAGTAACAATCACTGTCTTTTCTTGGCGCAACTCACCATCTGGCACGTCTTGCACAATTCGTTCGAATTCTTCAATTGTTTTTGACTGTAACAATAAACGATCGAAGTCAAATAAAAATTAACAAGGTTTAGCAATAGTTTATAATTCATTCAAAATTAAAATAGATAATATTTAATTTTTAACTAGCTTTATAGAATAAAATATATTTAATGTCAAAAATTTCAATCACTAGAACGTTTTATCGAGATAAAAACTGGAAATTCACTTAACCAACCTGCATAACAGGCGCAGTTCGATTAAAATCAGTTGAGAGTGCAGAAGTGTGCGATGTCTTTTTTAAATTTGATTGATGAACTGGGCAAGTAGATAAAGTAGATGAATTCGTCGTGGTGATATATTCTTTTTTCATGGAAGTATGAGTTGTTGATGACGATTCCATGATCGAAGATGTTTTTGTGATGGTCTGATTATCAGACAGACTACCACCCTCTCCTGAAGTCCTCTCACTCGCAAAGTACTTGTCGCAACTGCTTGAGGCTTGCATCTCAAAGTTCGACGTAGGCACTTCAATAGTGTCAATTTGCCCCTCCTGTACTTTAACCCCTTCTCCTACGATTATAAAACAAACAGTGAAGATTAATTGATTTATCAATGAAGCAAAGTGGATAGATATGTGAGAATGACGAGAATGTGAACAAAGGTAGGGTGCCACATGTTCAAGTATGAACTTGATTGTGTGATGGTCCTTGTTCAACTTTGCACATGTTATTGCTAATGAACTTTAAATATTTTTATGTATCATGCTTATGAACATTGATAAAATATTATTAAATGAATGAATAGTCTTTGAAAATATTTGAAAAAAAAATATGAAATTTGAAAATTAATATAATTCATTCTCTTTTATAAAAAAGCACATCTTTTTAATTGAAAAGCACTTTATGTCGTAAAAAAATGTTGTTTTATTTTGAAAATTTATAAAATAATGGTAATTATTGACTGTTTCAATTAGCACCAGTTTCCGTCGATGTAGACACACCTAGCTGTTGATTCGGGGTTAAAAGAGCTGACAGTATAGTACAGAAATAGACGACCCGATTTGTCAAATAACAAGCAGTAGTGGTACGGGCGCACGCTATCACACCTGCTACATAGATTTGATATGTCGATTTATCTCATAAAATTTAAAAATAATAAAATTACCTAGCTCACGCAGTACATTTTATTAATTCTCGTTTGATTTCAAGTTAAAAATGAATCATGAAACACACTCTTTAATGAATTACACCGCACTTTCACATTAATGTATTCGCTATTTTACTTTTTTTATAAAATTATTTCAAGTTTTTTATTTTAAATATTATAAGTTACTAATAAAATACAAATTTGTTAACGTAAGACTGTACTCTAGTATATACTTATAGTCAAATCGATTTGAATTCAAATAGGCCTATTCGACAGTTTGAATTCAGGCCTTGATAAAACATTGATGTTATTTTAAGCTATTTAGACGACGAAGACGCTGTTCTTAAGGTATAGCATATTCACACCTCAATAAATTAATTTTTCATGATACAATAATGTCATATTTAAATATTATAATATTTATAATGAATAAAATTCATCGATGAATTGCAAATTTTGATATTTAAGTTCCTAAATTATGCAGCACCCTGGCGAAAAATTATCTCTTATTTTTTCATATCATAATACCACTGCTACAATTCATTTTTGTACGTTTTAAATTGATTTACTCTTCATTTATAAAATGGATATACATTGCGTAAAATTGTTTTTGTAAATTTTAAACTAACTCTATTTAAATTTTTTGATTAAAACACTTAATTTAATTCATACGTTGCACTCAAATACTTTAATATTATTTGTACTCGAAAGATGAATTTGTATCCATTCAAGGTTTTGTTGGCGCAATTTTATTATCTTCCTTACCTCGACAAATTTATGTATAATAAAGATCGATGGTCAAGACAGCTATTGCAAAAACTGTACACACTTGATGAGAGACGAATCTGAGGCTCTCGCTATTTCGGTTATTCGAAAGTTCAAATGCACGGACATGACGATCAGACCGACGAATTTAGCCGCTCAATTGAGGCTTGCACGCATCGCTGATACATTGATGGCTCTGTGGTCGCCGGCGCCGAGTCAGGGCCGGCTGAAAAACAAACCTTGTCAATATCGCCGATCATGCAATTTCAGTCGTCGATGATATATACTTGCATACTGAACGTATGTTATACGCGCTCTTATATTTTCACTTCCGTTTTGCCTTGTGCACTACTGACTGCGTTCGCACTCGTATTACCACTTTTCCTTGCTCTGCACTATCGTACAAGACACACTTTCGCCGTCGACGATACTTGACACAGTTTTTTGCGCGCGATTTTCGGAGTTAAATATGTACGTGAATTCGTTGGTCACATTTTGAAGATCATTTTTAAAAAATCACGTTTTTCAATTATTGTTTTTATCGATTTATCAAACTTCCTTTTTTACCAAATACCAATCGGAAGAAACAAAACAGTTAAACCTTTACCTAGTCTTTCTTGCGCACGCCTTACTCTCTTCCACACGGATGATAGACCGTCAGCTGCGCTCGTGGCTACCAAGTCTTCGTGGATATTTGTGTCGACAAAAATAAAGTATATCTATGTATATTCCACACATTTAACTTTGCTTAATGTGCCTATTCACATACTTCCTTTTCTTCGGTTTCTTCATCTTCTTCGACTCCGATATCCCACTTTCTCGGCAAGAATACATGGTCTTTTTGGCCGGATCATCATACACACACTTCTTTGAAACCCCGAGGTAAATGTACTCGAGAAAGCGTGTCATTTCAGTATCAGTTGAAAAATAAACGAAATTTAGCACGTTGCCCTTTTTCATGGAAAAAGTCTCTGAGTTTTCTTTTTACATTGATCTTGTTTAAAATAAAGAAAGTAGAAAAAGATGCTTATACTTGTATCATTCTTATTTCCACGTAGTGCTATCAAATTCAATTATACATTTTTTTGTATTATTAAGTACATTCACTTGCATAAAGCTAAAATAAAACTATAAAAATTCTTATAAATGAAAAGCTCACAATTATTAATAACTCATCGCAAGTTGGCTTGTTTAATGCTGAGCTCAAACGTTATTTTTGCTTCAATAAACTAGTACCCTATTTTAAATGCATTTTTCGTTAGTAAATATACGAAATTATTTCTGTGCTGTTTTTTTTAACTAGTGTCTTGAGATTTTTATAAATTTTCAAAATTTAGACACTTGAAAGAATTGCAAATTAATCTCGCTAATTCATTAATTTTCCTAGATTCCATTTTATTTTGTATAAAGTCTATTTCACGATCATTAGAGGAAATTTATTTTAAAATTATTATTACGTTGTGTTTCTGAATTTTAAATTGCACATAATTTCAAATTTCAAATACTTGAAAGAGATTGTAAAGTTGTAAAACTTACCAATATCCGTTTTAGATTCTGCTTTCTCGATACTATTTTCAGCTACATACGGTGTATTTTCACTTTGGGTATTTGTTTTTTCAGCAAAAGCAGGAACTTGGGAGTCATTTTTCGGAACTATATCATTTTTTAAATTGACTGTGTTCTCGTTGTAAACCCATTGAATCTATAAAAGTGCCATTGAAATAAACATTTATTAATTATCATTTAAATTTGCTATAAATGACAACATTGAATTTAAAAAAATATCTACTACAAATAACAATTCACAGGCGAAATTTATACGAACACAAAAAATATATCATTAGCTATATATTAGAATTAGGGTATTCATAAGTTCTGAATTTATTTCTAATACGTTCGTAATGTTATACGATTTTTTATATATTACTTACGAATATTAGTAAAGTAATAAAGACTAAAATGAAAATAAGCATTACTGTTTCAAGTCTCGGTGCAAACTAAAAGATTTGAACGGTTTCACAAAAAGATATATCTATGAAGGCTTGAGAAAAGCCAAAATGATTTTTGGCACATATTCGATCGATATTATAAAGCATCATGCCCTCACAATGAAATAGTTTAATATCTATACTATTAAAACGAGAAATGTTATATAAATTTAATGTAATATTTTAAGAATTTGTTTTTTCTAGCAATTCTGGAAATTACTTCTAGGAATAAAAGTTCAAAGAAATAAAAATAAATACTTAAATTTTATATAGAGGACTCTGAAAGTTTTCGTAACATTAAATATATTGACTGTTTCATACACTATTGTTCATACTATATAACGTAAAACACCCGATTAGTGTATATTAGTGAATTTTCAGATTGAATCAAATTTTCACTAATTAAGATATTGACGTTATATATACTGATCAAGAGTCTTAATTTAGTTAAAATTATGATTTCTCAATTCAAATCAATAAAACGTATTATATACAATAGCTTTATAAAAGCACCATACAAATTATCACGAAATATCTTTCTCTTTTATAAAGATATATATTAACTACTTAGTTAAAAATATATTTCATTGATCTGAAAGTAATTAATCAATTTTTTATTAAAATTCATGAATATAATATATATTGGTACTATGTATGAAAACAGTAATGGTTATGATCACACGCACTCTGATATAGTAACTGAACCCACAATTTAAAAATTGAGTTACGTAGGTATTTTCATAATGTAAATAATTAACGGTATTAAAGTTATACTGAGAAAATTTACTTGGTTCAATCACTACGTTTATCTTAAAGAAGTTTAGTAAAGCGAAATCTAGGCTTTATAGCTGAAATAGTTTCATTTAATTATAACAAGTATGCAGTTTAAGTTATAATATAATTGCTATAATATGAATTGAGCAGATGAACAAAAAATGTTTCGTCTTGAAAAGTGTATTGACAAGATAAAAGCATTTCTACCAAAAACATCATTTATATTACAAGAATTGCCTTTTAAAATGAAAATGATTCTGTGAAAATGAAACTTAGATTAAAAGTAAATTAATAAAAAGTTGCAAGTATTAAACGCACGTGATAAAGCTTATTTCCAGTTTTTAGATGATAACAATCAATACAATCTTCATTCTTTAACTGCCACCAAATATAAGTTAATAAATAAAAACAATATCATGCTTTATCTATTAATTAGTAAAATATAAGTTAAATAATAATATAATCTTACATTAGATGTTGAATTTTCTATAATACATTTAGAACTTGAAGATGTGTCTTTTTTCAGGGCGATATTATCGAATCTATTTTTTAAGCCTGTTGATAATTGTTTTTCTTCAGTTTTTAATGATGATTTTTCAATTCGCTGAAAATCATTCAGTACTTTAACTACTAATTTAGCAAAAGATTTTGCTTCTCCAGCTTTATTAGTGGCTTTTGCAGTATAATTGCCTTTATCTTTTGATAAAGTTGGTTCTATTTTTAGAATATTGCTTCCAGACGCGTCATTGTAAATTTTAATGCGCTCGCATTCAATCAATGGTTCGTTATTCAAATACCAAACCACAATTGGTCGAGGCTCACCAGTAACAGAACATTCGAAAATAGCTTGTTCCCCCTCCGCTACCAATAAATCTGATAGAAGCTTGATAAATTTCGGGGAAGTATCACTTGATCTTATTGCACCACCTAAAATTAATATCATTTCAATGAAATATTCAAATAATTGATTTGATAAATCTGCAAATTTTTTAAACCCATACAATTATAAAAAAATACATACGTGTGATCTTTAGTAAACATTCACTGGATGTTTCTCCTTCAGAATTGATAGCTACCACTTTATAAGTACCAGCATCATCTATAAAAGCTTCTTGAATAATTAGAGAGCATCGATCTCCTTGAAAAAGTAATTGAAAATCTGATGATTCTTTTACCGGCTGGGTATCATGATACCATATAACCTGTTCGAATCACATGTAAAATATATTAAACATATTTATAAATAGAATTGAATAAGTTATAAATATTGTTAAATGAATAATTTCATAAAATATGATTGTCATTAAAATATACCTCGGGTTCAGGTTTTCCAATTATGACACAGTCTAATCTAACACTTGCACCTTCTTCTACGGCTAAATCTTTTAAAGGTAACTTTATTCTCGGTGCTGTTAGTTCCATACTTTTACCAATTAGTTTTGAATTTGAATCAATTAGATTCAAAGAGTTACAGTTAACTATAACGTCGCAAAAGCAACGAGTCTGACCAGCATCATTTTTGGCCACAACTTCATATCTACCAGCATTTTCGGAAGAGGCCTCTGGTATTATAAGACAACATTTGCTGATTGACTCGCTTAGACGTATCTGTAATGAAATCAAAAACACAACTGCGGTCATGTGTCCATTTTTTCTTTTTATATGACATAGCGAAAGATGAATAAAAGGAAAAAAAGGAGCTAAAAATATAGTTAGTCAAAGTGTACTGAAAGCGAGAGCTAAGCAGTACGAAATTAGACCGAACATAATCAACATGACTGACATGCTCTTCGTCACGATCTTTTATTATATGGACTGGGGTGTAGTTTAATTAAATGCTTTTATGGTTACTGTAGGAAATAAAAAGATTGAATGAAATTCATAAAAATATGCGATCTGAAGTATATTAACTCTGAGCTAATTCATCTAATTACATTTTTAAAAAAAAAGCTGCAGTATTTACACAATTTTAATCTTATTTCATTTTGAGTATATTTACCGTTGAATTTTTTATTTCATCTAATGGTTGGCCATCGTGTTTCCAAAAAAATGTTGGAATGGGACATCCGAAAGCTTCACATTCTAAAGTTATCGTACCTCCTTCTGTTATGGTAACATTCTTTGAAATCTTCATAATTTTTGGTAACTCATATAAAATAGCTTTTTCTTTCAATGAACCTTAAAGCAATTATTAATTAACTAAACATCATTTTTAACAACAAAAATAATGGTGTCAATATCATTAATAAATTGCAAAGTCAACACTTACAATAAATTTTCAGTTTAGTTGAAAGTGTAGCTTTACCGATTCGATTACTAGCTACGCACGAATAAAGATCTTGATCATTTTCACGAACCTTCTTAAATTCTAAAATAGCTTCGCCATTATTTTTGTACGTAGAGACATATTCAGATTCTGTACTGATTTGATCATCATTTTTGAACCATTGCACTGTTGGCATTGGATTGCCTTTCACCTTGCATCTAAGCTCGTATCTTGATCCTTCTACTGCAGGTTCATCATTAAATTTTGTGATAAATACCGGAGGGCTAAATGGGCATTTTGTTGATGATTCTAAATATTATAAATAATAATTATGATTATCTTACGTAACTATTAAATGATAGGATGGAAAGAAGCTTAATTATTGATAATACGTACCCTTCACTTCTAATTTTGCTTTGATTTCAGTCGATCCTGCAGAATTTGTTGCTCTACAACTAAATATGCCAGAATCTTCAGCAAAAGTTTCTTGGATTATTAAACTACAAAATCCATCATCATTGTGATATATCGAATAATCTGGATTTTGCATTATTTCTATTTCATCTTTAAACCAAGTAACTTTGGGCCGAGGTTGTCCAATAACATGACATTCAAATTTAAATTGGTCACCCTCGTAAATATTTGCATCTTTTAATAATTTTATAAATTCCGGTTTGACTGTAATTTGAATTTCAGATGTTTCTTTTCCTTTGTTTTTTCGGATAATTGATGTTTCTTCATTCTGCACTGGACTATCACACATTTTGCTTGATTCTTGCTGATAGATTGTTGAAATGTATTCTTCCTTTTCAATCTGAATAAATTAAATAATTTAATAATTTAAATGATCAATAATTTTATGAAAAATGATCATAAATAAACTCGCAAAATTTTAAGTATAAATTGTGAACTTTTGAGGACGTTGATCTGAATTCTCCATGGACAGAACGTTCTATAATGCTTATTTAATTATGTGCAAAGGCCTTCACTCGTAAAAAATCAAAAATCTTTACCCATAAATATAACGCTACTTCAATAAATACACGCATTTGAGTATGTTTTTATTCATCAATATGAATAACGGTCCCAAACGATGCATATTGATGCATAAAAACGTATGAAAATGCATCAACAATATACAATGTACAAATGCATAAACAATATACATGTACAAAATGTATAATACATGACGTGTGTCACTGATCCTCGTGCTGAAGAATCCATCTCAAAATTTCAAAAACATTGAGTGTAACAATTTATATTTATAAATATTTACCTTTTCTTCAACTTGAACATTTGTGATAGTAGTTGATTCACTGATATTTTCATTAATCATACAACTTGTCAATTCCGTTTGATTATTACTATTCTTTTCTTCATTTTTTTCTTTAACTTCATCTTTTTCTGATTTATTTATTACTTTTAATGAAGCTATCGGTTGAGAAGCATCAGACTGATTTACTTTAACCTTAACTTTTTCTGAAATTATTTTTGTGCCTTGTAAATCAGACAATAAACTACGTAATTCTGAAGATGTGTTAGCAAATGAATCTAACATTTCACGGTTTTCAACTACAAGATCATTGAATTGAGATAAGCGATTGGTTCCTAAATGAAAAAAATGAAAGAAAACTATTACAATTACATAAAAAAATTTAAATATTATCATGGAAAACTTGAAATTTTTACTACTACTAACCAAATATTTCAGTAGATAATACACGTATATTTTCTATTCTTGTCTCTTGATATTCTTCACCGGTTTTTATAAAGGTATCAATTTCACTCAATAAGTTTGCTGCTTCTTCAACAGTTTTTATTGATGTTGCTTTTCTAGCTGCAGTGAGAAGTAGTTGGCTTCCTTCTTTGAACCATTGTTGAGCTTCTTCCAAGAGCGTAAAATATTGTATACTGGAATTAATTTTTTCTCTAGTTTCTTTCGTAAGGTTTTTCAAAGTTCTTAACTTATCTTGTAAATTATTCAGTTCAGTTTCAATTTTTGGTAGTTTTTGCCCAGCATTAATTTTAGTAGCAGCAACAAACTTATTAATTCTCTCTTCTAAAATCTGAAAAATTAAGCAAATAGTAAATAAAACTTTCATATCGTAGCTTCAAATTTTCTAAATATTTTTTATTACAGTCAATGTTTTTTCAAATTGAGAAAACGATTGTGAAACGCTTTTCGCAGTTGTCGAACTTTCTCCAAACCATGCAGAGATTGCTTTAAGTTGGTTCTCTAAGTCACGCAACTCCGCATTAATTTGATCTAAATCGTCACCAAATAAGCAAAAGTTTAAACGCTCTTGCAATACCGTTCTAGTAGTTGTGATGAAACTATTGCAGTGATCTACTACTTTCTTGAACGATTTATTGATCTTATCATAATCTTGCTGCGTAAGATCAGTAGTTTCCAAATTCTGAATTTTAATTATAACATCTTTCGATTTTTCTTTGGCAGATATAAATATTCTGGAAATAGATTGACTGAATGTATCAAGTTTTTCCAATAAATCACGAACCTCATGCAATGAATCGTGGTTTGCAGATGTACAGGATTTAGTATTAAAACAATTGTCACTTAATTTTTGCTCCACCTAAGAATCGATATTGATACAAAATTGACAGAAAAACACAATTAAATTAGAATGGATGTAGAAGTGTACCTGTAATAATTTGTCAAAGAGATCAATAAGATCATCAAGAACGATCTTGTAACTGGCTGTTGATGTTCGGAGCTCATCCAATAATTGGCATGTATTATTGCCGATAGTGAAGTTCGATTGATCATCTGTAAGAATAAATATTATTTTATGATTTGACAAATAAAAAAATCAGGGAGCATTTCATCAATATACTTTTGGGTTCAGGAATCCCTATTTTTTCAGTCTCAGTTTCCAATTCTAAAATAGCGTGGTCCAGCTTCGGAATAAAAATTACCCGTGAATCTCTCAGATTTTTGATAATTTCGAAAGGCTCAATTGAATCACACTTAATTATAGGATATAATTGTTCTCTCAATACATTTGCCCTCTACATATAGAACGAACAATAAATTATTTTTTTAATTTGTTCCAGAATAATGAGTTAAAAAAAGGTTTTTAACTTTTTTACCTCTCTGGTTTCTGCATAACGTTGCATTTGTTTTTTTATAATTTCTTTTTTTAATGCTACCTTTGTATTCATTGATTCATAACTCTGTGTTATTAAATATTGACGATTTGATAATTTTTCTATAATGGATCCTGCAGAAAGACGAGCGCGTGGAACATCAAGGTAAGAATCCACGACCTAAAAAGGTAACCCATTCTCTATGTTAATTGTTCCATTATTGTTTAACATTTATGAAAATTAATAATCATAGTATTAAAAACCTTTATGCTTTCGTCCAAGAATTGTTTACCAATGGTGGTAAGGTTTGAATAAGACGGTTGCATTTTTTCCCATTGTTTTTCTAGATTACTTATTTTTTCTTCGCTCATATAATCTGTATTTTGGCGAATCTCGTATTCTATTTGGTCCATTTCTGTCTCTAATTCTGCAGCAGATTTATGAAATTCGAAGTACATTGAGGCCAGTTGAAGACGTCCTTCTAGAGTACTACGAGCCATAATCCAAGAATTTTGAAGTGTTCTTATCTTATCAAGAACTTCAGTGTGTTCTTGTTCTTGTAAATGTTGCAAAATATTGCTTTGAATTACTTGTTGATCTAAACGATTTACATCTTCTTCTTTTTTATTGAGTTCTTCCAATAGTTTTGCGTGAATCTTAAAAGTATTAAATTATCAATCAATTTTTTGCATTTATATCAGAAAATTATTTATTTATATATTATATTATAATTATATTATAATATAATAATATAATGAAAAATTTTAACTACTTGATAAAAATCTTGTGCCATGACTAGATCACTTCCCATATCTTGATGTCCTTTTAAGAAAGATTCTATGATATCGTTCAGCCAAAATGTTAGTTCTTCATGCTTTTCAGAGAAATCATCTAAACATCTTGAAAGACGTAGATTTTCACTACAGTGAGCTGTACATTGTTCAAGAATACGATTTTTTCTGTCGGTAATGTCTTTAACTGTTTTTCTCACACCCTGGAATAAAAAGCACGATAAACTCCTTATAAAAAAAACCATTGAATTTCATTCAATCCAAAATTAATGAAGAAAAGAAAACTTTCAAATTCTTTTACATCAGACTTACATCAAGTCCAGTTGTTTTTCTTTCTATTTGTTCAAGCAATGCATGTCCTGTGGTCAATGCTGGCTCTGTTACTTCATTCACAATTTTGGCCGTATTAGAATGCAATAAAATAAGGCTTGCAGATCGAGCTGGATGTTCCGAAGTAGCTAGTTGGACCTCCAATTGGTCCAATTTTGTAAATGCCTATAATTTTATAAAACGATTAGTAGATAGTAAATTAACCATAAAAGTACGGTAAAGTAAGTGAAAATTTTTTATCCTCTGAAACATACCGATGCTGCTAATTCATAAAAATTTAAGCTTTGGTTCAGGATAACTTCGTACTGATTGAGATCATTAACATAATTTGCAGCTGTTTCTAATACATTGTAAGCTTTTTTACTGGCTGTTTGAAAACTGGAAATGTCTGGAGATATCAAACTTTCTGTTGATTTTGTTATTCTTAAAGCATTATCTTGAAAGTCCTATTTAAATATGTAGAGGTTTTAAAAAATATTTTTTCTCATTAGAAGTGGAAGTAATGTCTAATGTCTTAGAAATAAATTCAAAAAAACAAAAATGTAAGATAAATGGAAAGTAAAAAAATGGAAAATTTTTGTGTTTTTTCGATAAGAGAAGTTAGATAAAATTAATCAATATTAATTTAGTGATTTTCTTTACCTTTGCCTCTATTTGTAATTTTTGAATTTCAAATATAAGTAACTCTGTATTAGTTATGGAATCTCCTAATTGATCACTTCGAGCTGCCAGCTTATTTGATCGATCTGTCAGACGATTTTCAAGTTCACTCAGATCCGAGGCTAATATAGCTAAACCAAGGCATTGTTCCAGCTGCTGTTTACGCCTTTGAAACGTTACTTCGATTCTTTTACGCTGATCGTGCAAGTTTTCCAACCAACCTTCAACTTTATGGATTGCTATAACAATTAAAAAATATGTTTATACTGTGTTGATACTTTGACCCGTACCTTTCTATAATTTCTGAAAATATACCTGATTCAGCATCTAGCGTTAATTTTTCAGGTCTTGAATCAATGCTTCCTTCATTCATTATATCTCGCAGTCTATCTAATAAAGCTTTTCCATCCTTCAGTGAACCCATTAACGTTTCGAGCATTAATTTTCGAGTTCCATGCAGTTTTTTTAAATATAGTTTCACAATATCGATTTCAATTGGTAAATGCATATTATTACAAGCAGTTTCTAAATGTCTCATACTTTCTTTACACTCCTCAGCTCGACTGTGTATAAAAATTATATAATTTAGTTACTAGAAAAATATTAAATTAAAATAAGCAAACGGTATAGAATTTTTTACCATTGAAAAAGTACGTTGCGTTCCAAAATAAGTTTTCGTTTTTCCAATAAATCGCAAATATCTTTCCAAGCATGAGATAAGTTTTCAGCCATAGCTGCGCATAGCGGTTTTTGAGATAACAATGTATCATCGGCTTGCCTCCACATCTCGTCAACTGGGTTTTGTTTTGTCTAATAATTGAAATGAATTTTTTTGAAAGTATTAAAGAATTTAAATTCTCATATATTTTTCCTTACCTGTATTTTTTCAAGCACTTCATCATGAGCATGAAGTAATGCTTTTGCATCTTCTTGATTTTCACCCAAATGTGTAAGAGCTGGTTGAATCTCCAGTACTTTCAACCGTAAATATTCACCGTTCTATTAAAAATTTAAATTTAATAATTATTTTCATTCTATTAGAGAATTTTTTTAAAAACCTCATTTATAAATAAATTTAATTTCTGCAAAAAGCTACAAGCAAATTATAATAAGTATTATTAACTATTAATATAGTAATTCTACAAAATTTCAGTTGAGTTTCATAAAGCTTTTAATTTTTATCAAGTTTATTTATTATATGATATCAATTGACTATATGAAATCATTTAATTAAACTAGTTCAAGTTACGCTTCATTTTCAAATTTGTACAACTATTTGCAGATAAAAATAATTTCAAAAGAACCATACAATAGGTAATAATGTACTTTACGATTATTTTATTTCAGGATAATAATATATTTATAGTGATTGGAAACTCATCTCTTCATTTTCATCATTGGCATAAGGCCAAGCGAGCATCATAGTTTCTTTTGGGATCTTCGTAATATACACCCTACAGGTCTTCAAATCAATCATAATTTTAAAAATATTCGCAGTTTTAACTCTTTCAATTAATTGTAAAATCAATTACAATCGTTTTTTACGTTGCTGCATACAATGAAAGTATATTAATAATTAAATAAAAATGGATTTTTTAACAAGTTCAGTGGTCTAAAAATTATTGTTTCTATACTTGAGTTTTAAATTCAAATGAAGGCCTTCTTAATAACATCTATCTTCAAGATACAGTGATTTTTGGAAAATTTAACAATATTGCCAAAATTGCATTAGAGTGTTAATACAAAAATATTGATACTTTACAACGCTTATTTTTACACCAATTGCAATTTAAGCATTGTCAAATCCTCATGTATCGGAAAAAAATTATTGTAAGCTTACTTCAAGAAGAGCAATAACAACTCTGGTATCATTGCTTTGCAAGGCTATAGTTCCTATAGTTGTTGTTTCAAGATTTGGAAACTGCTGCTTTTGTATTGAAGTTATTTGTGTCATACTGTTTTTTATTCCGGATTGCTGATGATTATTTGCATTAGATGTTTGACTGCTTTGCCCGCAGTCATTAACCATTCTAATCCCCGTTGTAAAATTCTAAATAAATAGTACAAATAAGTTTCATCTGCTTAAATAAATAATACTTTAGAAATGATTCAATTAATGAAGTAACAAAATGCAATGTAGCCCATGACCTACACATACTTTACATTTCCCAATTATTTTTTCTTTACGTGCGTATTACTTAAAAACTTAAAAGTCACATTTTTCAAAATATCCAAATAGTTGTAAAAAATTAAAGAATTCTCATTTCAATCAGGAACATCCTCATATTTTTAATGAGTGTTTTTTCTTTTTATTATTGTATTTTTCTCTTCATTTATAAGCTAACAATTAATATATCTTTGATAAATTACAATTCCATTTCATGCTTTTCTTTAAGTATCTTTAAAATGAAAAAAAGAAATAGAATATCAAAGTGATATTATTGATGCTTCCATCAATAATATCACTGAAAACAAGGGCATGTATGCGCCTTTTACGACTCATACGTTTTTAATCGGCGATATCTGTGTGGCTTCTCTGATTTCTTACACTAAGGTGCTTCTCTCCCTTCTAGTATGTGTTACATACTAATGTTAACTTTTTCTATCATCATTGATAATATCTTAGCTCTAGTTGACAATTTATAAACTAAATACAAAATTTTTTCATTCATCTAATCAAATAAAAATTAATTTTTAAAAAATTGTTTATTAAACTTATGATTCAATTTGTTTATTGAGACTAACTTCAAATGTATTTAATTAAACAAAATTATGCTTTGTGCATTGATACAATTTCACACTACATCACGAAGTCAATATTATTTTAGAAGAATATTCATTATGCAAATTTTTTTATTAAATTTTCCTTTAAAGCATCTCATAACTTACCGGTTGCATATTATTTTGGTACTAACAAAAAAAATAAATTTTTTGGACCATCGTATTCATCAAATAATGTAGAACGTACAAGTTTCGACGTAACCCATTATTGGGCTTTCTCTTCAGCTCATAAACCGGCCTGACTGGTGGTACTTTTTTGTGGATTTACGCTATATGTGTGTGTATATGTTCTGTATCGTCATACACCCCAAAATTAAAGTATTAATTCAGTTATTGAAGTGTAAAAATATAAGGTCCATTCATCACACCCTTAAACTATCAAAGTTAAAATTTCAGTTTTTCATGTTATTTTAGAAAAATATTTGAATTTGGGTTTTTATTAAAACGGTTTTAATAAAAAACAATGTAATTTCATTTTTTTTGAAACTATGTACGTAATCTTCACTGACCTTACAGTGAGATTGAAATAAAGACGTAAAATATTTTTCCGGAAAATTATTAATAATAATTCGTATTTTGTTTTTATTATTTATAATGTAGTGAAAAATAATAATACAAGTTTCTTAGTAATTATTTATCTATTTGATTATAGATACAAAAATAAACTGTAATACAAGTACGCATGTTTATCGAGAATGTTACTGTTTGAATTCTAATTTCGTTCTGTGTACTTTGAGTCAAAAATGACTTCTTGAAATAAAGCTATATATTATTTGAAAGATGTATGTTGAGCTTTTTTCTCATATTCATAAATATTTCAAATAAAATTTTAATTTTAACCAATACATTAAGCTTTCAGATGTACAGCACCTTAAACGTATACTTACATAAAGTATGAAACGAAGTGTTTGTTATAATCTAACAGTAAAAACTATTGTTTGAAACTGACGTAATGTATTAGTCGAATTTTAATATTATTGTAATATGAATGTAAATCAGTTTTGTTATAACTTTAAACAACGGCGTGTAGCACAATGAATATCACATATATACACTATTAAACTACTGGACAAATGTGCGCGTGAGTTCAGTCCATTCGGCGCGCAAACCGGCACTAAATCGCATCTGAGCTCGTGAGAATGAAGTCAGACCTTAGAGCGCCGTCTCGCGTGAAAAGTACGATGCAAAAGCAACATTAAAGACGGATAAAGATAGGAGGGCAAAGGGAATACATTCTCCGGTGTAAACCTTTAAGCTAAATTTAGATGATGTTTCCCGTATAAAACGTGTTGGCACATACACTACGCTCGAATCTTCGATTCTTTGTTCTACATGGGTTTAAAACTAATATTTTCATGGGACAATATGAAAATGAGTATGAGAAATCACCTGCATTTCAGTAGAATTACGTATAATAGAAGTATAATTTATTTATAGTCCACACCTATTCTAATATTTATAATCAAATTTTAAAAATTAATTATCAAAAGAAAAAATTTAAAAAGTTAAAGTCAAATAATTATCTAAAAACTTAAAAGTGAAAAGTCTTCAAAAATGTTATTTTTATAAACTCTCACACTGACATTTTCAAACCAAACACCAAAAACCCGTAAGTATTTTTAACTCTTTCAAAGAATTGTTTACTTTTCACGTACTCTCAATGAATTAGAAGATAACATATTTAATCGGAAAAAGAAGTTCGATTTTTGCGATAAAAAATGTTTAAAAATAATTTATAAAATTTTTTAAACATATTCATTTAACTGCAAGCTTACATCATCGGTCTTAACGGAATATTGCAATGAAAAATATGTTACGTCTAATTAACAGTAGCTTGTGAAATGTCACGAAGTAAAAGTAACAGTGATGGAAAAAGCAGCTGATTAAAGTTTTTGTTTAACACAAATCAATCCAAATTATACATTTCATTATTTTTCAAAACCAGAATATTTTCATTTTATTAATTGCATAGTTTTTTTAGAAATAAAACTTAAATACTAACAAAATTTTGATTTGATAAAAAAATCACAATTTTTATTTGATTATTTAATTTGTTTATTATTGGGACCGTGGGGTATAAACCCCATACGGCCCCGTATGTTATAATGACTTATTATTGTATGATATTTTAAACCTTTATTATCTGTTCACACATTAACTTTATATAATTTAACGTATTATAATATTAAAGTAAAGTTTGACAATGATTTTTTTCAATTTAGTATGAAATAAGCGATGGTGACACAAATTAATGATAATCAAACTTATAATTATCTCTTTTTTTTAAATTAGTTTCATTTTATATTCGCAACTTTACAATTAAAATTACTCAACAATACTTTTTGGCCTTATCTAATAAAAAAATTTACATGGCACTTTTTAGTATAAAAATTTGAACAATTAATTTCAATAAATATAAAGTCGATTACAAGTTTTATAAAAATGACTCATTCAAAATTTGTTAATTGAATTCACATAGCGCAATAGCTGTAGATATGCTTGAAATTTCTTCTGCTAAAGCTACATTACAAGCTAGAGTAGTTAGCTGCGAATGGGTTTTTGTCGCAAGCTCAGCTTTTGAACTTACCCTCTCCCCTTCATTTATTCTTTCCAAATTGTTTACATCTTGGTTAGTCTCTGTATTAATTCCAATAAAATCATAATGATTACCCGTTGCAACAGACTTATTATATGTCACTGCAACTTGAGGTGATACGTAATTTTGCTCTTCATAGTCAATTTCAATATTAATTGGAGCCATGGCTGATGAAGAATTATCATCAAGTATAAAACATTCTAAATCCTCGATTTGATGATGATCAACTCCTTTCACATGGTCAAGCGATTCATTAGAAGTATATTGGTACGATTTAATATTGAAACGTGTATCTTGCGAAACTCTTAACGTTTTAGTTTCTGTAGTTTCTTTAACAATTTTTCCTGAAAAATCCTGTAACAATTAATAGAGATAATTTTTATTTACAATATTTACTCTACTTATACTATTAATATGTATATTATTCTTACTTGAATGGCTTTTTTTACGACTACAGCTTTGTTTATACAATCATCAACAATATCTTGACTCGAATTTAAAGGTTTTTTTATACCAGATTTTTCTATGGAGACAACATCAGCTCGTTTTATGATTTGATTCTCATCCATTTTAGGGCTAAAAATTATAGTTACACTATACCAGTAGTTTTAAAGTAATCTTCATTTGTGCATTTAATTTTATAAAGGCTCAAACAAAACATCTGAAGATACCGTATAGTACAAAAATTTTTACGTTCAAGTATAAAATTACCTGGTTAAAGAAACAAAAGCATCCTCATACTCTGAAGATAGGAATGATTCGCTCCGAGACCTTTGAATCGGTGTAGAAGAACCTTCGGTTGCAGTAATATACTCTTCAATTACCGAATCCTGGTCTGTAATGCTTACACGACCACTAGTATGGTTGGAATCATCAATAGTAGTTTTCGTGACAAAGTCCTAAAAAAATGGTATAACTCATAGAATTTTCAATATTTGGTTCACTTATAATGAAAATAAATTAAATTTACAGAAAATATTAATTAAACCATTTTTACCAAAAACAATCTATACTCCGTAATAAAAAAAATTAACGAAAACCTGAACAATAAATCTTTTTTAAAAACTTACACTTGATATAAATTGAGTTCAGTAAAACTGTAACGTTCCCTCTCGAAAACAGAAAATATTTCTCACTATTAATTAAACGACTATTAAATGTTTACGACTATTAATAGATGGTATACGAAATGACGTGCAGTTGCATAAAATATAAAATTCAGCATTTTTAATAAGTATAATCTTATTTTTATTTTGTATAAATAAGTCAGTCACCTGTATTATATCAGAGAGCTTTTTCTCTTCGGTATAATTTTCTTCCCCTTTAGACGTAATTGGTATTTCGATTTGTTCATCGTTCAACTTTTTTAAATCACTTAGATGCTTAGAACAATCTTCCTCAGTGGAGATTAAAGACTTGCTTTTAGCGCCTGCTTCACAAAGTCGTGTATCGAGTTTCTCAGCCAATCTTGTTACTTCCAATAATTTGGTCGAAATCGATTGCACAGCTGATGCATTGTTGTCATTATCACCAACGACAAATTCGTTTTTTGTATCCATCATTCTGAAACTTTTCGAGTTAACGTCAGCAAATTAAAACTACTAGCTTATTGAATAAATATAATTTAATACATCGAGTATGATGGTCAAAAGCATGGAACCGCAAAGTAGCTCAAACTGAAGAAGTCAAATGTTACCCGCGTGCCCGTGGCTTACTTAATTAGGGCAAGAAATAGTTGTCTTTCAGAAAATGCAGCCGTGGGAGAGCAGCGAATGAGGCTACCATAAGAGAATTTAAACATGAGCTTGCATACAATATACGTTTCAAAATGTGGTAAGAAAGGTAAAACTATTAATAAATGTAATCATTTTCTTAATCATCATTATCCACGATAAAATAAATTTTTATGTGATAGTGAAAAATGCTATATTTAATTAGATGACGTAAATAAAAAAGCTATTTTTACCTTCTTTTCAGCTCATTTATTAAATATTTATGTGCAGTTTCTTACGCTCAATGTGAAGGGTAGAAAAAAGTATTAAAAACCATTTTTCATATATTTTTGTTTTTTTTCTTGGACAACGCACTGTCTTCGTAAAAAGCAATCAGTTAATTTCTGGATCTACTCGGCCGATCTTTACCAAATTTTGCACGCTTCTTTATCAACGTATGAGACAGAGTCATATATCAGAAAAAATACAAATTTTATTAAAAAAAACAAAAGGTCGGAAGTCAGAAATTTTTTTAAGCTGATCAACATGTCTTCTGAGGCTTTCTTTTTTTGCTTCTCGAAACTTCGAAAGTTTCTGTCGTGAAATCAATCGAGGCGAAACCGAGCCTGAATTGCACATGCATATTGAATAATCATGATCTAATTCAAATAAAAATGAGCTTACCTTTGATAAATCAGAGGCTCCTTCAATCGTGATCTTAACAATCTTCCTAATCGAACCATACGACCCACTTCTAGTAATAACTTTTCTCGTTTAGCTAATATATCGCGAATTTCTGTACGGTAAAGAAAAGAAGTATCTACTGAATCTTGATTTATTGGAACAGGAGGCGAAACAAAAGTAGATCGACTGTTTCTCCTTGAAGAATTGACTGTTGCCGTCTCCATTAACTGTTGTAATTCGATACATTGCTAGAAAATAATAATTCATACTTTTAAGTTTGCAGAATATATTACCATTAGATAACTTATCGCCCATCTTACATCGGTAACATTACGATGGAAAACAACGCAAACTCTTAAACGCGTTAACTGCTCCTGAGTCACTGATCGAAGTCGATGCCAAGTCGAACGTAATCTATTCATTAGTGCTATGTTACGCTTAAGATCTAATTTACAAGAGATTCTAAGTACTCTAGCACCATTTATTAACTGACATCCATATTCATAAGTTCCCTTAATAGATAAATAGTTTTAGTTAATTAAAACAAAAAAGGATAAAAATTCATTCATTTAATTTTAATATAATATTATAATTTTTTTATGAATCACCGACTTTGGAAGTTTCCTGGAAAAATTGAAGCTGCTGCTTTTGAGATTGTATTTCTTCTACGTTGCATCCAATTTCTAAGTAACTCGTAATGAACACATTATACAAATCACTGATCCACTCGATTGCCTTAAAAGATGAAAACTCTTTTTTTTACTGATTCAACTATTACTAGATTTTTCCAACAAAAAAAAGAGTACTTACTTGTTCAGCATCATTTTCATAAGTAAGAATCAAAGCAACCTGTTTCAAAGTAAGTTTTTGAAGTTCAACGCTATCGTTAAAAATATTCTTTCTTGCGTTTGTTGCATCCAGAACATCTCGTATGTTTATTATATCTTCAGTATAATCTATTTGAACATCCCTGCACAAGGCATCTTTCACCGGCATCGAAAGAATGTCCGATAATTTTTCACCCTCACGTACCAATTCATTTTCTAATTTTTCTAAAAAATTAAGAATTGCTTTATTTAAAAAATCTCTGATGAAATTAAAAGAACTTTAATTTAAAAAAAATTTATGACAAACCTAATTCTTGCTGACATTTTTCAAGTTCTAGAAACTTAATGTTAGCATTTAAAAAGCAGCCCGTTCGGCTTCCCATAATTAATTTATCAAATACATCACTAGTCTTATCGAAATACTGTAAAAAAATAAAGTTCAAATATGGGACTCAATAATTAGAAATTTATAATGACTTACTTCTGAGACAAGCCGAAAAAATCGTTGAGAAGTTATGAGAACATTTCGTCGCCTTTCAAGTCTGGTTGCAAAACTTCTACACACAAAGTCCATGAAATCTCTCTGGGATTTTAAATCTCCACATTCGCGTTGGTTTGGCATGCTGTCAATTTTATATAATATCTCTGCATATTTGCCATACGCCTCCTGTCATGAAAAAGTATAAAAAAATTGCAACAATTATGTCGACAACCATTTCAATTCCATGGTACTTTAATGGAAAGACTGAATAAAGTTTACAATTCTGATTTTCACAATATCTTTCAATAAAAATTTCAGATAACAAGTTTAAAAAGTTTTAAGAGTTCGTTCTGCTTCAGTACATCCCGGTTCGATAATATTAATTTAATTTTGTCTTGGCTATCAAAAAGCATATCAAAAATGCATGTTATCCTTACCCTGCACTCTAATTCTAATTTTTCATGTTGAACTCGTAATGTCTCAGCTGAAATAACATCATACCCAATTTGATAATGAGCATTGAGCATTGAATCAGCTGGACCTAAGATCCAATTTGTCACACTAGCAACAGCGTCTTCTAAAGTTTTAAATTCTGCAATTAAATCTTCATTTTTTTCCACGATTAATTGTGCACCTTCCATTTCTATCTGTTGCAAAATCATTCATTTATAGTATAAAAATTACCATATTTTTATCAAAACTAAAAAGCACGTATCTAACTCACTTGCTTTTGTTCTATCGAATCGATCAATTTATCGATGTATTTCATAGTATCTATTACATCTTGAGCAGTTTCGCGACTCATCACGTTCATGAAAAATTTACCTGTAAAAATTTCATAATAGGCTACTATACTACTTGCTACTCGCGAAAAAAAATTTTAAAAACTTTAAAGAAACAATATTGACCTGTCTGTAGTATTTGGTGAACATTCTTTGCTATTTCAAAATTAGTCTGATAGCTATTCGTCAAATTTTCCTCTCGTGTTTGTATTTGCGAAAAATTAATATTAGATAATTTTATTTGCTGCTCATTTAATGTATCAATAATGTTTTTAGAATCTCTTATAAATTTCTCCACTTTCTAAAAACAATTTAAATTAAACATGAATTATTATCTACCAAAGTTTATTATTATTATTATTGAAAATACTACCATTCGATTTTCTATCCAAAGCCTGTGATTGTAAGGTTTAGAACCTCTGAATTTGTATGGAAGTTGGCTATTATCGACATAATTTTCGAGTCTACTCATAGAAACGTAGATTGGCTGCTACAAAAAAGCCAATTATCTTTAGTATTCAATTATTTGTAACTAAAATATTATTGGTATTATAAGAGTAAAGATATAATTAAAAAAGTAAGCTTTAAAGTAAAAAATTATTAGTTTACTTAATTTCATCGGCTCATTATTTAACAGATTATTTTATTAAAAATTTAATGAAATATATTTTTTTTGTATTCATCTAGATTTTTCGGTTTGAAAAAATCAGGTATTCGTCGACGGTCCCCACGAAGAGTAACACGTTTTCATTTAAATTAACACACAAACGTGTTACTCTTCGTGGGGACCGTCGTCGTACAAAACAATATTCACCTCATTTTCACGACTTGATCTGATGCAGTAGTTTTCAACATTTGGTTTCTCCCAAAAACCTTCTGCTCTTACGACAATAACACGCGATGGTGATTCTGGACAGAGCTTGCGGAGATGTTGAATTACGCGACGAGTATAAGTACGTATTGTGCGCCACGTTGTTGAACGAGCGTCAATTAGCAGTGTCAAACCAGAAGATTTTGTTTCAAAACTTTAGAATAAAAAAAAATTGTTATTCAAAAAAGGGGTTAACTGATATTTTTTAATCATAAGCATATTTGAGTAATGAATGATTTCATGCATCTTATTATTTATAATACGCTTGTATAATTTATGTAGGAAAAAATGCGTAAAACTGTATAAAGATGTTTCGAGAGGCAATTATGGAATGCGTTTAATATGGAATATATTTTTATTTAGTTCAAAAGTAATTTTTTAAACAATTTTCGTTCATTTGAAAATAATTAACATAAAATCGGAAAGTAAGAATATAGATTTTTTCTCTACTCGGAGTAGACTTGGGAATTGAGATTTACTTATTTATATCAAGATATACGAACCTAAAAATGGATAAAAAATATTCAATGAGCACATCCAAGTTATCTCGAGTAACTGGCGTAGGCTCACCGACCGCAGGAATATCAATAACAACTAGGGGTCGATTCTCTCGATCCCTGCCGCCTGAAATGTATGCAACCTCAGAATCAAGAGATTCCTTGATATCCACTGCTTCATGCTGCAAATAAATGATGTTGTCTTCGTCGTTGATGGACATGATTTTAGTCGTTTGGTCGCATTTGTCTGCATAAATAAGCAATATATGTGACAATATATTTATCTAAAAAGACAATGCAGATACCACAAATGCTTTGCCTTATATGATTTTAAGATTTTAAATAAAATCGATGAGGTATAATTTAAATTTAAATCTTTTTCTTGTTACATCTCTTCTACTTATTTCAAAGAACGCCTGTTGCACTCACTACACTCTATACTTATTGCTCGATCATGCGTGACCGCATTTTATCGAACCAACCTGCAGGCCCCTTCTTTATACTGCAGGGTCTATCGCATTCTCGAGCTTATTTTTTCATCGTATACTTCCGAATGTTGTTCTTACGTATGTACTGTCACTCATTTATACTTTATAGATTTACATGTTAACGAAATTTTCATGAAATAATTTATTTTTCAAATTATAGATTCTTCATTTAACAAAAATTCATTAAGTTATATTTTTATATGCAAAATTTAATCAAAAATATTTTAATAAAATATAAGGATAAGAAATATGTACGTTCTTTGATGAACATTGATATGAACAATATTTGTAGGATTAAAAAAAAAACATTTACATTTTATTTGACTTTCATAACATTAACATACAAATGTAAATCTTGAAAATACTAATTAATTGTTAGGTATTTATTATACAGTATGAATGTAGATATTGAATACTAATAAAATAAAAACTTACTGTGGGTGAAAATGTCTCAGTACTATTTTTAATACATAGTTTTAAATATCATAACATTCTTCAAAGCTACGACTATCTTTTACAAAGCCATTTTATTTATTTTGCACTTGAATTATTTTTTATTAAAAAATGTTAGCAATCATAACTAAATAGATAAGTACGATGTACAGTTGAACTAGCATAAACGAGTGGCAACTACAGCAGATACTCTGTTTCGTGTAGGTACCCGCTACCAACTACTAACTTCTCAACTTTTCTTCTTACATTTTACACGCGCTCACGCTTTCAAGCCCATTCAGATGCAACGGTATCCCGGCACCAATTATGGCTGGACTCTATGCCTCTCTCCTTCTCTTTCTTCCTCGTTTCCTCTCTCTCTCTCTCTCTCTCTCTCTCTCCCTTGCCAGCTTCAACCTGTTTCTGTATTTTTTAATAGCTTCACTTTTTCTTTTTAACAGAATACTTGTTAGACTTCATATCCACGTTAAACAGATTCCACAAAATATTTCATGAACTCTTCTCTAAGATTAATATCGAAATTACAATTATTATTTTGCTACATTTTTTATTTCATAACTTTTAAAACTTAATAATTAATGACAAATATATACTTTTTTGTAACTAAACTTCATAAGAATTCTACTCTCTAAGTGTATTTTAAACAAAAATTTGATGTTTTTCCTTTATTTCTTGAAATATATTGTAATTTTTACAGTTTATTGAAAATAAAAATTTTTATAGTTATTTATTTCTGTTGATATTACTTTTTTGCTTACATTTTTTTGTACTTAATAACTGCGTACTATATATTATAATAATATAATCTTAATAATAATATTAATATTTTAGTTCTACAGATGTGGAGAAAATTGTCCATAAAATTGTATCGGCAATTCTTTACAAAAAGTGTGATATCAATAATAACGTTTCACACAAGTTTATAAACATTGATGATACAATTTTTTATAAATTAAGTTCATTGCAGGAGAACTAGAAAAACTTTGAAATATTTCGAACTGGAACTTGGATTTGTTGCACAAATATAATGAAATGAAAACACAACATTTTTACTTATAAGTATTTTCTTTATTCGATTGAAATAAATTCTAAGATTCAGATCATTTAATGCTTGAGTATTACATTTATAATTATTTGAAGACTGAGATAAACTTATCAGACTTTATAACATTGTGGTTAGAATTATTTTCTACACTAAAATTTCATAAATTTTATTTTTATGAATACTATACTTATGAATAAACTAAATAAAAAATGAGATATTTCTTTCGACTACATAATAATGCAATTTTATTATATATTATTGCATTTACTTTAAACAGAATATTTTTTCTTGTAAAATCAAAACCTACATTTTTAATGGTTGTCTTAATTTTATAGTTCTCTGGATCATAAGAATTACAATGACTTTTTTTATTATTGTTAAAAAATCGAAGAGAATTTGATAAATGTTTTTTGAACTTAACAATCGCGTTCAAGATTACTCAGACTTTAATTTAAATTACTAAGAAATGTTAAATTATTTTACAGGTCAAAGGCTATTTTTTCCAAAAAGCAAAGGCTTGTTGGATTCGATCGCTACACATTTTACTTTCTGTCATGGATGATGTGTTAAGTGAAGTTTTGGCATTTTCTGAGTGATCTGAATCCAATTGTTCAAACATTTTAGCCGTTCGACTGACATTACCTGTTGGTATGAATCTCCTACTATACGTTGAAGGAGAATTATTCATCCTTGAAACCTCACTGTTCGCGATGACTGAAAAAAGTGGTTTTTAAATTTCTTGCATTCATAGTTACTGCTTTACATATATGTGAAGTAAATTAGTAATCAAATTACATAATTAAACTAGCTATTTATTTAGATTTTTATTTTTAATTATTAGTATTAGGAAAATGAAGCTTCGATGCATGAAAAATTGAAAAATAAGCTCAAAAAATCAAAACCAAAAACATAACAAACCTTCAAATTTAGTACTGATTTTATTGTGCCTCTTTAAAGGATTTTCAAGCAATGAATAATTACTTTCTATTTTCAATGGTATACAACTTTTTTTGTTGTCATTATCCTTATTATGTTGCAAACTACACTTATTTTTTTCGGTCAATTTTTTTTCTTCTGAAGAATCTAAACATTTTTCTTTCCTTTCTTCACTCTGTTCGTCGAAGTAATTATTTTCACTGAGTTGAGAATCGTTTGTTTTATCAAATAGTCTAGAATTTATAACACTATCTAGATTTGACACTTCTTTGGCAAGGTTTCTATTTGAAAAGTCAGCACTATGCAAGTTTACCGAATCAAATAATACTCGATTCTCTTTTTCTACATTCGTTGCATCCCCATCATTTTTTTTATTAGATAAATTTGGCGATGCTAAAATGTTATCATTTATGGTCAGACATTTGGTATCATTGTTAGTAATTTCTTCTCCGGATAAATTACTTTCTATCAATAATTCTTCTTTGTCTTTGGGGTAAATATCTACTTCTTTTATTTTAAATAGGCGTGAATTCGTCTCAGAACTTTCGTCCGTAATTGAGGTAGTTATTGTATCGAAAGTAGTTGCTTTTTCCAAATTGACTTGTTTATTTATATCTTCAGAATCTGATCGAGAAATTTCAACACCCACAGGTTTACTAGACGTAAGTGACTGTGAAGGACTACGTCGATTAGCTGTAAGGTTTGCCATGCGTCCTACAGCAACAATGGCGTTGGTGGTTTTCTGTAAGGGATGGCAAAAAAGGCAAGCACACTCTCAAACGTTAATTTATAGCGTAGTGTTAAAATATTATTAAAAACGTGACATTGGTTGAAAAACGGTTAAATTACAAACCAAATTTTCATGTCAATCTAAATTAACAAAATTACACACAAGTCAAAAAACTCAAATTATTAGTAAAAATTATAATACGAACCTGCCATTTTCTTCGGATGATGAACTTTTTCAATTTATCCGTTGGTAGTACGATACTGCTCATATTTTCTGTATGTTGTGCTAACCAAGAATGACTTAAACAAGTTTGTGCAGACATTCTCAATCTTTAAAAAAATTGTACTTAAAAATATTTTTTTCAATCAAAGGTGTATGAATAAATTAAATTCTTTGACTCACTCCTTTTTCTTTTGCAGAAGATTACTTATAAAATCTTTAGCATCTTCAGAAATAGCGTCAAAGGCTTCGTCGTCAAAATCATAATCAGCCCTTACAATATTAGCAAAAGTTTCGTGATTATTGTCTCCCATGAACGGAGACAATCCACTGAGTCTAAACATAAAAATTATTTATTTCAAATAGAAACTTTTAGTTAACTATTCAACAATACCTACAATACATAACAAATTACGCCAACGCTCCACATATCGGATTCCAAACCGATCGGATCGTAATTGATGATTTCGGGTGGAATAAATTCAGGAGTTCCTAAGTGCACTCGTGTATCTTCGCCTGGTTTAAGTATCTGTGCTAAGCCAAAATCAATGAGTTTGATCCGGTGCGACGTCCTGGTATGGCACATAATATTCTCTGGCTTTAAATCCAAGTGAACAATATTGTTTTCGTGCATGTATTTAACACCATCGCAAATTTGCCTCATGAAAATTATGCTATCTTTCTCGGTAAGCGTGAAATCATCGGCAACAACTCTTTCAAAGAGTTCTCCTCCAGATATACTAAAAAAGCAGTAATGTTTATCGCTTATAAATTAAAAATTATTTTCTATCAATTGTATTATTACTTACTATTCGGTAACCATTATTATTTCTCTTTGACTTTCAAAAGCTGCGGTGAGACGCAATAACTTGGGGTGTCGAAGTATATTCATGATTTTCATTTCATCTTTAACTTGTTGCCGATCCCGAGCCTTAATAATTTTAACTATTTTAGCCGCATAAGACTTATCATTTCTGTTGTCAACTATTCTGCGAACAATGCCAAAGCGACCTTTTCCTAGTTCTTCGTGCAACGTGTAACGTTCTGTGAAAAACTTATTGTCTTCCAAATATACTTTTTTTATGAAAAAAAGAATTGAAAAATATTAATATTTAGTTATAATAAAAAATTATTTTGTTTTTTTTTCACAAATTTGATAGCAAAAAATTATTACCATCTTTCGCGCTTTCAAAATCGTCTTCCATACTGAATTTATCTTCGATTTCAGCCACGTCAAAGAAAGGTAACTTAAAAATCTCGGACTCAGGACTGGGTTGACTAGGCCCATGTACATTGAGGGCCCGAACTCGAAAGATGTAACTGGCACCTGGCTTGAGAGCAGTAGTATTGTGGCTCAAGCGATGGCAATTCTCAGCAATAATTTGCCAATGAAGTTGACCAACGCTTCGACATTCAACGGTATATCCAGTCAATGCGCAGCCACCGTCGTAAATTGGAGATCCCCAGCTAATAGTTACGCCTAATTCTCGCCGAGTATGCAGTGTCACGATTGGTGCTTCGCTAGGCGGATAAGGAGGTCCTGCCACAAAATAAGTTATAACAAAATCAGTCAATGTGAAACATGAAGTAAATATCTATATTCAAGGAAGAAACATTCAAATTCTATTAAAATCATATTCACCCCAGCCTTCTCTGCATAATTTTACTATATACGTCATGAAATTTCAAAAAATCTTATTTAATAAGTTTCAATTAAATGGTAAGTTTAATTTGTTCACTTTTTCTCAATATCTGAAGCTTCTACTTTGAGCTAAAATTTTAATTTACTGCGTATAAAAATACTACAACTCAAATTCGTGCATGCTACGACTTTTAAGTCTACTAAAATTTCATGATACAGAGATCCTTAGGATACAAAGAGACTAAACAAAATGAACTAGTATGTATTGTGTGCCTCTTTTGAAATAAAAATTTAAAGTTAATCTCATAATTGTAGACTATTTTCGTTTCACTGACTGTAATTTTCAAAAATGTATCATGTTCGTCCTACCTTCAACAGCAACACTTGTAAATCGGCAATCGCTACCACGTTTGTTTTCAATTACAACTGCATATTTTCCAGCCTGATCAGCTGTGATGTTTATAAGTGTCAACCTTGAAATACCATCTGCAGTATGAACGAATGTTTTTTCATCGTTTTCTAATTCTCGACCCTACAAAAACCATTAATTCATCAGTGTTAACGCAAATTATTAATAAAATTTATTAGCACATTGGTACGGTTATTAAAAAGCTTGTTTAATTTGTATTTTTAATTAAACGCAAAGTTTATAATAATCAAATCTTTAAAAATTATTCGAAATTTTTACGATAAAATTAAATTTTTTAATTTTAATAACGATTTGAACGTTGAATGCAGCATGACAATTTCAAAGCGGCTTCTTTTGTCAAATTTAACAAGTAAGTAATTCAACACCCCGTCTTTAGAGACCTTTTTGTTGCGTCGCCTCTTAAGTATCAGTCAAAGAACAAACCAAGCTTTGTATCAAACGTTTCGAGTTGCAAGGTTCGTTGTGACTGGCTTAGTTATATTAACCTAATTTCTTAAAAATAATTTTATAAAATCAACTGCGTTACAGTTTAATTTTATAAATTAACTTTGGTAAAAACGAGAAATAATTTTGAAGGTAATATATGATTTGAGTAAACATATTTAAGTTTATTCATTATCAAGGTCAAACCGATTTTTTCGAGCTTTTTCGTTCAATATGATTATTTATTCAATTAATTCTTTTTTTTTAAATGATATTTCTTTTTGGTCATTATATTTTAGTATGATAAGCAACTTTTATTATATTTTATAAACATTAAAATTTAAAAATTTAACGCATTCTATCATAATCTATCATATCATAGGATATGAATAAAGACGTCTTTTTATAAGACTTATTTATTGATACATCGGTATATTCAAAAAAGTATCTATGTAAACTACTTGGCAAAATCATTAACTAATACACATGACAGGAATTGAATGCAATCAAAAGTTTTTCATCATAAAATCTTATGATTCGTACATAAACTGCGTTTTGAATCAAAAACTTACACATTCTCAATGCTATATGACGTAAAAAGTCTTATTTGCTACCAATGAATGCACTTCAAACAATACTGTAGTATTTTTTTTAAATATTAAGATAATAGTTAAAAACTTTTTTTTAATTATGACACTAAACAATTTCACTCACAACTTAAATTACTTAAAATTTAAGTAAATCCAAAAGTCAAATTTGTTACAAAACAATACAAACGCGAACTATCTTGTGATACGAGGTTAAATCACCCATTATTATGACCGAGCAGAGGCCAGCGCGTGCGCTACGACTGACTCTTGAATACTTACTAGCCGGTAGGAGAGCGACTCACGTCACGCGTTTACGATTTCTTTTCGACTCACGCGCGTGATGATATACAAATTAATACAACAAGCAACAGACCCATGATGGAATGCGCATATATATACGGTTATCCGAGCGAAGATTCTCTCGTTCAGTTGAATGAACTCACTTTCGAAAATCAATGAAACACGTTGTTTTGTGAGTGTCATAAGATCTCAAAATTGAAGCCTACTTTTTAAGATTCAAATTTTCTATTGTAATATTTTGTCTTAGTACTATTATTATTATGATTGCTCTCATTATTATTGGTATTATTATTCATATCAAATCATTGCATTGTAAAATTCACGAACATTTTTTAAAATATTTTTATTATATTTACTAACAAATGCACGAATAAAATATAAAAAAAAATTTTCAATAATCTCTTAAAAGGCTTATGCATATATGGTACATTTTTACATTGGAATTATGATTGGATATGTGAAACTTAATAGAGCTTTTTGTCTGAGTTCCCAATTGATTAAAGTGCTGCATTAATTGACCAAGAGTGACGAAATTCTAAACAATGTTCAAACGTTTCAATTGTTCAAAAAATAATAAGAGGCATTGAATAAAAATCCAAATTGAATAAATGTTATTGTAAAATTTTAATGAAGAAGTATAATCCAACAAAATGTGTTCTTTAAAGCTTTCATTAAAAATAAATCGTAACAATACTTATGAAATTCTGTTCAAGTATCATAATCTTTTTAAAAAATCCATAATATGCTATGCGAATACATTTTATTTTAAACAATATGAAACATTATAAAGAAAACATATGGTTGATATTTATTCAGGTTTTTAATAAACGTTCTAGTCTTCACGAATTTCAATATTAAAAATTTGAAAACCATAATAAATTAAGTGAAAAGCCCACTCTAATAAAAAAAAATTATTTTATTTCAATTCAACTCTATTAATTTGTTAAAATATTGAGTAAATGGTTGTTTATTGCATTTCAAGTGATTTTGAAAGATTAAATATTAATACCTATGAGATCATATAGGCAAATTACTAAAAATACAACGTTACGTATTATCTCTCATTTTATCTTTTGTATTACCGTATATACCTGTTAACACATGAGTCAGATCTATAAAAGCGCTTATCTGCAGCTTCATTAAAGATATAAAGCAATGCTTCATAACAAATTGAATCAATTCGAAAGTTTGGACTCAGTGACCAACACAAACATCTAGAGGTATAAAGTCAAGTCTTTCGTATTTTTCTGATATTAAAAAGTGTATATTTTGCAATAGTTTCATAAAAAGCCTTATTAAGCTCAAGTTTGAGTTTTAATTTCATATTGTTATTCCAATTTAACAGCTTAAATTATTAAAAATGGTTTCCCCGAGATTGGTCTTGGTTTGTGTTCTTTTGGCTGTTATTGCTGAAACACTAGCAGCCTCTCGACCAAATGATGTGATTGTTGGAGCTCGACAACCTGGAGACCGAATTATTCAACGAGAAAGAATCCTCAAAGACGCAAGTAAAATTGGAAAAAAAGTGACAGTATCTAAAACTTTTTCGGGCGACGGATTTTCAAAAATCACTCAAATTCGAGCTTTAGACCAACATACAAATGGACATGGTGCTACAGCTACTTTTCTCTCGGGTGGTGTAGGATTTAACTTCGTCACCATTAAATTCGAAAGCGAAAGATTTCGAGCAATCGATTTCGTTGTGGAACTTTATGGAAAATAATTTCCTATTTAAATTTTTATAACGATTTGAAATTATTATCATATTGTACACGAATAATTTTTTTCAAATAACAATACATTTTACGTGAAAATTTATTTTGTGTCATCATTTCAATTTTATTGCCTCATAACTAATTTAATTCTATGATTAATGAAACTAGTGCTTCACGATACTCAATACAAATATCGATATCGTATCGAAAACGATACAATAATCGATACAATACATCCCTTGACGATATCGAGATCAATACGATAGGCGAAAAAAATTTTTTTGACGATATTATTGTATCGCCGATAATTAGACGTTGATAATATCGAAAATATCGATATCGATCGATAAACGGAGGTACACTGCGTTACCATCGATTCTGTCTGATGGAACGACGGAATTTTCTATACTTGAACACGTTCCACCACTTTGTTGGACCGGACAGAATCGATGTTAACCCAGTGTGTGTAAAATATCGAAATTCTTCGGTAAATATCTATTAACGTCTCGATATCGTCGATATCGATACCGATACGATATGGATCATTTTTATTCGATACGATAATCGATAATGGGGAAATATCGATATCGTCTCGTATCGTCAAGCACTAAATGAAACAAATGATAATAACTTACTGCCCGCGTCCATATAACTGTAGGTTCAGGCCGACCTTGATAACGTATTTCCAGTGTTGCAGTAGATCCTATCATAGCTACTGTATCTTCAGGTGCAATTAATACAAGGGCGGGCACTTCGTTCGTTGATTTCATTTTTTTTTGTTTTTTTAACTGCGTAATTTTGGACTTTCTTACATCAGGGAATAATTTGTTTCCCCCATTCACTTTTTTAAAGTTGTTATTTTCGTTTGAAGAATATTTTTTCAAATTATCAGTACTATTCATTTTATGATAATTTAAATCAACGATGCAATTTTCGTTTGTATTGTAATAAATATTTGAGGCAGGAAGTTTTCCAGTTGCTTGAATATTGTCTAATTCTTTTTCTATATTTTCAATTTTCTTGTTAACAGATTTATCAATACGTTTTTTCGATAATTTTGTGAGAACATGTTGAGTTTTTGGCATTATAATAGGTGCACATAATTTTGCTTTGTTTATGTTTGGTGTAATCTTTAGTGATGTCATTTCTTCATTTTTATCTTTAATTTTTATGATACTTTCTTTCATATTATCTCTATTTCTACCAGTGATAGACAAAGATCTCAGTGATTGATTGCCTAAATTTTTATTTCTAACAGGTGATATACTTGTCGATCTTTTCTTTGTTTGACCAATAAGTTCCTTATTATCATTCCATATTTTTTTAAATCGAGGACAGCTACTAGTATTATTTCTAGATTTATTTTCTAAACTTGATGCTCGCGACTTTGCACCCAAATTATTTTTATGAACATTTAAATGTGGCATCGATAAAACTATTTTTTTGCGTTCACTGCTCTGTGTAGATCTCGTTAAACTTGAAAATCTATCTCTGGAACGTTTGAAACTATTATCACGAAGATTTGAAGGTCTTAAATGCAGCTGTGTATTAGCGCTAATGTAAAGACCTTTATTAATAGAAGCTATACAACGTATTTCCCCACAATCTTGATGCGTAACATCAGAAATTCTTAATATACTCGTTGGGCCATCTCGTTCAATCTATTTTTATGAAATTTATCGATAATTAAATGATTTAATTGGTAAAAATTTCAATCGATTTTTTACTTACTATGCAGCGATGATCATTGTGTATGCTTCTTCCATTTACTATCCAATCAATATCAACAGAGTGCTGACTTTGAATTCTGGAGCAGAAAGAGGCGGTTTCTCCTTTTGCTACGCATGCAGGCACAGGTTTTTTTGTAAAACAAAATGTCAAGTCTGATGAATGATTCTTACAATCTGTAAAAGTAAAAAGAAATATTCAAACCACTTCATCAAATAACAATCATTATTAACATTTTATCACCTTGCACAATTAATAATCCTCGGCAAAATGTTTCACCATATTGATTTTTAGCGATACAAGTGTATTCTCCAGCATCAGATTGATGAACGTTAAAAAATCTCAAAGTAATAATTCTGTCTTCATAAACAATGTATTGATGGCACTCGTTATCTGAAACCTCTCGACCGTTTTTGAGCCATTTTATCATAAATGGTGGTGTACCTAACAGACGAGTTTGAAGTTCATAAGAATTATTTTCTATAACTTTTGATTCATTCGGTAAAGTTTGTTCAAATTTCGGAGGTAATTGATCTTTTTTTGATACATCGTCCTTATCTAAAACTTCAACCTAAAAAATTTAATTTTGGATGAAGTATTATTCGTAAAACAATAAAAAACATAAGTTACTTACCTTACAACTGCTTCTTATTGAACCTAGAAAATTATTTGCTTCGCATACGTATTCGCCTGAATCATTATACTCGATATCTGATATTAGAAGTTTGGCTTTACCTTCCACAAATAATTTTTTAATTCTATTTGTACACTCAATTCTTTTTCCATTTCTAAAATAAATAAAAAATTCATTTTAACTATTTTATATGCATATTTTTATTTAACTATACTTATGCTGATTATTCTAGAGTATACATCAATTTTGGAAAATGCCTAAAATCTGAACTTATTAACATAAATAGTTCAAGAGCTCTAGTAAACTAGTAAGTAAATAAACGTAATTTGGTAGTAAGTAATTCAAAAAAGCATAATCTCGTAAACCACTTGACGAAAATTCTATTCAAAAAAGCAATGGAAACATTATTCTTTTTAAATTTTAAAGTTCTTTTAAGTTGATTTTTTTTTCAATTTTTTCGAGTAATAAGAAAATTTACCTTATAATAAAATCGTTAATTTAAATTTACCTAAACCATGATACATTTGGATTGGGCACTCCTTGAACACTGCACTGTAATTCCATTTTTCCATTAATTCGGGTAGCCGTATTCATAAGGCTCTTGCTGAAAGTTGGACGAGTACGAGGAGATGTACTGCGAGTTCTTATTCTTTGTGAAATCAATGTATTTCGATCTGCAAATAATTTCATGCGATTACAAATGTTAATCTATTGAATATATAAGTTTTAGAAAAATTTTCCGAATGCAATTCAGTTTTTCAATAATATATTTTGCTCATTGATATGAAATGGGTATTTTTGTTACTTTTTTTTTTCTAATGAACAAAAAAGAGGTGCGCTCCAGTTCATGGAATGGAAATTACTTTAACATGATAGCATTTACCTGAGTAATAAATTATTTCTGCAGGCTTTTTAATTTTTTGCAGGAAATACAACTGAGAACTCGTAATTTTAAAATTTATACTATGTAAGATTGATAATAAGATTGAAATAAGATTGAAAGTTTGATGATTATTTCTTTATTAAATGAAAATGACAAAATGACAATTAGAAAATTTAGAAAATTGAAATAAATAATGACTTATTGAAAATTGAAATTTTGGCGAATGCCACATTTAATTTTCCCAAAAAAAGTTATATGAACGTTCGACCAAACATTTCGACTAATCATGAAGCGAAGCGCAGTTTCTGGTCGACCAATAAGGTGATGAATAAAACGACTTCACATGATTTCTTTAAGAAAGGAACAAGCGAAAAAATTAAATAACTAAAGCAGCTACAAATTATCAATTCAATCTGTATCTTCAAAAAAATAACAGTAAATTATTCGCCTCTTACTAAGAATCGCTATTGAGATAATAAGTTTTACGGTCATTTACGTACTCATATACACGCCTGTAACATACAAGTTTGATCGGATAGTGAATACTGTCTTTGAAAATATGAATTTCGTAGACTTTTTCTTAACATAGCCAATTTTGTACCTATAATGAAAATTACTTAGGAAGAAAGTCATAAAATAAATCTTTTAAAAACTACTCTACTAACATTTGAATTTAAATTTCTCAACTTATCGTATGGTAAAAGAAACAATTTTTCTTCCGATATAGAATAATGTTTTATTCATGACATTACTTCATAAGAATTTCTAGTTGTACTATTTTATGTAACGTACTACGTATTTTACGTACGTATGTATCTACGTCTTCGGGTACATTGTCAAAGAAATACTATTTAACAGAACTATCTAATAGCCAAAACATGTTTGTGATTGATTAATAATGTACATGTCAATTTTTTTCAAGTAACTGTTTATGTGACATCATAGTGTTCTTCTTTTGTTGAAATAGCGCTTACATTATGCATAGTCAAGATGTATTTATGCTGGTTTTGTGATAATCGTTTAGTTAGGAAACCTCTATCGGACGTTCGAGTCGAACATTTTCTTTTTGTTTTCCATTCAGTAGTGAGACTATCTTCATCAGTGCGACTATCTATTGCAGTAAAACGTTCGAAATGGAAAAAACAACTATAAAAATTGAAAATGGTCAAATTCGCGGTACAATAATTCATAGCAATGAAGGGTATGATTATTATGCTTTCAAGGGTATACCTTATGCAAAACCACCCATCGGACCTTTAAGATTCAAAGTAAGTTTATATCTCATTTATTCGGTAGATATATGAAGGAAATTTCAATAAAATCTGACGTCACCAGTTGATCCTTAATTCAATAATGATGATAGATTTATCTTTCAGAGTAAAGACTCACTAAATTTTATATTGATGCTCGTTATGAAGAGTAGCACGTTTATATGTAAATTTAAACGGAAAAACGATACTTTTAGTTAAGAGCATCTTTATACATTTAGCTCTTTAGAAAAAATTTTAAAAATGAAAATTTTTATTATAAATACTGAAAATAAAAGCTTAAATACGCTTTCGAAATAAACAACCAGCACAATCATTTTGATTTTTCTTTTAATTTACATGTAACGTTGAAAGATTGTCTGATAAATTTTGCATCACTTAGCATTGCTCTGCCTTAAAATTATACATTAGGATAGGATTAATTTTTTCAGTGTTGTTTTGGTTAATTATCCATGTAAAAATTCAATTTATTTACTTTTATATATTATGGATAATAAATGTTTTCCAGCGATTTGATTTATTTTTTTATACAATAGTTTACTAATTTATTTGTTGATTATATAATTATTAAGGACCCAGTTGCCTGTGAAAGTTGGTCAGGAGTAAGAGATGCTACAAACTTTGGAAATGTATGTGTTCAATTTGATGCCGTGATGCGAAAATATTTGGGAAGTGAAGATTGTCTATATTTAAATGTGTACACAAAAGATATAAGTTCAGATAATTTAAAACCTGTTATGGTTTGGATACATGGAGGTGGTTTTTTGTACGATTCTGGAAATGACATGCACTTTGGACCCGATTATCTTTTAAGAAAAGATATTCTTTTAGTGACGTTCAATTATAGAGTCGGAATTATGGGTAATGCATTTTGATCAGTTAGTTGTAATTGTTAATGCTTACGATGAATTGATTATTTAGGTTTTTTGTGCTTGGATGATGAAATCGCGCCTGGAAATCAGGGTCTTAAAGATCAAGCAATGGTTCTAAAATGGGTAAAGAAAAATATTAAATATTTTGGTGGTGATCCAGACAATGTGACGATTTTTGGTGAAAGTGTTGGTGCCATTTCTGCACATTATCACGCAGTTTCTCCTATGTCCAAAGGTGTGCGTCTAATTTTATTCAAGTATACTTAATACAACAATTTTAAATAAAATAAACATTTCAGGACTATTTCATAAAATTATTTTTCAAAGCAGCTCGGGATTCAATCCAGGAGCTAGAATTAATGATCAAAAAAAATTTGCCTATAAATTATGTACTTTTTTGGGAAAATATAGTCAAGATAGTAAACAAATGTTTGATTTACTAAGTAAAACCGATGCCCCACGTTTACTGAAAGCTCAAGAACAAGTTAGAAAAAATATAGTATGTAATCATTTAAGTAAAATTTTTATAAAAACGTTTCTTTAGCTGAAAACATAATTTAATTTATTATACTTATATTTAATTTGGCAAAGTCAGCGGTTTCCAATTATTGTACTGTATTAATGGTTTATTAGTACTGATATTTTTTATCTCTTTCACAGGGTAAATTTCAGGGAATGTTTCCATTTTCTCCCTCTATAGATAATAAATCAAAAGATCCATTTTTACCTATACCATTTGAAGAAGCTGCAGCAAACGGAATTGATTTTCCAGCTATCATAGGATATAATAGTCGAGAAGGAATATGCTATTTAACAGGTATGCACTTATTGTACTTCGTAAACATCATACTTAATTTTTAATTAGATCAAAACAATTTCAAGGCGTACTCGAAAGAATCATTCTCATATTTGGATAGGAACTTTGAAAAAACGCTTAATCCACGAATTTTGGAGCTTTTAAAGAGTTATAATTTAAAACCAAAAGATATTAGAGAATTATATTTCAATGACGAAAAAATTTCTTTGGATAATTGTCACATTTATGCTGATATGACTGGCGATTTACAATTTGTTGAAGGAATACATAAGGCTATTAGAATACAAGTCCAAAAAAAAACTAGTCCAATTTATTTGTATAAATTCTCTTATGACGATGAGATATCTACGAGTAAAAATATTCTCAATTTAGAAATTTCCGGTAACAAAATCAATTTTTAATAATTATTTTGTGAAAAAGTAATGATGCATGATTAAAAAACTATTAATTTAGGAGCTTGTCATTTCGATGAAATAGAATATTTATTCAATGGAGAGTTTCGAAAAATTGGTGGTTTTCAACCCTTACGTAAAGGAACACCTGGTTATAAGGTCATGGAAAATCTCACTGAATTATGGAGCAATTTTGCTATTCATGGGTAAAGTTATATAATAATACGTCATCGTTTAGTTTACTGACACTAAAAATATATAATGTTTTTTTGTAGCGATCCTACTCCTGCATTTTTTGAACAAAAGTGTATTAAATGGAAACCAGTTGATGATACTAAAAATTTTACTTGCATGAACATCAATAAGGAATTAAAATCAGAAATTATACCAAATATAGAGGAAAAATTCAAAGCTTTTAGTTCAAAAAGAAATTAAATAAAACTAATAGGGTAGTCAGACCAATCAATGACCGGGTACCAGTGAATGACCATTTTGGAAAATATCATATAAAAAACAATTAAAATGTATTTGTATGGACGTAATTCAATTCTTCAGTAAACGATGCATCTTGTTTTCTATGTTCGATCATAATTTAACAAGGAAAAACTATTTTTATGGCACATCCAAAAGTGGTCATTTACTGGTCGAAAGCGGTCAATCACTGGTATAAGTACCCTATATTGAGAACGTTATGTACAAAGAATTATTATTTGATTTAATAATCTATTAATTCTTATTGATAAATTAATACAATTAATCTCATCTGTACCAATAAATTGGACATTGATACAAATAATTTTATTGGACATCCAATATATTGACGCTGTTTGAAAAAATGTCCCACGTAAAAAAGTGTCACGAAATAACACTTTTTTTATGAAAGTCACAAAAAAACTTGAATTGTTTTTTTTTTGTCACTGAAAATTTATGAATAAAAAAAAAAGTTTCAAGAGGTGTTACTGAAAATAATTAGTTCCATATTTCATGCAATAAAAGAAGAAGGCATGTACGTAAGATATTATTCTTGCCAAAGAAGATTAGTATGACTTAACTATTTGGAGCGATTAAATTATTTGCAATAATATTCACGGATGACATTTAAGAAATAATAATTTTCTCTGACATTATATATCACGTAATTCTATTTAATGATAATATTTTGGTGGCAATACTTTGCGGGTACAAAAAAAATGACCGTTATCGATGAAAATTTTAGAAGAGTTGTTTCCGCTGCAATTTTTGGATGAACGGTTTTCGTTTACGGCGGTGATGCAAAGTTATTTTATAAGAATTTAATTTTATAATTACCTAAAATATAGAATAAAATAAAAAATAAATAAATGGTATACATTAAACGAACGCTTTATATAATTTCAAAGTTACTGAACTCACAGTCATGAATATTCCTTAACTTAATGTATTCATTTTAAAGTAATGTTATGCAAATTCGAGTTCAAACGTTACACATTGTATTCGAGCTTTCCACTGTATTCAAATTGTTATGGTCAAGCAAAGATCACGAGTAGGTTCATCAAGCTATGATGTAAAATTTAGTCGAACAAGCTATTCACGATGGAATCACCAGTTGTAAGTACTAGCTATGGCCAGTTATGTGGATTGATTGAAAAAAGTTTTGAGGGTTACAATTATTACGCATTCAAAGGCGTACCTTATGCTAAGCCACCAATTGGAGATCTTAGATTTGAGGTAAGCTGTGTGAATTTTGATACAATATATATCACCTTATATCATCTTGATCGTTTATTTTGCATACATTTTATCTAACTATTTTTATTATTATTTCAATAATTTATAATTTTATAAAATAAAATTTGACGAGAAAAATTATAGGAACCACAGCTTTTAATACCATGGGAGGGAATACGCGAAGCAAAAAACTTTGGATCACCCTGTGCTCAATTCGACCAACTAACTAGAACTTTTATTGGTAGTGATGATTGCTTATATTTAAATATTTATACAAAAAATTTGAGAAAGACTTTACCTGTCATGGTATGGATTCACGGAGGGGCTTATACTTTTGGCTGCGGCGATGATATGTTTTATGGATCAGATTATTTATTAAAAAACGATATTGTGTTGGTAACAGTTAATTATAGAGTTGGCGTTTTGGGTAAAAAAAAAACAAATTACGTCTTCTCTTTAATGTAATCTAAAAATTATAAAATTATTATAATTTTTGCAAAAATTATAGGTTTTTTCAATTTAGAAGATGAAATTGCACCGGGAAATCAAGGTTTGAAAGATTTAGTTTTTGCTTTGAAATGGATACAATTAAACATTTCTAAATTTGGCGGTGATTCTTCAAATGTAACCATATTTGGAGAAAGTTCAGGGGGCGCATCTGTGAATTACTTGGGATTATCACCTATGGCAAAAGGCAAACACAAACGCTCATAAAAAATTATAAATTTTGAATGTTAATTTTAAAAAACACTTTTTTAAAGTCTTATATAGATATATATTTTAGGTCTTTTTCATAAAGCAATTTCTCAAAGTGGTGTTGCTTTAAATACGTGGGCATCAACTCCTAATCCTCGAAGTTATGGATTTAAGTTGTGCAAAATTTTAGGCCAAGATCTACATGATTCTCGTGAAGCCATTGCATTTTTAAGAAAAATTGATTGCTTAAAATTAGCAAAGATGCAAGAAAAAATGCGAACATTAGAAGTACGGAATACTGAATTCATGAATTATTTTAAATGATTTATTTAAAAAAATATATTATTTTAGGAAAGATTTCAATTACTGTATCCATTCGGACCCGGAACAGATAGTAAAGCTAAAAATCCATTTATGCCGATACCAATAGAAATAGCAGCAGAAAATGGAATGAATGTGCCTTACCTTGTAGGATTCAATGAAAAAGAAGGAAACTACTCGTATTATAGTAAGGAATGATTTTTGTGAGATAAAACCAACGAAGAAAACTAATTGAATTTTTTTCAGCTGTGAAGAGCCACCCTTTGAAAGACATATGTAAAAATTTTGTAGAATACTTGCATCCCAATATAAAAGTTACATTGAAAAAACATAAGTTAACTCCATATGACTTGAGAACTTTGTATAAGTGTCATGATGATGATCTAACAGAAGAGAATTACTGTGAAAAAATTGCAGACTTATTGGAAGATATGTATCTTGTTGAAGGAGTACATCGAATGATTAAACACCAAGTTAATAACAACACTTCACCAGTGTACTATTATAAATTCACATATGATAAAGGTGTATCATTCACAAAATTAATGTTGAACATACAAAGAAGAGGTAAGTTACACTTTTTGAAAATTTTAATCCATTTAATACTTTCTCTAAAACTCACTAATTCATTTGTTGTCTTAATTAATTCGAGGTGCTTCTCATTTTGATGAACTTTCATACTTATTTTCAATGAGATTCAATGAATTATTGGGAATTGAACCACTTCAGAAAGGAACTGAATCCTACCGATTGATGGAACAAATGACTGAAATGTGGACTAATTTTGCTAAGTTCGGGTAAGTCAATCATACTCACAAATATTTCAAAATGACCACAAATGGTTACTTGACTAGAAATCATAAAAATTTGTTGGCCTTTTTTCATCACGTTTCAAGAACTGGACAGTCAGTTGAACATTTCATCCATGAAAAGTAACTTTTTTCAGAATAATTTACCGAAATTAAAAATATCTAAGCAAAAATGGCCAATAAATAACCCGGAAATTACCAAGCGATGGGCCTAATTATGATATTTAGAGCCTATTGATGCTTCTCACTCTCTTTAAGAAAAATCGAAAAAGTAATAAAACTAAATTAAAAAATAATTAATTTTTTTCGATCCAAAATAGCTGCAGTTTTTTCCAATTTCACGTGTTAATTATTTTAATGTTTTTATACTCTTTTTACTACTTTCCGGGGCATTCAAAATGTTTTGATTTCTATCTGGCGGTTTTTTTTTTAATTTCAAAAAACAAGACAACGCACGTAAAGTATTATGAAATCGGGACTGATAAATCACCGAGTATTTTTTTATATCTTTGCGTATGATATAGGTGATGAAGTACTTGAGCGAAAAAAAAGCCTCGGATTACTTTTATAATTTTCAAAGCGAATCTGAGGCTAATAAACATGTGTTCTAAGCCTTTTTTCGCTTCGTACATGCTCATACTATTTTACAAGAATCTCCTAGCAGAATAGTGTTATACTATCCTAGGTTATTATGGTTCATTATTAACATTTATTACAGAAGACCAACCATCGATGCTTCTAATTTAATTAAAACTAATTGGGTACCGGTAACCAATCCAACACTCTTGAGATTTCTCGAAATTGGAGAATCACTTAAAATGGACTGTACAATAAATATAGATCAAAAATTATCTTATTCGAACTCCTTTAAAAATAAACTGTAGTAATATTCTTTTACACGAACTGTACGCAAAAAATATATTAAATAAAAATATAATTTCTCATTAGTTTTAATTATTTATCTCAACTTAATATTAAAATTTTAAAATTTTAAAACTCGACAATTATTACTTACTAATAATTTCTAAACGAGCGGTCGCTTCAGTCTTTCCAACATCATTTTCTAATGTAACTCGGTACAATCCCGCATCTTCGAAATGAACGTCGGAAATCTCTACCGTACGTATGTCGTCCTTTTCTGTAATGGACACTCTTGAGGAATTAGTTAATGGTTGCCCGTCTTTGTCCCAGGTACACCAAGGTAGAGGATGTCCAGATACGGCACATTGAAATCTAACCGTCTCGCCCTCTTCAACTACTCTATTATGAGGTATAGAATAGAATTTAGGAGGACATATTTTTGGTTTACGTTTTGTGAGGTTCATTCTATCTACTGCTCTTGGCAAAATCAATGGTTTCAGATTGCGGCTCTCTATCCAAGTATATTTTGAATTAAATTTATCTCATGTTTTTTTATTAATATGAATAAAATTTGATTACACTTCATACTAACTTGATGTTGGAGATAAACTCCTAACTGGGGTGGACCTAGGCGTTGACATTGGAGTAGAATTAACCGATCTGAGCCCTTGTGGCTTTGTAACGAGAGTGCGACTCAATGTATTTTCTTTGCCTTCTGGAACTGTAAAAGATTTCATTTAAGTAAGGATGTCGAGTAAAGTGTTTCTCTGAATATCTCAGCTAACTTTAAATGGCATAATTATTGAATTCAAAAATTCTTGATAATAATATGATAAATCATCAAGTAATATAATTTATTTAATACATAAAAATAATATTTCATACCATCAACAATAAGGCATGCAGATGTCATTGCATTTCCCAGCTCATTACTAAAAATACAAGTATACTCTCCTTCATCTTCTGGATAAACATATTTGATGATAAGCTTAGCTGATTCGCCATCAAAATGTGTCGAGAAATCCTTATCTAACGCAATAGCCTACAAATTGAAATATCTCAAAATAATTAAAAACTCGAAAAAACACAACACATTTCTAACAAAAACTAGAAATTCTTACTTTGAAACCATATGATACAGAATGATAAATCAATATGGGTGGCAAATGATTTTTTTCTAATACAAATAGTATGATTGGGGTTACTTACTTTGCCAAATTTTTCCCATCGTATACTCGGAAGCTCTTTGAGTACATGAATTGAACAATCTAGTGTAACTGCATCGCCATCGCAACAACGAATATCTGTTAGAGGTCTTTTAATTTTTGGGACACTTATGACATCGCTAATTGAAAAAAATTTAGTTGAAGCTTTAACTAATAGTTGATTAAATTGTTCGACATAGATTTTTAATTCTCACCCTGTTTTAATTCGGTTTTGATCCATTGTAGTACATTTACCTTGCCCTGAAAATGTAAGATATTTACTTGATGTAGAAAAATTTTTTTATTTTTTAAATTGTATTTGTTTATTTTTAATTTTGTTAAACAAACATTGCAATCAGTAATTTTTCAGCATACTATACAGAATTACAATATCTGCAAGATTAAATTACTTTATAAGTACGGTAGGTACCTTTAGCATAAATCTGTAAGGATATCACGGCCTTTGCTTCACCATGTTTGTTCTTCGCTAGTACAGAGTACGTGCCGGTGTATTCCAATTTAGCATGAGGAATTTCCAGAAGGTATTGTGGCCCCACACCAATACATCGAAAGTGAGGTGCGTCTCGATAATACTCTGGCTGCAAGTAAAAATAACCATAGAAATAAATAAAACCTAGGAAAAAAAATGTTCTCGTTCAAATAGATTTTTATGGCATCAGTACGTCAAAAAACGAATTCTGATCATTTTTTCGGATTGATTATGAAAAAAAAATAAAAAATACATCCGGGCTTTGCCAATCAATTTCGATGTCTTTCTAATATTGAGTTTAGTTCTTAAAATTTAATTAATTCTACGCAGAATTTTTCTATCTGTTGCAGACAAACAATTTTGCTTTTGTCAAAATTGTTTTTCAATGTCAATTAATATAATTATAATATAAGTCTTAAAAAAATTTAAATTAGTAATTTGGTAAAAATTGTTAAAAAATTTGTCCTCGATGTATCATTTTATTAAAATGAAAATCAAATTCAATCAATTAAAAATATTTATCTTGGAAATTAATATAATTAACATATCAGTGTGAGTATTTATCTGTAAAATGTTGTAGTTTGTATAACAAAATACATCAATACTGCAGATAATACCGAACTTACAAATACTTTCTCAAGCATTCGATAATTCTATTCATCACTACAATGCCTCAATATTTTTGTCTTTCATCAAAACATTCTATTGTCGTAATCACTTCCAATTGAGAACTATTCAAATGTAAGATTATTATATGACGTGCAACCGAGAAAAAAATGAATAATGATTCGAATATACACATAAGAACAACATAAATCGTATTTATAGTACGACTGAAAAAGATTGAAGTTCTAAACTTATGTACTTGCTTATTGTTTATAATATTTATATTATTATTTAAAAAAAAATGAAAACACTGACACTTGCACCATTGCCAATCAATCTCGAGTTCTAAGTAAAACTGAATCAGCTGCTTGAATGTGGGTGATTTGACGACGCGTAGTCGATTGCAAAAAAGCGAATAGTCGCTTGTGGGGATAATGACGTTCTGATTCGCTGCTTTATAAAGAATAAATACTCTAGGTTTTATGGCTTGTTGTCATTTGACATTTATATCTATATAAAAAATAGATGATTTAAGCTTAGACGTTACTTTAAAGCAGATATGAAATATTGCTTCGTTATAAAATAAATGAATATTCCACATCGCAAGAGTATTTTTATCTATAACTCAATTTTTGTAATTTTAATGGACAAACTTGGAATTGCTAAAAATATGATTTTTTGACTCTGTACGTTGATTTATGGATCTACTCACACCTGTTAAAATAAATAATAATAATCTATTTTAAGCAAAACTGGTGAACATTTTTTAATTGAGTTGTTTATAAACGATCAGTAGCCTTCTTAAAAAATATTCAAAAAATAATTCTAAATATTACTTTTGAGTCTCTACCTATTGTTAGATCATTGTACATAAATGTAACTATAGCTTGTTAGCGTATGTATAAGGTAATACTTTGCGACTTCTAAAGGTCGACAAGAGCACCTACGCATATTAATGTTAAGCTCATCTCATCAGTGAAGGTCAATTTCGTTTCATCTTCCTCCAATAAGATTATCACTTCAATTATAATATAACTAATTCATTTTTATTTTTTCATTGACAGTACTTTCAAGAGTGCTACCTACAAATAGATTTCAGGAAAAGCAAAGTTGAGTGACCAGATGCTTATTTAAAATCTGAAATAAAAGTATTAAAAAATCTGATCGAAAACACGACTAAAAAACACGACTATGCAGTGGCTGTAATATCTACCATCATTATTATTAATTTTGATAAAAGTGAAAGCAGTGAAGGACGCAAAGAGCTTCCTTAGTTGGCAGCTCAGAAGTTTCGATCTTAGAAAATTAACCCAATACGGGCATAATGAATATGATTATTTTTCTCGTTTTAAACGTGAACTAGCAACTCCTTGACCTAAATTGTACGCGTGGTTCTACGTGATGTAGCACTCTGTTGCAGTAGCTGACACGTAATATTTACGATGGTTTTGTTCTTTACAATTTTTGCTATATATTTCTATTATTTTATAAACTATTAAAGTGAATTTAAGTGAGGAATTAAGAAGTTACTTTAAAGTCTAATAAAAGCTTGCCAATGTGTCTCTACTACATAAATTATATCATAATATTTTCACTTTTGAATCATTGTTTTGTTAATTTTTATTTATCATAAAAACTAATACTAGTATTTAAGTAGTATCAGAGGTGATTTTATAACGATTTTAAATATTTTCATTGATTAATTTAACCAAACTGCATTCTTTTATATGTTTATAGAATTTCTTTTTTCTAAATTCCACTATAAAATAAAGTTAAAATTTGAAAAAATTTACATAGCAGATGTTAAATTAGATAAAGTAGCAGTTGTTAATTTAACACACGAGGCTGATAAAAAGCGGTTCATCTTTTTCTTTTCATGACAAAAAATTAATGTATACCTTCAAGAAATCGCGCAGCCACATCACTTCAGGTTTCGGATCACCAACAACTTCGCACTGGATTACAACTGTTTCACCCTCTTCTGATTCAATTGACAAGGGCTTCGTTAAGAATTCAGGCTTTTTGGAGTATCTTTAAATAAAAAGTGTTAACATGAATTTCATTTAAAAACATTTGTTCGATGAATTTTATTAAACTTGTTTTCAACTTGTCATACATTTTTTTTCTGGAAATTTAATGTTAATCGACGTAGGCATGCATTAGCGTAATCTTTATTGGTATGATAATAATGAATACTATAAGTTTATTATTTTGAAACTTACGGAATATCATTTTCTGGAGGATTTATGATAACATGTGGCTGGACATTATTCATATTCGAAGATACATTATCGTCAGGATCAAGAATCGATACTCTTGTTGACGTTTCAACTTTACCAACTTCGTTGGTCGCTGTGCAAGTGTAAACTCCAGCATCCCTGCTTGTTACCTTGGTTAAAAGTAACTCAATAGTGCCATCATGCGTTAGCGTCATAATGGAGGTTCTTCGAGGACGTAAACGCACACCGTCGCGATGCCTAAAGTTCAAGGAATATTGATTACGTTTTATACATTATTATCAATATGTTAAACTTGACTTTGCAATAATTACCATACTATACCAACGCTAGGATAAGCTTCGACTTGTGCTGTTAGCCTGAGTTCACTACCAATTTTCACTGCATAATCTGCATTTAGACCATATGAAAATTGGGGAGCAATGTAAGCTCTTATTCCCTTATCGACGACCAATTCGCAGTGGCAAGATACTGAACCGCTGCTGTTTTTGGCACACGCAGAATAGGTACCCGAATCATCGGAACTTGAGCGAGCAATTTCAAGTGTATGAAAATGTGATTCATCTTTATAAATGGAATGTATTGCTGTGTATTAAAAAAAAATTTGTAATATAATCGACAATATTCTTGATGTTATAAAAAAATGCATAATTTTTTAAAATACGAACGTGTTGGAGAAATTCTTTGTCCATTTTTCAACCAAATTACTTCTGGTTCTGGGCTTCCGTAGACTTGACACGTCAACCGTACAGGATATGAAGTTTGCACTCTTCTGTCTCTTAGTCTCATTGTAAACTGTGGAGGTCCACATTCCGTGAACCCATCTTGAAACCTGTTTTACAAAATAAATGTGATCAAAAATCCGTTTTTATAATAAATCAGCATGCTAACTAACCTTTTCTTTAAAAAAACATCGGCATTCAAAATTTTTGGATCGCTAACGACTAGTACTCGTCCATACGATGATACTCGGCCAGCTTTATTTGAAACCTCGCAGATGTATCTACCTGAATCCGTTTCTTGTATGTTGCTCAAAGTAAGAGAACATTTATTTGATTCATTATGTACAGTATATCGATAATCTAAGCTGGAATCTATTTCTATTGTTTCACGAAACCACTTCACGATATACTTTGAATCACTTCGTACCTAATCATATATTGAATAAGAATTATTTTCTACAATATTACCTTTTAAAAAAATACTCACTTCACATTCTAATTGAACAGTCGAACCTATCAAAGCTTTTAGTTGATCAGGAAGAATTTTCGTAAACTCGGGTATGGCAATGTTATCACATACTGTAGCTGAACCACTCATTGTAACAGATTCACCCCAACCGTAACGATTTCTAGGTGTTATTCGAAATTTGTATTCGCCACCCGGCCGAAGATTAAACGCATCAAAGGAATTTATTGGTGTGACTCCAAGCTGACAAATTTCAATTTAATTTATACCGTCAGATCCAGCGATGATATTATGATTAATAAAAATAAAAAGTATTATTACCTCAATCCATCGAGCACCGCCTTCTTCACCCATTTGCCAAGCATCTACTCGGTAAGCAATAACTGGAGCTGGTCCTCGCTGGACAGTTTTACCCCAAGTTAGTGAAAGCCAATTTCTGCCTCCATCTACGACGATAGGTCCACTACTGATTGGCCCAGGAACATCTTCAAAATATTTAAAAGAATAGGTAGTATTTTATTTCAAATTTGCACAATATATTCACAGCAATTTTTTGTCCAAAAATGTAATCGTACTTTCATATAAATGAGTTTCATTTTCTAAATTTTAATCTTTTTATATACTGATTTGTTGATATTTCAAACTCATAGAGTGTCGTGTGCAATGGGAATTTTATTACTTTTTTAAAATTTTATGAAATAACTTCAACTTTTAAATTAAATTTAGAAATTTAAATTGTACAATTACATAGAGTATATTTCAAAAGTTGACCGTTTGAACGTTTAGCCGCAAATGCGATTGACTCTTATGCACTGAATTTCGAAATAACATAGCGAGGGAGTTGAATAGAACAAGTCGTTGGTGGGAAAGATAGGTAAAAATAGTTTGGAGGGGTGTTTCCGTATACAAGGAATAAGAACTAGTTTGATATATTATTACTCTGACCTCTTTCAAGGCATTTTATTAAAATCCGTCTGGTCTACCCTCTTTGTGAATCGAAAAAAAGTTAATGTAAATAATGTTTATTTTCAAATTATAAAAATTGCTGTGGAAAATGTCACATTTCATCAGTTCGTTGTGGAATGAAAACATACTATTTTTGACGAGTTTACGCTATATTGGGTTTTATATTGACGTTTTTTTCACGTTTTTGATACTCTTTGATTTTTTCTGGTAATAATATTTGGAAACCCATTAAACAAAGTTAGGAGGTAGTCGTTAATATTTTGAGGACGCTTTGAAAATTTTTAGTAATTATTGGCATTTCGAATCCATTTCAAAGCTTCCTTTGTGGGGAAGTTGTATAGAAAATATGCTGCAAATTTGATTTTCATTTGATCGTTCGCAATATTATGATGATTACTATTTACACGAAATTTAAAATTTGATGTAATTATGAATGAAAATGTATACTCTGATGTACAATGTACTATACATTATACATGTATCCTAAACAGAGGAAACATAATCGATATACATTTTAAGTATTAACGAAAAAACTTACTTTTTAGATAAGACTGGAGCTCTTTACAGTGAATATCGGATAAATGCTCTGATAAACTCAGTTTTTCAGCGGTCGGCGTTAGAGATCTTGCTCGTAGTTTAAGCTTTAAATAAGTACGTTTTTAAAATAAACTTTCTCGAAGGCATATTATATAGAAATATTAAAATGAGAAAAATTGTTATTATTTTTAACACAGGATTTTTCTTTACATTTTTATTAATTGACTACAGAACATGCTAAAAAACTAAAAAAAAATTTAACCCGTGAAGTATATGAAAAAAACAACATTTTAGGATTTTAAAAATTGCTATTGAAATGGGAAGAAAAATCCTTTATAAAAGCTGAATAACTTTTTTTCGATTTAAATTTTCCTGCAAGCCCTGAAAAGTTAGCTTTCATTTATACATATTTATATCAAGATACCTTTAATGTGAAGAAAAATCGATCACATCCGTAGCAATTCTTGACGAGAATACAATAAGTACCTTCATCTTCTAAAGTGACTCTGGACAAACTTAATCGAACATAATCATCAATCATATCTTTGTGTGAACGCGGCCCATCTGTTATATCTTTTAAGCCTTTCATCCATGTAACTAAAAATAAAAAATGTTTTGAATCAAATTTATGAAGGAGTATATGTAAATCGGCGAAAATAAGCACATTTACTTTTTAAAAAATATTACGACGTGGTATGCAAAACAGAATACGCATACCTAAACCATTAAAATTAATTTAAAGCATGATGAAGCCAACTTGAAAATCAAATTTCAGTTTTACTAGATATTATTACTCAAAAATATTCTATGGTTCCTTAAAGAATAAAAATGAAAGTGCAGTTTTTTTAAGAAATATGCACTAGAAGCTTTAGAAAACAGATTATAATTTTTGAGCTGACTTCTTTCGCGTCCTTAAGAATAAAAGTCTATTTCTAAAGCGCGATATCCTATAATTATATTATAATTAATAATATATCAAAGTTATTTTTCTGACCTCGAGGTTTTGGAGTTCCACTCATTCTAAAAGATATGGATACTGATTCGCCTTCAATAACCTGCATTAATTTTTCAAGAGGGCGCGAAACGAACATTGCAGGTTTTACAAAGTCATCAATTTTATTGGAAGAAATTACTTCAATGGTAGCGCTAGTATCGATGTGCCCAAATGCATTACTAACTCTACAAACATACGTTCCAGCCTCTGATTCTGTAGCTTCTGGAACTACGAGCGTGTAAATGTTCGATTCGACAAAAGTTTTAGCTTTAGGACTTGAAATTATCTCTTTTCTTTCTCCGTTACTTCGTAACCACGTTACATTTGGAATGAATCGGTCTTGTAAATCGAAATAATAAGGTTTAATTCATTATTATTGAATTAATTTCTATATTGATAAGTAATTTATTTGTAACTATAAAAAATAAATCTCGAATACCTTTGATTTCCACTTGCAGTGCAATAGTTCCCCCAGCAGGTACTTTATGATCAGTAAGTACACTAGATACTTGGGGAAGTTTTGTGTCAACTGTAATGTATTCATTGAAATATCAATTATAAAGAGTTAAAAAATAATCCAACTATTTTTCATAATTATGAGCTGTATAATATAAATACCATTGTAGGATTTATCGTATATTTTATGCGCTGTTGATCTACTTCTATATTGATTGCTAATGGCAGTGAATGAATCTAACCGATGCATCTGATTTGAAGTTTGGCTATACACATCACTTCGAAAAGTTTCACCATCGTGTAAATAAGGAAGATGTGGTGTTGATCGAACTCTTGAACCATACTGAAGTGAAGTATTCACATTTGATCGATTCAGTTTTTCTTAAAAAATGAAATCAATTACATTCAATTTCTTAGGTTACTATAATTGGATAAGCTCTCTATCAATTTATCAATATATTCCTAGAAGATTATTACCTCTCAAAAAATGATTCGATGTAGTTTCAGTAGATAAAGTATGATAAACAGAATATATCCTGACGGTAGCTTCCGTAAATGCTTGTCCTTTTAAATTTTTTGCAATGCAAGTGTAATAACCTGCATCTTCTAATTCAGCCGGTGAAATTTCTAATGTTGCAATACCATTTTCATATTTAATTTTTTCTCTACCCCCAGGACGAATTCGATCTCCATTTTTCGTCCAATATACTTCTGGTTCAGGCATTCCAATTGTAGTACATATCAACCGTAAACGAGAACCTTCAGCTACGGTACTATTTGTTAATTGTGTACAGAATGATGGACACCTTCCACGCTGAAAAATTCATCATAATGTACATTTTTTAAAATTAATTGTATAAAATGATATTATTAATTATTACATCTGACAATTTATCGTTGAAGACAGACTCCCATTTTGATTTTTCGTTATAAATAATTGCCGCATTTCTTGATTCAAATCTTCGACGAGAACGACTCAAGGCTAGACTATCAGCTACAGAGAGAGAATGTTCATTCCTTGCAATTAATTTAGGCGTATAACTAGGCCTATCAAAATTCATTGCACTGCCAAACATTTTTGAGCTCATCGATTTAAGATTTGAATTGGATCTTTGATCAAGGGAATATGTTGAAGAACTTACACGACATGACTTTAATTTGGTGTCATATGATTCTCCAGTCAAATATAAGTCAGGTATACTAGATACTGACAACGGAGACAGAAAAGGAGCATCATTGTACCTGAGATTTAATAGATCATCCCTCGACTTTGAGATAAATCTATTTTTTGATTTCGTACCCGCAGTAAACTCGTAGCATGTCGATGGAGTAATTGATTCTCGTATGAAACGCTTTATAGAGCTGACATTTTTAGATTCCAATGTTAAATTATTGGACGATATTTTATCTTGTGTCAATGAATTTTGTTTTAAAATCTCCGTATCGCTATCCAAGACTGGATTAATAATAGACACATCTTTTTTCTTATTTAGCATTTCAGAAATCTGAGTATCATCAATCGGCAATTGCACTGAAGAGTCAGAAGTTTTCGTTTTCTGATTATTCAAAAGTTTTTTAGAATGATTCATGGAATCATTTTTTTTATCAAGACTTTTTTTTCTATTTTTGCTTTTGTTACTTGATTCTTTAGAATTATCATTCAAGTCCATTATTTCTGATTTATTTTTAATTTGATTTGAACATTTTTCAACTCGTTTTTCTTTTAATTCATCAACTTTTTCTATTTCAATTTGTCCTAATTTTACATCATCTATTTCATTCTTGACTTCATTTTTTTGTTGACTTGATGATAAACATTTACTTATATCTATATCAGATTTTTCTGAATCTGATATAAGCGCATTATCGTCAATCAATATAAACTCTAAATGATCTCTAAGATCTTGCAAGGGTTTCATTAAAGCAGATGAAATATTCAAAAATACTTTTTGATCTGAATTACCATCATTTTTTGAGTCATTTGAAGCTTCATTTGCATAAACGACTTGCGAAGGAAAGAAAGAGCTAAAATGTTCGATAGCTTTAATAAGATTATGTAATTTGGTTAAATTCACTTCTTCATTATTTGAAGAAATATCTGAATCAACTATTTCTGATATTGCGTAATGTAGATCGCTCAAGCAATCTTTAAAAAGTGAATTTTTTACAGAACTTTTACTCTCATTATCTATACATTTCATCGTGTCAAAACTACACAACATATCAAAAATAGTTCTTCTCATACTATTTAGAGGTTCAAGCAAAAAAATTATTGAATTTTCCGAAATTTCATTCTTCTTTGAATTGATCAACTCTGATTGACTTGCTTTTGTATCCATTAAATTAACTATAACAGATTCAGAAAGTTGAATCGTTTCTGACTTTGAAACAAGAGCTTCATTAGATTTATGCTTCAGCGCCTCTTCTCTTACGTCTCCTTCGTTATCTCGATATAAACTTTCAGTTTCCGCAATGGTATGAGTTTTCACTTCTCCTCGTTTTACTAATTCGGCATCACCGTGCATCCGCTTATCGTCCTTCTCTTCCTTTGCGAATTGAAGATCAGCTTGTTGTTGCCTATCGGCTACTTCCCGATCCACTTCTTTAAGCTGATGTTTTACTACTTCTTCTTTTTGTAAACCAACTACTTCAGTTTGTTTTTGCTTTTCTTCTCCACCTTTTTTCAGACGTTCAGCTTCGGCTTGTTTTTGCTTTTCTTCGTCTTCTTTTCTAAGCTTTTGAGCTTCATCTTGTTTCTGTTTTTCCTCCTCTTCTTTTTTCAAACGTTCACCTTCAGCTTGCTTTTGCCTTTCTTCTTCTTCTTTTCTTAGCTTTTCAGCTTCAGCTTGTTTCTGTTTTTCCTCCTCTTCTCTTTTCAAACGTTCAGCTTCAACTTGCTTTTGCCTTTCTTCTTCCTCTCGTTTCGAACGTTCAGCTTCTGCTTGCTTTACCCTTTCTTCTTCTTCTTCTTTTCTCAAACGTTCAGCTTCAGCTTGTTTCTGTTTTTCCTCCTCTTCTTTCTTCTGACGTTCAGCTTCAGCTTGTTTCTGTTTTTCCTCCTCTTCTTTTTTCAAACGTTCAGCTTCAGCTTGCTTTTGCCTTTCTTCTTCTTCTTTTCTCAAACGTTCAGCTTCAGCTTGCTTTTGCCTTTCTTCTTCCTCTATTCTTAGCTTTTCAGCTTCAGCTTGCTTTTGCTTTTCTTCTTCTTCTTTCTTCAAACGTTCAGCATCAGCTTGCTTTTGCCTTTCTTCTTCTTCTTTTCTTAGCTTTTCAGCTTCAGCTTGCTTTTGCTTTTCTTCTTCTTCTTTTCTTAGCTTTTCAGCTTCAGCTTGCTTTTGCTTTTCTCCTTCTTCTTTTCTAAGCTTTTCAGCTTCCGCTTGTTTCTGTTTTTCCTCCTCTTCTTTTTTCAAACGTTCAGCTTCAGCTTGCTTTTGCCTTTCTACTTCTTCTTTTCTCAAACGTTCAGCTTCAGCTTGCTTTTGCTTTTCCTCCTCTTCTTTTTTAAAACGCTCAGCTTCAGCTTGCTTTTGCCTTTCTTCTTCTTCTTTTCTCAAACGTTCAGCCTCAGCTTGCTTTTGCCTTTCTTCTTCCTCTTTTCTTAGCTTTTCAGCTTCAGCTTGCTTTTGCTTTTCTTCTTCTTCTTTTTTCAAACGTTCAGCTTCAGCTTGCTTTTGCTTTTCTTCTTCTTCTTTTTTTAGCTTTTCAGCTTCAGCTTGCTTTTGCCTTTCTTCTTCTTCTTTTCTCAAACGTTCAGCTTCAGCTTGTTTCTGTTTTTCTTCCTCTTCTTTTTTCAAACGTTCAGCTTCAGCTTGCTTTTGCCTTTCTTCCTCTTCTTTTTTCAAACGTTTAGCTTCAGCTTGCTTTTGCCTTTCTTCTTCTTCTTTTCTTAGCTTTTCAGCTTCAGCTTGTTTCTGTTTTTCTTCCTCTTCTTTTTTCAAACGTTCAGCTTCAGCTTGCTTTTGTCTTTCTTCTTCCTCTTTTTTTAGCTTTTCAGCTTCAGCTTGTTTCTGTTTTTCTTCCTCTTCTTTTTTCAAACGTTCAACTTCAGCTTGCTTTTGTCTTTCTTCTTCTTCTTTTGTCAAACGTTCAGCTTCAGCTTGTTTCCGTTTTTCTTCCTCTTCTTTTTTCAAACGTTCAGCTTCAGCTTGCTTTTGTCTTTCTTCTTCCTCTTTTTTTAGCTTTTCAGCTTCAGCTTGCTTTTGCTTTTCTTCCTCTTCTTTTTTCAAACGCTCAGCTTCAGCTTGCTTTTGCCTTTCTTCTTCTTCTTTTCTTAGCTTTTCAGCTTCAGCCTGTTTTTGCTTTTCTTCTTCTTCTCGTTTTAATCGTTCATCTTCAGCCTGCTTTTGCCTTTCTTCTTCTTCTTTTCTTAGCTTTTCACCTTCAGCTTGCTTTTGCCTTTCTTCTTCTTCTTTTCTCAAACGTTCAGCTTCAGCTTGCTTTTGCCTTTCTTCCTCTTCTTTTTTCAAACGTTCAGCTTCAGCTTGCTTTTGCCTTACTTCTTCTTCTTTTCTTAGCTTTTCAGCTTCAGCTTGTTTCTGTTTTTCTTCCTCTTCTTTTTTCAAACGTTCAGCTTCAGCTTGCTTTTGTCTTTCTTCTTCCTCTTTTCTTAGCTTTTCAGCTTCAGCTTGCTTTTGCTTTTCTTCCTCTTCTTTTTTCAAACGTTCAACTTCAACTTGCTTTTGCTTTTCTTCTTCTTCTTTTCTTAGCTTTTCAGCTTCAGCCTGTTTTTCCTTTTCTTCTTCTTCTCGTTTTAATCGTTCACCTTCAGCTTGCTTTTTCCTTTCTTCTTCTTCTTTTCTTAGCTTTTCAGCTTCAGCTTGTTTCTGTTTTTCTTCCTCTTCTTTTTTCAAACTTTCAGCTTCAGCTTGTTTTTGTTTTTCCTCCGCTTCTTTTTTCAAACGTTCAGCTTCAGCTTGCTTTTGCTTTTCTTCTTCTTCTTTTCTTAGCTTTTCAGCTTCAGCTTGTTTCTGTTTTTCCTCCTCTTCTCTTTTCAAACGTTCAGCTTCAACTTGCTTTCGCCTTTCTTCTTCCTCTCGTTTCGAACGTTCAGCTTCTGCTTGCTTTACCCTTTCTTCTTCTTCTTCTTTTCTCAAACGTTCAGCTTCAGCTTGTTTCTGTTTTTCCTCCTCTTCTTTTTTCAATCGTTCACCTTCAGCTTGCTTTTGCCTTTCTTCTTCTTCTATTCTTAGCTTTTCAGCTTCAGCTTCCTTTTGCATTTCTTCCTTTTCCTTTTCGAAATGTTCAGCTTCAGCTAGCTTTTGTTTTTCTTCTTCCTCTCGTTTTAATCGTTCAGCTTCTGCTTGCTTTTCATTTTCTTCTTCTTCTGCTTTTCTCAGCTTTTCAGCTTTAGCTTGTATTTTCTTTTCCTCATCTTCTTTATTTAGACGGTCTGCTTCAGCTTCAGCTTGCTTTTTCTTTTCTTTTTCCTCTCGTTTCAATCGTTCAGGTTCTGCTTGCTTTTCCCTTTCTTCTTCTTGTTCCTTTCTTAGATTTTCAGCTTCAGTTTGTTTCTGTTTTTCCTCCTCTTCTTTTTTCAGACGTTCAGCTTTAGCTTGTTTTTGCTTTTCTTCTTCTCGTTTTAATCGCTCAGTTTCAGTTTGCATTTCCTTTTCTTCTTCTTCTTTTTTTTGACGTTCAGCTTCCGATTTTTTCTGATGTTCTTCTTCTTCTTGTTTCAAACGTTCAACTTCAGCTTCTGTTTCCTTTTCTGTTTTTTCTTGCTTTAACATTTCAGCTTGTACTTGTTTTATTTTGTCTTCTTCTGTTTTCAATTTTTCAGCCTGAGCTTCTTCTTGTTTTTTTTGTTCTTCCTCCAATGGACCTGATTGGACTTGCTTATGCTTCACATCTTCTTGTTTCAAACTTTCACTATCATTTGTTTTTTTTTCGTTCTTATCCTCTTTTGCGTAATTTTGATCTGCAGTCTTTTCTTGATAGAAGAGTTCTGTTTCTTGTAATGATTCAGTTTGCTTGATTTCATTCGGTTCGTTTGTTACTTCTAATGGAAGTTCAGCTTTTTCTAGCCCTAGCTCATGTTTTTCTTCTTTCGGATGTTCAGTTTGAGGTTGTTCTCGTTTTTCGTTTTCCTCTTTTTCCACGTATCCATCATATTCTTGTTCAATTTTCTTTTCCTCTGTGACTAGACATAACTTTTTAGATTCACCGAGTTTTTCATTTGTCTCTTTATCCAGTTCCAAACCTTTAGCTGCTTCAACTTCGTGTATTTTATTTTCATTTTTTTTCAAATTTTCGTCCTTTTTCAACTCACAACTCCTCTCTTCCTCCTTTTTTACGTGTTTTGTTTCTTCTTTCTTCTCTTTTTCTGTTCCTGGTTCTTTTAATTTGTTCGTCGTCTTTTCCGTCACGCTGTCGTCTTCTTGATTTTTTAATCTTTCAGTCGGTTGATGTTGTGTAAAAATGGTTTGTTTCACATCGTTTTCGAGAGGCTCATTGTATTTTTTATCTTCTTCTTCTTCTTCTTCGCCTTTTCTTTGCTCGTAAATTTCATAATTTTCAAGCTTTTGCTTCTTATTATGACTTTGATTCAAATCATTAGTCTCACTTAATTCTTCAATTATTGGTTTCTCCTCATTACTAATACTTTTTTCACATTTTTCATGCTTTATTTTTATGTTTTCACGCTCCATGTCATTTACTTCACTTTCAATAATAATTTGGGACTGCTCTTGATCTTTTTCATCTACTATTAATCCTAATCGTTGTTTTAGGTCATGCAAAGGTGCTATCAATGTTTTTAAGGCACTCATAGCAGTTATGCTCTGATACATTTCATTTTCTGTAGAGTCCTCGAGTGTTATTTGCGATTTTGATATTATTATAGGTAAGTTTTCACCAAGTTCTTCTAAAGACCAAGCTAAGTTTTGTAACGCAGGTAAGCTATTTTCTGGCCAAGATGATAAATTTATTTGCTCTGTTCCTTCTAGAGCTATTTTTTCCATAACTGAGATTGATTCTTTCAAATTTTCGAGGCGTGAAGAGATGATATTTTTCTCGTACGTGGCTTCTTCGTCTCTATTGTCAACGCTTTCTAATGTAAATGGAACATTCGTGATTGTAGAAATACATTCTTGCAATTTATTTAATGGTTCTTTAATTAAAGACCACAGAGCTGTTATACTACTTTGTTCCTCTTCGACAAAACTTGGAGTTGATCCAATCACATGCATACTAGTATTATCAACTCCTTCACTTATTCCACTATCTGATTGAACTGTACTCACCGCAGAAGATTCATTTGCTTTCAAATTTGGTAACAATGTTTCAATGTCTTCCAAATGCATTTCAAATTCACAATAATCAGAACCTAATTCAAGCGGAAGTAACCCAGAATTATACTCATTATCAATGTTGTCTTCTGTCGCAACTTTCATCATCGTAAGGCTCTCAGTTTCATGTTTGGATACTTCGATGAATTCATCAACGATTGTTTCTACTGTAGTTAACACAGTAGAAACTTGTTCACCACTTCTCATTTCAACTTTTTGAAAGCTATCGATAGAATCTTCATGGTCTTGTTCTTCATCTTCAATTGGCTTTGTTATTTCATAAAGAACTTTTTCTATCTTGTTTGTTGGAATAAGAACAGCGTTTAAAGTCTCAATGACTGAAATATTTTCACTGACACCTTCCTGAACTAACTCATTTTTCAAAGTTAAAAGAGTGTTACTAAAATGAGCTATACAGTGTGCTAAATGATTCAAAAATATTTTATGATTTTTCACTCTAGATAATACTTTATTCTGCTCCAAATTCTCTAAAGAAGTTAAAAGCCGCTGTGTTGGATACAAAAACCCTTCAATTATAGCTTCTTCGTCTATGACTTGGGTAGACGAATCGATGAATTGCTCCTGCACCGATTGAATTTGTTTTAATAATGTTTCTAATGATTCTGATATTAAATTTAATATCTGGTGATCGAGTTCTTTCTCAAGTAATTTAATTTTTTGTTCCAATTGTTTCAAGGGCATAGACACTCGTTCCTGTAAACTTCGCAAACAGCTTCGCCGTCGGATATACTTCGTTTCACTGCAAAAATACAATTATTAGTATAATATCAAACTCCAGGATTTGATTTATTATTATGTTTTACGGTACTGCTATTTTGAAATGAATGTTTTGTAATTTTGATAGTGTTGTTAAAAAGATGATCTAGTAAAGAGCGTATTTTGTAATAAAAACAAAAATATGGCAATTTCTATTGAGGTGATGCCGAAATCCCGATTTTGACCGACCGAGCATTAAATGTATAAATTTAAATAACTTTTTTACTAGACCAATTTTCGAAAAATGGCTCTGTGGAGCCCTCCGTATTGATGCTGTGCATAACTATATCAAATTTCATCCCATTTCATTCAACAGTTTTTCCGGAAAACGGGATCGAAATTTTTAAGTTTGAAAACCTAATTCAATAATGCTCGGTCGGTCAAAATCGGGACTTCGGCATCACCTTAAGAGCTCCAGCTACTCGCATGCATGAAACCTTTTTTCAACGATCGCTAGCTTTGTAACTAGCTTTATGCAATATAATTAAAAAGTTTTAGGATACTTTTCAGTAGGTTTTTGCCGACCCTTCATTATGGTGTTATCGGCTTTTTCAAAAACTCATTCTTATGTAATTATTTTTACAAACTATTCAAAATTATTCTGTAACAATTTAAAGTAGGGATTGTGTCTCATTTTGAAAAAGAATATCCACACCGTTTGCATACGATACTATATGTCGGTAGGTGCATAATTGTGGACGCCATTATCCCTAAAATACCCGTTGTGGTAACGGGCACTTTTCTACAACGGTCTTCATAAGATAGCATGTTAATAGCAATGTCAACGTCAAGTCTCATGTACCCGACCTTTAGTTCAAGTTAAATGTATTTCCTACCTTATTCGATTTTGAACCAACTGCAACGCTGAATCTAAATCATCTACTGAAACCAATATTGGCGTCGCATTAGCAGCCGAATCATTTTCTTCTTTTTTTACGTTAAAATGAATATTTTCAATGCCTAATCGTAATTCTTTCACAGCTTTCAATATAACGTTTTTTTTCTCATCTTGTAAAGCAGGTTCAACCATGGAGGTTCTTCTACTATTTCTAACTACCGATAAAGCACTTTGCAATTCAATAAAAGGTTCAATCAAACCATTTAATGATGATATTACATTTTTATCTTTACAACTTAAGGCTCCACCTGCGTCAATCTGATCGAAGAAATCATGTAATATTAATTTGAGCGAATCAACTGGTTTAATGAGAATATCAGCGACATCAAATTCTATGTTGTCCCCGTTTGATGAGTCAGATAATATTTCGGAAATTCTATCCTTTATTATTTCCAGTGGTTTTAAATTATCATACAAAGTACTCAACATTTTTTCTCGATGATTTACTGCGTCCAGAGCTATCGGTATTTGTGATTCAATATCTTTTAATACTCGAGCTATTGTATCTAAACACGCTCGACCTGATGATTTACCACTATCAATTACGCGCGATTGTGCTTCTAAAGCTAAAAAGAGAACGTTTGATTCAATAGCTTTCATTGGCTGATCTAGTTGTTTTAAAATAAGCATTTCAGGGGCTTTAAATGTTTCAGTTTGTGTCAAAGCTTCTCGTACTTCTAAAATAGGACATAATAATTCCTCCAATGCTGAAGAAATACATTCTGTATTTTGTTGTGAGTCAGATTGTGACGAATCAAATTTGACATCGGTAAATTCTAAAGCAATTTTAGATAAGTTTGATCGAACTACCAAAATTGTTTTACGCAAACCATCTAAAGCTTCGGCAAGTCTCGACGCAATTGGTGAACTAACAAGAACTAACTCTTGATCAAATTTATCTAAAATGTGTACTATATTCTGTTCAATTTCATTTAAAGACTGTGATATTTTTGCAAAAAAAATATCTTCCGGGTAAGCTGTACGCTTTTCCAAAAATTCATCGTTCTCGCTTTCATGACTTTTTATACCATGAGATTCTATAAATTCTTTATTGTTATCTTCCTGACTTACTGGATCTCGTATTTTGGTAACATTTGCAAAATCTGTAGTATCATAATTATCATTGGGTATTGGAAAATTTGAGTTCATAAAAAGTGATAACGTTTTTTGAATATTAACAATTGCTTCAACAACTGGAGACGCTACACTTTCTTGATCTATTTGTTTTACAAAATTTTGAATGATAATTTTCAACCTGAAATAAATAAAAATAATATATTTTAATTATTTATAATAGACTATAAGTGAAAATTAATTAAATTGACAAAGACCCTGACCTTTCCATTGGCTGTTGTAATTCAACTAAAACATCAGTTTGAACTGACAAATACTTTTCATTGATTAAAACATCATTAACATTGTTTAGTGGCATTTCTAGTTCTAAAAGCTCATGTGTTAAGCCATCTATGTTCAATTTGAATGAACTAATTATAGAGTCTATGGCTATTGCAGCATTTCCAATACTCGCTCTCAATTCATTTAAATTATGTAATACTAATGATGTATCAGCTCCTTCCAGTTGTTCATACTTTTCCAATATTGATGCTATTTCATAATGAACCGTCCCTAATTGCGAAGCAAATTGCATTTCATATAATACTTCTGGCACCGAACTTTCAATTTCCCGCTGCTCATCGAATTTAGACTCACTTTCATACTTAGTGACGTTAATTTCGTCTGAAATAAGTAATACATTTTTTTTCAAATCTTCAATAATCACATTAACGGGTTGAAGTTTAGTTGAAATTTCATCATCTTCTTCTTGTGTCTCAATATTTTGTAACAGAGTTGAAAATGTTGATTGTAATGTAATTAGTGGCTGAATGACATTTCGTATCGATGTAAACTCCGTAGGCTCTGAAATATTTGTCAAAGATAATCGTAAATTGATCAGAGGTTTCTCTAAATTACCAAGTGCCGCTATCATTTCTTCAGCTTTCAAAGTCGTTGTTTTATGAACTGCGAATGCCAGGTGTTCTCGTAGTTCCACTAAATCAGATATAAGTTTAGATGATGATTGTGCATGAGATTTTTCTAAATCAATAATAACAGCATTAACACAGGCTTGAGTATCCACGAGATTATCCAATATTAATTCTGGTAAACTGGATAAATATATCATTTTGTCATTTTTCATTTCAGATAATACTTCTGCTGCTATAACTATTGATTTTTTTAGATCCACAACGAAACTAGCTCTGTAATCACCTTCGTAACCTTCTAGAGCCACCACTAATGCTTCTAAACGTGACAAAATTTCATTGAAGACTTCTAACATTTTTTCCATGTTATCTATGGAGTTATTTAACAAAATGCATTCTGAAGCTCGTTGAAGGTCTTCTAGTGGACGGGCAAGAGACTCAACAAGAACAGCATCAATATTCTCATTCCATATTCCAAACTGCAAGTATCAAATATTATGATTTAAAAAAAATATAATCACTATTCTCTTCTATCTTTTAAAATAATATAGTTTAAAATAATAACAAACCTACTACTAACTACCAGAAAATGAATGTCTAAATAACTGATCAATGTTAACGTTAATGTAATTTTTAAGCTCACCTGATTAACGGAGATTTTATTCAGATATGTACTCAACGCTGAATGAATTTTTTGTAAGGCCGTCATCATGGTTTCATTTATATTACCATCACTTTTTTGAAGGGTATCTCTGTATCTACTAGTAGTTCGAATAATTCGATCTAGGACGATTGGATTTACGCTGATACTTTGGTCACATAAATCAAATTCTAATTTTGCTAATCCAAATAGTATTTCATCAACTGGGTCCACTAAGGATTCCAAAATGGACAAATTTATTCGAATGCTACCATCGCTATTTTCTTGGTGAATAAGTTCAAACGCTCGTAAAAGCTCTTCCGCAGGTCCACCGATTATTTCCAAAATTGATATACTTATGTCACGAATAAACGATCGATCTTCTGCATTATTTAAGGCTTTGGATTCCACATCTGTAACTGTATCATAGAGGTTTTGAATGGGGATCAAAACGTTTTCTGTCACAAACGAATTGATTAATTGTTCATTTTCAAAAATAAAATCTGAATCAATTAAAGCTCTCCGAACGACCAACACCGGTTCAGCTATTTTTCGAAGCAACTCAATGAATTGTTTTTCATCGTTTTTCAAAAATAGTTTTTCTTTTTCAGAATGCATAGATGAACATGAACGCTGATGCATAACATCTTCTGGGATTTGATCGACAAAAGTCAAATTTGGTTCCTCAAAATCACATTTTTGGCCAAACTGTTTTTCTGTTTCAGTGTGGTATGTCATTTCTTCTTTTTTTTTCTTCACTGGACTCGAAGTCTGATCTAAGAGTAAATCGGTAGCAGTACCATAAGAATCGCCACTATTCGATCTTTTCCTAGAGTGATCTTTCTTCCTAGTTTCAGAATCACAAGGTTGAGCTCGTGAAAGTGCATCCATAAAGGTTTCAGCGTTGGTATCTGCTTCAGTGTTGAGAATATTATCGGGCAAATTCAATGAAATATCTCGTTCAGGAGCACTGTGATAACTTTCAGTATGTTCTTGGACTTTCGAGGTAATGGCTTCGGAATTTCGTCGCGGTGGTCGAACTGGAGTACCTTCATCATCGAATGAACCAGACATTGGAGAAGAAAATGTTGTGACATCTATCGTTGATATTTCTTCTAAATCAGCTTCTGTTCGTTGATCATAATTTTCTTCTATACTGGCAAAGTAATCAGGAGAAACATCTATGACAACAGCCTGCATGTACAAATTCCCAGATGTTGAAGTCTCTTTTACGAAACGCATAGGAGGTAGTTCAACAACATTGTGTTCTACAACCAAAATAATCAATTAAATAAACGAAACTTTTTTAATAATAATAAAATAAGTAAAAACACAATTACCAGAAACATGTTCAGAAAGTTGATCAGCGTACATTTCGATAATTTGATATGCCTCTTCTTCAGTTAAATCAGGTGTTTCGTAAAGGCTCACAGACACATCTTTTCCGTCAAAAGTGAAAGAAATTTCTCCGCGTTCAGTAATAGATTGATCTGTTAATGCTGTTTCCAAAAGTTGAGAAGTTCTCTCTTCGTTTATGGTAGATAACGAAAGGTTGCGAGCCAGTTCAAGCTCATTTTCAACTTTGGCTGAAATTGCTGAGCCCGATTGACGAGGTGAAATGCGATCTTTAAAAATTGTTCAATGTATTTTAGTTTTTATTTCAAACATTTTTTGACTTTAAATATTTACCTTCGTAACCCAGCAATGAAGCAGAACTGCTAACTGTTCCCATACAATTGGTTGCCTCACAAGTGTAAGTTCCTAAAGAACATGTACCATCCTGACCAGATATGATTTTGTGAATATCACCAGGCTTCAGTTCTTCTCCATCTTTATACCATTTTAATGTAGGTTGTGGCACGCCAATTACTTTACATTCAAGATTAACAGCTCCACCTTCAGATAAGATAGCACGTAAATTTTCTAAGAATTTTGGTTTTCTGTAGTGCCTTGGAATGATGAGCTTTAAGAAACAAGAGGTAACGCTGTGTCCAAAATCGTTACTTGCTACGCATTTCCATTCAGCCTGATCGCAAAATTCAAGCTTAAGAATATTTAAATGGACAACACCGGTATTCTCTTTCTCTACTTGATATCGATCTTCATTTTCTATTAAATGATCGTCCCGATACCAGCTGAAATTTGGTACTGGCATAACGCTAACTAAAAATCAAAGCAAGAAAATAGTGAAAAAAAGACGTTTTATTTTTGAAGATATTTGCAGATATTATGTAGTATATTACCTTGCACAGTAAATTTAAAATCACTGCATATTTTGGCCTCACAACTCTTTAAACCTTTTATAAACTTCGGAGGTTGATTAATCGTTAGCAGTTGTAGCCTTTCTTCATCATTTAACTGATTTTTAATATCTTCGAGAGTAAGTTCAGCCGTGCTCGTAGCTTCTCCCATGCAATTTTTGGCAACGCAGCAGTATGTACCTATATTAAATAATAACACAATAAGCTATTGCTTTTAAATTTTTACAGCAACATGGTAACAATAATGATGTACCGAGAGAATTAGTCCCTGTCAATTGATATACATCTCCTGGCTTCAGTTCTTTGCCATCTTTGAACCATCTCAATAATGGCGTTGGAAAGCCAACTACTTTACATTCAAATGAAACCAAACCCTCTTCCGTTAAAACTGCAGTTAAGCTTTCCATAAAACGGGGTTTTCTGTAATTTCTAGGAACTGCAAACAAATTTTAAGTTTAGATTTATCTTTAAACTTTGTATGTAATTGCGAAAAAGATTGTATATATCATCTTACTGGACATCGCGACATAACATGTCGTAAATTGTTTAATATTTTCATGACTTGTAGCAACACATTTCCATTCTCCTTCGTCAGCAGCTTCAACTGGTTGAATTTGAATCGAATAGCCTCCCAAACCATCCTCCATTATTTTATACCTATCGCCACTTTTAACATGTCCTTCTTTGTTATACCATGCGATCTCTTTTGGCCACGGGGGTACTTGAACTTTACGAAAATATATCTTTTATAAAAATACGATTTTTCATAATAACTCAAATTCAATGTATGAGTCATACCTTGACATGCTAAATAGAGTGAATCCCCAATTCTACAACAATCATCTTTCAGCGATCTTTTGAAAATAGGTGGATCTCCAGCAACTATCAAAGCGTCTGCTGGTTTCAGTGATCCCTCTCTGCTTCCTTTACCAACAACATGAACCTGTTCGTCAACATAATAAAAATTTGAATTAGTTTGCAAATACTATATGCATCGTTACGAATTTATAATTTGCAGCCATTCTTACTCTAGATGATGAATACGCTATTCCCATACAGTTAATTGCTTGGCACGTGTAAGTTCCCAAAGATGTCGGATCATCTGGGTTTGCAGAAAGAGCAAATACATCACCAGCTTTAATTTCTTTATTATCTTTAAACCATCGTAAAACCGGTGTTGGTACTCCTATGACTTTACACTCCAAAGATACTGAACCAAATTCGGTTAATAAAGCTCGAAGTTCACTGGCAAATTCTGGTCTTTTATAAGCCTTTGGTACTAAAATTATTAAATTGTAACTTAAATCTTGATGTGATTAGCAATTTGTTTAAGCCAATCATTAAATTAAATCATTAAATATTGGCTTGGATAATTTTACCAATGAAAATTTATAATTGACATGATACCTATAATATTTAAATGAGAAGTACAAGATGAACGACCCGACCGATTTTCTGCCATGCACGTCCAATGTCCTTGATCTTCCACAGTCACGGGGGCAACATCGACACAGAAAAAATTCCCTTCGTGCACAAAAGAGAATCTCGATCCTGGTTTAATCGGTTCATCGTTTCGGTGCCATGTAACCTTTAAAAAAGTGAAAAGATTTTTGAATCAAGTACAGTTTTATTTGACCAAATCAAGAGTTCATGAGTATTTCATAGGTAATCAGACAATTTTAAAACTTAACAGCTTTCATAAAGCATTTTTTACTAAAACCAGAAAAAAATAAAATTAATTAACAAAAATAAAATGAAAATAACTAATTGATGGTATGCTACCTTAGTTTCAGACGTACTACGTATTTCAACAAGGAACCTCGTCCTCGTACCAACTTTAACAGTGAGATCGCTAAGTCTACGGAGAAAAAGAGGTGGATCGCCTTCTTCGAAAAATGACGGTTCGTCGACACTCATGTAAACTCGTCGTTTAAAAAGTCGCTCGGATTCGTTTTCGTTGGAATGACGCTTGGCATTTAAAGAATAGTGGCCAGTGTCACTTCTACTCGCATGCTCCAGAGTCAGTTGCACCACATTGCTACGAGCCTCTATTCTGAATCGTTCGCATGGCATCGGGGCATCCCCTTTAAATCTGTTCAACCATAAAAATCAAATGAGTGAAAAATTGAGTATTGGTGAGAATTTTTCATTTATCTTGAGTCTCCATTCTTATTATAACATATTTAAGGATCAACTATCAAGTGAAATTCGAGTAATTGACAATCATCTATTCAATTTTTAATGAGTATTATAAAATAGAACGAACTTTCTAAAATAACGAAATGTTTATCTCATGTGTATCTTTAGATAGGTTCTTAACGAATTTAATTGCGAATAGCAATAGACTTTTACGATATCTATCATATTCATAAAGTTATTTTTGCAAAAATTAAAAAAAATATACTAATTTTTTAACGAAAACATTTATATCCGGACAACAGCTGGCTTTCCCAGTAAGAAATATAAATATCTTACTGTTTTTAGTAAGTATAATAATACATTACAACCGATGAACAGCAATACTTTTAAAACTTTTAAAACTTTCAGTAAATAGTAATTCTCAAGAGATTGAATAGCAAATCAGTGTTTAACGAATTGTAATACTAATTTCGATAACTCGATTTTCGTTAATAAAAGTGATCATTTTTTCAAAATTGAAAATCATACACAAAAAATTACTTTTATTATTTATTTTATTCTTTTTTGACATACGGTTCTTATATTATTACATCTTCAGGTATTAATAATCGAATTAATTCGTTTTAAAGTCTTCATAATCTTTTATAGTTTTTGACACATTAGAAATAGAATTATTCGAATCAATGAACGGCCGTGGCCTATTACCAAATTAACTATGTCTACGCTCATATACAAAGTTTCACGTGTATCGCATTTCTAACGATTTTTATACAAATTTTACAAAAAACATTTTTTATACATGCTTGAATAATTTGAAAACTGCAAGTCTTGAAAAAAATGGCTTCTTATAGAAAAATCTAATTGATTCTTTAAATTACAATAAGTTTTCGTAAATCACATTATATATTATTGTACACGTCTCAATTGACTATCAAGGGTTATTATTAATTGATAATATGTGTAAATGCTGAACTTACTGAGAATAAAATTAACTTTTTTAAAACAAATTAAAAATTATGTTATCAATCATGTGTCAATTTTTTATTACCCTATTGATCGTTGCGAAGATTCCCACACGTGGAACATGTGGTTTTTTCGATCCTTATCACATTTGCAGCATTGGCCACCCATGATTATTATTCACTATCACTTATATATTAGTAGTTTTCTCCTTAAAATTTATATTACACGCGATACTTTTTAAAGAACTATCTTGATTGAAGAAAAACCATCGATGATTTTCGATTTCTAAGATCAAGGTTGAAATTTCGTTTAAAGAAATTTTCCATAACCTTTACAAAATATTTTTTAACAATCACTACACACAATGAAGTTCATAAGTCACATTTTCCTTTTGAATAGAAAGCTCAAAATCTTGATGAGTTTCTTGGCGCCAGTACAACGAAACATGAAAAATAAAAACAAAGTCGCAGCGCGCACCCAGGTAAAAATGCCAAAAACTAAACTAGCACAAATAAAGGATAGATAGAAGATAGCAAGATAGTGAACTTGTTGTTTGTGGAGCATACGAGCCGTGAGAAATGTACCGCGGGGCGTCGCACAATACGTCACAGTGGAGCTTGCCTAGTTATAAAGCTCTAACGGAGAGATAGAGAAAAGATGGAGCGCGAGCGGCGGCACGGCTGTCCGCGCCACCAAACAGCTCCGGCCTATATTTTTGTACGAATGACCTGTACGCGCACAAATCATCAGCATAACGCGACTCTACTTTTTATTCTTCAATACTACATTCTCGATCTTATGTAATAATATAAAATGTACATTATAAATACGAAGGAAATATTATCGTGAAACTACCTCAAATATTTATATCTACAAGCATTACACTGGGCATGTATCCACTCAACGAGAAAACAAAACTTAACATTTAGATTTATCTTAAAATCAAGTTTAAGCACCAAGTCTGAGGTATTTAAAACGGGTCAAGAACGGTCTTTTTTGATCACGTTCTAAGGCTCTGAATTTAGACAAAAAAATATACGCGTAAATTTTTAATCTTCAACTACAATAAAATCAGTCAAGAATTTGGTGAATAATAACATTTTATAGTTTTACAAGAAAGTACCAATCGTAAAATTTATATTATATAAACTGAAAAATTGCAGCTAACGCATGATATTAATACTATATGATAATAATCTTCATTAATGATCGATTGTGATGAATTTGGTGTTAAAAAAATTTTCATTCTTGCATAATAATATTCTCTTATTAAAAATATATAGTCTAGTGAAACTACAGACACGATTGGCACACTTGGCGTCAAATTTAGAATCAGTATGCATTTTACGCATTTCGTAATCTTAAAACTACTCACGCTTGCGCATTAATGAAAAACGTTTACTCTGCAGCCTATTATGAAAATATCCAATCGATGAAAATCAATTTTTTCAGACAATTATTTTAATTAATTTCAAATCCCATTATCTCCCCTTTTCATCTTAAAATTATATTCCAGTCATAAACACAGATATGCCCTAGCCATGGCAATGAAAAGTTGGACCCAAGTCTACTCGTTGGAAACACGACAAGAATAATCCTGACCTCGGAAAATCGAGCTAAATATTTCTTGAAATAATGTTTCAAGAAATGTGCCTTAAAAAATAACTACTGTTGTGCACTTAAGACCAAAAAAAAAGTTAAGTGAAAGTATTCGTAAAACATAAATAATGTAATCTCAGATCAAATGGAGTATTAAAAATCGAAATTTTGATTTCAATTCTATATTGCATCTTCAACACTGTATAAGTTATTAATGCAATTTTATTCAAAAGATAAGTTTACTTTTCTTTACTTTTCTAAAAAACACTGTGATCAACTTACATTTCAAACTGATAATTTTCACATTTAGCTGCTTGATGCAAATTGAGTGTAGCAGAAAAATTGCCATCAATGCAGCAGTGCCAATTTATATCATCGTCGTCTTCCCATGGCGACTGATTCTCCATGGTAACTGGATCTAAAAATAAATTTTTAAATTTTATCATTGATCGTATCTATTGATCTGTCAATTATATTTCTGAATCACGATCCAATCAATTTATAGGTATAACGATGAATTACGTAAACAAATAAATATGGTTAGAACCAGGGCTCGTTCCGAATTGGAATATATTAAAATACTAGATGATTTATTGGCAAGTTTTCCACGTGACATTCATGCTTCTCACGAGTAATAAATCATTCATTTTTTGCCCGAAGTATGCGAGGAAACTTTTTCATCAATTTCTAATCAAAATCACGAAGCTTCAACAATAAAAGCAGGTGTGCGCTCATCGAAGAAAGTAACATACCACCGTGGCAAAGTTTAACGCTCGTGTACAACCTAAGCGAGCTTGGTAATACATTGGCGTCTGGCAACGGACTTTTCTAAAAATATCATCTTCAAATGACCGCGTGTTATGACCGCGCACGAACTACTACATATTATAAATCAGAAAAAGAAGATAAGGGGAAGGCGAGAAAAAAATTCGCGCCACGAATACATAAGAATGCTTCGTAACGTTGGAAAATGCAACTGAAACATAGGCGAGATTCGAGCCTCGCAATAAATTGCCGCTGAGGTTTTCTACTCACTCGGCGATGCTCTCGAATGCGAGGTCTCGCAACGAGATGACGCGACGCGCGGCTGTGTGCGGTCACCGATCCATTATGAGCTTTCGATTCGGAAAAAATTGACCGCCGTGCGCATTAACGGCTTCAAGTATACCGCCTGGCTTACTCCCGGTGAGCGAAAGACTCCGAACTATTTTCAGCTATTTGGCAGAGATTCGTTTATACACCGAGCTTAAGTACATACAAACATTGCATACCTTATCTGCTCGTTTTTGTAATAACAGCCTTGCCTATTGCTAACGGACTATTATCGATTAATCCGCGACTTTTCCGCGCGATCGTGGTCGCTTTTCTAGTTCTCAAGACGGCGCTCGTACCTATCTACTAATGATAGACTTAGGCTAAAACTTAGACTAAAGTTCCGAACTACGTTGAAAATTTAAACTTTCCCGTTCAAGGTCGTCGGTGGTAGTTTTTAATAGAATGTCAAGTCCGTTGTTATTATCGTGAGACGCGTATGACAATGAAAATCATAAAGCCGTGGGGTCTTTTTCTAGATACAAATATTTTCCCATCGAGTTCTCTGTCAGACGATCATATTTTTCAAGCAGCCATCGGCTTTTTTATGCCCTATAGATTGCATAGACTATAAATCCCTGAAATAACGACAATGACACTGATGGTTGATGCATCGCCCGTTCCAAATCTTTACGGAACGATGCCACCTCGATCACTGACCACTGCTGCTACAAGTGTATCGTTTCACCACTTTTTCTCTACCTCACATAAATGGATCTTTGACGCGATTTTCTTCATTCATTTAAATTCATTTGTCATTTCAAAAACAAGATTCATCAGAACTTATTAATATTAAAAAAAAATTGGAAAAAAAATCAAAAAAAACTTATAAAGTAAAATGACTTTTTATTGTTAAAATGAGTCAAATTATATTAGGTACAACTATTTAATCTTTCAATTTAAGAATATCAACTTTGAATAACTTAAAATGGAAATTTTAACTAACTTTTACTTTACTTTTATAAAAAAGTAATTTTGAAATTTTTCAACGACACACCTTTACTACATTCGTTCATTAAAAGCCTAATTGACGCTTAAAATACTTATTTGAGCACTGAACTGAAGTCACTGTACACCCTCAACTCACAGCACACACTCAGATCACAGTTTTGGCATCCATATTAAACATAGATTTTACCGGTACCAGTATATTGGGCTACGACTTCTAAAATAATCAGTCCAGCAGACAGCAATAGAAATCGGCTTACCTGCTGGAAAAGCCATAACTTTTTTTGCAATCGCTCGCAATGAATCGTTTATTTACGTCGTTTGACTTTCAATTTTATCATAGCTGCGACGAAAAAACGCGCACACGCGATGCTCTCGGAAAGAAAAAACTGCGGATGAGCGAGCTTGCAGCGCACTTTCAACGAGCTTCCGCGTGCGTTTTCCCTTTCTCTCTCACGCACGAGCGCGAAAGAAAGAGAGAAGCAGAGAGAAAGCGCAAGAGAAAGAAAGAGACAAGCTGAGGGAGAGAATAACCACGCGCAGCAGCGGAAAGCTAAAACTCCGAACTAAACAGATGCTAAGAGAACCTGAGCTCTTCTCCGGCAGCAGGGCTCTGATCTAAAAGCGGCGTGATACATTTGCTTCGCTATATCGCTATATATTGCATCCGCTGCCTTTTCTTATTCTCATATTCTCGCAGACGAATAATCATAAGAGCAAATTTTCACAAATCTATATAATATTTTTTATTCATTATACCTTATCAGAAAATTCGTTATAATTTTAATAAAGTCTTTTTTAATGTTAAGTGCTTTGTATTTTATTCAATCAGTCAAACTTATGTTTCTTAAATTGAAAATCATTCTCAAAATTGTTTAATAAAACCAATTATATTATTTACATTAAAATTCTAAAGACCGAAAAGAGGCGGAATTATTACATACGTTAAAAGCACGTGTGCGAATAATTTTAAACGTAAGATCATATGTACATAATTTACTTAATTGTTCAAGCTTTGAATGCATTCCAACTTACTATATTAAACTTACTTTAAATATAAAATTGTAGAAGAACGATAATATTCAAGAGATTATTACTTTAATATAGTCCGGATTTTCCTTCAAAATTGAATAAAAAAAGGTTGAAGGGGATTCAGGAAAACTCAACAAAATAATTGAATATTCTATTTTTTATTCAGGATAAGTATATAATCTATTTAATCGTAACTTACATTTGATGAAATATATTAAAATGATTGGTTAACTTTTTCTTTACACGATTTTCATAAAACTTACATATTTACAAATAAAATTGTTATATTTTTCACATAGAAATAAAGAGACTAGAGAATAATTAAATATTTGTTATGTTGTAAGAGGTATACAAATCGAAGTTATTAATTTTTTGGCTGTACATACTTTAAATGCGAATTATTGAGTTATTAATTCAGTCACCTCTAAAATTAACTCTTTGAAAATGGACAAATTGTTCGAGATATGATTATTATTTGAAATCAATCAGTTTGCTTTTGACCTATCAAGAAAAAATATTGTACATATTTGGCTTTCTGGCTGCGGAAATAACCAAGAGTTGAAAGTATAAAAAGTCTGAGACAAAATTCCAATATTACATACTTTCTGATTTCGTTAAAAATATAGGTAAGTTACAACATTGTGAAAATTAATAGCATGATTTAATCTAATGCCTCCATCTTTCAGGTAAGTAAGGATTTAATTCTTCTCGTATTTGTCTGTACAGTAGTATAATAATTAATGGAATAGCAAAAATTTCTTTTTGGAACAAGTACACATACACGGCGACAATAAGAAGACTAAAATCAATAATGAAATTCGTAGCCAAGCGTACTTTTTTATTCCTGTCTTCTATCTTATTGTCATCGTTATTTAAAGATTGTTCACTGCGATTCTTTTGATCAGTAACTTCAGATTTCACATCCAATGGAGTAGCAGCTCTTGAATGATCAACTGAAGCGTTTCTCGATCGCGATCGACTTCTTCTAGTTCCAGGAGGAATTTGTGTAGAAGCAGCTTCGCTAGGTACAGTCAATTTTGACTCGTCGTTGTACTCTAGATCTCGAGAAAATTTTCGAGATCTCACAGTATTTGATTCGTTTCTAGAGGAAGGCCTGAATTCCATTCTCGTTAACGATGCGTCGTCTCTGCTTCTTAGATTAGGCGACAAATTGGCGGAATCGCGTCTCGACATTCGCTTACTCGTCGGAGATTCCAAATCCAATCCAGCAGAGTCGTTATTTAAGCTCTCGCGTCGAGATCTCTGTTCTGGTGCGATTGGTTTGGCTTTCTGTATTGGAATCGCTGGTATGATCGGCGGAATGGGTTCTATTATTTTACCAATCGAAGGAGGTATAATCGGCTGAATGGGTTCGATAATTTTTCCCGGTGTAACCGGCAGCTTGTCTCTGGTAAGGGACGAGCGACTCGAGCCTGTGGGCCCAGGAGATGTCAGCCTCGATTCCGAAGGGCTTTCTGTGTAACGCCTCGTCTCTCTATCGCGGCTGAGCGAACGTTGACGAAATTCGGGCGTCGAATATTGTCGGACGAGCTCCGTGTAATGGCTGACAACGGCCTTCTTTTCTTCTTTGATTTCTTGCTCTTCTTCAAGGGAAAGCCCCCTCGAACCTTGCCTCATCCGAGATCTCTTTGTCACGGCTGCTTCGGCGGCAGAAATAACTGCTTCTTTATCAAGGTCTGCGTCGGCATCGTTGATAGATTTCGATGAATGCTTGTCCGAAGATATGCTCGATGTTACTGCAGATGTTAACGCTGACGTTACGGGAGATGAAATATTTGAAAGGGCTGATGATACAATGGGTAGGCTCGAATCTAGCATTTTACCCATAGTTGTAGGTATTATTGGTTCAATGGGTTCAATAATTTTACCATTGATTGCCGATGACGGAACTGACGAATTTACAAAAGGTGATGCAATCGAAGAATTTAGAGGCTTGACTTGAGGCTTAATCGAGGAAGTGACCGTTGTATTCTCTGCGAACTTTTCTACCGGAGAAGAAAGCGAAGTAGAAGCTGTAGTTGTTGCCATAAAAGATGAATGTCCTATTGGGCTCGTTGGACGTAGAGGAGACGAAAATTCTACAGGTTTTGGCGTTACCTCTGGACTTCGGATTGGACTCGATATCGATCTATTACTGTAAAATATTAAATTTAGTCAGTGGAAATGTAACTCATTATTGAATAGTCAAAGATTAGAATAAAATACTAACTTGAAAACTGAGGAATTCGTCGTAGAATCATCATGAAGCATTGATTTACGCAGAGGTTTTTCGGGAGGGATGGGTCTTCCAAAATCGTTAACCGGAACAGCTTCGATTTCATTGCGTTTCTTCAGAATAGATTTCGGCAAAATGCTGTTCGCAGAAGAAGCTGGTGATAACCGACTTGGTGACTGCCGAGTTGGTGATAGTCGAGCCGGTGACAGTCGTGTCGGTGATAAATTAGTTCTTTCGGGCAGGGATGGCGCAGGTGACAGTCGAGTCGGAGACAAATGAGTTCTTTCGGGCACCGGGGGTGGTGTCATTAGATTTCTCGATTGAACTCGATGAGGTGGAATCGGTGGAGGAGTATCTACTTCGCTGTGCTCTGCTTGCATAATTATTCGACCACGAGGGTGGTACGTTTCCTGCTCTTCCATTACCGGTATGGCCAATATTCGCGCTTTTAATTGCTTTATATCTTCGCTGTCGCTGCTCGCAGCGTCAGAATTCGCCCCCGATGTCTCTATACTGTCTTCGGCCAAAATTTCATCATCGTACATTGGAATTTCATCGTAAAGATGGGCATTTTGCTGTGATATCTGTAAAAAAAATTTTTTATAAAAATTCATCAATACCATCTATGCAATACCCTTTACCCAGATCGCTAATAATTATTCAGATTCTAATTTTTAACTTTTATCGTCAATCATAAAATGAAATCCATAAGACAAAAGAATGAAAATTAGATAGTAAAAGTTTTAACTTAAAGAAATGTACTGAAAGTAAAATTTTGACTAAAGTTATAAAAAAAATATATTGATTATAAATGCAACATACAGTTGTTTTGATATGGAGCGGCTCAGGTATCTTGAAGATGTCCTTTTCATTATCGTCAATATGCTGCTTGTCGATAATTTCGGCGATGGAGGCCTCGTTGCTGAGATCGATACCGGGCTCGTGCCACCTGCGCAAACGCTCGACGCTGTCCTCCATCCCACTGGCAGTTGCGCCCACCCCCTTAGTCCACGGGTGGTCCGCCTTCGGATGCGCAAGCATCTCGCTGCTCGTCGGCAGATTGGGGTCGGAAATGGCGCTCTCCAAAATATCCTCGTTGGGCAGTTTGGTGCTCTTCAAGGCGAAGATCTTGGCTTGTCCCTCGCTGGATCGACGGCGATCGCGTTTCACCTGCCAACTGGCACCGCTGTTGGACAATTTTCGCTTTACCGTTTGAATTTTCATGCCGAACAGCGGATACGAGTCTCCGTCTGGAGGGCGTTTATTGAATAACGCCGAGCTGGAAGGGCGTTTAGCCTGTTCCGCTGATTTTTCAGCTTCGACTGCCTTATAAAAACGTTCCATAGCTCTCTCGTGAAGAAGCTCGGTGGAACTGATTGCCTCTCGAAGTACTTCGACAATTTCATGAGTAGCGCTAAAAAGCTCGGGCAATGAAAGAGACATCGGTGGCAGGATGAAGTTTTCATCCGCGCTATCTTCGGCATTTTCATTAGCGGATTGATTGACTTTCTCCTGGTTCGATTCACTGAGCAACATTTTTTTATCCATTTCTGATTCTCGTGGTGTGACGTTGAGATTGCTCTTATCTTGTTTTTCGCTTTTCGGCTTTTCAGGATAAAGCACGAGCATGAACTCAGAGCTGCCGTGCAGCATATTATCTTCGTCGTCTCTCCTCAATGAGTGCAAGCTAACCGACGAGTTTTTCATATCGACGCTGCTTCTCCGACGACGAGGTACTTTAGGCGGACTCAAAATCGAACGATCGCTTCTTTCCATTTGTTGCTTCTCGGCCGAATTTTCTGCGGTATTGTTAAGCGGAGACGAAAAAGGACTGTGTTCTCGTGGAAATGAAAAATAATTTCGAGGCGTTGGAGAAGTCGCGGGGCTTCGACCTCCCGTATCATTGACATTTCGCGTGACGACAACTATCGGTTGAAGCGATCTCGAAAGACCTGAAAATTTAAGAATGAAAATTATTTCAAGAAAAGCTTGAATCTTAGAACATGATAATTTCTAACGAATACCTGAACTTTTCAATTCTGGCTGCGGTAAAAGTTCCTTTGACCACTGTCTCTTGGGCTCATTCTTTTCACCACTGGTCGTATCGAGGGCAAACGTCACTCGGCTGTCGGCGCGGGACGGTCTTCCCGAGGCGTTCAACCTTTGAGTGGACGTGGCTCTATCGTAGGCGTTCATAGATTCACGATTATTGGCTTCCTCGCGAGTGAGACTGCGAGTTCTCTGGCCTGAATCACGAACAATGTATTCACGCCTTTCGCTTCGTCCACGCGGAATATCCCGATGGCTCGCTGACTTTGCCCGCATGTTGGGTTCAGTTATTCTGCAATCAATACTTATTATTTGTAGTAATTGAAACTTTTGATGCTCGTCATTCATCGATTTAACGTAAATAATTATTACCCTCTTTTTGGATCAGCTACAAAGACAACTTCGCTCGGTTCGCTGGGGTCACTAACCCCATAAGGATTTTCAGCTTTTATTCTGAATCTGTACTGAGAACCCTCGATCAATTCGTTGAGAGTTGCCGTTGTTTGCCTCGATGACGCAGCTTTTAGCCATACGTCCCATCCGATCTATTTAGGATATCAGATGCAAATTGTTATTTCCTCATTTTTAAAGGAATCTTAAACGAATAATAACATGTAATATACTAACTCTGTAATATTCAATCGTATAAATTCCAATTTTGCAACCTCCATCGTCTTCGGGTTCGTTCCAACTCAATGTGAACGATTTTCCAACAGTTCCTACAACTCTTGGCTGACTTGGCGCAGATGGACGATCTGTAATTTCAATTTATCGCTATAAACATATTTTTCATTTAAAAGCTAATATTACTAAAATTAATTAATTACCAGTAACAGTTACTAAAAACGATACTACATCTTCGCCGAGCTTATTGATGGCTCGTATGGAGTATTCGCCACGATCTTGTCGATTGGCATCAAGAATTTTAAGAATAGACTCGTTGTCGGTAATTGACTCGAAATTATGTCGCTCATCGGCAATAATGATATCGCCATCGTGATACCACGTTATACTCGGCGGTGGCCGTCCACCGTTTGTGGCTTTTAGTCGAATCGTTTCTCCCTGTTCGAATAGTAGACCCTCTTCGTATTGACGAGGTATTCGAACACGAGGGGTAGCTGCAATCGCAAACGACGAAAATGTACTCTGATCCTCAAATTAATCACGCGAACAAATAAAATTTCATTTTTACCTTCGACTATCAGTTTAGCTCGGGTACTCGTGTGTCCAGCTCTGTTTGTAGCTGAACATTTTATTTCCCCTTCGCAATCGATCGTTATATTGTGTATAGTTAAAATACTACTACCACTGTCGGTCGTAATTGTCGTTCGTCCGCTGCTGTAGATTTCGAAATCGTCTTTGTACCATGAAATCTTGGGAACGGGTGTTCCCAAAAACGTCACTGTAAACTTAGCCTAGAAAAAGTATGCAATTTATTCGCATTGAATTTTTTAATTTAAAAATATGACTTTAATTTTAAATGAATACACCGTGGATAAATATTAGCACTTGCTTTTTTACCTTCTCAAAATAATAAAGTATTACTCAACAGATGTGGGAAATCACAAAATCCACACCATTTTTGCTACCATTCTTTGAGAAAAAAGTCATTAAATACCGATTATATTTCACAGTACATTGGGCAGGTACGTGAGACCAAGCACGTATCATTTTAACATAAGCGACACATCAACAATGATATTTTACAATAATATCTATTGCCATGATTAATAAAGTCTCAATCGAGATAAAATTTACGGAAATAGTTCGATTTTGTTATTGAAGTAAATGAGTCATTTTGGCCGGCCAAAAAATAATGACGGTATATTGATTGCAAAGTTTATTGCGAGTAAACTAAAATCAAATGAGTTTTTTTTAATCTATAGATATGTGAGTCGATTTATACAAAAATTTGCATAAATTAAAAAATAATTAAAACTGTAATTTTAATACAGATGAAATTGAAAACAATAGTGACTTTAATCTTTTAATTAATCAAAGTAAGCTAAGGATTTTAAAAATGATTAAAAAATTCGAGTAATGACGATTGCTCGAAGGGGAAAAAATACTAAAAATGTATACTAAGCTCAAAAATAGCGGAACATAAACTTTCACTAAGATAAGTTTATTTGAGATAATGATCTAATCTCTTTTTTTTTTATAAATAACTGCACAATTTGAATTACCTGTTGACCTTCCAGAGCTACGCAGTCTTGAAGTTCTATATCGAATTTGGGTGGCAAAGCCGCAGTTCTCTGTAAAGTCACCGACAATTGATCGGACAATTCGCTTGGCTCGCTCATGCCCATGGCATTCTGGGCCCTTATTCGGAACTGATATCGCCATCCGGGCTCCAAGCCGCTGAGCGTCAGTTCGGGAAAGGTGCAGAGCACCGGCGCCGAGCGCACCCAGTGATGGAAACCTACTTTGCGGTGCTCCACGTGATAGCCGATGATGGCGGAGCCCCCGTTGCTCGGCGAGCGCTCCCAGCGAATGCCCACGACATCCGGTTGCGAGTCCTCGTCGCCCGGTATGAGAATGGGCTTTCCCGGTGGCGCTGGCAGGCCTTGCAGAACAGACATGCAAAGTAAGGTACGACTCACCTCGCTGTGTAAGCGAATTAGCAATGCTCGCGTGGAATCACGTCCAGGCGATTCGACTCGAGGCGCAATCTCATCCTGAAAATGTTTTTGTGTCACTTTGTTTTTAATAATCATTACAATAACGTATTTATTTTCACTTTTATCTCGTGTACATTTTACACATTGGACGAAACATATGATCGATGCATACATTTATCGATAAACTGACCGCGATTATTGGATGAGCACAAAAACATTTACATTATGATGCTTTTACAAAAAATGTATATTCGTGTAAATAACTCTAAAACAATTATTTGAGCGATTATATACGACAAAAGATGAATGAGTAGCATTTGTGTCATATTTATTTTATAGTATACAGTTATTAATTTGTAACCTTTACAGCAGCACAAAGTCCTTAGCATAAATAATTGAAATTCTATTGAGAAATCATGTACTCTTGAAAGATCACAACGAGCGATTTAAAAATAAATTAAATGACCGATCTAATCCTTTTATCGAGTACATTTGAGGATCAATGAAGATTAAATCAATGAATTTCAGAATATAACTTGTCACGATTGAAAACTAATGCCCAAGTATTAGAGTACATTTTGAAGAGTACGAGTCAGCCATTCAATCGGCAATTCGATCTATACGACCTGTAGATCAATGACAATCGGAAAATGAGTGTCAAAAACTATTCACTAATGACGAACAAATAAATTTACACGATGTCACCGAGTGCGTTGACGAACAGTATACCTCCATCGTTACAGTGATCCCTAGCAGGCAGCTGATGCAGCTGATTAGTCATCAAAGACAGACAAAAGACTAGTCGGGCGCGTCCGCAGCCACTGCCGATCGCAGTCTGCAATCGGCACGGCTAGTTTTCTCTCGGATTAATTTCTGCACGAGCTGCAGCTTTTAGCGCATAGGTAGGCAGAGAGTCAGCACACGTGGCTGGGCTGAAAATAAAATTTGCGGCACCGAGCGAGGCAGAGAAGCTGCAGCAGCGGTTGCGCCTGCGTGTCTGCGCCTCTTCTTTCGATGGCTCGCTCGCATGCCCATGTGCTGCTGCAGCTTCTCCTATACGATTCGCGTATATCAACCTATTGCGGCGCGCACCGACGACGTCGACGACGAAGACGCCTTTTGTTTGCCGTCCTTGTGTGTTCGGTGCAGCACACGCGCGCAAGCATGAACACACTGTGCGCGTATAGGTATCCGTTTACCCAGTGCCGCTGCACTACGCTAATGAAGCAAAATCGAGACGAGAGCCAAGTCGGAAAATACAGCTTTAAACAATGGATGTGTCGCATTGACAGTTTGTAGAAAATTTAGCGCGAATCATTTTTTCGGAGCAATTTAACATCGTGTGTACTTATCTTTACAAACTTTACTCAGAGCCCGAATCGTGCCGATGACAAATAGCTTTTATTTTTACAACACTCACAAAATCGGAAAAAAATTGATTTGATCACGTAGTCAACTTTTAAAACCCCCACGTTTCTCCGTCATGATTGTATAATTAACTATGTAAGTATGTAAATTCGAGTAATTTGATAAAGCAAATAAGCTTAATTATAGCTTTACGGTACAAACAAACGTCAATTGCCTTTAACCTCTTTTATATCAACAATCTTCTGACATACCAAACTACTGGACTTGATAAGAAAAATTTACCCACGAAATTATAACAGCTAGAAAGCTTATTTATTGATATAATAGTTTTAATTGTGTGAAAATACTTCTTTATCGAATTCAATAATGATAATGTGCAATTTAATCGATCGATAGAACAAAATGAAAGTACAAAAATCTGTCCTCGTCAATTTGAACATTTGAAGCAAGCAGTTGGTCAACACATGCGTTCAGTTGCAAGAGCCAAAGAGAAAAGAGCAGCTATTGCGAATATTGCACCCGCGCGGTGTGCGTTTGCCATGCGACACAGAAAATAGAAAGTAGAGAAATACACGTAATCGACGTAAGCTTACAAGCTCGTTCGCACAACTAATTTTAATGATATACGATACTCTTCATTGTTTAATCAATCCCTCGATAAGATGAGCTTGAAATTTTATTTCAATAAATTTTTGATTTTCAAGTGATATTACAATAAAAAAATTAATAAATAAAGTAGATCGGCCTTATTATGTTAATCTTGCAATTGAAATATTGCTGGAAAGCCTCAAAATAAAGGAATAAATTTAACTGAAATGAACCAAAATAATGAAAAAAATTGCTGCCAATTTTTGTCTAATAACGAGAATTTCTTTTCAATTTAACGATTTTCGCGCGAATCAATATAGACATTTTAATAAATGTTAGAAGTGATGATCAAATATATAAAGATACGTGAGACTACTATGCACAGACAAGCCAAAAATAACCAATTCCAAAATTTCGCGACAAATGAACCTATGTTTATAAGAAGCCCGAAGCATCTCTCAGAAATGAAATGTAGCATAAACCAATGCGACGATCGAAGAAATACGTAAAAAAAAAAGAAAAAAATATCCAGACATGCGGAGCAAACGATTGGGTTACTGGCGTATATAGAGTTCCACCTCGTACCTGGTCTGTCCCAGTGCACTTTCTTAGGTATGCTGCCGCTGCTACCAACGGTGCTATTGGGTATGTAGGGTACGTGCAGGCTGGGCGGCTGGTAGGCCACTTTCTTCTGGGCATTGCCCATTTTCGATTCTACACCCACTCTGTACGGCGGATCGGTCGGTCACTCGAAGCACCCCGACATCGATGGACAGTTCCCTAATCACTGGCCCTTCGCGAACGAATCCGCTGCTCTCGCCAGTGTGTGTGTTTTCACGCGCTACACAACGAGCAGCGCAATGGGCATGCACGTACCTACGTAAGAATGTATACGTACGTACGCATGAAGGTATGTGTCTGCGAGCGAGTAGAAAAGCTTCGCGGAAGTAACTGCTGGCCGAGGCATGGCTAAGCGCAAACGGGGCCGTCGGAGCAGCCAATACTGTCTTTTCTCGCCTCTGTATTTTCTTATACTTGTTCTCGAAGAGATGAGAGGAAAAAGCAAGATGGAGAGAGGGAGAGAGAGAGAGCGCAGCATGCCAAGCTCTGGATATAGCACGAGCCAACGCGACTCTCTGTGCTGCTCCACTGCCTATATGCTGCAGCTGCTGCTGCTGCTGCGCTAGTAGAGCTACTGGCTGCAAGCTCGATTGGTAGTTAAAAAGTTCCTGCTTCGCAAGCCCTAAGCTTTACCGCTACGACGTCTGCAGCTACGTTTCTTTTATGGGTAGTTTTACCATTCCCGCGTATATACCACATGCTCGAGCTGCTATAATCGTCTTTTATTTGTCCTCGCCGGCACTCGCTCGAAATTACAACGCTTCTTATTCTTTCGAATTTCGAGTAATCGTGCCTGTACATTAGGAAAAATTTAAAAATTCATACCTGCTATCGATACATGTATTGTTATAATGTTTTTGCTATTTTTAGCCAAAAGCGCGATTGAAAAATCATCTTACAACGACGTCTCGTCATAGAAAATATAAAATTTACGGAATAAGCCGTACGATACTTCGGTCGCTTGTTTAACACTTAGCTAAATCAGTCAATTTGGACACTGTTGTTACAGCTGAAACGAGTTACATAAAAGGCCGTCAAGCTATTGAAGTCTTTTAAAAACGATCTACCAATAATTCAATTTTTAGCATTTACTGAATGATTTTTACCAATTGGAGATGATAAATCACTATCCACTACCCTATGATGATTCTCATGTCACTGAGATTGAGCTGATTATTCATTTTTTTCGCATGATAGAACATCGCCTCGTTTATAGTCATTTCTGGTCTACACGTGAAATAGCGTGATTTTGTTGAGTTAAAAATTAGTACCAAATCGATTAACATTTACCCAAACAACCGATCAAACAATTCTCATGCCTATGTAGAACGTATGTACTTGCAAAAATTATAAAGTGTAAAACAAAGCTAATGGTTTAGATAAGACTTTTGATAAAGTTATCTTATAAAAACGGTGCGGCGTCTGTGATTTGCAACATTAGTACTGCTCTTCGTCCATTGTAACATCTCAAAATGACGCGGTACAAATGGTTGCTGCCTCTTGTGGTCGTTTTTCTGACGACGGTACAGGCGGGATTCCTGGAAAACATACTGAATCTCTTACCCCTTGTGACGGGGGGCGCAAAGTTTCTCCAAGAATCGATCGAGTTCTCCAACAGAGAGGTACCGAACCGAACGCCGCGTCACTTGGAGACGTACGACTACATCGTCATCGGGGCCGGCAGTGCCGGCGCCGTCCTGGCCTCGAGGCTCACCGAGAACAAGCTCAACCGAGTTCTGTTGCTCGAGGCCGGCTCGAACGAGGCGCTTCTCTACGACATTCCCCTGCTGGCTCTTCACCAGTGGTACCAGAAAGACATTTATTGGCATCACTACACGGAACCGTCGAATTTGCACTGCACCGGTCGCGTTGGAAAGAAATGTCTGCTGCCAATGGGCAAGGTCATGGGTGGAAGCAGCGTCATGAACTTCATGATCGCAGTAAGAGGTACGTTTGAAATAATACATTATTAATAAATAGAAAAAATATAGTACTCGACTCATAATTTTACTATGCAGGCAATACCGCAAAATCATTACCTATTTCTAATGCCATTCGTAAATATTATGTAATCTAGCTGTATACTCTTGTTTTCTTTATGACAAGCTGATTTGCTTGTATTGCAAAATAATGCTCAACCGATTATACATCTGCACAAACATTTATTCGGGAGCATTTGGCATTTAAAAAAAGAAAAACAAAGATCAAACACCCTATTAATTGCACTTTAATGATTTTCAAAGAGACATCTTCATAAAGTGACATCGTGCCTACAAAATCGTCTCGAAAAATCTTTTGAATAATTTGAAAATGACAAATAAATTTAACAGGGAATAAAAACTTTGACATTTAATATCTACAATTTTTATTATTTCTATGTTCTCATCAGGTAATAAAGCCGACTACGATAGTTGGGCCGAGGAGACGGGAGATTATAGCTGGTCCTACGAGAATATGTTGCGATACTTTAAAAAGTTGGAAACCAACGACGTGAAACTGGACCCAATCGATAAGAAGTACCACAACTTCAATGGGCCAGTGAGAATCGCCAATCCCAAGTATCACTCGCCACTGGCCGACGCTTTCGTCGAGGCGGGAATGGAAATGGGTTACGCGCCAACGGATTACAACGGCGAGCAGCAAATTGGCTTCAACTACATCCAAGCGAATCAAATCAACGGCGAGCGAATGAGCGTCAATCGGGCATACCTGCATCCGATTCGAAATCGTAAAAATCTGGTCGTCAGTATGGACAGCCGAGTGACCAAGATCTTGATAAATCCGGTGAATAAACAAGCCTACGGCGTCGAGTTCGTCAAGCAGAACGCATTGGGCCAGAAAGTAAGGATGCAAGTACTCGCGAGGAAAGAAGTCATATTGTCGGCCGGTGCCTTGAACTCGGCGCAGCTCCTCATGCTGTCCGGTATCGGACCAGCGGAACATCTTCGTAGTCACAATATTCCGGTGATACAAGATCTGCCAGTCGGCAAGAAATTCATCGATCACGTCGTTTACGGAGGTCTGACTTTCCTCGTCGACGAGGAAGTCGGCACGAACGTGCAATCTATCGTGTCAATCATGAAGAACCCAGCCATTGGTCAATACATAAACGATCGCGAGGGACCTCTGACCGAGATCGGCTCGGTAGAGGGCATTGGTTTCGTCGATACCGACAATTTGCTCAAGACAAATGTGCCACCCAATTTGGAACTGCTGTTCTGCAGCACCCATTTGGGAATCAATCCGTCGCTCCAAAAACCGTTTGGCTGGACCAACAGGCATTATCAGCAATCGTTCGGCAATCTGACGGGCCAGAACGGCTGGCTGATCTGGCCCCTGGTGCTGCAACCCAAGAGTCGCGGCAGAATCGAGCTGAGGAGCGCCGATCCGTTCGACCTGCCCAAGATCCACGCCGGCTACTTCACGCATCCGGACGACGTCAAGCTGACCATCAAGGGCATCAGGATCGCCATGGAGGTGGCCCAGACGGACGCCATGCAGCAGTACGGCTCGAGGCTCTACGATCCCGGTGTGCCCGGCTGCGAGAGGTATCCCTGGAATTCCGACGGCTACTGGGAGTGCGCCATCAGGACCTACTCCATAACGCTGTGGCACTATGCTGGCACGGCCAAGATGGGTCGCGAAGACGATCCCACCGCCGTCGTCAATAACAAACTCTTGGTAATTACATTATTCGCTCTGCCTTTTGATTTTCTTACTTTCTTCAATTTTCCTCGGCGAATTGTGACTGATCTTATTTTTATTCGTTCTCGCCACAGGTTAAAGGCATCAAGGGATTGAGAGTGGTGGATTCAGGCGTTATGCCGATGGTACCTAGAGCTCACACCAACATTCCAGTTATAGCCCTAGCTGAAAAAGCAGCGGATATGATAAAGCTAGATTGGGCATCTCGTATTTGAATAAGTCATGTGTACTATAACTAAGGCTTTAATTGTAAATTTACTTTTTTGTACAAAAATATACAAATTTATACATAAATCAATCAATTTTACTGTTACGATCCTCCTTTTTCGCGATGCATGAAGCGTCTTCTACCGCAGACGATTGCACGCACATAATTACGAGATCTGTCATCTGCAGTTATTTTTGTTTTCGATCGTGGTAGTGTGCGTCCAAGACGAGCTCGACAACGCATCGCACCAAAGCGATATAATATGCGCTATATATTTAACCGTGTCGGTTAAGCAAAGTTCAGCTTTTTAATCACATTTTTTTACATAAAAAAGCTCATCGGTTACCCACATGCTACTTAGCTACAAGCCCCTGCACACTGCTTATTTGACTAGCTTGCTGTATATATGGGGCAAATTTCCTGAAGTGTCCTAGCGCTCTGCCGCACGGCATTTTTTGGCCGAATCACTCAATTTCTAACTCGCTGTAAAAGTATCAAAACGCCCCTCAAAAAAATAACTAACTAGTGATTTCGATAGGAAATTTCCTCGGCTTTCCGATGGTGAGGTCCAATTTCCTGGAATTTTCCATTTTCACCCGGAAAATGGTCATTAACCATTCAGAGCTCAATATCTCGAAAAACGCCACTTTTTTTGCTTTTTTTATTGTTTCAATCGAAAGATGAGGTCTTTTTACATCGGGTATGGTAGTTTTCAGAGTGTATTTTTGATGAAAACTAAGGAAAATACGGGAGGATTTAGTTAGCGCTCGGCCGCTCGGCGCGATTTTCAGCCTTGCGCGGCCCGCTGTAACATGTAACTCGCTCTTATGAGATAGTGATTTGGCTGGAAAAATAAATAAACATATGTTTTCGATAGGAAATTTTCTCAGCTTTCTCATGGTGTAGTCAGATTTTCCAATAATTTTCATTTTCATTAGAAAAAGTAGAAAATAAACCTTCAAGTCCATTTTTTCTGGTGAAAATGAAAATTATTGGAAAATCCAACTACACCATGAGAAAGCTGAGAAAATTTCCTATCGAAAACATATGTTTATTTATTTTTCCAGCCAAATCACTATCTCATAAGAGCGAGTTACATGTTACAGCGAGCCGCGCAAGGCTGGAAATCACGCCGAGCGGCCGAGCGCTAACTAAAACCTCCCGTATTTTCCTTAGTTTTCATCAAAAATACACTCTGAAAACTACCATATCCGATGTAAAAAGACCTCATCTTTCGATTGAAACAATAAAAAAAGCAAAAAAAGTGGCGTTTTTCGAGATATTGAGCTCTGAATGTTTAATGACAATTTTCCGGGTGAAAATGGAAAATTCCAGGAAATTGGACCTCACCATCGGAAAGCTGAGGAAATTTCCTATCGAAATCATTAGTTAGTTATTTTTTTGAGGGGCGTTTTGATACTTTTACAGCGAGTTAGAAATTGAGTGATTCGGCCAAAAAATGCCGTGCGGCAGAGTGCTAGGACACTTCAGGAAATTTGCCCCATATACAGGTTTTGTTTTGTGTTGACGCACATGGCTGGTGAAGCAGAAGACACAATAGTTCATCGTGTCATATGAATGGATTTAAACGGGTTTATTACAAGTATAAAAGCTGTCGTTTAATTTTGATTTTAAAAAATATTAACCAGATGCAGCTTCGAAAATGCGTCATCTACTTCGATTCAAAGCTTTTAATAAAAAACTATGTGAATTCCGAAAGAACTGCGCTAATTTGAATAGAGGCTTGTGTACACAGAAAAAAACTATAAAAATTTTGGGTATTGAATCAAGTTGTGATGATACAGGCTTTGCTATTGTGGATAGCAATGGAAATATTTTAGGTGAAGCTATAAATTCTCAAATGCAATTCCATCTTAGGTAACATTTCTTCTGACTTTGTTCAAAAGTTCAAATTTGTACATGTATTTATCAAAAAATTTATTATTTTAGACAAGGTGGAATCAATCCACTTGAAGCTCGTTTACTACACGAAAAAAATATCCAAAAAGTATATGAAGAATGTTTAACATCTGCAAATTTAGTTTTGGATGATGTTGATGCAATTGCTGTATCTGTTGAACCTGGTTTACCTATGTCACTCACTATTGGTAGAGATTTTGCTTTAAAACTATCAAAAGAATATGACAAGCCTGTAATACCGATTCATCATATGAAAGCTCATGCTTTAACAGTCAGAATGATAAAAAATGTAAACCAAAATAGTCTTAGAAAATTCTAAAGAATTATTTATCAGTGTAAACTCATTTTTCCAGGTTGAATTTCCATACTTGGCATTTCTTGTTTCTGGTGGACACTGTATTCTAGCATTAGTTCAGTCTGTAAATGATTTTAAAATTTTAGGTCAAGCCTTAGATAATGCTCCAGGAGAAGCTATGGATAAGGTAATTTCTTTAAAATTATGAATTAAAATCAAATGAATATAATTGTAAATTTTATTCACTAGGTAGCTAGAAGATTAAAACTATCAAATATTCCAGAATATGCTAATGTTTGTGGCGGTCAAGCATTAGAAATGGCAGCACGTAAAGCTGACAATCCTGATCAATTCTTTTTTCCAGCAGCCTTAGCTCACTATAGAGATTGTAATTTTAGTTTTTCTGGACTAAAAACTAAAGCTCAAAAACATATATTTCAACAAGAAAGGGACTTCAATGTTATGGGTGCAGATATAATACCAGATGTAAACAACTTATGTGCTGGATTTTTAATGGCATACTTTAGACACATGTGTATGCGAGTTCAAAGAGCTATGGAATTTATTGAGAAAAATGAACTGATACCAGAAGAGCAAAGAACTTTGGTAATTATTTTATTGATATTTCTAGTGTCATTTTCACACAAAACTTGAACCTTTAATTTATTTATTATTTCTAAATAATCCACTGCATTTAATTATCATGAATGAAAGTTTTTATAATTTGAGATTAAAGAATTCTTTATTTCAAGGTTGTGTCTGGAGGTGTTGCATCAAATAACATACTTGCAAAAGCGCTATCAAAAGTATGCGAAGAAATTGGATTTAAATTTATTAGGCCTCCACCAAAATTATGTACTGATAATGGTGTAATGATTGCATGGAATGGAGTTGAAAAATTTGCGGTTGATCTTGATGTAGTGAGAAACAGAAATGACATTGAAAAAATAGATATAAAGCACAAGTCACCGATTGGTGATGATTGGACTGATATAGTTACTAAAGAAGGTATAAAGAGAAAATGGGTTAAACTTAAATTCAATGAATTAATTGATTAACATTGTTTATTAAAACTAAAAATATGATTAATTTGTACATATTTGTAAAAAATTGTCAACATAAACATTATTGAGTATATTACAAAGAGTATATTACAAAATGTAAATTTACATTTTTTTAAACAAGAACCGGAGCTTTAAGTTTTAATTGATTTCTCAATTTTTCAACTAATTTTTGTTCTGGTAGTTCTTGTTCTAATTTCAGTGCTTCCATTTCAAATATTTTATCCAAATTTTCTCTCAAAATTGTTTTAAAATGATTGATTTCTTGTTTGTCTTTATTTATCAAAGACATAGGTAAAATATCTTCAAATTCCAAAACTTTCTCAGGACACATGTCTTCTGGGTATTCAGAAAGTGCAGTCTTTAAATTTTCAAACTTAGGTTTGAAACGTTCAAAAATAGTACCTGCACCTTGTGTATCCATTTTATTTACAAGGAGGATAGCAGGAATGTCTAAAAGCTCTGGTTTGTACAATTCTATTTCCTTATTTAATAACAGTATAGTATCCAAACAATTTCTCCATGTGTGACGAGGTGAAAGCTTAAAACCCTGAATATCTACTACAAATAACAACAATTTTGAACGTTCTAAATGTTTCAAAAAATTGTGTCCCATTCCAATATTTTTGTGAGCTCCTTCTATAAGACCAGGTAAATCTGCCATCGTGATTTCTCTGTCATCGGGATAAAGTATTTGACCAAGATTAGGCCTCAGTGTAGTAACTAAAATAATATATAATTTTTTTATAAATCTATTATCTAATTATAATAAATATTATTACTATTAATAAAATATCAATTATCATACATGGATATGCAGCTACTTTTGGTTTGGCATTTGATACAGTTTTCAATAATGTACTTTTGCCAGCATTTGGAAATCCTACAAGAGCTACATCTGATATTAATTTTAAATCCAAAATTATGTGATGACTTTCTCCATTTTGTCCACTGTAATCTGTTTGTTTACAACCACCTTTTCCTCCAAAAGCTACAATTAACTTTTTATCAGGTTGATTAACACAGCCTGTGAAAAATCGTCAATCAATAAAAAATTAAATAATTATTTGTAAAATTTAAAATTCAATTTAAAGTCAAAATGAAGTAATTGCAATTTACCAAGATATTTTCCAGTATCCTGATAAATATCAACTCCAGGAGGCACATTAATAATTAGGTCCTCTCCTGCTGCTCCCAATATACCTCGCTTAGAACTATCATAGCCTGTGCCTGCAACCAATTCTCTTTTTTTGACAACTTGAGATAATTCCTTGAGAGACAAACCTTCTTTAGCTCTAACGTAAACATCACCACCATTTCCTCCAATTCCACCGTACTGAGCTAGACCAGATCCTCCGGTACCAGCTTTGACATGAAATCTAAGTTTATCGAGGTAGCCACTTTTCAAATGCTTCCTCAAAGGCTGCGTAACAAATAATATCAATTTTAACGTTTACTTTAACAAAAGATGAATAAAATTAATTAATGATTGCTTTTATATCATGAAAAACTTACTTTCTGCACTTTTTTAGCATAACCTAAAATGGTAGTAAGTCTAACCATTTTGATTGGAAACTATTACTACAAGAAAAATAGAAACTTTAAACACAACAAGTACTGTCTAGTAAAACTCATTAACTTTTATATTAAAATATAATTGTTAGACAAACTTTTTTAGGTTTCTAATTGCTTATGTCATATTTGTTTTCAATAAAATTTTTATTTTGATAACTGAAGTGGGTACATGCGGTTAACTGAGCAGACGATATTTTGCGGCGCATTCGTGAACAGAGTGGTAGCATAGGTGTTTTTGAATTTTGACAGCACAATAGGTAAGCTTTAGCGTTCACATGCTCATAATTACGGAGATCATATTCAATTTCAACATGAATTTTTTTCGATAACTTTTCAAATTTTTTCGAACGTATAAATAAATTGAACTACTAATTACTTCTGAAGTCGGATATTTTTAAACAAACCAAATAATTCGATTTTCAAGCACAACTTCAATCATGAATTCAGTAGAAAACTTGATTGATGGAATTAAAAAAGTTGATTTTTCATTTGACAAATTAATTTTAATAAAAACGTGAACACTTCGTTAGCTCAATTAATATTTAAGAATAGGGAGCTGACAAAACCAGGTTAAATCACATCAAAATGAAAATTCTAAGCTAAATTTTTAAATTAATTCTTGAGAGTTTTCTGAAATTCCATGCAGAATTCTAGAGAACAAAAAAACGCAATCAAATATATATGAACTATAATATTGAAGTTTGATCAAAATACGAGTATCTGAAAGTTATAATTTTTACTTCGGCTTCTTTTGATCTTCATAAATATTTTGAATACTGTTGCAGTGTGCGCTTCCGTTTTTATCATCTTCAATTTTTTTACAATTCCGATTCAGTCGCATCCAAAAACACGAAAGTATAGAGCGCAAAAGCTCGTCATGTGTGCAAGCTCTGCACATGGACCCGCGAAGATGCACGACTGCATCGCTGACCAACTGCATCGAAGCTGCAAAGTATATATTGTCTACTGCATCAGAGAGTAGTAAAATATGCGTATATATACGTATTTATAGATTCGCGAATGTATGCGTGTGTACACGGGCTTGGGTGTATAGTACTCGAAGACGTTAGCGGGGATTTAAAATTAAATCTAGCGCTTGCAACGACGTCGACGTCGACGGTACTGCATGCTGCAGCTGCAGCATCCCGTCCTCTAGGCTCAGTCTCAAGAGCATTTGTCGCTCGCGTGGCTGTAAAATTAATTTCTTTTTTTCTTGCTCTCTCTCTCGTGCTGCTTGCTAGTGCTGGAATAAGATCCTATACGAATCCTCCGAGGAGAAGCGCAAGAGACAAGGATCGGCCTCGGTATATGGTGCGATACCCGCCAGTGGTGCGAGGTGACAGTGTATTTTTTGTTTTTCTTCTTCATTTGCTGCCGTCGCTACTGCTGCTGTTGCTGTGCTGCTGGTAGTTGGCCAAAGTCAGAAAGATGCAGCACGTGAGGTAACTATCACCTTCCCAGCAGTGTACTTGTGAAAAAAGGCGACTTTCGGTCGGTTTCTCCAGTCCGAAGAAGGGTGGCTGTGCGTTGACGAAGCGACGAGGGATTTTTTATGAATTTTTTTTTGCAACGTGCACGGATTATGTTACGGCTGTGATGGGTCGAGACCCGATACGTACAAACTCACGGCGAGCGTGTTGCATAAACAAATGTGCTGAGCGCCAATGTCAGAGTATAAGCAGGCATGCTTTGCGTATACGCCTCGACTGAGTCGCGTGTGTGTTATTTTCTGCCGATTGCCGAGTCAAAAATAATTTTGTCATTTTTTAAGTCTGCACCGCTCGAGCCGTCCGTCACTTGGGAAAACAAACTCCCATCACGGACCACTTGTTTATCTCTCTATTTCGTTGATGACGCGTAAACCCCTATATAAGTCCATCCGTTAAAAGCCACGAGAATTTCATGAAATTTCGTTGCACGAGCAATGGACGTGCTTCCATCGGCCAATACAGATCAATATTCTTTCTTGAAAAATATGCTTCAACTAATGCGGCCAAATCTTTGAGTTTGGCACAATTTTTTAAAATATTTTTGAAAATAATTCAATGGCAAGCTGAGGCTTATTGTTTGCAAGATTCTGTATAAATCGTTATTTGAAAAATATTTAATACAAACGACACATTGTTTTGTAAGCTATTACTTTTAGTATGTTTTCAGCATTTTTTAAAAATATCTCATGAAAATTCAATATCAGAAACAATTCATTCCAAAGCTAATGAACCCATTTTCATCTGATTGAATGGTATCACGACTAAAAGAAAATACGAATACACTCATACATATTTTTTATGAATCGACCTAACGAGCTAGTATCGAGTATCAATAGCTACGAAAAGAAGACTCAATTGATCGGAAAATATGCAACAGTGTAACCGTGTCAAGAATGAAAAACAAATCCATCAGCTGCAGGTTAAGTTCTAGTCACGCTCCTATTCGTTTCAATTGTTAGCCATTAGTGACAATATATACATATGTGGATTGCCTCATATACACATTGCATCTCGAGTTCAATGATTTAAAAAGTTTAAACAATTTTGCTGGTGGATTTTGCCAAGATATATAAGAACTTTTCCTCGAAGAATAAACACGAATCTTTTAATTATTTATTACATCATTTTCAAACTCTTTGATTGCAATTGAATCAACCGGAAAACGGATTGAGAGATTAAATGTTTACTTCGGAGTGAAATACCTAATGTTTCAGATAACAAACAAGTATTTTTTCAGTTGAAACCATGAGAATGTAAAAACCTTCAATTCTAATTTCTAATCATAATTTTTAAAATATATCGTGAATTGGCGTTGCAGACAAGGGTCACCAGATCATGTTTCCTGGTACCGAGTAATGAACCAAAGGTAATTCGATAAAAAATTAATAAGTAAATTCATTCTGCACTCGATGTCTTTTGATTTTCTAATAGGTTGAAATGCAATTTCTTAACTTAATTTTTGTATTTTTAATTGATCTATTTATTTACATATTAAATGTAAATTTTAAAAAATGTATCATGCGTAATTATAGTTAATTCATATTGAAACAGTGTTGAGATGATATATTAGAATTTCAAAACATTCTTTGTTGTTTTCTACAGAGCTTGTAAATTTCTTTAGGAGCTGAAAAAAAATCGTTGAACTGGTGGGAGTTGCAAAAATAAGCCACGTGAAATCCTGATATAATTATTAGAGAATTCCTCATTTCTTACGATAGCACACCCATGAGATTATAATTGCATTGCATTTAGCTACTAATAGATTGCCATTGACCTCTTGTTGGTTCTCTTTTAGGTATCCGTATGATATTTAATTATAGATGATCTTGAAAGACAAAATACATAGTTACGTTTCCTACTATGTAAATGAGAAAAGATTTGGAATTATTTACAATGCTTGTGATGGTATTTTTCTAGATATTATTATATCTTTATCCAAAAAATGGTTTTACTTTTTGTTATTCAAAACTAGTTTATATTATTACTTTTAAAATTCATTCTATAGAAATTTAATAACAATGTAAAAATTAGTATAAAGAGCTATGCAATATCCAAATATTATACCCCTAAAATTACTTTAATTACTTTAAAGAAAGTAAAAACAACATGCGAGTATTTTACAATGTATCGTGTGTATCGAGATGTTATTTTTGAAAATTAAGTCACAATCGGACATTAAAATTTTAAAAATTTCTTGAAATAAGTTTTCTGATAACTAATTTCAAGCATCTTATAATAAAATATATAATACCGCTGAAATGATTGTTACAGGATGGAGGAAGATGATTATGGGGAAGGCTTCATTGCGGAGTCGCATCCTCTGAGGCCTACGCATTTAAATGTACCCTTGAGAGAATCCAGAGCACCAAGTATCAGTAGCAGCGTCACCGACATGGATGTTCCAATTTACACCCGAGATACGACGATACCATTATCAGGAAAATTAGTAAGTGATTTGTTCATGAAATATTTTTTTATGAAAGTTTCGGATGGCATAAAAATTCAATCAAAGATGACTATTTTTCAAAATAAATTATTGAAAAACTATTGCTTGTATCGATCACTTTGCGAGCTTGTTTCCCTATGAGTGAACTGAACTGAACGCCTCGCAAGTATAATTCAATGACAAATACATTCAATCGACGTGCCACGCAATATCTGAGAACCAATCGTAGCTAGTAATAGCAATAGTGTCTTATTTTGTAAAAAGCTTGCAACTATTCGTGTACAATAAAAAAAATCTATGCGATACTTTACTTTTGGATCTTTTTTAAAATTATAGGAAAATTGGTCCAACGTGTTAAGTTAATAATGAACTATATAAAACTCATTTTCATTGACAATTATACGTTTTTTATAATGACCAAATAATTAGAATCAAGATAAAACTTTGATTATAGTTATTAAAATGAGCGTAGTAATAGTAGGCTATGTATCCACGATTTGGCTCAAGCGTAATAAACGAGCGAGCAAAGACTTCTGGGTAAGTCATCTTCCTCGTGCACTACTTGCATACGATATTTTTCATTATCCCGTGCGCGAAACGAAGTTTTTATAATGTTTTAAGGTTAAAAAAAGCATGTTTTTTAATAATTAAAGTTATAAGTTATTATTCACTCGATGCTCGTATGAATGAAAACCCAATTGATTGATAAGTATATAAGAAGCAAGTCATTTGCGTTATTGCGAAAACATCTCTATTCTCTCATAATCAGTCTTTTCAACTTAAACTGAGCAATATGATATGATACAGCGCGGTAATAATGATAAGTTTATTTGTCCGTTAATTGAAGATAGCGACGAGCCCCTATGAATAATGGGTCAAAGTTCAATCTACACGTCGTCATCATTTTTCTTATAAATATAAACAATTATTCGACATAAAAATTTCATATGAATTATTGAATTTCGATGGGCTTTGGCGAAAACATTACATGTAAGCAAGGAACAATAATAAACAATTTACAAACGTCATTTTTTAAATTTGGAAGATGGCAATAATGGAATGAGTTTAGCCACGTTTAAGAACATTTTCCGAGAGACTAACAACGTCTCTGTGTGTTGCCTCGTGTTGCAGGTTCACATGTAATAATATCAAGTTTTTATTAGTAGCATTTTTCGAATTTATGTAAGCTTCATGAAATTACAAAGTAATTTTTGATTTCACGGAATTCAATTCTTGAATAAA